TACGATACAGATGAAGACGAAATAAAATTCGTAAAATAACAGGACGAACCAGACGAGCAATCGCACACAGCTAGAGCCTCGATCCGGAGTAGGTCTTTGCGACGCCGAACTCTCCGTCCATAGCGTATACGAGGGTGCTGACGTTTGAGAGGAACCATAGAATCAGATGAAAATGTTGAGCGCGCGTGTGAATCGAAAAGTGAAAGAGTAGGCTCCATTGTGAACGAAGACTGTGGGAAGTACACAATTAGCGACAGGGGCTTTAAAGGAAACCAATTTCTCCATGAGTCCGCCAGTCCGCCGACGTTCAACAATAAACGAAGGCACGAGAATGTGCACGTGATTGAATATTCCGGAACGTTCTTCGATCTTCTTAACGCACGTGACGTTGCTTTCCTCAGGAAAGCAACGTTTCCTCTGAATCCGATGGCGCTTGATTCTACGCCGAGAAAGGAAATTTTCCAGTTTTTCGACACTACCTACAAGAACCTGGTACCCTTTAGGGACCAGGAATCAAGTTGCCTTGAGGCGATCCGCGGACATCTGCACTGGCCTCGATCGGTACAGAGTCCAACAAGTTTCCTACTGTAATTTTCCTCTTGTAGCCCCTTCCATTCCCATTTCTTATGATCGCTGATTTTACTCAGCATTCCACCAGAATAGACAGGGATGCCCTTCTGTGCACATCTCACGCGGCCTGCACGTAGCCACGTTCGCGCTCCGTCTCGCATCGTCCCATCCGTCGCTGCTGTCACCCTCCTCCCAGCCACCCTGAGCGTCGTCACACCATGACAACATATTCTCCTTCTACTCCGCATTCTCAGTCAGCTGTAGATTCGGGGGATGGTCTTGAAAAGACACAGGATACCGTTGTACGACATTTGTCACGATTATCTATTTTTCCTGACTGGACTTTTACAGGTTGAGGTCAAAGCAGCTCCCACCTTTCCTGATGGTGGTACCAAGGCGTGGATGGCGGTTTTGGGTTGTTCCTTGGTCTCATTCACGTCATATGGTACGTCTGTATTGTTGCTTCAAACGCACAGTTACTTCACGACATCCACTTTGTGCAGGTCAATTGAACGCGTTCGGCGTCTTTCAAACGTACTATGCCGAACACCAACTGGCGGACCGTTCTGCCTCAGATATAAGTTGGATAGGAAGTATCCAGCTCAGCGCAATATACTTCTGCGGGCTTCTCTTGGGTCCTGCGATGGACCGCTACGGGGCTACGGTATAACTATTTCTCTTGTGTGTTTATGTGTTTTGCAACATCATATCTGAAGCTTCGGAATAGGTTCTGCTCGTTTCCGGTTGGCTGCTCTCGACGTTCTGTCTGATGATGCTTTCGCTTTCGAAAACATACTATCAGATATTCCTGTCGCACGGTCTTGGGTTTGGTATCGGACTCGCGCTTCAGTAAGTTGTTTCCGATTTTTTCTACTCTTCCATAGCTCAAACCCGACTTTTCAAAGATTCTATCCATTGGTATGCCCATCAGCTATGTAGATCACTCTTTCCCGCTGAATTAAATTATCAGCTTGTCATCCCCGCACAATGGTTCGGAAGGAAACGTGGTCTGGCTATGGGCATCGTCAGTAATTATATTTCCTATTACTATTTCACTGTTGACAGTGGTGTTCATAGGTTGTTGCTGGCGCCAATTTGAGCGGCGTGATATTCCCTATCATGCTGTCTAGACTGTTTCAGTCGATTGGTTTCCCATGGGCCGTCCGAACGCTGGGTTTCATGTGCTTTGCACTTCAAGGAATTTCCATTCCATTCATCCGAACCAGGTTACCACCGCGAGCAAACGCGCCGAGGTTCGACAAGACTATAACGAAAGATCGTGCATTTATTCTGCACGCTTTATCCGGATTCTTCATCTCTTTTGGTAAGAGATATTCATTCGAACATGGTCGATCTATTCGTACTGAGCGACTGTAATCCTAGCACTCTATACGCCGTTCTGGTACATCGAGCTCTTCGCAGTCCAACAGGGCGTCGGGACCACCCTGACATTCTACCTTATCGCCATCATGAATGCCGCAGGGCTAGTCGGTCGTGTGCTCCTAGGACAACTGAGTGACCTTGTGAGTTCTCTGTCCTTTGCACTATGTAGATATCCACAAAATTAATATTCACGCTGTACCTTTCGAACTGCAGATCGGAACGTTCAACATCACGATCTGCACATTGGTCCTTGGCTCTATCGCCACTCTAGCTATCTGGATAACGTCACATAGTTCTGGAGAGCTGGTAGTATTTGCTGTAATGTATGTAGTTTCCTGTTCAGTTTAGTGTTCCTCACTTGACCTTGCCGATGTGCTGACACTTGTTTCGTCTTTAGATATGGTCTTTCCGCTGGTATGGATACCCTGCCTGTTTCGACCGTTTATTCTGGCTGACGCTCAAGCATATACACATAGGGTCATATACATCCCTCGGCGCCGCCTGCACCACGAAGCTCACCAGTGCTCCTGCGCTCATTGGCGTGCGCGTGGGTATCTTTATGTAGGTCTATTTTAGATTTTTGGACTTGCGCTCTATCCACCAACTATGTCATTATGGAATACTCAACCAAATCATTAGGACTGCGATGGCCCCTGGAATCCTGACCGGACCGTCCATCGCTGGAGGTACTGTTGTGTCTTAATTTCCAGTCTCCCTTTATCTCGTGTTCGCGGAGTCATGCTGACTTCAACGCACCTTTTTCTTGTGGATCTACAGCGTTACTTTCGGCCGCGAACGGATCATACATCGGGCTTCAGTGCTTCGTAGGCGTCATGCTTGGCCTTGGGGCAGTCTCGCTTTTGAGTTCTCGGCTTCTAGTGAACCGGTCTGTGACAGCTAGGATTTGAGCCATGCCAAATTTTCCTGATTCAGAACCTCGTATTTTTTTAATATTTCGCCTTCTTTCTTCGTTGCCTCTGTGTTATTCGATGTCAATGATGTGTTACGACCTCGTATCATTTCTGCTAGCTATAGGAATGATCATCCGTGCGTTGTCGTGATCACTCGGCCTGCCTCATATGGAGGCGCGAAACCCATACCGAAGTGCAGCAGCGGTATCGGAGTGCGATGATTGGTTGCCGTTCTGCCGTATCCTTGTCTCTTGGGCAGGTTGATGTTCCAGTCACAATGGCACTCCCGTTCCGGTCAGTCAAGCGCCTCTTGAGGCCGTACGCCGCATAGTCTTATCAGAATACTTATCACGTCCCGAAATAAACATAAGACAGTCCCTGTGTGCAGACTGAGATGGCAACTCGCCAGTGCTCATCAGGCCTCCACGTCTGTGTTCTTGTGTTCTTGTGTAACTGTGTTGCGGTGATACGTTGGTGCCAGTGATACAGTACTGGTAATCGTACATGCGAGTCTCAGGCCTTCGTGCCCGAGATAAGTAGCCTCTTGAGAATCCTCAATGTTTGAGAGAAGACGGTTCTCAATAAGCGGCATTGTGCTGGCCTCGACTGGTTTGGGGACGTGATCACCTTCGTTCATGTATGCCTCAAGATGTACCTCGGCCTGTTTACGAAGTGTATACTGCGTTGCTCGAAGGGGTCTCTTCCGCACCCAGTAGCAGATCGAATGGTCTTGTTCAATTGACTGAGAACTTGCATCAGGTTCTGAGCGAGAAGAGAACACTTCGTCGGCGACCTATGGAACCTTTCAGCACTCAATTTATGCATTCTGGATCATCAACCACGCCGATGCAGAACAGGAAACGTCTTTGACATAGAGGAAATGAATGTACTGTGCGAGGCCATCTGTCAAATGGGCGCCATCTAATGAGACCCACCGACTCTGCCGTCCTTCTACATACCTTGCATCCATCTTCATGAGACAGATTGGAGAGAGCGAATATATGACACTGACAGATTGGGCTGCTCAAAGCGAGAACATCATGATATGTCTTGGGCCAGGATAGAAACCACATGTATCCAGCGGACGAAGGGCAGGAAGCCCTACTACCATACACACTGCCAACTGATGCGGCTGTAAATTTTAATAGTGGTATAATTGATAATGATAAGGAGCGTCCTAGCAGCGGCGTGAATACTTGAACCCTCATCTGTCGCCTCTACTTACACTAACAACTTTCAAACCATGTCTTCCGCATCTGACTTGCGAAGCCTAATCGAGCATACTTTGGGATACCAGCTTATTGGAGCGTTCATCGCTGCCGTGTACGCCATTCATTCATACCCATCCATCCCGTTAACTTGTTCTAAGCACTGACCGATGTTCGTTCTTGAATAGCATGTACGGAGTAACCGTGCTGCAAACATATATCTATTGGATTCGATTTGCAAAGAAAGATTCAAAGAGACTTCGGGCTCTGGTACCTTTATTTCTGAAATTCAATGTGTTACGTCGAATACTTACTTCGTTGGCGCTCATAGGTCATCTTCATCTGGTACCATTTTCATATAGTCTCGTCTGACTAATTTTTCATGCTGTTGTATCATCGTCAAGGGTCATCGACACGATATGCTCGGCGCTCGTATGTGCATCTCTGTACATAAACTTGGTACTGGACTGGGGTATTATTGAATCCTTGGAGAGAGTTCCAGTGTGAGTAAATAGATTTTCTTTTACATCATGTGGGGGCTACTGGTGACTGACTGTCGAGCTTCTAGGACGTTTGCGGTGAGTCTAATTCGTTCACTCAGAAGTCACAAATATGTTAAGTTCTCATTTCACTCTGAACAGCTCGAAAATGGTTTAACAGTGAGACCTACTGGTGGTTTTATCATTGATCGATTACACGGGGATCTGACCATGTTATTTCTAGTGTCTCGTCACCCTCGTGGTGCAATGGTAATGCAAAACATTTAAATTGTACGGGACACGGTCTAACATCGGTACCTACTTGCTAGCTTCTTCGCTCATCGAGTCTGGCTTGGTTTGTGACACCCTGTATTCTTCCGCCCTCATACTCTCATGTATGCGACAGTGAGCAGTAAAGAAACCAAGATAATCCCAGCCATAATAGTACGTAAACGCACACAATCACTCAATATATTTTATTTGACGATTACCGTACTGTAGGCTATATGTTCCCTTGTTGGATTTGGTGAGTGAAGACTTTCTCGAGACCTCTTGCCAGACTCAGGCTCATTGCTACAGTGCAGGTGGTGGATGCGGTACGTAAACACTATATTCGTGAAATCCAGACCATTATATCCTCTTCATCAACAGCTCTAACCGCCCGAATCTTTATCACCAATATGAGTCTACAACTTGTCGAGACTGACAAATTCATCACCGTGAGGGCTCATCTAGCCTCCTGATCCATAATCATGGGCCATCTCTAACATCTACCCCAGAATTCTTGCATTGTCTATCAAACCGCGGCTGCTGCTTGTGATATCCTCATCACGCTCTCGCTGTGGTACTACTTGAGTCTCCAAAGAAGAAAGGACATGATAACTCGTCGGTGGGTTCATGATGGTTTCATTTTTCGTTGTTGACCAACTGATATTCACTTCCTGCATATATAGTGCTGACAGCACGCTGCAGTCCCTGGTGAGATATTTTATCAGCCGCGGAATTTTGACCAGGTATGTTTTTCTTTCTAAGCGGTAGTGTCCACTGATTATGGATGGAATATATGTATAGCGTGATCCAAGTTTTGCTTGTGGCCACCGTACGTATTGTCAGCCCTACATTGGTATCAATCCTTATGTCTCCCTAGTACGCCGGTGTTCGTTCGCAACAGGTCTGGATAATCTGGCAAGTCTGTCTGAGTAAAAGTACCGTTGCATATCACTCTCTTCGGTTCATCTCACATTTTACTGATTTAATCCTGTCATCTTCAGCCTATGTAAACTCCCTCCTTGCTATGTGAGAACTCTCGCTATTCTTGCCATGTATCACATCTGCTGAACCGCTCTTTCACCATATTGTCTCTTTCTTCTAGCCTCAACGCGCGGGAATATCTCGGCAAGGCTCTCAATGGTCCCGACAACATCCGCACCATATCCGGACTTCGTTTCAATATTGGCTCTGCGGCCAATTCTACCGCGCTTACGAGATTTAGTAACGCTGCGGGAGCTAATATCGAGCTTGGAGCTGGAAGTCAAAATGACCAGCGCGGCCAGGAGAGAGAGATCAAGTTCGCCAATTCTGTGCCACTAGAGCGCGAGAGCTCCTTTGGTAGGGTGTGAAGGACGCACAGGTAGAGAGTAGGAGAAATGGTTGCGAAGTTTTGCTGTCAGAACCTGCCAGTATGTTTTGTGGAATATGTCATGTTGTCGAAATCGATATACAAAAGCATGCGGTCCGGTTTACGCGTTATTGATATTCATGAGGATCTAGGCTGCATGTCCATACGATCACCATGGTCATGGACCAAATCATGGAGGCTATGGTTCTGTATCATTTCTGCATGTGTAGATCCTCCTTGATTTGTCGTGACCACACGCCCTGCTTAGCATAGAGATGTGAAAGCCGTTCCCAAGTGTAGCAGTATCAGAGTACGATGATTGGTTGACCTTCTGCCGTCCGCACTCCCATTTTAGTCAATCAAATGGCTCATGCTATGAGATCGTCCACTGCCTAGTGTTATTCAATACTGGCATGTACAGAACCTGTATTTATTCGGAGTTGATAGCTCACTGGCGCTCATCAGGCATCCACGTCCGCACCCCTGTGATGTGGCGAGGTGCTGGTGCCAATGAGAAACTCTACTCGCTCGTACACGTCAGCCTCGATACCCGAGACTGTCCTCTCGAGAAGTGTAAGTATAGATCATCATGTTACCCACAGTTACAGCGGTTCCGGACAATAATGGGAATCAGGCTTTTTTCCACGCGTGACCAGAAAGAAGACTACCAAAATTCCAAACGAGACGCAGCTAGTAGACGGCAACTCATTCTGCGCCGCGGGGACCATGGCTGAGCTGCTTCAAGCTCGGGGCCTAGACAACGATTCCCTTTCCGAGCGGGCCATCATCAAAGTCGTGATGATCGGAATTTTAGGTTCCCTGCCTCAACTAGGTCATTGGCGTGACTCTCGTCGTTGGTGAGCCTGCATATGGAGAGTGTCATCTATTTCCCGCTGATTGCAGATACCTGGCGACAGTCAGGAGGATCACTGGGGCAGACATATGATGATGTCTTGCGCCATGAATAGAAACTGCTCACACGGGAGAGTATCCATCAGACAAGGGAGCGCAAGCTCTGCGGCCATGCACTCTGGAAACTTGCGTTTGATAACACGGCTGTGAATCTTACAAGTGGTATAAACGATACTCTTAAAGCGCATCCTGGAAGAAGTGTGAATATTTGAATCCTCACCTGTCCATACTTTGCTGAGGGCTTTCAAATCATGTCTTCTGCATCTGACTTGCGAAGCGCGATCGAGAATACCTTGGGATACCAGCTCATTGGAGCGTTCATCGCCGCCGCGTAAGCCATTCCTTCATACCAAACCATCCCGTGAACTTGCTCGAGGTGTTGACCGATGCTCGTTACTGCACAGCATGTACGGCGTGACCGTGCTCCAAACGTACATTTATTGGATCAGGTTTGCAAAGAAGGATTCAAGGAAGCTTCGATCTTTGGTATGCTGATATCTAGCTATCAATATGTTCGTTTAACACTGACTCTGCTTCGTGGCTCATAGGTCATCTTCATTTGGTACAATTACACTACAATGTTTTCTAGCTACCTTCTCATGTCTTCATATCACTTTAAAGGGGAATCGACACGGTGTGCTCAGCTCTCGTTTGTGCATCTCTGTACAAGAACCTGGTACAGGACTGGGGTGTGCTCGATTCCCTGGAGAGCGTTCCAGTGTGAGTCCATATAATTCCTTGTGCCTGTCGCGGAGGAGTAACCATCATAACCACCATCTAGGACCTTTGCGGTGAGTCTCCTTTGTTCGCTCAGAAGTCACAGACATGTTTAGTTCTCATTTCGGTCTGAACAGCTCGAGAACGGTTTTACTGTGAGACATATTAGTTCAATAGATGATCGTTGGCCGGTAACTGACCATTCTACTCCTAGTGCTTCGTTACCGTCGTGGTGCAATGGTAACGCAGAATATTTACATTGTACTGGGCATGCTCTAACATCCTTCTCCATTCACTAGCTTCTTCGCTCATCGAGTCTGGCTTGGTCGGTGACACTCTAAATTCTGGCGGTCTCATATTCTCATGCATGTGACAGTGAGCGGTAAACAAAGCAAGATAATACCGGTCGTAATAGTATGTAAACATCTGAAACTAATATTTTTTATTTGACGAACCACATCATGTAGGCGATATTTGCCCTGGTCGGATTTGGTGAGTGATGAGTTTCCAGAGTCTGGTTGTCTCACTCAAGCTCTTGATTACTGTGCAGGTGGCGGATGCGGTACGTGCACAATCCATCAGAGTGATTCATACTTTCTACATCATCTTGGTCAACAGCCTTAACAGCACGGATGTTCATAACCAATCTAAATCTACAAGTGGTAGAGACCGACGTATTCATCAACGTGAGCGTTCAGTGCAGCCTATTAATGCATAATCATGAGCTACCTCTGACATATATTTCAGAATGCTTGCATTGTCGATCAAACTGCAGCTGCTGCCTGTGATATCCTAATCACACTCTCGCTTTATTATTATTTGAATCTGGGTAGAAGGAAGGACTCGCTCACTCGTCGGTATGTCTATGCCGTTTTCATCTCCCTTTGATGATAGACCAATATTCACTCTCTGCATCTACAGGGCTGACAGTGTCCTTCAGTCTCTGGTTATCTATTTCATCAGCCGTGGCATTTTGACGACGTACGTTTGTCGTTTGAAAGCTGTGCTCTCTACTCATTATTGACGGAATGCACAGCGTGTTTCAGATTTTGGCCGTGGCTACGGTACGTATGATTGACTTTGAGTTCGGTTTCATGCTCATGCCTCCGTAGTACGCCGGTCTTCGGTCGCAACAGCTGTGGATAATCTGGCAGGTCTGTCTGAGCAAAGGTACTATTGCACATTTGTCACTTCCATCCACGTTTGTATGACATAACTCATATACCTCTTCTCTTGTTAGCCTACGTTAACTCTCTCCTCGCCATGTGAGCACGTCCACTATCCTCGCAATGCAATTCATACGCTGAACCACTATTTGACTATATCGTTCCTTTCTTTTCAGCCTCAATGCGCGCGAATATCTCAGCAAGACCCTCAACGGTCCCGACAATATGCACACCATATCCGAACTTCGCTTTGATTGCGGACCTGCGACGAATTCTACTGGGATTACCGGATCCAGTCACGCAACGGGAGGGGCAGCTATCGAGCTCGGAACTGGAAGTCAAAATGACCAGGGCGACCAGGAGAAAGAGATCAAATTCTCCAATCCAACGCCACCGAAGAGCCAGAGTTCCTTCAGTAGGGTGTGAAGGAGGTATAGGTACTGGATGGGGAAAGTAGGTATGCAGGCGTCTCCGTGATTACCTACTGGCCTCTGCGAGGATACTTCAGATTGTTAAAGTCGTTTACAATAGTGTGGGATGAGGTTTATGCATTGTTTATATGTATGAGTAATCAGATCACACGTCAATGCGACCAAAAGAAAACTTCTTGAAACCATGGACGTCCCGCATTGGTGATGCGAAATACTAGTAATTATTGTACAGCCCGACGTCAAAATCAGGCATGAGATAAAGTGACATTCTTTTACTGAGAAGAACGAGGAAGGCAATACCTCTATCTCCCTCCAAAAGGGCATATCTCAGGAACCTTACCCTCGAGGTCTCCGAGTAGCCAGTACCTCTTCTAAACAGATAGGGTGTTTCTCTAACCGCCACTACGGGACTGTACACACGCCCAATTCGTAAACGTTCACAGGATTGGTTAGAAGTGGTAATTTGTATCCGCAGAGTCGCCTGCGACGCTATGGTCTATTGAATCTGCCTATCGAGTGTGCGCTTGATGAGGGTACTCTATAATTCATTCAAGTACATGTGGCTAGCATCCACTCTGTATGATCTGCCTCGATACCCGAAACAATATTAGGGCGACGACCAGGAATATCCACTGCTGGTTTGAAGTTCCCGAACTTAAGGTGTTACCCCGCGGAAGAAGATAGATAACCATCACTCACTTCTGTCTTCCATGTCTTCTGTGCTTCTTCCCGTGAGGAATTCGCTGACCTTTTCCCGAGAGGTTGAGGTGACCGTCGGCTGGATTTGATACTCCCCATACTATCGCAGTTCGAGAACTGAACTGTGCAGACCTATCACCTTCGTCTTCAACCAGGGACTGTGGAAGACAAAAGGGGTAAGCGGTAAGGATAAGTTTATGGGGAATCCCTGGGGAAATCCCCTCCTGGTTGTCATCACCGAGTTAGATGGAGCTGTTTCGTTGTCGAGGCCTCGAATTATTTTGGTATCATATTCTTCAGACTGGACTGAGTCTCGCTCTTCGAGATTTCGATTTCCAGAACTTGATGGAGGTGAACCGAGGCGGGGATCTTTGAGAATGACCGGGGACACCATGCGGTCTTCTCTTGGGCAACGATACTTCCCAGCTACATATGCATAGAAGTGCATATTATTCATTCTCCTCGGGTTGGTTCGATTTACGGTCGAAGACGCTGATATAAAGCACCTACCACGAGCAATAATGCACCTGTTAGATGTCTCTCAGAATTGACTTCGATGTCTTTTCCTTTGTCTGTGGCCGTGTCTTCGTGCTATACCTATGTTCTTCGAATGCCCATACGTATCTATATTTCCTGAATTATTGGGTGTGAGTTCGATAACCCAAGTAGAGAGACTTCGAAAGTGATTGACACCGAATGGGCAGCCTGCATCTGTCACTTCCATCTTCAGCAGTAAATTACCTGTTTCAATCGAGATATTTTCATAAAACCTCACCGCGGAGATGAAGACATACAACATCTCCTGAATGGGGAGAATCATCGAAAAGATCAGCAAACTTAGCGCTGAAAATAAACTTAGCACTCGAGAGAACCGTGCTCGGGAGAGCTGACAAGCTCGATTGATCATGAGAGGTTGTGCAGTGAGCGACCGTATCGATCATTGTCCGACCTCTCAGATCTGAGAACCCACTCGACGCATCTGGCAAAAATACCAGTGCTGGTCCATCCGGATACTTTGGGCTTACATAAAACACCACCAGCATGATCATCTTCTGAATCCAGGCTACAACCTTATAATTACGCTGTAGCTCCCGCGATTGGATCTCATCTGGCGGGTTCCCGCAGGCAAGAATGATGGATCGCAAACGGTGGCCTGTATAATTCTATTCCCGTCTACTTATGTTCACATCGGCGGATACTCTGAAAGCCGATGCTTGTGCGATTATGGCAGTACGTGAGCCCTCAATGCATTCCGCGGAAGTCGCACGTGGGCACTCAGTGCGGTCCACTGATTTCAGCAGAAGCTCGTTCGATACCCTTCTCTCGCTCTTCCATGTTCTCTCTCCCACTTTTGTGTCGCTCACTCTCTCGAGTACACTCCAGGCCTTCGAGTATCCTTAATCTGAGAGCGATGTCCTCGGGCACTGCACCTGTCGATACCCACCCTCAGCTTTCTCTTCCCACATTGACTAAACTAAAGTCCACCGTACACGCCGACGTATCTCCGGTACTTGTAGCCTCCGAGTGGCTCCAGTCATTCACTTCTGCAATCGGTTCCAACGATATCAAAAAGCTCGGAGGGCTGTTCTTACAAGATGCGTTCTGGAAGGATATTCTTGCGCTCAGCTGGGACTACAGATCTATCCAAGGCGTCTCCCGTATCCTCCCATTCGTGGAGACATGTGCTCCGAAGAATCGTCTCACAATATCCTCGATGGCTGAGGACCCATATCGCTCTCCTAAGCTTATCAAACTCTTCCCCGACCTGAGTTGGATACAATTCGGCTTTGCTTTAGAAACCAGCATCGGGAAGGGGAATGGTTTTGCTCGCCTCGTTCCCACCTCCAGCGGTAAATGGAAGGCATACACGGTCTTCACCTCTCTCGAGACTCTTGCTGGCGAAAAGGTGTGCTGTTCCTTTCTCTGTCGTCTTCACTCTGGGAGCTTAAGTCTACATCATCCAGAGTGTTCCGAGTCGTCTTCCATATCAAGAAAAGCACTGGGCCGAGCGCCGTCAGCGTGAAATAGAACTTGTAGATGGCGACCCTTCCGTGTTGATCATAGGCGGAGGCCATAGTGGCCTTGAACTCGCGGCACGGCTCGGGAGGTTTGGTGTCTCTAACTTAGTAGTGGAAAAGAACCCCCGCGTAGGCGATAACGTATGTTGAATTCCATCGTTGCTGTATAACGTTCTTTCAACGCGTTCCTTTCTTCCGTAGTGGCGGACCCGCTACAAATCTCTATGTCTGCACGATCCCGTCTGTGAGTCTTTCTATTCGGCGTGATACATTTAATATTCCTCAAGATGTACACTTTAGTTTACGACCAGCTGCCATATTTACCGTAAGAATTATTAGCGCCTTGCTATTTCTGCTCTCCTGCTGCATGAACTGATATATTGTTATAGCTACCCGTCGACATGGCCAATATACACTCCAAGAGCGAAGGTGAATGAAATGATTCCCATCGTCACTTTGCGGCGACTGTAACAGAGTCTTCTAGCTTGCCGACTGGATAGAAAACTACGCACAATCTCTAGAGATCAATGTCTGGACCTCGTCTCACGTCTCTAGCGCCCTCTGGCTACCCGATGAGCAACTGTGGATGGTCTCCGTCATTCGTGAGGGAGAAGAACGAGCTATGAAGGTTAAGCACCTTATTTTTGCTACTGGTATGGGAGGAGGAGTCCCCGTTATTCCTAGGATTCCAGCAGAGGTGTGTTACTGGCTGTGTTGCATATCGTACCGCACACCGAATACAATACTGCTACGGATATAGAAATCGTTCAATGGGCAGATCCTTCATTCCGCTTCTTTTACCTCCGCCAAGGACTACATAGGCAAAAAGGTCCTCGTCGTTGGTTCCGGTAACTCCGGTACGTGTTTCTAGGTGCTCAACGCGAGTCCAATTCCTGACGGCGGGAATTTTCAGGCCATGATATTGCTCAGGATTTAGCAGAGATGGGCGTCGAAGTGACTATGTGAGTACTTCTATGTCAGGAGTCATCACTTGCCTATCGTCTCTATCAGGCTGCAAAGATCCTCGACCTACGTTATATCGGCCGAAGGAGTTGCCAAACTTCTCAGCGGTAAGTCGCCCAATATTTGTATTTTTTTTTTTCAATCCTCGAAGCGTCTAAGTTTGCTCGCCACTTCAGGTGTTTTTTCGGAAACGGGGCCTCCTACTGAAATCGCCGACCGCTTGAACGCATCGTTCCCCACCGAAATGGTCAAGCTTCTTTCGCAACGGAGTGCGCCAGGAATCGCGGCGACGCTGGACAAGTATGCTACTTCTATAGCTTGATATTATGTTGATAACTATGACCCAATTTATTCGATCATAAACAGGGAAATCCACGACAAACTTAAGGCAGTGGGGTTCAAACTGAACCTTGGCCCTGACAATGGAGGACTTCTTCAATTGTTCCTGCGGCGTGGTGGTGGTTATTATGTCGGTACGTAGTGCGTATCACTCTCTATGATCGCACCATGTCCGACTCTCGCCCTCCTACCTTACCTTAATTCCAACAGACGTGGGCGCGAGTACCATGATTGCAGAGCGCAAGATCGGCCTTAAATCGGGCGCGTCGATCCAGGAGTATACTCAGCATGGTGTTAAATTCTCTGATGGCTCTGAGCTCTCGGTTGACGTCGTCGTCTATGCTACCGGGTGCGTTCGAGACCTACATGCTCTAACATGAATTTTATACTTACTAGAGCAACATTCTCCTCCTCTTAGTTTCGGAGATCCCCGGCTACTCGTCAAGGACATATGCGGCTCTGATGTCGCGGATCTGCTTCATCCGGTTTGGGGATTGAATGAGGAGAGCGAGTTGCAGAGCGTCTGGCGCGATTCGGGGCATCCTCGACTTCACTTCGCTATTGGTAAACCGACTCCGTCTTACGCTTGATTTGGAGATCACTGACGTTTTGGGTGGTGCTAATGCACCGACTCTGCAGGTAACTTCGCTGTCTCGCGTCTGTATTCGCACTACCTCGCACTCCGTGAGTGTGAGTCACAATCCCTGATTTCGTGTACTAATGTACCTGCACGCGTTCTCCCTCTGCTCTGCGATTGGTTTCGATGCAGAACTCAAGGCCGAAGATGACGGTATTGCACCTGAGCGTTATGATCAATAGATTGGGGTAGATCCACCCGTGTTTGTGTATCAGTGCGCTCCCGCCACTGTGTGCTTCGACTCTCTTTATATATCTCTGAATATTAGTAGAACAAATACATTGTTCGTCTGCTTGATGAATATTCACACCGGGTTGGAAGGCGGAGCCTAGAGGCTCTAAACATACACAGAAATGACCCCCTGTTCCTATTGTGGCGTCTTCGGATTCTCAAGCTCCGATATTGCAGACGCGGTCGTCATTGTTGAGTGCTAAATTGCGAAAGATCAAAGATAGTTCCTTACGGAGCTACTCAATTGTTGAGACGATACAAGTCTATCTTCTATAGTATAAGATGATTCCTCGTGTAAGATACTTGGCAAGATATGCCCCGTTATAGCGTCAAATACTAACCTCGACAGGGATACTACACACTCCTACGAGATCGTCGTGCCCCGGTACTGTCGTTGGTTCTGACGAATGTGCTGGACCGAGGAACTCACTAAATGTACCGAAGTACGTTGCGTGACACCATACCCTTCCTTGACATATTTTGTGCATAATAATATTTAAATATCTGGAAGATAATTCGTATACCGGCATATGGGAAGAATAGTACGTGCACACAGACAAGGTGGAACGACAGACAAGAAAAGGTCCACCCCGGCCGCTATCGATACTCTGACGAGCCACGGTAGTCAAGACGATCTGCCTACGATATCACCCCTGCTTTATGTTCGTAAAACCTGGATGATCAAGAGGTTGTATCGTAGGAATTGTTTTATTTTCCTTTCTCTGGATCCACGCCCCCTTTTCCTACTGGATGTTCCGTCATCGAAGAGTCGTCGTCGCCATTCTCTGGCATTGATGGGCCCGTGCTTTCGTTTGCGCTTGAAATATCCATGGTGGAGTTGGGGTACTTGAACTTCATAGCGAGGTTTGAATTTGTTTCCTTGAAATGGTCTTGAGCATCTTTAGCAGGTAAGCCGTAAGATGGCACTACAATCCGCTCCTTCACCAGTGATTATTTCTCAGTAAGTGCATAGCTTTGAAGCGAAGGGAAATTAGGTCAACGAGGCGGAGGCGGTCTTACCTGCTTAGTTCGTATCTCGAGTGATATCGCATCCGTACTCTTGGCGTGGTATTTTCCCGGACCAAAGGGTCCGCGAGCGTTTAATCTACAAATGGTTTTGTAAGTCGAAACAACAGCAGAAGGAAGGGAAGAGGGACTAACGAGGCCATAAGGGCATTGGACAACACTGGATACGGACCGTTTCAATAGAAAGACATAGTACATACGGGAAAGACTACTCACATTTGGCATAGAACGCTGAGAGAGAACCGAAGAGATCTGAACAGGGTTTGAACGTGACAATAAGCAATCCGTTATGATAGCGTTTGGTGAATACTCACTGGTTTCGGGGTCTACGAGGGTCTGTACCAAGTAGGATCAAGATGAATATCTTCATTTTGAAACCTGAAAAGATGTTCTTGCTCACCATGATGAATATGGCGGCGGCAACCAAGCTAAGGGGTGAGGGGGTGAGGAAAAAATTTACACATGATTTGAAGTTCTTGACTAACGCAGCAACAATTCCAGTTTCTATTCAAGAATTATTATGAGAACGGGTCAATCAATGTTACTGAACACGAGCTGAGTATTTGGGGACTAAGTTACCTAGTGACCACAGAGTGATAGACGTAATAATATCGTCCGTCCTATGACAAGGCCGCAGAGTTAGGAGAGATCCTTAAAAAACGTCGAGAAACAGTGATATTCACCTCTTGATTCCACTTCGCTTTCTGTGTAGATAGTAGCAGAGAGCAGAAGTATTGAGAACATTTATAGTGACATCCAACGACATGATAGCGGTTGTTGTCTTGAACATGGCTGGAGGATACGCGACCGGGCCAACCCTGAGAAGGACAGTGATAGCGATACCACCAAGTACCTCCAGTACTGCGATACTCCACGATATAATACTTATGGTTCGTCTTCCCGATAGCACATAAATTCGGTAGGCATAATAGGACTGTTTCATCGCTGAAGTCAGCAAAAGATGCGAAGTAGCCCGAAATAGAATAGTACGCACTTGAACAGTCGCACTAATTATACTGTGCAAGAGCACAGATGCATCGACGGACCAGTGCCTTGAACCGATTTCCTCCAAGTTGCCGAAGTATGTCACTGTCAGCCTGTAAAGATACATACAGAACGCGGCAGTGTGTGATGTTTCTATAATCCTAAAATATAAGTTAGCCCACGTCAGTGGGCATATCCACCGTCACGCTCACCATATCCAGACTACCTGTGTTTCGGTTTCAGCGTAAATTAATTGCACCAATTATGGTGGATTAACGCACAAGATAACGAATGAAGGGCCGGTCGTGGAACTTGCTGCGCCAATACACAAATACCTGGCAGGAAGTGATGGCGTAGAGGAATGTAGACAGGAGTACCGAGAGCTCTAGCCCTGCAAGGGTCACAGTAACAACTGAAGGGAGAGCGGCGGGCGAATCCATGACAGGATATGAGTGTGTCTTCAGAGACGGCTACACAACACCCTCTTTATGAAGCGCTGATCCTGAGACCTATGTTCTCAGCGTCAGGGAAGAATCATTACTATCCATCAATGCGGGCTGCGCTCTCTTTAAATATAGATATTGTGTTTCTCCGAGGGGGAATTGCCAACAAACAATATGGGTGGACTAATGTAACGTGAAAACTCAGTCGACGGATGATCTGATGGTGTGAACCCTTACCTTTGGCATCTACACTTTCCCTGTGCTCAGCAGGAAATGCTTTGTTATCGCCTGGGTTTGAAGTGCCCACTGATCATCATATCACTGATTGAGACCCTAACATTAGGGTTTTTCCCGTCTAATTTGAACGGTGGACTACGACAATGCACATGGTACGCCAGGGTGAGGTTCGATTCGAGAGAGATGCCTCACAACGTAGTCATGATGTACAACCCGCTGACCAAGTTCGATCTTCCTGCGAATTAGAAGACAGAAATGTTAGATCATTAGTTTTTCTTGGACTGAAACCAACAATCTTCGCATCAGTACGCCGCCTATCCGATCGAAATGTGTTTCGTTTCAGGATGTATTTGCGGACATGTCGGAGGGCGATACTTGTCCCGGTAGGGGTTCACAGAATACAAAGAAGATATCAAGGTTACACATCTACTTGGACGCAACGAGGTTATACAAGTACACGACTACATACCCTTTTTGTCACACGATTCGATGACGGGGAAGCGCCCGGCAGAAGAACAGTGTCGCAGCCATATGACTTTGTATCACCCATAAAGTACGAATTCTCCGGGGGCCCGTTTATGAAGTAAATGGTGGTCCTGTATCCGAGCGCGGTAGACCGAGGGAGAGGAGAAATCCAGGGAGGGAGCTACTTATATATACGAAGCGCAAACTTCGCCGACGATGAGCAGCAAGCAATTTTGACGGTGCGACGTTGCCAAGAATTCCAGCCCAATACTAATTGTGAGAAAGGGTCCTGCTCGGTCTAACGATGCTCCTGTTAGAGCTACTTCAACCTTCGATTCCCGACCAGTCAAATACGACACATGATGCCTATCAACTCAAGAGGTGGTTATCAGAAGAACGAGTTGACCTCAGAGCGTCAGGCAAAGAAGGATCGAGAAAATTCGTTGTGATTCCGCATCATCATCATGGACGGACCAACGAGAACCAACCTCATCCAGCATCGTTGACATTCTTAAGAAGCAGTCGTTCCGGCTTCGCCGCCCAACCCACACTCTGTGCACTCGGTAAGACGGGCGTCATCGCTGCCGGCCTACCCTGCGGACTTGTGTACCTCCCAGAAGAGCCTTACTCGTCGTACCCTTCGGGTCGTGACACGGCAACGTTGCTCTTGAGAAAGATACGCTATGATGAGCGCTTTCTGTACGACTCGAACGGGAGCGCACCGTCTGCTCATGTGCGACCTAACTTATAAGATACAGTATCATTGCCGCTGACCTACTGCACGATCGTGTATTTTCGGTGAGGCCAACTTGCCATGCGACTTCGTGTCCATGTCAGCGTCGTCCTTGAGAAACGCGTTACGACGAGCGCTTTCCGTACGGCTCGAACGGAAACGCAAGTGCCACAGCGGCCATGACTAAACAAAATACCACACAGATAGAAACGATCAACTTTCATCCAACCCTCTACAAAAAAGAACCAGAGTGAAAACAAAGAGAACTAATCAACTCACCAACATACAGCGCCGCACAGATCCAAATCGGCACCACCGTCTCCGTATTCGCCACCGTCGCCACCACCGCGCTCAATATGCCCATCACCCGATTACACCCCACAGCTATCCCGTTCCCCGTCGCCCGATGTGCGGAAGGTAGGACTTCGGGCGTGTAGGCGTAGAGGCAGCCGTAGTAGATATTGAGGCAGAAGGAGATGGCGCAGTTGAAGCCGAGGTTTTGGGCGGAGGTGCGGACTTGGGTATACGCGAAGAAAAAGGTCACTGGGTGATGTGGGTTTAGATTTAGCATTTCTTGTGAGTACGATAGGATATGTGGAATAAGGCAACGATGACGTACTGGTGACAAGGGCGCCGATGACCATTGTTCCACGACGGCCGAGGACGCGCCAGTTGCAGAGGAAGCCTGCCAGCACGGGTCCAAAGATACCGCATGCGTTGACGATGGCGTAGTTCCTCCATGTCGTATAGTTACTTCCATCTCCGGTCTCTGCACCGCGAGATTTGAGGTACTCGGGAAGGAAAACGTTGTAGAGCGGATAGGCGAGACCTATGAGCGTCCAAGAAAACCTGGATACAGATTCATGAGTGAGATCTCTGGAAATACGGACGGGAACAGAGCCATGAAGACTTACCAAACCAAGGACGTTGACAGGCCCATCTTCCTCGTCGCGAACAAACCACCCAAATGTGCCCCTAGCTCCTTGATCGATGCCCGCATTCCCTTCTTCCCCGCATTTGCTCCCTTCTCCGAATTAACCACCCCACAAGCCTGCAACTGCTCCACAGTCAAACTACACGGCCTCCCATATTTATCGGCCAGCGATCTGAACCCCTGCACAACCTCTTCATCCCGACCCTTCCCGAGTAAGTACTTGGGCGTTTCGTGAAGACGGATGACGGTGACGCGCAGTATGGACATGACGAATACGAGGGCGCCACAAGTATACCATTCGTAACGCCAGCCCATATTATTAGCTTTTGTACATGTAGGGGCGGACTCGCATGCGAAGTCGGCTAGATGTGGAACAGAGTAAGAAAAAGTTGGCGCAACAGAAGAGGAGACCCACAGAGGAACGGCCATGCGACGAGGCCGGCGAGGAGTTGGCCGACTCCCCACCAGCAAGCAAGGAGTGTCAGAAGCCATTGCTGTTTACTGGGAAGGAACTGTGACGAAAGTCAGCACTGATGCTAGATTCCGAGGGCGCGCCGAAATTGACTCAATTATCCAGAGGGAGGCACTGGGTACTCATTCGGAATACAGTATGAGCCCGCGCTCGGCCTCATTCCCGCAATATCCCCGCTCAAATGCTACCATGGAAAGAAACGGGTCGCACCTCCAAAAACACAGTTGTATCCATGACCAAATTTCCTCCTCCTCCGAACGCACTCAACGCCACAAACAACCCAAGAACCTCCCAATTCGGCGAAGCACCGGCCGCAATCGCGAATATGCTACATATGAGCAACGATGTGTTGAATGCGAAGCGCCTGCCGATGATGTCGGATGTCATGCCCCAGAAGAGGGCACCTACGAGAAGGCCGACGTAAGAGGCGATGGTGAGTCCTTTACTGAAGGAGGGTTGGAACTCGAGGACGGCTTGGGTTGACGTTATGGACTGAAGGAGGAGGAGGAGTGAGTCGACGGCATAGCCGAAGCCCGTAAGGACGAAGAGTTTGACGTGGTAAGGCTATGTTCTACTTAGTCAGAAGAAATACATCATGTCTTATGAGCTGAACTTACAGTCCACCCTATCTCGTCAATTACCTTCGAAAGTAAAGTGAGGGTGATCCATGAACACATGAAGGAAAACACGTACATTATTCACGAGATGCATCTTCGCGTCGAGCGCCGGATCCACATCTTCTAAAGATAAAACTTCACCTCTTCCTGCTGTCGTGCTTGACGTATCATCGCTCACGTCGACCTTGGTTCCCACCTCGACACCGTCCTGTTTCTCAACGTCGCTCATGATGTCAGTATCGATGAAAGTAGTTTGTGGATAGAGAAACGGATGACAGACCAGTTATCTCGTTCAGAGCTGCCTTTATGTAGTTAAACCGATATAGGCCATCCACGCGACCATTTTTATGAATGATAGTCGCACGTTCGCTCGCGACGGACAGAAAGGATGTTGACTTTTGTGGAGAAAGCCATAAGCGATACCGAGTTGGGCGCTTGCCATATTCATCCGGGGACAAGAGCCAGTTGCTCGGGTCTTCACTCCCCAAGGGCCATCGTCGTGCGCCATGGCAGCTCGACTTCACCACCCTCCACCTCGTTCCGTCGTAAACTTTCAGATATGGTCCAATGAGAACTCATTTACTTATTCGCGGTAATTACTGTAGTATCTTGCCTCTTATCTCTAGGCTCCTGCCTGTCATTATCTTCTCCTAGCGTGGCTTACACTGGCAGCCACTGACTAGCAGAGGCACTCCCGCCACCTTCATGATGCATCTATGATGCATCGATATGTTGCTAGGTATCGGGATAATCCACCGCACTAGGGTCTGGTCTGCCGTCCCAGCTCCTTGTTCCAAGGTTCCACCTACAACCTTAACCTGCTCTTCTGTGCTTGCTAGCGTCGTCTTTGTTTTGCCCTGCTATGGGCAATTTAAGCTCTTTGCTCGTGATCAATCGGACTCAACTTGAAGTTCAGTAGCCTATCGTTATCTTCCCGACTTATCGCCTGTACCTTGCCCGAACCTTTGTGACACTCTCTCATTGAAATCTCATTTTTCGCCAGCTCATATCCGGCTTTATATTCTGACGGTTCTGAATACGCCCACGGCGCTCTGGAGCGCCTGCAGTCTATTTCCGAGGACAAGCATTCAGGGTGGTAAACCCTTCTGTAGAGAGGTTTGCCCCCCCGGATTATTCGTGGGTATGAGCGCTACGTAGAGCAGGGCTCAGGAATGGTCGCGAGATCTTCAGTATCGAAGATAATGAGCAGCACAGTTAGCGCTCTTTTCTTAATCACCAAACTTCTGTCTCTTCCTTTCTTGTTCGAACTCATGAAATACATAGAGAGAGGGTAACAAAATGCCGTGTCGCTACTCAGACAGGTATTGAGAATGTGGTTTCGAGACCTCTCTTGGAGGATGTCGACCCGGATTTAAACGCAAGTACTTATGTATCTAATGAATGATGTGCCACCATCTGTACACACTCAGGCCATCCTATACAAAATCCCCGCTCACTTCACTTCGTGGTTACTGAGGAGGTTGGCCGGCATGTAAACTTTAGTGCCCGAGCTTGATGACCGTCGTTCAACCCAGATCGTTGAGTTATAATGTACTCCGAGACCCACTAGCCTTCCATTTCTACTAAGTACCTATCCATCCAGTTATCATTAACGCCTCAAACCCTTCACTCTCATCGACTTCAGCGATGCCTCCTTCAACTGATAGCTACAGAGCAACGTACGTCGTATTTACCCTCGGTTCGAAACTGGCTGCGTACTTTGGCTGATCATATACCGAACAGTATTTGCTCGACATGTCCGCGCCACACTCGCGCCACACTCGCTGTGGCGTATGTGGCTGAGTGTTGAAACTCCGACTAAATGTTCCTGTGTTCAGGTCTGTTCTTCGTGTCGCTCTTCCTCATCAACCACCACCATCCCTGCGTCGTCAACGGATTTGACATCCGAACTAATCAACTTCGATACATTCTCATTCTTTGGAAATGTCCCATCCCGAGGGCGACGATGCTCAGCACCAGTCGCTACGACGCCAACGATCCCCCGAATGTGACACCAGCGACATCGCGGACTTGGGTCCTCCTACAAAACGTTCCAAGACCGATATGGAGAAGCCTGTCTCACTCTATCCGAAGTGGTCAAGCTCTGGTTCTTTCTGGAAGAATGCGAAGGTATGGTACTCCGAGGGCGACACTGTCATTATCTGCGAAGGCATGGGGTTTCGAGTTCAGAGACAGACCATTGTCGATCGCTCCGAGGTCTTGCGTAAGATGTTCGACGACTCGACTTTGACTTCCGAAGAGATCTACGAAGGTTGCAATGTGATTCGCGTCGAAGGTAGCTCCGTAGATTTCTATTACTTGTTTCAAGCTCTACGAGGCGAAAGGTAAGTCTTTCCTCTGTCTCATACGGTTTAGTACTTGGTTTCACCTCATGAACGTTGTACGGTAGCTATCTACGAGAACTATGTGATACAGAGGCCGAGGCGGTACACCAAGTACGTCATCAACTTTCTGTTTCGCCGTATATGCTCTGACGAGTGAGTCTGTGCGTCGCGCAGTTGCTCCGCTCATCAACTAAATACACCGTCAAAGGCATTCGCGACTATGCCATCGCCTGGATCACTTCTCATTTTCCTGACACGTTCGAAAAGTATAAATCCGTCGAACGACCGTCGGAGTTCTCCTCAGTGTACGCGTCTCAGTGCTGGCACGCCTTAGAAATTGCCAAAGAGTTCTCGATCCCGATCATTATTCCCGCCGCGCTTTATGCGTGCTCTCTCATGAGTGGCGACGACATACGACAGTTCAGAAACGGCTATTTAATGGACCTCTATCCCCGTGTCCAAGCGACGTTGGATGATTTCCGAGACCAGTTCAGGGCCGACAAACGTGAGCGCTTACGCAAGTTCCGTAAATGCTAGAACACGGATAAAAAAATACATCTGGCAGCGGACCGATGGACGTTGTTCTTTTTCGGATGAAGGTTCTGTGTTATCAGAGTCTGCTGGTTATGATGTATTCCATGGCACGGTCACTCGTTTGGATCCTTGCGAGAAGTGTCTGCCCGGGATCGAAAAGGAGGAGCAGGATATGAAGAATATTTTGTGGGACAGTCTTCCGCTTCATTGTGGTTTCAGTGACTGGGAGAGGGTACGGCTGTTGCAGGCGGCAGCTGATAAAAGGAGGAAATAGTCATTTGAAGGTGAATCCTCTCTCTAATTTGATATTCTGCTACGAGTTTCTCGCTGACACGATCTCTTGTGCGACAAAGCGCACTCGTTTGGACAAACCCCACTAATCTCTCTCGGAGCCTCCCTACAAATGTTTATTTTATCCTTGTTCAGATGAAATACATGTTGTGTTTCTTGGGGCATATATATAATGCACCAATGCCAACGTACTTATCGCATCTTCTCAGCTCGTTGTACCGAAGTTTGCAAGATTTTGCCTTGAACGTGCTCTGTGTGGCGCAAACGTGTGTCCCTCGCCACACTCGATCGTCGGCGGAGACCCGTTTCGTCGCATTTGCGTTCCGGTTCAACCCGAGTCTTGCAGTCTTCTCCTCTTCGTGACCCTCAACCAAAGCCTCAGCACCATCTCTGGCTCGAGTTCCACAAAGAGGTCCCATACCTATTGCCTCTCTTAGTCATCTTTCGTGATACCCTCCCACCTTTGAGGGTATCTTGTTCGAGAGCGAAAATTTTTGTCGTGTTCTATACCTATCGGTTTCTCTTCGAGTCCATCAGTTACCTGGACCAGAGGAGTCTTCCTGGTTGAGACCACTCACCCTATGAAGGAATTCAGCCTTTATCCCTTTGCAGCGTTGGTGTATCTCCCAACCAATAGGCAGTTGAACCAAGGCCCTGAAACCCGAAGTGAACATCCTCAGCGCTTAATGGCACGAGGTTGTTATAGCTGTAGTGGCGAAGTTTCCCTGTCTGCGATCTGAACTCGAAGGCCATCTCCTGTTCATCTTCCAAAGATCATCTAGCATCGTCTTCCACGTATCAGTCCCCATCTACCACTAATTCTTACCTTGACTCACACGCAAAAGACTGTCCAGATGGCAAGCAGTCAGAATGACGGCGTACTCGTGGTAAGCTATAGATCTATCGATGTTCTTTTGTCTTCATTGACATGATATCAGGTCGGCGCTGGCCCAACTGGCCTGACTATGGCCATTGTGCTCATGATGCAAGGCGTTCCGACGAGAATCATCGATGAGAAGGCCCAGTACTCGACAAGCAGTCGCGGTACCGGCGTCCAGGTAAGCACCATTCTCCTGCACATTTTCGATCACGAGACACTGAGCTCTTGTTTGGGGATAACAGGCTCGCCAGCTGGAACTCCTTTCCTTTATATGGTGCGAAGCACTTACTCACCGCATAAGTCGAACACCGGGAAGACCCGGTCACAGGAGGGTCAAATTCGCCTCTAAGAGTTATCTGTCTTGTCAAAATGCTCCTTTTGATGAAAGGAAGAGATCCCCAAGACAGATTTCCAAAATAATTAAAACTGAGGGACTTTCAAAGTTCCCACCCACCAGATTTGGCGGGTTTCGATTTCTCCCGCCAGACAATTAATATTTAATAGAATTGTTTATTATTTATGAGAGTCCCGGGTTTTTTTAATATGCTCCAGGAATTTTCTTTCAATAAACTGGAATTTCGACCTCCCGGGCACAAATTTGGCGGTTGAATATTATATGCGGTGACTAAGTGCTTCGCACCATAGGTTGTGTCGACGAAGTCCTCGAGAATGCCACTCCTCCGTTTGTAATTCGTATATATGCCTCACCCGATGGAGTCAATACCGTCAAAGATTTCGAGTGGAGTCCACCCTTGAAGGAGAGCCCATCGATTCTATTCGTAAGTTGTCCATGATCGTTTTATTGTTCTAGTAGATAACCCTCTTTCTCTCCCAATCAGCGCAGTATAGCCAGTACGAGCCAGGCATCACTCGAAGCTGCTCTTCGTAAGCGCCTTGAGGCGCTCGGAGGTTGCGTTGAACTGTCCACTTCCTTAGTGGGACTTCGTGAGGGTGAAAATTACGCTGCTGCAGAGACCATCCACAGGTCTCCGACTGGTGAACCTGCAGCCACAGTAACTAGAAAGTATGCATCTGTGGTCGCGGCAGACGGTGCCAAAGGTATCTCCTGCGATTTACATCTACTTTGTGACGTTCATCCTTTTTACTAGGCCGTATCCGGTCCATGGTCGGTGTCAACTTCCTCGGTGAGATGCGTAAAGCAGAACGCATGTTCATAGCAGACGTTACTGCCGATGGCTTGGATGGAGAGGTAAATACTTCCTCGTCTTCTCACTTCCTCAAATGCACTGAATACGTATATCATGAAGCATTGGCATCGATGGGGAGACATGTCGAACCTGAGGTAATTTTGGTCTACCATCACAGGAGCTCATCGAGGACTAATCAGTTTGACCTTCCAGCTGTTTCTTGAAACCCATGGTCCCATTCCCACGATTCCAGCTTCAATCCATAGGACCCCAGCTCCCTGAGAGACTGCCAACTAATGTAGACAAGCTCCAGAATTTTTTCTCTGGAATATCGGGTCGTCACGACATCATTCTCTCCGACATGACCTGGAGCACTGAATGGCGGTCAGTTTTATTCTCTTTACCTGCAGCCCCTTTCCTCAGCGCTATGTATATACCACAGGGCAAATATACGAATGGTGGACATGTTCTCCACAGGACATGTTCATTTCATCGGAGGTAAGCTCGGAGCGGACCGTACTTTTTGAGCGTGAACGCTGCCTAATCCATGTGTGAATGCTATAGATGCAGCTCATTGCCACTCACCTGCTGGCGGTCAGGGAGTCGTGACCGGGATGACAGACGCAGTGAGTATAAACATTCTCGACGGCAATGAAAATACGTCTGACGAGCCCTTTCGCCCAGTTTAACCTTGCGTGGAAACTCGCCCTCGCCTACCGTGGTCTCGCCTCTGAGGCTCTTCTTCCATCGTACCAGACCGAGCGCATGCCCGTCGTCGCCAATATGCTCAGTCTCACGAACGCCCTCCACGCACGCACCATCGGTGCTCAACCCCAAATGGCCGACAACGCCTCGGAGAGTGCTGCTCGGGATCCCATGTATCGAGACAACGCTCTGTCACAGCTTTGGGTGAATTATCGCTGGAGTTCTATTGTGGTGGACGAGCGATTCCCTAGGAGGACATCGGAGGATCCCCATATGAATCCATTTGGAGTCGAAGGAGACACTCTCCAGGCGGGGGACCGTGCACCGGATGCTACCTCGCTTCGCGAGGTCGACGCTACTACGGAAATCATTTCTTCCTCCGAAACGACGCTGTTCAAGGTATACTCGCCTACCGTCCATACCCTGATCGTTTTCCCGGGTAACAAATTCTTACCCTTCGACCTCGAGTTTGCGTCGAGATATCGCACTATGGCCATCTTGACCCTCTGGATTATAATACCTTCTGGACAGCCGGCTGGAGACGTGGCAGCGGATAAGATATTCATCGATGCAGCTGGGCATGCACGATCTGGATATGGACTATCGTCAGCGCCTGCCGACTCTGAAACTCACTATTTCTTGGTTAGGCCGGATGGGATGATTGGAGCGTACGGTACTGGCCCTGGTATAGTTCAAGAATACTTTCGCAATATCCTGCGTTCAGATGATTGAGTTGGCCATTTTTTGCCCCTGTAACCCCACGCATGTTTAATCGAGATAAATACTGTGTTCCGGAGAAACTCTGCATTATGTGTATAGAGGATGGATGACAGTAGTACGCATGTATTATTTTCGAAGTCGAAGACGGTCATACCGTCCGTTCATCTCCATGATAGACCTCCGGAGCCTAAGTCATACAAGTATAGCGTGAGCACAACGTCCGACCAAGAGAATGTTAACTGACGGAAGTGGGTGGGATGAAGGAGAACGTACGTGATCTGTTCGTAACAATAATCCCTCGTCTCCTGGAAGTTCTTCAGTCTGTGCCGTTTGTGCATGAGGGTGAGCATCACGCAGATGGTTGCCATCGCTATTCCGAAAGTGTTAACATCGATTGGTTGCCAAAGAGCGTGAAATGCTGTTTACCTGCGATGATAGAAATGGCTGTGACAGCATACTGCCACCCTGCCATGGTATACGGCGCATTCGGCGGGCTCTGGCAGGATCCCTGCAAGCACAAATACTATAAACCATCATTCCAGCATCAGTCACACTTTTCGACAGCAGCCTACACGACTGACGTTGGAGAAAGGGGAGGGACTCACGCTCTGGCAATCCCTATGAAACCTGCACGTCTCACCCACCATCCTAACCGGTTGACACGTCGCCGTATCATTACTACAGAACAAACTCGCAGTGAGACAATTATCCCGCGCGATTACGTTGACGTAGTGTTCTCCGTCGTGTGTTTTATATTCGTGCGAAATGACTTCGGAGGTGCAGGGCTGGTTGATGCCTACGTTCGCGTATCTGTATCACGATCAGACAAAAATCAACAAAGAAGTCTTAAGGCAGGATGAACAGGCGAAACATACGCGCAAACACCCTTCAAACAAACACTCCCATTCACATTCATCCTATCGCCAAGCCCTGCACCCTCGCTATCCCACCCTTCCATCGCAACACACTGCTCATCCCTCCCCATCTCACACTCCCCTCCCACCTCTCTCTGCCCCACGCATCCACTCCCATCATCCGGACAGAACGCACCCTCAGGACACAGGCTCGGAACGACTTCATCAGGGAGATATCCGTATGCGAATTCGTCGCGGCGGCAGACTCGTGGCTGACAGGTCCCGTTCGTGGCGGAGGAGCAGAACGATTTAGGATCGCAGTCGGATATGAATTTGTGGGAGAGGGTGTCGAGGTGGTTATTTGGGGCTGAGCAGGAGCGTCCGACGGTGGATGGGAGGTCTGAGTCTGAGGGTGCGAAGGAGGTGGATTGGGCGTTTGAGATGTCGAGTGCGAGAGCCATGACGAGGACCACTGGTAGCGGGTAGACGAGGAGCATTTTCTCGGAGGTGGTGGTATCTGTAGCTGGTGGCAAAGCTAGAAACATCCAGACGTCTCGATATTGTTGAACGAATCCATATAGTCAGCTTAGTCCGTCAGGCCAGGTGTGATCCAGATCATCGAAGTTCAGGCAGAGCCTGAGTGAGACATATCCATTATCATGTTCGAAGACGTGATGACATCCATAAAAGTAGAAGAAGCTGTACGGCCTGCACCAGAGGGCCTTGAAATGGGAGTAAAAGATGGCATATGCTGTCACTCGATAGGACCTGATAGGACGAGTCAAGCTTCAAGAAGTTCTACATCAAGGTCGTCCGAAATTCAAAGAACGACAAGTGAACCGGCGCCGCCCGGAACTACGTTCCCACGCCTCAAGCTTGTTTCCAGGTCGTGCCACAGCGACGCCACACGTCCAACAATGCGTTCTCGATGTTCATGAGTTAAATCAGGTTTTCTCTCTCTCCCACTAGTCGACTCACACTACTAGTATCAGTGTCGAGCCACAAGAGCTCTTGATCGTGCCAAAAGAAATACATCAAAGACGTGAAGAACGTAAAAGCAAAAACATGAACATGAACTCAAAGCAAGCCCGTAAATCATACTAATCAAAACACTACTTATCCTACAATCCGCAACCCTTCTCTCTCGACATCTCACATAATAACTCCGACATCACTATCCTCCACAGCATCATCTGTACAACACCCCTACACTCGTCAGTCGCCCCTCTTCCCATCCTCAACCCTCACACTCCCTCCCTTCACTTCCCCCACACCCATCCCGCTCGACCCACTCGACCCAAATCCCTCTCCAGCTTCCACATCCACATCCGTGACATTCGCCTCTGCGCGGTAATCCGAGAGGTAGAAGTATACCGCTGGGAGCGCGACGAAGAGGGCGCCGATGATGTTGCCGATGTAAGCTGCTATGAACGATCTATTCAGGAAAATGGAGATGTGTGAGTATTTTATTAAGGAGAGGGAATAAGAGACGGAGAAAGGAGAGCACTTACTTGCGGATGTATTCTGCGGTGGTCAACTGTTATGAAGATCAGTGAAACGAAGTGCGAAGTTAGATCAACGGAAAAACGTACGTCTGCGTGGAACATAATCCCCAATGGCACAGAAAACATATTCGCCACAACTACACACAAAAACAAACACAACATCAGCGCTCCTCCCTACCTCGCAATCATTGACTCAAAGCAGCGCACCGTGATCATATCCACACGACACGAATATCTGCACATTACCACTCGGCGTAAGCCCTAAATAATCCCAAACGCGTGAGATATGAAACGAAGAGCGCACCCAAATCGGTATCCAAATCGCGAATATCTTCGAGATCGTCTCCCGCGCCCCGGCTGCCTGCCATATCGCGATACTCACGAGCCAATTGCAGCCTATCCCGCGAAGGAAGATCTGGTGCCATTGGGGATCGCCGGCTTTATGGCTTCATCGCCGAAACGGAGGGAGATCAAGTTAGCAGGAAATGAATGGAAGACAAACGGGAAGGAAATAGAGAGGTTGGACTGTGGGGAGTGAGAGCATGAGTGAGAAACTGACATGGCGAACGTCTGTACGAAGGTATCGTACGGTGCCGTCGAAATGATGCCAGAATCTACAAATCACAGGAACAGAAACGCCCCGCACTTGGTTAGAGTAGTTCGAGGGGCGTAACGGCGTAATGCGGCGCGGAAGAAGACCCACATTTGACGAGGATGGCAGCGAAGAACAGGCTTCCGGTAAGGTTGCCAAAGGTCACTGTCGAGTGTCAGTCAGCGTCAACGTCGATGTCAGGACGATCAATCAGCAGCGGATTTTTAGGTCGTCAGCCTGAGCTGCGCCATGCGTTACTAGCTGGAAAGCCATCCGAATGAAAGGTAAAAGAAAAAGGGGAGCTGCGAAGGGGATAGAATTACGAAGGGAAAAAAGGTAACAAACGCAGAATTCCCTGAATGGGAGAGGATACGAGACGAACATACCGACGAGCCAGTTCAGAGGAATACTCCACCACGGAATTGCGCCTTTGATGGCAGCCATGGGGAAGATCTATCATTGCGAGAGTGAGGCTACAGTCAGCTTACTCTTCGCGTCGTGGTAATCCACTTTCCAGAAAAGGAGAAGGAATTTCTACTTCCAGGAGAGGATTTGCGATCTCAACGGACTCAGGATGATGGATAGAATTTTGACAGATGAAGATGCGTTGGAAGGAGTGGGGTAGACGAAAGATGCGACTAAGACCGCTACGTTGTCAGAAGAAAGAGCTGCGGAAGTACTGACCATCATGTTACTCGTAAGAAGCTCCTGTCCTTGCAAGACGATCCTAAATCCAAAATAGCGAAACATTAGTAACACCATCCCATGCATAGATGCAAAAACTCGAGACGTGGCAACGCTTCACCACGAAATCGCCGAAATTATGCAATAGAAATGCCGCAGTTGAACGAAAAAAGACAGGATCGATACGCACATCACTAAACCCACAGGAAAAACAAACCCTCCCAGCACCTTCACGATCCCCGGGTTCGACGCCGTGAGCCCTGCCGCTCCACCCTGGATGACCTCAGAGAGCAGACCGCCGAAGGAGAGCATCGCGCCTGCCATAAACTGGTCACGCCACCCATCCCCGATAGTCAGCGATCGCTGGCAGGCAAATTAAGGGTATGTCATGGAAGAGAGATGTACGCACGGCCTTGAAAAATATCATGTCTAGCCTCGTCCGATGTTTCAACACCGCAGACTCGACAAGCGCGACCGCGACCTCCGCAGGCTTGAGCGTACTCGGTGTCGGCGTGTACGGCATCTTATATCTAGTGTTTCGTGTTATTCGTATACTGAAGTGATACTTCGATGGGAAGTCCCAGCACGACCGACGAGAACTATGAAGAAAGGTGAAGTTGCTGAACCAAAAGGGAGGGCAAGGGGCAACGAGCCAGCTAGCGTGGCGGGTCTTCTTATAAATATACGAACGCAACCCTATACTTAGTGCGTTTTCTCGAGCGAATGAGCGTCGAGCTTGGGCGCCTTCCCTACCCTGACCAGTTGACGTAGGAACAGTTTCCCATATAGGGCGAAGAAGGACCCATGGCCCGTGAGACTAAGCGACCTCTCAATGGAGGACGGGAGTGCTTGTGAGAACCGGAGGTTGGTCTGGTGAGCTGTTGTGTTGAGCGGGCCTCCGAGAGACGGGCCGTGAGCAGAACGCAGAAAGACGAATAAAACATAAAAGGTCCTGCAAAAGGAAAGGCAAGAGAAATTGAAGAGAAAGGCACGGAGGCAGTTCTATTATTGGACGCGATATCGTGGGATCCCGATCGGTGTTTCAGCGAGCGGCCGAGGGCGATCATGCGGGGAAATAAGCTTCCATTTTGCGGGGGTGGCGAGACATGTCGACAGTTGGGCCACATCACTCAAACAGTTATGCTCAACTTCCCTAGCCCTGCCATGCTCGTTTCTCAGCCCCAAGATACAGCAATGCTTAAGGGTCGCCAGAAGTGCCTTCACATACCCACCGTCCATCCTCACCCTCGGAACCACGCCAAACGCTCCTCCATCCCGGCCACCTACAATGTTCTCTCACCTTCCTATCATCACTATCCTCAGTCCCAATAATAACCTCTGGTCCACGCCCTTCCTCCACCCATTCGACCAAAGGCAAGAGCGCATTGTGTGACGAATCGTTGCGCGCAGTACCCAAGGCACTGGGACCTCGTTGTCCAAAATGGAATGCGCCTGGTCCGCCGGTGCAGTGGGACATGCCGGGAATGAGGAAGAGGCGGTAAAAGTCTTCGATTGAAGATGGATTGGTAGGGTTAGAAGTGTTGGAGAGTGTAAAAAAGACGAGGTTATATAGTCGCTTCGAGTTTCCCGAGGCGATCAGCTACGATTTTGGTTGAGTTCCATCAGTATTGTATAAACACGAGGTTTGGAAGAGGAAACACCAACCGGGTCCATTCTTCCATGGTACGTCAAAATCTTCCCTCCCCGCACCCTGAATTTGGACAAGTCACCATCCCAAGTCGCCACACCACCCGGATTAATGCTGTCCGCGAACTCAATATCTTTGAGGCCAAAGTCATCGAGCGTACGAGAGCTGTCGTTGTAGATCGCATAGCGCCACCAATCCTATATCCGTCTCAGTATAATCAGAAAATAGTTGTATAAGGGGTAGAAAGTACGATGACTGAAGAGAGATGTGAAACGCACGAAAGTATAGAAGAATATCTCCGGGGCGAAGACTCGATTCCTCATCGGTATCCTTTCCGCACCGGGATCAAATCTCGGATACAACACCGTCTCTCCATCTCTTCCCACCAACGGTGAGTATATGTTCTTCAATGCATCCACCTGCGTCTCCGTCAAACATACTCTCTTCTTTATATTTCCCTCTCTCTCAACATCTTCATCCGACTCCTCGCCGCACAACAGCAGACTTGGATCGAACAGGCACTCATCCGGCTCCGTCACAATCCCGTCCATCCTGCCATCCAACGCATCGCACTGTCTCAACACCTCCTCACTAACCAAATCCCACCCTTCCTCATCAATAAACTGCGCGCTTTCTCGCCCTTTACCGCTCCCCGCACCCACAGCCCGACTAATTATCCCGCTCCATCCCAACAGATGCTGCATATCAACCGCAGGAGCACCCGCGAGGATCCCATCAAAATCTCCGGGGAATTTAAGTGCGGACTGGATGCCTTGTCGTCCACCAGTGGAACACCCTATGTAGTACGACCGTAATGGAAGTGATGAAGGAGGGGAGTAATAATGCGCTGCGATGACCCGAGAGAGCTGGGCGATAGTATGTATTGAACGCCACGCGAAGTCGTTTATCACTTCGGGAGAGTCGAGGAATGGGAGGCCGCCGACGCCGTCGTGGCCGTTGTCAGAGGCGATGGTGGCGAAGTGGAAGGAGGAGCCGTAGTCGAGGTTGCCGTAGTCGATACCTATACGCCACTATGTTCATTATGTTGTAATATAGTTAAGTAAACCGGAAGAAACGTACATCCATTCAAACCACCATTGCCCACGGTCAATACCCTCCCGTACCATCCCTCAGCTTCCTCCTTCATCGGGAGCCACATTTCGAACTTGACCCTCGAGCTCTCCGTCGTGTTAACCTGTCCTACAACTCTACATATATCGGAAGATACATATGCCTTAGACGTGCACGACCCTGCGGTCTGGATTGTGGAGTTCGCGACGACATGGGTGATAGAGGATATGGAGGTGTTGGAGGTAAGGAGGAGGGTGGGGAGGGTCGTTTGGAGGGTGATACATGAGTTGACGTTGGGAGTCGTGGTTGTGTCTGTCGACAAGTCGGTTTGTTTGAAGAGATGGGACGAGAGAAAAAATTGAAAGTTGTTGGGGCCTGCGATAAATGGGATGAAGCTCGCGAAGATTCCTGTCACTGTCCACGACAACGATAATGGCATGGCGGCTACTGATCAGGACAGAGCCAGTTTGATCAAGCTATAGCTTAAGATGAACACAAAGAGTTCTCCAAAGCAGATGTTGAGAGCGAGATGACATATAATCCCAGACGCCAGGGAAGAAGGGAACATTTTCGTGAAAGTCGAGCATGGGAGCACGGATGTGGTGGGTGGCGCACGGCCGTGTGGCGAGAGCAAATCCGGAAGAAAGGGGTTCCGGCTTATTCCGCGTATGCTCTCACGATTTGTTGCACCATAACCTTGCCATAGCCTTTCCTCTGACCATCTCAGACATCCATGACCCTTATCCTATCATGACTCCCGTGATTCTGATTATATTGAAAGCGTGGTAGTTACGAGCGATATACACACTCTGTAAGTATTACGGCTGCCTCTCCGTTCAACATCCGGAGTCGACACGCTGGATAACGGTGGGGTCCGATCAGATCATGGGCGTCGTATTTTGGTGAGCTTCTTGTCTCTGAGGTTTTGTTTCTCATTCCATATTTACAATTGAATGAAGACACTGACTGTTTGCGCTTAAGTTTTGATATTGCACAGAGATTGCTGCTGTGGCGCTTGCGCTCTGGATCCCCTTTGAACCACACGGCAAATGCATGCTTATTCTGGTCCGTCCGGCTAAAAGACAAAATTTTGCGCAACCAAAAGCCACCCATATTTTTCGTTCTTCCGATGGCAATGGGTAAAGTCGACAAGTACGGTGGAAAAAACGCCGGCGCGTTCCTTCGGACAGTGACGCTGCGAGGCCTCGGCTTCGGCAGTGCAAGTATTTTTATCGCGATCTTATAGGCGGCCAATGCAGTCCTGAGTATGTGCTTGAAATATGGCTTCCTTGAAATACATCTGTTGTGAATGATGGCTTTTTGGTAATGATTCGAGAGTCGTCATCCTTGGATCCAATTATATCGCTGAAACCTTGGAACATAATAACCATAGGCCCATTCTGGGTCTTCCTTTGACCGGGCTCATGTACAAATGCGATGCCTTTCCGTGCTGTACCTCGATGCCCAGGTATTCTGCTCAATTTCCGCCGTTTGTGCTCTCGAACATTATCATTTATTTAAACTAACGGTCTTTGCAGAGGAGCAATGCTTCTCGGCGCCGTCGAAGGTTCAGCGCCTCTCCATGGAGCCCAATTTGACCTTCGATCAGTTTTGTCGGGTACGTTATCCCGCTATTAGGGCATATATGTAGCGATTCACATCAGTTTTGTTTATCATTCTGTGAGCAAAAAATGTGAACTCGAAAGCTCGGATGTGGAGCTAGATATAATATCCAGTTCGCACTGAGTTTGATTTCTCGAGACCAGGTCTGCGACTGCTCCCATCCCCGTTCCCCTTGCTGATGACCTCTGGTACCGCGGTTCTTCCGGGTGCTAGTGTACATGTCCCCCTACCGAAGTGTGTCTGCTGTTTTGAACCATGTCAGCTAACGGGGAGAGATGGGAGGAGGCCACTTTCGCGTCGAAACCACACGGAGTGTAAATTCAGCTTCAACGCTCCAACGGGTCAAAATTGCGAAGTGTTGAACCCGTCCTGGGTTCAATTCACATTGCCAAAACGCGATGTGAACCGCTACGTATATGCCCTATTGAATCCAGTGAATTATAATTTATAGTCAGTTCCTCCTAGAATTTTACACAGGTTGAGCGCCTCACCCTCCGAAGGGTATAAAGGTTTCTCTGCTCTGCCCGGCTGATCTTCCCATCACATAACACACCTGTCCTTTGGGTGATCTCCTAGCCTGACGTTACTTGTCGTCTCCTCGCTTTACAAACAGCTCTCAACGCAATGACACAGACGATCTTCGATGTTCTTTGGGATATATCAACGTGAGTTACCCAGGTTGTCAATTATGACCCATGTGAAGCGCTCTAACGAGTGCCACTCGACAGCACTGGAACTGATGAATTCGGGTTCGTTTCGTCTCTGTTTATATTTGACAAAACGTTCTCATGGTAGAAGTGCAGTGCAGATGATCCCACTGCCAATACGACAACCACGCGGTCTGAAGTCAAGCATCCACGGTAATCATCGAATTTGGCATGGTCCACTGGTGTTACGGCTGTGCTGACATGTTGATCGTAGGCCGACACCTCCAGAAAGGTATAGGATTCCAAAGTACGTCGGCTTCTAGCATGTGTTTATTTGTACTCATACTGATGGCAACTTTGTCGTCCCAGCCCATCCGTACGATTATTCGCGATTATAATCGGCATCGACGAGTACAAATATGAGGGACCGAGCCTCAGGAACTTAAGAAGCGCTGTAAACGACGCCAACATGGTGGACGAGTTTTTACAGACGTCGATGGGCGTCCCAAAAGACCGAATTCAGAACCTTCGAAACGAGGATGCGAATCGCTTGGATATCCTGCAGCACGTCAGAGCGCTCGTCTCCAACCCACATATTGAAGCAGGAGACCCTGTCCTCATCTTTTTCGCCGGATATGGAGCTCGGACGACTCGTGCCGCAGGATGGCCTCAGAGCGAAAAAGCAGATTCACACTCGGTCGAGATGCTTTGCCCGTATGATTTTGTGCCGAGGACGACGGATGACCTTGAGGAGCAAGGTATCCCAGACATTACCTTAGAGGCTCTTCTCCGTAAGATTTCGGAAGCCAAGGGGGACAATATTGTGAGTTTTGACTTTGTCTTTTTCTCTTGATCCCCGCAACGCTGATAACGAACTCGATTCTTCCCGTCAGACTGTTATCCTTGACTGCTCCTTCTACGGCTCGGAGGGTAGGGTTGAATTTGTATACGAAAGTCCCTTGGTCACGGCACGCGGCGTCAACCTCCCTCATAATTATACCATGCTACCCACGATCGACGCTGACTTACTGTGGCACGATGACACATTCCTTGCTGGTAAAGCAATTGAAGGACACCGTCCCTCCCATGTCCTTTTGTCGGCTTGCAGACCCTGGCAGGACAGCAGGGAAGACAGTGGACGTGGACGGTTCACCAGAACTCTTCTGGATGCTCTGCAAAGCGTCGGTACCGATCAGCTCACTTACGAGGCTCTGGTCAATCGTCTCCCTAATATTGAGGAGTAAGCGACCATTTCACTCAAACAAACAATCTTCTATGTGTTATAACTGACCGAAATATCCTTTCTCTCCAATTCCAGCCAGAATCCGCAGCTCAAAGGCGCTCATACTTCCAGAATATTGTTCGATGCTAAGGTACCAGGCCGTGATCGCTTCCTCTACAAGGTCACCATGCCAGAGCCTGCCATCTATCAGTTGGGCGTTGGTGCGGTCTCTGGGATCACCGTCGGCGCCAGGTTCAGTGTCTATACCGACAAACGCCTCGATTCTCAACCCCTCGGCGTTCTCATCGTCACATCAGCTAGAGCTTTCACCTCAGAAGCGACGACCGAAGTACTCGACACCGTCGATGGTCTACGCACCCTCCCTCTTCCCTCTTCTGTCACCCCTTATGCGCTGCAGACTCGAGCGGGAATCAAACCTGCCTTGAGAGTGCATATCCCCAACGACCCACGCGTTCGGCATGTTTTTCATCGACTCTTGAGGGAAATGAACGAGAGCCAAAAACGGGCTAATCGGCCGATCATATTTGTCCAGCGCGATGCCTCCCCACCCCCCGACATTGCACTAGTGATCAAAGGGAATGAAGTAGCCTTCGAAACCTACAATTCGTCCTGCCGTCTTCGAGGGTTGCAACTCTGCGAACAAGTCCCATGCGACTCCGACATCGTCTTTTCCGTCATCTCCAATGCCGCAGAGTTCGCCTATTGCCTGGATCGCTCCGCGCCGACCACAACTCTCACGGGGACGGAACGTGGAGTCCGGCTGGAGTGCTTCGAGTTAGAGCAGACCACCGCTGTCGTGGATGATGACTATGTAATGCTGCCGAAGGACCCCGAGAAGAATCTCGTCGACAATGGCTCCGTAGATGTATTTGTCGAAGATGACAAGATCTACGGCTTCAAGATTGTTAACGACACCGACCTTCCTCTATGGATTGCCTTGATGTATTTTGACATGAGCGACCTAAGCATCTGTAAGTCTCCCGCCTTCCTAGCCGTGTACCAAAATGATGTAGGTATTCATTGACTCGTTACTTCCTGGCGGCCTCCTCAGCACCATACGGGCAAACGGGCCCCATTCGGACACGCGACCCTTCCGTGTACCCCCGAGACAGTATTACGATCGGTTATGGGACTCACGGATGGTCCCAAGCCCATCAATACTACCTACGCCCTGGTCAAAAGACAGATGTCGGATTTTTAAAGCTGTTCATCTCTCTGAAACCCTTTGGCTGGTCTTCGGATTTAGACCTGGTGGAACGTAGTCCATTGCACGGTGCTGCTTCCCACGATGCATTGACCCAGATGATTGAGGACATTGAACTGTGGGACACCGTTCTTGTGTCAGTCGTGCAACATTCGGGGCGTACCCCTCTGGTTTAACGTACGACGTAGGTTGAATTGGACTCGTTTGGAATTTGTTTCCATATTGATTCTTTCATGACTTCGAGGTATCTGTTTTGCTACGATCTATGGAACGTATGACTTGGTGCGAAGATTTCCAGTACGAGTAATAGAGCAGCAAAAAGAGAGTCGATGTCAGCGGAACATTATGCGGTCATGGATGATGCGCAGGAATGGCCAGATATGGAAGTGACGAAGATTGGCTTTTGTTGTTGCTCGCACACTGCTTCTGGATGTATTGTGTCGCTGTGATCAAATAAATAGCACCAGTACTCAGGTCACTCGTACTACCTGCCAGGCTTGGATAAAACTTTGTCATCATATTACGCCTGGAATCGATAGGGAAGTTTCAACTCCAGAGGATTGCCAGTCAGATTCGAGACGCCCGGTGGGTCATGGGTGATCACAGCAAATCCGCACACCAACCGATGCTCCTGCCAATCTCTGAACCAAGACATCCGATTAGTTCAAGGATCATGCGGCATTAGATGCTGAGGAGCGAAATGGTACCATACCTTCTCTGACAGTCAGACCCACAATACTCCGTTCTCCCACACGCTTTACAAACATACCGTCTACGTCTCGTGCATCCGCGTCTCATACACTCGCCGTGAACCTGGCAACTCGAGCATGTCCCAAAGGGCCCATGACCGAATATGAGCAAGTTGGTCCATAGAGGCATCTCCGATAGAAATCAACTGTTCTAAATTGGGTAGGTAGCGAGGCGGGTGCGGTTTTCCTATGCCTGTGAAGGATGAGTCGAGGATGGCACGAACTGATATTGGGCGGGGGAGTTCTTGGCGCAGGAAGCGGAGGATAGATGGCCGGGTGCGGGTTAACCTGACAATGTGCAAGAGCGCGAAGGAGATCGACTCTATGGGAAAGTTAGAAATTGAGCGGAGGCGGGGCGAATGCCGAAAGGGAGAGGTAAACAACTTACGGGATAGGTCCGATTCTGAGACGAGTAGGGGAAGAACTTCGTCGAAGGTATTGAACATACCCGCTTGAACGACTACTTTCAGAAAGCTTGCGGCATCCGCTGGTTCCGCCCAAGTGTGAACTACACAAAGTGCGAAGAGGTCGATGACCGACCTGTAGAGCTGTTTACTCTCGGCGGTATGGGCCGCTCGAGAGTCGTGAGCGGTCCTTGAGAGAAGACGAAATAGGCATTCCCAGATTGCGGTCGTCTTGAACAAGGTACGCGCGAAGTCTGGGTCGCTGAATGCGGCGGAAGACTTGAGGGTAGCGGACAGATTGTAAAGCAAGCTGAGCAGGAAGATGTATTCCTTGGCATCATCCATCGAGAACCGTTCTATAGACCATACGATCTTCGTGAAAAATATGCGGTATGATTTTCCAGAGCCTTCCCATACGTCTTGAAGAACTCGCTGTGCGAGGGAAATGTCGGTATCATCGTAGATCGTCGATTGCCCAAAGAAGAGTGAGCGAATATATATGCATAGAACAGAGTTATCTGTGGCCTTTGTGGAATGGATCCACTGTCGGGTAATGATGCGAAGTGTTAGGTCCTCGTCTTCATGTAGGATCTAGCTTTATTGTATCTTATCATGCCAAGGCGAGGGTCACCGCTGTAGGACGTGTACAGTACGCACCTGAACGAAATCTGGGTCGGATTCCACAACCTTTTGTGCTGTCATCTGGACCATACACCTCTCGAGTGACATTTGATCGTCCGGGTATCCAGTAGTTGACGGGTCAGCCCATATCTGAATCATTATTACAGATAAGTATCATTCGCTAGGTTGAATCTTCGGGGACAGTCCACACCCTTTGCATCATGGAGGGCCATTGTGTACGCAATGTGTCCAGAACAAGTCCATCGGCTGCACTCGGCGGAAATTGAAGGAATCTCGCTACGAGGAAGAGCATTCGCATTGGAACAAGATACGGTGAATGCATCTGCGTCAGATATTAAGTTGACGGACATTGAAATGAGTTGTATTGATTGTTCAAGGCTTACCACGGGTTCGTTGTTAGATTCAGAGTAAAATACTTCCCGCCTTTCCAGTGTGATGCAGCGCCCCGAAATACAGTCGCATAGTTTCTGAACGAGCCCAGCTTCCAGCAATCCACGCAGGAAAGAGCTGGAGCTGACAGCGTTGATTTTCTTCTCTAAGGCGACACTAGCAGGACGTATATCCTGGATAATCCATAGTGTTAAGCAAGCACATTAAGACTCCAGAAGAGAAGAAACCTACTCTACGCGTGTCTCCCCAACGGTTTCGACTAAGGGGTTCGTAAAGGCCGTTGTCGAATATACCGATCACTCGCGATGGGTCTGATTCTACCAAGCGTTCCCATTTGCGTGTAAGCTCTGAATTATCGTTTGCCCAAGACATCCTCAGTTTGTGGCAATACAAGAGTCCGAGAGTGATCGTCAGAACTGTTGGCGGTACGAGCTGAAGCGGGTGTGGCCATTCTGTGTGGCACCAAGGGAGTCTGAGAAAACACGCTTTCAAACTCCGCATCGAAACAAATGAGCGAACGCGTCGCGTCTGCCATCCTCCAACCACCACCATTATATCCTTACAACACGGTCTGCCATGGTACGTTCGTTGATATCACTGTTGTATTGTTCATTGTTTGGTAATATATATATATTAGTCGCAAAACGGTACCCCTCGTCGTCCAAAACGCGCGCGTTCGCCTGCAGGACTCTCGAGCTCGCCTCTTGGTCGCCCATCTCCGGACAGACGTCATTCACAATCATCTTTACCACCAAGTTCTCCTATAGCCCCATTCTCCGACACGGAAGATAGCGCTGACGACAGAGAGTTAGTGAGGGACGTTGAGGAAGATGCTGTTGGGGAAGACGATGACGATGATGGGGAGGATTTGTTCGGACAGGACATGGAAGCGTATGTACATACTCACCCCTCCAATACTCCCCAGCCTCTCATATAACGTAAACTTCCTGCCTCATAGTGACTATGCTGCCAACGACGGCCTCGATCGTTACTCTGAAGCCGACATCAATGACGCGGAGGACTTTGAGGACTTATCGCTGGGCCAAAGACGTGCCGCCGAAGCAGCAATGGCACGAAGGGATCGGCTGGAGAGAGGTGGGAATAGACGAGGACAGAGGGCTGCTAATCGATCAAGAATGCCGAATCTATTGAGTGACGATGACGAGGATCTAGGAGAAGGATTGATTCCGTCGGGCGCTCGGAGAAGGGCGAGGAGGACATATGAGGAGAGGAGGGATCTGGACGATATGGAGGGCGTAGAAGATGTAAGCCCTCGCCTTGAATTATCATCTTCTGATCAAACCCTCAACTCTTTCTCGCGTGTTAGGAACTTCCGCTGGAGCAACTCAGCGATATCAAGGCGAAGTCTATCGTGGAGTGGATTGCGAACGATCGTGTTCGCAGATCCATCGTCAAACATTTCCGAAATTTCCTTATGACGCATGTCGACAATCATGGCGCCTCGGTATACGGCCAACGTATCCGCAATCTTGGCGAGAGTGAGTCGTTAATACTCGGGCTCTCTGTATCTCTTGCTGATATCGTTTGCTGTAGATAATTCTGAATCCCTCGAAGTCTCATACCTTCATCTTGCTGAAACGAAACCCATTCTCGCCTATTTCCTCTTGAATGCTCCCTCGGCCATGCTCGCTATATTTGACGAAGTCGCTCTGACCGCCATCGTCTACTACTACCCCAACTACGAACGGATCCACTCCGAGGTGCACGTTCGGATTACCGAGTTACCACTGAGCAGGTCCCTGCGTGAACTCCGCCGTGTCGACTTGAACACCCTTGTCCGCATATCGGGAGTGGTGACCAGGCGGAGTGGCGTGTTTCCGCAATTGAAGTATGTGAAGTTTGACTGCAGGAAGTGTGGGGCGGTCCTTGGTCCATTCTACCAGGATGCATCGAAGGAAGTGAAGATCAGTTATTGCGCGAATTGCGAGGGGAGGGGACCGTTCACTGTGAATTCGGAGCAGGTAAGGCTTTATCCAGAAATTTCTCGCTCGATATCCGCTCACTAGTATACAGACGGTGTACAGGAACTACCAGAAGATGACCCTCCAGGAGTCTCCTGGATCGGTCCCCCCTGGTCGTCTTCCTCGCCACCGAGAGGTCATTTTGCTCTGGGACCTCATTGACTCAGCGAAACCAGGAGAAGAAATTGTACGTCTTCGATCTCTTCAACTCAACTATCACTCTTTCTGACAACACTACAGGAAATTACGGGCATCTACCGCAATAACTTCGATGCCTCGCTCAACTCTAAGAACGGTTTCCCCGTCTTCTCCACGATTATCGAAGCCAACCACGTCAACAAGAAAGAGGACCTTTTCGCCGCCTTCCGCCTGACCGAAGAGGACGAGAAAGAGATTCGCTTACTCGCCCGGGACGACCGCATCCGTAAACGCATCATCAAATCTATCGCGCCCTCCATCTACGGTCACGAAGACATCAAAACTGCTCTCGCCCTCTCCCTTTTCGGTGGATGTTCGAAGGACATCAAGCGCAAGCACCGAATCCGTGGCGACATCAACGTACTGCTGCTTGGTGATCCTGGAACGGCCAAATCTCAGTTCCTGAAGTACGTTGAGAAGACGGCTCATCGGTCGGTGTTCGCTACGGGCCAAGGCGCATCTGCGGTCGGTCTTACGGCCAGCGTTCGCAAGGATCCCGTTACTCGCGAATGGACTCTCGAAGGTGGCGCGCTCGTTCTCGCCGACAAGGGCACCTGTCTCATCGACGAGTTTGACAAGATGAACGACGCGGACCGGACTTCTATCCATGAAGCTATGGAACAACAGTCCATTTCCATCTCTAAAGCCGGTATCGTTACTACCCTGCAGGCTCGATGCGCCATCATCGCTGCTGCCAATCCCATCCGAGGGAAATACAACCCCACGATCCCCTTCCAGCAGAACGTCGAGTTGACAGAGCCGATTCTGTCCAGGTTCGACGTGTTGTGCGTAGTGAAGGACGCGGTGGATCCCGTGCAGGACGAATTGTTAGCGAGGTTCGTGGTTGGCAGTCACCTGAGGAGTCATCCCAAGTTCGATCCGGAGACGGATGAGATGGACGTCGGAACATCTTTGGACGCTGATGTACGTTCTTCGTTCCTTGCCCGCTCCTCTTTATCGTGTGAAATCGTCTCATTCTATGTTCTATTCTACAGATGATACCGCAAGATCTTCTCCGCAAGTATATCATGTACGCACGCGAGAAGGTCAGGCCCAAGCTCTTCGAACTCGACCAAGAAAAACTCTCCCGTCTCTTCTCCGACCTTCGCCGGGAATCTCTCGCCACCGGTTCTTTCCCTGTCACTGTCCGTCTGCTAGAGAGCATGATCAGGATGGCGGAGGCGAGCGCCAAGATGGCGTTGAGAGAATACGTGCGGTCGGACGATGTCGACCTGGCAATTTCGGTTGCTGTGGAGAGCTTCGTGAGCGCGCAGAAGATGTCGATTAAGAAGACGCTGCAGAGGGTATGCTTGCTTATTTCTTCATTCCTGGGATGAACGTGAGCTGATAGCGACCGCGGTTTGTCAGGGATTCCGCAAATACCTTACCCAGGCGAAGGATCACGAAGAATTGTTGTCGTTCTTGCTCGGTCAACTCGTCAAGGATAAGGCTAGATTTTACCAGCTACAAAGGCACCAGCAGCCTGAGCTCGTCACTGTTAAAGTTGATGAATTGGACGAAAGGGTGAGTCTCCTCGGTCTTTCTCCACTTTCGGGCTTTGCAGATATCCGAGCTTATGTAATTTGTGATCATCATAGGCCAAGGAACACGATATCTTTGACACGTCGCCTTTCTTGCACACCAAGCTATTCTCGACGAATGGATACAAGCTCAACGGGAAGGTAATAGAGAAGAGGTTCAAGAGGGTGGAAGACGACTGAACGAACTATGGAAGGTCTTTGGCTGCGGTATACCCTTGTGGTGTGTGATTATCGCCTACTTTTGTCTTCGACTCTTGTGTATTGTTTGTATTTGTTCCTCGCATTCAGTGATAATGGCATGTTGTCCTCCATACCTCCCTTTTGCATGCGAAGCTGGAGATGTGGTCCTCGTTTTTATGACTTGTGTCGTCTTGTGTCCATAATGTGATGGTCTCAAGGAGATGCGTACGCACGTCTGATTGCTGTTCCAGAAGCAACTCCAGATCTTTTTTTGCTCGATCCCGTAGTCCCCACTGCACTGCCCTTTAGCGCTCATGCTATCCATAAAAGTAGCAGACTAGAACTCGACAGGGATACAGATTTGCCCTTCTGATGGCCTGCCACGACATCTTTGCAGACCAGCTCGCCTGCTTAAAGCACGGGCATGCTCTCTGGGAACCCAGCATGCGTGGGAGACCACTGTTACGAATAGGTGACGTGGGATACGTCCGGTTTGGAGGCTTCCATCGCCTTTTCAACGTTCATTTGCCACATGGACACCTATTGCAGTCGACGCAGTTGCCAGAATACTTCGAACATCTCCCTTTCGACCCTGAACATGTTTATTCTCGTACGTTGTCCGAGGGCGGGTATTATTCGAGGAGCGTGCGTGCGGTAAAAGTCAGTGGGCAGATTTCAAGTGGGTGAGTTCTATTTCGACCATGCTTGTCATTCACGATAAATTCTGAATTTCTCTACGCATTCACAGGGTCGTACCCTTGAGCGGAGGGCTATCATTCCGCTGTTCTCGGCAGCACGGGGCTGTCCTAGCTATCCCAAACGAAGCACTCAGTCAAGACGTCCTCAATCGCAGGATCTACAAGAACCATATCATAGAGAACTGTGAGCGTTGGCTCGCTTTCTCCGAGCTACGAGGGCTCGAGCTCCGAATGGAGGACATCGTTTTGGTCACCGGCTGCGATCTGACAACTGGTTGGGCTTGGGTTGGGCCGTCGCCGCGTTCACCAACCACGAAACCGATGCGAGTATCCAACTCCAGCTGGGAACTTCATTCCAGGGTATGGGGCTCGGAACACATATCTCATAGAAGAATGAACGGAACGTCGAACGGAACTGGGGGCCTAGGGAGGTGTTTGGAGCGAGCATACATCTCCCTGGGCCTCCAATCGCTATGTCTTCCACCCACGTATCTGAGTTACCGTCCATTATGGATGATACATACCAAGACCAGTGCGTCTTTCTGCGTGGATATCGTGTCAAGCTTCGGAGTCGTCTGTTACCGAAGAAGGTCATGGCAGCGGCCGAACCTAAAGACTTGGGAGGCGGCGCTGATCAGGGCCCTGGACAACTTCCACCAGCATATGACGACATTGAGGAAGACGAATGGGGGCGGGACCAGTATGATGGAGAGGTATGTTCTGTGACCTTGAATTGGGGTGTTTGATTGTGCTAATGATACGTCGTCCTTAGACCGAGCGTTTACTATTTCCCATACTGGATTATTTCCTACAGGTAAGCCAGATACTACTCGTCTTCCCTTGAAAGTGCGTGCCAACACTCGATCACACCTCCCAGAACTCAGATGCTACTGTCGCAGCGGCCCACGATGACGACCTGATTTCATTTGTCGATGTGGGTAACAGACTCCGCGCCTATGTTTCGGCCGTGGGCCAAGATTCACAATGAGCATCGTAATAGGAATCTTCAAGTGCAGAACAGATACGCTGGGCCTTGAAGGAGCAGAAGCCCGCCATTGAGATAGAAAGTGGGGATTCAGGTTTGTTGACTCTGGCCACACCCCCATTCTGGAATACCCAGTTGAAATCGTGTATCAGGTTCACACTTAACAGGAACGCTCATAACACCTACTCGAACCGAGAATACTTGGGGTACAGCCGGCATAATACAGTAGGTGATGCAGACTTTGTTTACCGGTGGCATGCTCTCAATCTGCTTCTTATACAGTGGCGTCGACGACTCGTTAACTAATCTAGCAGAAAGCACGCGCCACTTATCCTCAGGGCGGAGTACCAACATGGTCCACTCAACCGTGACACGCGGGTCTCGATCTTCATCTGTATCAACTGTAACGCCTCAAATTACGACGTCACCCCCGAACCTTCTCTCTACCAGTCCAAACTCAAGCACCCCTGGTGCTGGTTCTGAACTCCCTCGAGCGCTGACCTGGTTGGATGAAGTTCACGAACTCGTCGCGTCAGCCAACACGGAACCGTCTTCTTTCGCGAGAATCGAAGTTGAAGACCAAGGAGGATTGACGACCCTTGGCGACATGCGTACTGGTATGTTCGCCCTTCGAATTTCCTTGGGCATGGCCGTTTCTGACTCTGAGTGGTATAGCTGGCCTTCTTAGCTCGTCTGGTGCAGATGAACAAGACTCTCGCCACGTTGAAGAGCATGCCGAATCTGAACACACTTTTGCATCTTCTGAATATGGCATTCGTGGAATTGACGATGGGGCATCCGCAACCTTACAGGACGACGAGCGTACGCTATGTCCTTCTCCTCGTATTTGGGATACTGTTCCCTCCCATGCTTTATCTCCAGGCACGGTAGAGTCCGCAACCTCGGTCACTGCAGTCTCAGACACCTCTTACACCTCAAAGGGGGCCGGCATAATGACTCGTGAAGATAAGCTCGATCTTCTAACACCTCATACCCACACCGGTATTATTGTTGGATCGAACGGCGAGGTGATCACTGGGACCCTCTTCGGATTAGTCGAGCGACTCACATCGCACGAGTACTTCGGTAGGTCTTGCGCAGCCGTTAGTAACTCTGTTTTCATATTAACACTCGTATTAGATTCATCCTTTAACCGAGTGTTCACGCTAACATACAAGTCATTCACTGACCTCGAGACGTTGTATGACCTGCTCGTCCAACGGTTCTGGGTGGAGCCTCCTGTGAACCTTGCCCCTGAAGCACACCGTGAATGGATCACCCAGAAGAGGAATATAATCCGAATACGGTAACCTATACATATATTCACTTTGGTGACGCTACTCATGTTGTATCGGGATAGAGTTCTGAATACATTTAAGATCATGGTCTCAGACGTTGCTATCCTTGATCAAGAAGATTCCTACGTCCTTGAGCGTATGAAGCAGCTGGTAGCTAACGAGGAAGTGGCATCCATCACAGCTGCAAGCCAGCTGCTCACCCTCATAGAAAACATGGTCCGTGTTTTCGACTCTACCTGTAGTCTGTCAGTATGATGAACCTCCATGGTTTCATCAGGAAAGTGGCAATATGCCCAAGGCGAGGGCATCAGTATCCCTAGACCAGCCACCGCCTGCAATTCTCCCGAAATCACCGAAGGACCAGCAACTACTCGCTTTCGACCCTCTAGAGGTGGCAAGACAATTGACTATAATTGGTTCTCGATTGTATCAGGCCTTGGTCCCATCAGACTTGCTCGAGAGAGGTCTCACGAGTGGTGTCATAGCGCGGTTTGATGACAGTGTCTCGAAGTTCTTGGAGTACACGGAACAGGTACGTGGGTGGTCGTACGCTCAGGGTCGGCTCATGGTCGTATGTACTGATCGCTGCACAACCACACAAAGGTCACCTCATGGGTCATCAGCGTCTGCGAGGTGACCTTAACTTCTACCTCCGTCATGATACTCGGGCTCACCAAAACATTTTCTGACAGCGATGTGAAGACCTGAATAACTTCGCCATCATGACAGCGATCGCGTCCGGCCTCAACGACCCAGCAATCCAAAGACTAACTCAGACGTGGGATCAAGTCAACGAGAAGGCTCAAGCTAGATTGTTACACTTTCTTTGCTCTCTCAATGTGGACCCGAAGACGGGAATCAGCAACTTTCGCATCCCACCAAACGTGACACCGCCGTGCTTGCCGCCTATTGGTAACATTTCTAATCGTCTTCTCAAGTATCACCACTTCATCTATCTCTGATTGTCTTTGACTTCGCTAGACATCTACCTTGCTTGCCTTACCGATATTCGGAGCAATGCGCTAGACTATGTCGGCTCAGTCGAATTCATCAACTTCACCAAACGAAGGAAAGTCGTCGAAGTACTTGATGCAGTCCAGAAGTGGAAATCCAAGCCATACAACTTTGCCCGCGTCGAAGTCATTGAGGCATACCTTCAGAAAAATATGGAACGAATTGACGAGCATGGGGGACGGGAGGGAGAGCTAAGTGCACGTTTCATGAAACTTAGTAGAGAACGTGAGCCGGATGGTCTGGATATCAACGTTCTTTGACGTTGAGTGGTTGCTTGCGAGGGATGTGCCACGCATGGTGCAGCATGCTCGTGTTCAGACTCTTTATGTTGTGCATAACACCATAGACCCGAGAAATACATCATGCCTTGCGCTTAAGATCGATTAAGGTACATTGCGTGCTCACAAGCGCGGCGTGGAGACCAATCGCACAAAAGTATCGGGCGGGCCCAAGAAATAAAAAGTATAATGTCATCTGCTGACAGCGCTCACCCCGCCTCTTCGCTAGCAGGACTAGCCACCGAGCCCGCGCTGGGATTTGCAGATCCCTCGGGTTGCTCTTCTATGGCCTTTTTAGCCTCAGTACCATCTGGACTACAAGGGTGCCCGCTGAAAAAGTTCAAGCGAGCTGTCGGGGTTAGAGGGATGGTCGGTGCTGGAACGCATATTGGAATGAGCCATGGAGAGTCGGATATGGGCTGTTTAAAACAATGGTGAAATCACCGTCAATATTCGAAGTAGGGGTAAAAGCTAAGAAAGTGTCGTGGGTGATATGAGGGTAGACAGGAATAGAGAATACTACCATCTCTTCTCCCGTGCTATAACTCTCTGTGGTCCACCTTGTTTGCTCGATCTTGGGCGCGTCTGAATCAAGAATGACAGTGGCGAGCACCATGTCAGTAGGTGGAATACTAGGTATAATAATACCGGGTAGCGGAATTCCTCTTGATGAGTCGTAGCAAACTTACCTATCCAAGTCGTATGTAGACCAATATCGTTCAAGTGCATTGTCAATGTCTCCTTATACACCTTTTCGTACAATCAGCGTCAGCTCACACACCCGCGACCGATGACCACAACATTCACCCTTCAACAACAGAACGCACCTGGTACAGCATTTCACCGCCCCTCCCATGCCCGTGGAAGAAACTCATCCTCGACCCCGGCCCCTTCATCAACCCAGGAACATACCTGAAAAACTCTAAAAATTCCCTATAACTCTCCTGAAACGTATCAAAGTAAATGGCGTCGAACATTCCGAGCTCCGCACGCTTGGCTGGATCGGAGAGTACGGAGCGCCAAGTGCCTTCTATGAGACGGATTTTAGACACGGTACCGTCTTGATCTACGTTACACTTATTCGGTGGATGAGAAGCTGGGGATGCAAACTTGATTTTGTTGAAGTAAGCGACGGCATCGGGGTGGGCTTCGATGATGGTGTGGTTTGCGGGGGAATAAGTTTGAAATTGAGTATCGATCTGCGTAGACAGGAGTCGTTAAATGAGGAGAGTTTGTTCACTCAAGCAATAGTATCGCTGATCAACCGCTGATACTGCAACGCGTACCAGGCCAATTCCAAATCCAATGTTAAGGACAGATTTTCCTACATCCTGACCATCCATTAAGGCCTTTGCAGTTCGTTCCACTATGACAAGGACGATGAGTGTATACAAAGTCAGAATTTTCGAGGAGAATATTGCGATAGAAATGAGAGAACACACTGATTGGACGCTCCCAAAGCATCATCACACGGTCCTTCCCCGTCTTTGTACGCATGACGAAATCTTTCGAGACTCCATCATCTTGAGTGGTATATTCGCAAGGCGATTCCAAAAAATCGACATTATTCTTCTTCGGTATGATGTCGATCGGATGACTCTGATATTTATTTGTGTCATCAACAAAAGCCCTGCTGAGCCGCGCATAGTCTATATCGATCAACCAACCAAGGAATGAGCGCTGAGCGCTGCAGCATATGTCTGATAATATCTTTCGCCCTGTCAAGGAACTCACCATATTCAATAGCCCATCTCATCAACGATTCCCAGCACCTTGAACCCCTGTGATACTCAATCGCACATTTGTGTCGTATATCCTCCATCCACCACGGCAACCCCTTTTCGAGCAACCATCTCAACGCAACTATATTATCGTGATACAAAGCCTCGTGTATCGCGGAGTTCCCGGTAAATGGTTCTCTCTCGTATAGTAAAGCACCTTCGTTGAAGAGGTCGTCGAGAACATCTACGGGTGCTCCGCTGACGATGGACTTCAGGAGACGGCGTGCTGGGTCGCATAGTTGGCGGAGGATCTCGTAATCTTCAAAATCCCGTTCGAGCGCGTCGGCGTACCTTGGTAAACAAAATGGGATGTCGGGCGAAGATCAGCAAAACAAAGAAAAATAAAAATGAACAAACAATACGATCATCTCGTGGAGTTCGAATTGAGCAGGATATGATGCAGATGAATTCTTACTCGAGCCACGACTCCTCTTCCCTCCTGGGACGCGCTTTGTACGGTCTTTTATACTTCTCCCAGCCCACCTTCTCAGGGATGTACATTGTAGGCGGGTCGTCTTCAGAAGGCGCATCATACTCGATAGGTTCAATTGTACGTGTGGTCCATGCTGCTGGGATTGTGGCCATGGCGGAGTCGTTGTTGGAGTTGACCCAAAGGACACACCCTCAGCTACGCAAAAAAAAAAAGTTGCCTTATATATATGTACTATGATAAGCAATGCAAATTTGGCGGATTGGATGACAACAATGTAACAGCAGAGCGAGACAAGACTGCCGTGGTGGTGATCGTGGTGGTTGAATTCAACATCCCGAGTCGAGTGGCGCAAGTATCATAAGGTTTCGGTAAATCCCGGAGCTGACCTCGAAACAATTATTGCTCGAGTTTCTCGCACCTCAGCCTCACATCCCCAACCAAAAACATCGCCATATATAAAGCCACCTGCACTGAGCTTCACACCGCCCAAAAAAATCCTATTTTCCCTCTCCTTGAACAAATACCTTGAAAAAACCCCTCACCAGTGGGATGGCGTCTACCAGTATCTTCTCTGCTAGTACTCACGTTGCCCTCGTCACAGGCGCCAGCTGCATCGACGGTATAGGTTACGCTCTCGCCTGGAAGCTTGTTCTGCAGAACGGCTTTAACGTTATACTAGGCTCTTGTACACTGGTCGGGTCACTGAAGTATAACTAGAGGAAGATGGGCCGAAGCACAGGGAATAAGGACAAGCGCCCCAATTCGCCCCGCTGAGAGGTTTCGTACAACCGTGTAAGTAAGGTACTTGTTATGACGCCACTCTCTCTATACGTGCTATGCACTCAACACTATTCTCTCAGAGTTTTCTTATGTGAACGCCGCAAGAAGAAAAGCTGCGGCAAACACCGTCGCTCTGAACCATCGACAACGTCTTGACTCGAAGCTCACACCGGATTGTAACATCCCTCAGTCAAGTGCTCATCTATACACTCTATTCTTACGTGTACTGAAACCTTCTGAGCGCATCAAAGACCAATGTCTTAGATCTTTTGGGCCGTCGAGGACGAGGGACCCACTCTTGAAGCTTCAACTTTGTTCCGCTTGACTAACCTATACTCGTTGAATCTTCGTTCTTCCCGCACTTTGTGAAGTTCAACGGGATATGAACGCTGTATTACGCCTATAGAATTACTTGTGTCAGGCTATCCACTGGGTTTCCGTCTCTCAGGCTTACTATATATATTTCGCGCTGGCTCATGACCAGAGTACATCTATCCTGAGTCGCAACTGGAGACCGACCTCGTACTAGACTCCTGGAACCAACCTCTCCGCCTCAATGTCTGCCCCAATTGCTCTCATCACAGGCGCCAACCGTACCGATGGCATAGGCTACGCAGCTGCTCGCCAACTTGCTCTCCAACACGGCTTCACTGTCGTACTAGGCTCTCGTACTCTCTCTCCAGCTCTTGACGCCGCTGCTAGGCAGCTCGAGAAAGAAGGGACTAAGAACGGTGTGCACGCTGTTCATATTGATGTAGCTAGTTCGGACAGCGTAAGAAAGGCTGCGAAAGAGGTGTCGGAGAAGTTTGGAAAGCTCGATGTGAGGGACTCTTATCCTCTGCTGTTTTTACTGTGGTTTTATCTCCATGATATCACTAAGCGGGTTCTGAATCTCTGATTTCTTGCGCACTGATGCAGGTGCTAGTGAACAATGCCGGGCTGAGCGTCCCTCCCTCTCGGACTGAGATCGTTGAAACATGGCCACAGGTCAGCCTGGATTCTACGGAGCACACCAGAAAGGACTTTGAGGAAGTATTCGCGGTGAATTTTTTTGGTATCGTCGATACCATCAGTGTGTGTTTACATCTTCCCCACTCCATTCCGTGACCTCCTTACGCATTCGCAAGAGAGTGTCTTGACGCAGCAGAGTGTGCTCATTAAATTTCCTCGTCTGATATATTATTAGATGTCTTCGCACCTCTCCTCGCCAAGTCTTCCTCCCCACGTATCGTGAACGTCGGCTCTCCAGCTGGTTCATTGGATTACATCTCTTCCTTACCGGCCAACTATCTGGGAGCGAGCATTGTCTATAGCTCTTCGTGTGTTCAATCTGTTCCTTGGTCAAGCCATTTGTCACGGTCAAATCGAGCTAAAAATTATCTCAATCTTTGGCAACCGTAACTTCCAGGAAAGCTGCTCTCCACATGCTCACTATCATGTACAGCAAAGATTTACCGAAGATGAATCCTGCATTCAAAATCAACGGGGGATGTCCGGGTTTCACTGATACGTCATTCAACAAACACAGTACGTCGAGCACTTTCACTCCTTCTCACTACCCCCGTTAAGCTCCTAACGATACTTTCCATCGAAGTCGGAAACCGTAAACCTGACGAAGGCGCCGCAGTCGTTACTTGGCTCGCCACACTTCCTGAAAGCGGGCCCACTGGAGGTTTTTACTGTGATTATCCTCCGTATTCGGAGAAGAACGGAGAATTCAAGGTCTTGAGTTGGTAAAATTCTGGTGAGGAAACAGACGTGCGCTCGTTGTTGGTGAAAGTTGTTGAAAGGCCGAGGGGTTGATGCTTTGCTTAGCCCGTGGTGTGTGCTGTGGGATTTTCGTGGAGAACGACATATTCAAGTTGTGCTTGAGTATCGACTTATGCTCGCATGCAAATTGAAGTATCAGCTAGGGCCTAGGATCTGGGTACGGCCCAAACGGTTGGGCTGGTAGGCCATAGTGGCGCCACTTTCGGGGGAATGTAGGACCTCCCACTTCCAGAGAAGTATCATGACCGCACCGCCCCCGTTGCGGCCACCTTGTCTGGTAATATCCAAGTCCTAATACCTCATCATCTACGGGCAGAAACAAATCAGATAGAGATGAATTAAAGAGATGTGCTTTTTGTTCTGCGCGTTCAGAAATCGTTGGACCGATGGCTGGGTCGCTGTTTTCGGCGGAAGAATAGAATCCTTATTCGTTTCTTAGAGCTCAAACAAGGAAATTCTGCGCTGAGCGCTGAAAGTGCTGCTCGTGCTTTGACTCCAAGGGACTGGTACTATCAGTGGCCCCTCGTTCGGACGAACCCTCGTTCGGACAGTGCGAAAAACACGCCCAATTCCCTATCGTTTCACCCCGTTCAAGCTCTCATAAATCATGTTAAATCACCACTAGACCATCTGCGAAGTGGTTTGAGCACAATAATGGCAGTGGAAGGTCGAATGGGGAGGGGGGCGTTTCGGACACTTTGGCGGGATCGGCTGTCCGATCGACGGTCCCACCTCCTGCCAGTGATCGACGACCTTTCTCTCAAGCAATCCACAACAAAATTGCATGGGCATGTAGCTACAGTAGGGGGCATTGTGTGTGCAAAGTTTCATGGCAAGAAACCTTATACTGCGTGAGCTAGATTTTTTGCAGTCTGGATTGTCCGAACGAAGGGCCAGTGATAGTACTTGTGGGCCACAGTCGCCCCAAGTCGCCCAGAAAATCTGGCTCACGAGATTCCGGCAAGTCCCACGGGAGTGGCCGTGACGTTCTGCAATCCACATCGGGCCGCATCATCATCCTCCATTCGTCCTGACCCACATCTCAAGCTGAGCGCTTCGGTGTCCTTTGTTCGAGGCTATTGTCCCTGATGGAGAAAGGAGACCCACTCTCACGGCTTCCCCGCTTCTGCAACTTGACCCCGCTCAATGTTCGTTCGTGTTCCGATGTTCACCGTTCAGAGACATGCACGACATCGTGCGGTCCTCAATGGATAAACTGAAAGGCACTACGGATCTATACAAACTCGCAGCACTAACAGTATACGACGCGTTGTCTATCCACTGCGACTCCGACTCTAACGCAGGGGACCTTTCTTGGCCAGGCTCGGTGAAAAGACCTATAAAGGTCTTCATCTTCAGCTGGGTAGTCACATCCAGAAAATTCCCTACCTTCCAACTATTTGACCAATAACAACTTCTTTCTTTCACACTGAAATGTCTACCCCAACGTCGACCACTATCGTTCTCATCACAGGCGCAAACCGCACCGACGGCATAGGCTACGCCGCTGCTCGTCAACTCGCTCTCCAACACGGTTTCACCGTCATCTTAGGCTCTCGTACTCTCTCTTCGTCTCTCGACGAGGCTGTCAAGCAGCTCGAGAAGGAAGGGGCGAAGAACGGAGTTCATGCTCTTCAGATTGATGTGGCTAGTTCAGAGAGCGTGAAGAGGGCCGCGACAGAAGTGGCGGAGAAGTTTGGGAAGCTCGATGTAGGGGACATATACTCTTTTTCAGAGTCGGTTACTACTTACAAATGATTTCTGACAATGCACGCAATATAGGTCTTGGTAAATAACGCGGCGCTGGGCCTTCCTCCTTCCCGCACTGAGCTCATCGACGCCTGGCCAAGGATGATGCTCGGACCCACGGAGCACACAAGGAAAGACTTCGAGGAGGTTTTTGCCGTTAATGTATTTGGTATTGTCGACACGATCAGTGAGTGTCTCAAGCCCGGAATTCCTGCGTCTTCCTTCAAGACCCACTAAAATGTTCATGCAATCCTTCATTAGACGCCTTTGCGCCCCTTCTTGCCAAATCCTCATCCCCCCGCATCGTGAATGTGACCTCCGGCGCTGGCTCCTTGGGCTGCATGTCATGGTTCCCGTCCAGCGATAGCGGAGCGAGCTCCATCGTCTACAGTTCTTCGTACGTTGCTTCTTCTATATAATACAAACTTGTAAACCAATCCGTTAGACGGCGAACTAATTAGTATCCATGGTTGGATTTTCCAGGAAAGCAGCACTGAACATGCTCACTGTCATGTACAGTAAAGACCTACCGAAGTTGAACCCTGCCTTCAAGGTCAACGCGGGATGTCCGGGCCATACCTCTACGTCATTCACCAAGCACAGTGCGTCTCGCCCACTCATCTTAACTATCCTCTACGTTGATTCTCGTGTACTATTCTGTCGGAATCGAAGCTGGCGCCCGTTCACCCGACGAAGGTGCCGCGGTTGTTACCTGGCTTACCACACTTCCAGACGACGGGCCTAACGGTGGATTCTACTGCGATCATCCTCCATATTCGCAGAAGAACGGTGACTTCAAGGTCGTAGAGTGGTAATTAGTTGTCGAAGAGATCCCAGTGTTATATTGTTCGTTAACATAGAGGGGGGAGTACTTAGCATGTGGTGGCCTCAATGCCGAGACTCCTCTCACTGACATATTATTCTGACCGTTCTCACTCATGCATGGCATATTGTGTGGCAAGGCTGTGGTCAAAATATGTTGATTCACGTAAACGCTCACTCAACTAATTTTTTTAGGCCATTTGTATCCACGAGACCTCTTTTATTCTTGATGGTATGATTTGTGCTGAGGTGCTTGGCCGCCATGGAGTACTACGAGCAGACTTGAGAGTACTTACACTTTCACGGGCAATGATGGGCCACGGTGGCCCAAGAAATACGGCATATTCCGTGAGCGCGTGATGGGTGTTTCGAACCACGTCACCTTTTGGTCGAGTTCACTCCGACCCACATCTCAATCTGGCATGTCGGTGCACAGATCCCTATCCTCTCTAACGTCCCACCATTTCTCTGTTATTATAATCAGACAACAAAGAAAGTCACCTTGGAGCTTAGACTTCAGGTTCGATTTAGACTCGCTCAGAGCCAGGATCCGCTCTTGTCCTGAGCCTCGTTAATATTCTGCTAATGTACGTGTCGTACGATACAGTCCAGCGCTCGAGGGAATACACAATGAAGATAACATCATGTATCTGGTGTACGTGGGACTGCTCAGCATTATATACACTCTTTCCATCCACTAGAGCTCCGGATTCGACCCCCATGCACTGGGATCTTTTGAGGAGTGCGACACCATATAAATGCCCCCACCTTGAACTTCTCGCTAGTCACAGCTAAGAAGCTTCCTGATTCTTGACTACTTCACCAACAACCAGCCTCTTTGATTCCCACTGCAATGTCTACCCCGACGTCGACCCCTATCGTTCTCATCACAGGCGCAAACCGCACCGACGGCATAGGCTACGCCGCTGCTCGTCAACTCGCTCTCCAACACGGCTTCACCGTCATCCTAGGCTCTCGCACTCTCTCCCCATCTCTCGACGAGGCTGTCAAGCAGCTCGAGAATGAGGGGGCGAAGCATGGAGTGCATGCTCTTCAGATCGATGTGGCTAGTTCAGAGAGCGTGAAGAAGGCTGCGACAGAAGTGGCGGAGAAGTTTGGAAGACTCGATGTAGGGCGCGTCAATCTATCCTTTCTTCATTTCCTGAATATTTATTGCGTAATATAGGTCTTGGTTAACAATGGGGCATTAGGGCTTCCCCCGTCTCGTACTGATATTATCGAGGCGTACCCAAAGAAAAAGCTCGCACCTACGGAACACACGAGGAAAGACTTCGAGGAAGTATTCGCCGTCAATACCTTCGGTATCGTCGACACGATCAGTGAGCGTGACAATCCAGCATTCTCGTTCTTCCATCTTTCTTTAGGTCTCACTACATGATTTTTATTTATCTGATACTTTACTAGATGCCTTTGCACCTCTCCTCGCCAAATCCGCATCCCCACGCATCGTTAATGTCTCTGCCGGTGCTGGCTCCTTGGGCTGCATGTCTTGGTACCCGACCAATACGACCGGAGGGACCAATATCGTGTACAGTGCTTCGTACGTTCTACCACGTTAAAACCCAGTATAAAGACTGACGGATGTCGTGGACCATCACAGGAAAGCAGCGCTGAACATGCTCACGGTCATGTACAGCAAAGATCTGCCGAAGTTGAATCCCTCCATCAAAGTCAACTCGGGATGTCCTGGATATACCAACACATCGATCAACAAGCACAGTACGTCCAAACGATACGCCTCTCACATTTGATCAGTCGCTAAGTCTCCTCTGTCATTGTCGAAGCCGGTGAGCGCACGCCCGATGTAGGCGCTGGGGTCGTCGTTTGGCTTGCCACACTCCCTGACGACGGCCCGAACGGAAAGTTTTACTGTGATTATCCTCCATATTCACAGAAGATTGGAGACTTCAAGGTTATAGAGTGGTGATCGGAAGGAATGGTCGTCGGTGCAATTGTGGCAAGGATGAAGGTAGCAAGAGTCCTTAGCGCGTAGGACATCGTTGGCCAAATGCCTTATTTGTCCCGCTCGCAAAAACAAATCTTCCGCTCTTGTGTCTTGCTGGTTCCTCTGTTTCCCGCAGTTCGGCAGCATCCTTCGAGTTATCATCCGGCTCAGTAGGGCCCCTCACTGGAATGGGGGAGCGGGCGAACCTTTAACACCACCGTGACTCTGTACTGACTGTCGGTGGTACGATATGACACGTGCATAAAAAAACACAAAACAAATACATTGACACCCACACTAACACAACAAAAATTGCAAAATTGCCGGAGCAGGTAGAGGGGACACAACTGCAACACGAGCCGACGTATAGACGAGTGCCAGAGGAGTCAACTAGTCAAATTTAAAAGCCGAACGAGCAGCGACGAGGAAAGTAGATATGCAAAGCCAGGAACGAAAGTACGCAGATGTGCAAATTATTCGTCGAAAGTACACCGGACGACTACAATGCTCTACCTTACACACGCACACACCGACTCGTTCGGAACGTCGAGTAAGTAACATTGCGATTCGGATGAGGGAAAAGGTAACGGCAACGGGCTATAAAAGACAGCGTAGCATGGAACACATTGACACGGACGATCTATCAAATGGATTTATTGAAATTCATCAATGACACGAAACCGAGAGGAGGGTGCGGAACAAGGGTGATGCGTGTGAAGAGCGATGCAGGTGAGGGTGATGCGATGGGGATGATGATGGAGGGGGCGAGAGGGTGTGAATACGACGATGCCGCCACACAAGTCACGAGTTACGGCGGGCGAGCGCGCAATGTGAATATCGTACAGAAAACCAGTCCGCTACACAGTCCGAATGAGAAAGAACAACTAGAGTAAAGCGAAACAGAAAAAATAAACGATGAATAAGACCACTGAGGTTTTCTACTAATGCTATTGAACCAGAACGAAATCAGAATATCAGCGAGGAGAAAAGGAAAACAGAGCCAGACGAAATCAGAATCAGACAGGAGATGGATGGGAAACAATGAGAAACACGAACATCACAACAGAACTAGCACGAATCAGAAACAGAAACACACGAGTCGGAACAACTCGAAAAGGTAACAACGATCAAAACAGAACATGAGCACAATTAGAACATGATGAACGTACGGAAACGGGCAACTTGGAAACGAAAGTTCGGACAGAAAGAACACGAAACATGACTAAAATGATCGAGGCGGGACGAGACCGGAGATGAGGGTAAAGAGACATGGAAAGTCCGTATGCGAAACAGAAACAGATATCACAGCATAAAACATAAAGCATAAAGCAATACGAAACCAGGTTTGGAGGGAAATCATCAACGATAACGACTGTCGGTCAGATGGGGGCGTGCGAACGATGGGTGGAACAGGCGTGCGGACATACTCGGATCATGAAGGGGTGAAGGTGGAAAGAATGGAAAAATCAAAGCAAAGCGAGCAACAGAACAGAAAATCAGCATCAGCAACAGCATTCATATCAAAGCAACACGAAGTAAAGCAAAGCACAACAGAAAGAATAAAATCACGATCATGACAAGCTGGTCCGATCGCAAGGCATCGCGCAGCGACAGAAGCCGGATTTCTGACTGTCTCGGTGATACAGGTGACGTGATACAGAGTCCTAGAGGCTCCTCATGTTAGGCACGTACAACGCTCCACGATTATGTGCACTCCTCTCCTTCCTCTTCTGGTGGGTCGGAGCAGGGAACGGTTCGGGCCTACCCTGCCGAGGTCCATCAGAGTAGAAGATCTTCGGACGCCACGCTTCGCGCTCGTCCATGATGGCGGAGTTCTTAAACTTCTCGACAAGGGCTTCCTTCCCTCTGGGATTAACAACGACACGCACGGAAGTTAGACACATTACGGGAAGTCAACAAGGAAGGAAGGACGCACTGGTAGTTCGCGTAACTCATCTGCAGTATCTTGTCGGAAGAGTACATGTTCCTGAACACCAACAAATAATGGTGAGAAAAACATCCAAAAGCACACAAGAAAAGTCTTACCACTTGACGCCCAATCTCGCTTTCGCGAACTTCAACAGATCGTCCACCGTGATGAAGTTCACGAACGCGTAGCCGACATTACATCCTATCAAGCACACAATCCCGAAACATCAGCACTCACTCTACTTATCATCTAGAAGCATAAGAACTCACCATTCCCGAAATCCATCCTCAGATAAAAGAAATCGATCCGTCCGGGAACGACGTCCGCAATGAACCGCTCCAAATCCCGATCACTCATCTTGTTAGGTATGTTCTTGATCATCACCGTCGTCCGCGTATCGCCTCCCGCCTCGATCTTCTCGAGGTTTACCTTTATCAAGAATCAGTACGCAGTTCAGATGAAATGAGCAGCATAAGAGGGTCGAAAGGCTCAGAGGTAGGAGGAGAGATATAGGAGACGAAAGAAGAAGACGGAGTGAAAGACACGAGAAGAAGGACATCGATCACAAATAAAATGAAGAACAAAGACACCCACCTGATTCCTCTCCGGAATAACCCCCGGCGCAAGCGCCCCAGCCGAAGACGACCCAGTCGGCGAGTACGACCCCGCCTCCGATCTCGAAGGATGCAACGGGCCCGCATGCAGCCGATTACGAGGATGAAGGAAAGAAGTACGAAGGCCGGAGGCGGAGTACCGGTGATGTGCTTCGGAGGACGAATAGCGTTGGTGTGCCTCGGACGAAGAATCAGGGTCGAACGGATCGCGTTCACGTTCGCGCAGACGTGCAGAAAAAGGCGAAGGCGTCCCGACCGTACCACGGCGACTCGGATATTTACCCTCGCCCCTCTCGCCACCGTCCCTCCTCGAATACCCTTCCTTGCGCGAACTCTTCCCCACGTCACGTCCAAGACCACGACGATCACGCCCACCCTCATCCTCCACCTGCATCATCTGGCCATCGGCGACACCAAACCCACCACCACCAACCATCGGATCCAAGAACGGCGGTGGCGGCATCCCCGGGACAGGGCCACCCGGGTAAAATCCAGGGTCGAACGGCGGCATACCAGGGAAGACTTCCAAAGGCGGCATGAACAGCCCGTCCTGAGGATGCGGGTGCATGAACAATTCGGGCCCAAGACCAGGCGGCGGGGGTGGGGGCGGCATTCCTACGAGCCCATCCATCAATCCTTGCGCATGGGGAGGCGGAGGCGGGTAAAGCTGGCCAGGCGGACCACCCATGAAGAGCGCCGGGTTGAACTCTCCATATCTGGCAGCGGCGGAGTGTTGATCGTAGTCGTAGACCGGAAGCCCGGAGGCGGGGTCGTAAAAGGACTGAGCAGTGAAAAGGCCTGCGTGGGGGTGGTCTTGGTAATGAGGATGAGTGGGAGGAGGCGGCAAGGCCGGAAGACCAGACGGGACGAAAGGCGTAGAGAACCTCTCTTCGAGCGAAGGAATATGCTGAACATGAAGCAAATCGGTATGCGTGTGCGCACTACCTCCTCCGACACCTGGCGCCGAGGTCGAGTAGTGTTGCTGCTGCTGCTGCTGTTGAGGAGGAGGAGGAGGGCGATCCTGACGTTGCTGCTGCTGTCGTAACTGATGATGAGACGAGCGATCCACCCTCACCTGCCCTCCCGAACCCGCACCCGCCCGATCAAGATGCGATTGCGTTCGCGCCTGTGCCTGATGAACAGTTTGCTGCTGCTGATTCTGATCTCCTGCACCCGACGCGACACTCACCCTTCGTCCCATCCCCGCACTCATCCCCACATCCTCGCTAAAGCTCCTCTGCTTGCCCACAACGTCCAACCCACACACTCCCCTCCCAAACACCGCATCCTGCTCCGACTTCCTCCTCGGTTGATCGTCCTGTTCGTGACTCAGAGAACATACAGCCACCCCTCCCGCGTTCTCATCAAGGCGCTGGCGATGCAGATCCTCGAGGACCGAGTTGATCGCGGCTGACGCCAGCGCACTGGCCTCAACCCCAGCCCCAGCGGAGGATGACCCAGCGGAGGGGGGTAAAGCAGGAATAGACGCAATGGAAGCTCTCGCGAGCGTGGACGCAGACGGAGACGGAGAAGAGGGAGTATTATTGGCGGTGTACGCTTTGACGCCGTCCCCAGCCCCGGCGCTCGCGCTCCTTGGCCTGGAATGAGGTGATCGACGCTGCTTCTCCTCTCCTCTATCGCCACGAGAGTGTGGGTGAGAGGGTGGCGGGGACGTCAAGTCGACATGCAAGATCCTGGGTGACGAGCTGGTATTAATCGATGGTGTGGGAACAGGGTGGCGAACGATGATTGAGGACGTGGCAGAGTATCGCGTGGAGGCCTGGACCGGAGCCTGAGGAGAGGTCGTAATGCTCGACCCCGCCGATGACGCAGTCGGCGTCGGAGTCAATGGCATGGGAGAGTTGTGGGAATGACCGTGACTAGCGTAAGCGGAGGTAAAAGATGCAGCGGCATTGGCAGAAATGGACCCGGCGGTGGGACGAGACTTTGAAGCCATTGCTGCCTCGGACGAATACCTTGCGGATGTGACGGTCTCTCTCGAGTTGGCCTTGGTGTTGCTAATAGACGGCGTGGATACCTGCAGCTGTGCGTCAAGAACGGTAGATGTGGGCCTATTGGAACCTTGGAGTTGGAGTCCTTGGAGAGCGGCCTGCGTCTCTCTGACGTCGTAAAACTCGACGTACCACTGTTTGACAAGAAAACAAGCGTCAGCGATCGAGAAAATGATGGCAGGAGTCAACGAGGTGGAGGACTAAATAAGTCTGCAAGAAGATTGAAGGCAGAAAGAACGGAAGGTTAAATACCAAGAAGAGAAAATGAATGGGTATCGGGGATCAAAAGGACCGGCCGGAGTAGCAAGTGCGGACGAGGTACAAATTAGGGTGAGGCAAATACGAAATAAGGTAAAGGGGGCGGAAGGCGAGGCGAAGTGTAGGAAAGGAGAACCAAAGGTGGAAGATGGGGCAAGAAGGTGGCAAGCGTCAAGTCGGGATCGTCGAGCCCCGACAGTTATATGTGGAAATACTGCTTCCGTCAGGTCACAACAAAAAAGAAGCGCTCAACAATGCACAGGTTTTCCAAGATATCGGAACAGCCAACGGCGAAGTTGGAGGTATCACACTAGGAAGATGGATGGATATCAAAGAAGCCGAAAGATGCGGAAGTAGAGCAGAAAGCAAAGGAGGGTATCGGTTTCGCGTGGGTAGGTAGATGGGGCGGGCGAAAGAGACATCAAAAATCATCGAAACACAGAACAAAAAAGGGATGGGCGGGGGCTGAGCGGATAGATAGTGATGATGGTGCGAACCCCAAGTGGTAGGAAGGAAAGGCAGAGGAGAGAGAGGACGAAGATAATGGGCACAGACCTGACCGTCGTCGCAGTGGTCGAAACGAGCGAGAGTGCCGAATGAGGAGAGGGTCGTGCGGACGTTATTGGGGGCCGTTTCGCGCTCATCATTTATTTTAAGATAGAAAGAGGCGTCCCGCTCGACCTCTGTCACAGGGGATGGGTTACCTGTCAACTATAGTTCGAGAGGTTGTCAGCAAAGTGAATCCAGATGCCAAGAAGAGATAAGGGTCGAGGTACGCGCGACGAGTCCCCAAACGCATTAGGACGGATGACCGAGCTCCGACGACCTGCAAGACTACACAATACATTCATGGACGAGAGTAAATATAAACAGCGAAGGTGCCATATTAACGCATATAACCAGTTCGACGCGGAGCAGGTCGAACATAGACACAGAATCTCATACCACGGCACGCACACACGCGCATGTATCGGGGTACTTGGCAAGCATACAACGCATATATCGGCCCCACACTAAAAAGAAAGGTGTATATACGCGTTCATTCACGCACAGAGGAAAATCATCATGCAGACTCAGGAAAAGGCCACGCGCATATATCAGGCAATTCCACAACGCATATATCGGCCCCACACCACAGAGAAGGCGCAGATATTCGTTGAGGTATATGCAGAGCCCAGGTGCGACGAAGTGCATACACGCACATATATCCGTGCCCGTGGACGAATCAGGTAATCCCGCAACGCATATATCGACCCCACACCAAACAAAAGCCGAATATATGCGTTCAGACAAACCGTGTAAGCACTTGAGTCCAGACACAACAAAGTCCCCGCGCATACATCCGCTGAGGGCGGATGCAAAAATAGCCACGGAAGCAAAGGTGACGAATAAGGAGGAAGGAAGAAGGAAAAACTACTTGCCTTTCTCGCGTGGTCCGCGGACAAATAATTCGCGCGGAGCTGCACGGTCTGCTCCACGTGTTCGACAACGAGGGAGCGAGGACGGGCGTTGAGCGTGCGCATCGCGCTCTCTGTGATGCGGAGGTCGTAAAAGACGAAGATGAGGAAGCCGTGGCGGCTGAGGTGGCCTGCCCAGATGCCCTTGGACTCGCCGAGGGGGCCAAAGGCGGTTTTGACGGCTTCGCTGTTAATGTTTTTTGGGACATTGCCGACCTATGAGACAACGCGACATCTCGTCATCGTAAGAATTCCGCTGAAGAGGAGAAAGACGTACGACAAGGAAGCGGGAAGGAGAAGTCTCTGAATTAAGGCAGGATTGTAGCATATATGCGTCTCGTTCGCGTTGCTCGGCCTCCTCTTGCGGAGTCAAGTCGACCTCCAACGCACCACTCGACTTTACAAGACTGTCCTGCCTCGTCCTGACATACTGCTTCGTCCGCCTAGCGATCGCCGCGGAGTCCTGGAGCGTGTTGTCGATAGGGGTGACAGGTCCCTGGCCATACTGACTGAGGGTGTCGTTGAGCGAGGACGAAGGGGTGAGGGGAGGCGTAAGAGGGACATGGGAGCGGATGGGCGAGTTTTGCACGCTGCTGAGGGGGGACACCGAAGAGACGGTGGGAGAACCGAGCTGAAGGAAGGGAAACTGGACGGCAGAGGGGTTTGGAGCGGCGCCAGAAACGGATTTTGAGGAGGCGAGGTCAAGAGAGCCGAGGTGGGCGCGTTCGGCGAGGGCATTCGCGAGCTGGGAGGGGTCGCTGCCGGATTCGGCAACTCTGTAAATGCGCGTGAGGAAGCAACAGGGGTGGAGCGGGAGAGGAAGAGCGTACAGATTTGGGAGCGACGGAGACGAGTGCAGCCGCTGCAGGCCCGGAAGGGGCCCAGACTGGGACGGAGTCTGCTGGGCGAGCGCGCCACCTGCGTGCTGTTTCGTCTGCGAAGAAAGGGCTGGGTGAACTGAGACTCGGCCAAGAATAGAAAGCGCGTACTTTGAAGAGATGCATTTTGCAAACGCGTGCGGGGTTTGAAGCGGAGACGCGACTGTTCGCAGCGGACCAAGAAGGCGAGAGACGTGAAGGGGAGAGAAAGAGCGGGACGACGATCGCCGCGCGCTCGCATTATTATATGCGCTCGACGAGGGACGCGGCGGGCAGAACGAGTGCGCGACTCTCTGGCCGCAAACTTAAAAGGAAGCAGCGCTGCCTGTGCCCGCCATCGAGATCCTGCCCTTATCCAGTCCAGATAAAGCCCACCGTCGCCTTCTCTTCGGCTCCCTATTCAGTTCACTTCCAGATCCCGCCCCGTCCACAGTTCTCTTCTCGTCCGCAGCCCACAACTGCCTCCGTTCTCTCGCGCGTTCTCGTTGTCGCCCAGCAGAAGGCGGCTCAGGAGCACCGTCCCCGACGGCCTCGAGCGCGTCCTCCTCGTTCTCGTCCTCGACGGACCCCGTCCTCCTCGAACTTCCATCACTTCTTTCTCCGCGGTGACAACGGCCCCGCATGACAGCACCCATTCTTGTCTCGATCGACGTCACCCACCGTCCTCAGCTCGCGAAAACGCGTGCATCATTAGTCCATTCTGGGCTCCAATGGATATCTCACTGCCGCTTTTGGACGCATATCCGACCGTCCCATCAACGGGATCATCGCAAGGCGACCCCGTTTTTTTTTCTTCTTCTCTTTCTTCGAGGCGTCGGGTGGCGCGCACACTACCCAGCCACAGAGGACGGGTTGATTTTTCGTTGTTTGTGTCGGTTGATTGTCTGCATGAAGTGAAGAACCTGTCGTGAGCGTACATACGAATGATTGGCAGCGGAAGAACCTACTTTTGGTCGCAACAAGACGGAAGAAAAGTCGAGACGACGTCGCAGTCCAACCTCCGGGCATCAGACAAGCAAATCTCATGGGAAAGAGAACGCGCTACCGAGGTCACCGACCGTCGTTCTCCTTTTAGATTGCGGCTCGTCAAAGGGTGAGTAAGGCACCACTCGCTCATTCACTCACTCCACGTCAACGCTCTTTGCTCGTCTGTCATCTGCTTGACAAACGGTTATCCACGTTCGAAGTCCCCGTCGCGATTCCCGCGTCGTGGCGGGCACTTCATCTCGCGATCGTACCTTCTCTCTGCTTTGTCTTGGACTGTGTCTGTCCCCTGAGTCGAACAATAAAAACGATTCAGCTCAAACCCCCACAAGAAACCAAGCAAAGCAACCGCTGACCTCCGTCTCCAGACCTTCTCAATTCACTCTCCTGAGCCTTCGAAATCTAGCGACGTGGCCTCACTTCATTCATCACCCTTCGTCATCCAATAGCGGTGCGACTCGCGTATCACGATTTTAGCTCAAGCGCCCTCTATCGTTCGTTCGTCCAACCTTGATCAGGATTCAGCTTGCGATGGGATTAGAGAGTCGCCATAGAAGTCGAAGACGCGGATGCGCCGAGGAAGGTTCGTGGTTGCGCGTGGTGAGAACTGCATCAGTCTTCAGATGTCGTCGGGTCTGTTTTTAGGACGCCGTCGCGACTCTTCGCTTGTCCATGAGTACCGCCCACCGCACCAGAGACTAAAGCAAAGCAAAGCACAAGCCCAAGAAAAATACATTCAAGCCATCAATCCAAGGAATCAGGATTTGTGGCTCCTCCTCGAAAACGGGCGCAAATGAAAAACGCATCAACTAGTGCCACGCGGCCCTGAGCGAACGTGACCCTGAGCAACGCAGCAACGTGTACCCGAGCGGGGGATCGCGGAGTTGCGGAAGAAGCGGTGCCACATATCCGGGCCAATCAGATTCTCAGAACATGGCCGACGCTTGGATTTTCGGGCTCCGTGATGTGGCGGGGGCGGCAAAGGGCGGGGATTTTCGTGTTGAAATTGAAAGTTTGGACGTTGTGGTGCGGCCGTTCGCGATTGGGATGTACTGTACATAGATGGGGTGGATGTATGGATAAAGGTAGTGGTCTGTTTTGTTCGTTTTGACCCTCGAGCGGTGCAGTAAAGGATGTTTCGCGAGAGAAGTTTTGAATTGCGAAGAAGAAGAGGATGTGTACACAGTTGGTACACAGGATCAACACAGGACGGGTTATGCTACAGCGGCAAATCTAGAATTTCTGTGGTCAGGTTCGAACAAGGTTCGAAGGGCCCTCGTGCCAGCACCGTCACGGTAGGAGAAGACGCGCTTTGGATTTATTTTCTCTTACTTTTTATTTTCTTTCATGCTGCCGCCGACGGTCGGAGTGCGCTCAATCTCAGCTCGGTACGTATGCTGGAGTGAGAAGTTCAAGCAAAGTTCAAGTACAGTACTACTGATAGCCACTATCCGTGTATGTACGTATAAGTATGGATGGAGAGAGGCATACAATGTCAGTCGTCATTTCACAGACCCAGAAACCGATGGATAAAACAGAACAAAACACAAAAAACAATTAGTGTCAACAAACGCATACGAATGGAGCGGCGGAAGCACACAATGGTACGAAGAAGAAAGTTAGGAGAAGTGAGGGATAAACTTGGACCATGCTATATCGGTGAAAGCTTCGGGGGGAAGATGCGCGAAATCGATGAAGCACAGAACATAAATTGAGACACTTGCCGCTGCATATATCAAGCAGGACATACTGAAGACGACTAGGTGAAGTGCCATGAGTATTTTCACAATCGGGTACCAGTGGCGAGAATGATCTACGTTTTCTGGACCTACTAACGCTTTTAAACATAGTCTCTCGAAAATGGTGAGGAAGGACGCGTAGATCCCAACAATAGTTATACAGATGGAAGATAGACGCCAGACGCTGCTTTGAGTGGCGGAAGGGAATTTGTGTTTCCAGGCTACAATATGTATGCCGCCATAGCCAGCAACTGTAATCGCAAGTCGTAAAGCTTTGGAAGGTCGGCCAACGATTTCATCCGTGAATCTATAGACCATCGCTGATCCAGTGGTGGGCCACACCAAATCAAAGACCATATGTCTATCAAGGCCAAAACGGTTGACGGCCTTGGAGGCAAGCTTCCATCGTCTCAAATGTCTAAAGAAGGGTTGTTGTAAGCCACTGAGGCCAAAGGAGACAACTATTCAATATGCACAGACCTTTCACTTATCTCTAAGAAATTGCTTTGGCAAAATGGACATGCTCTTTCAAGGACTGCTGTTTCGTCGTCGTCATCGACTCCGAGATCGTGCACAACTGTGCTGCTGTCGCTCCCTGGATCGGAAAATCTGTGGCGGTCACAAAAGCGCTTAAAATCTGTTGCGGGCTTGACTGTAGCTAGCTCCGGCAGTCTATACGGCGTACACATCGACATGTACGCAAGAAGTTCTCGACAGGTGGTATCCGAAGGCCTGGCATTGATAATCACAGGCTCTTGAACTTCGAATGGTTTATCCCACCATAAAAGGTACACAGCAATCATGCAGAATGCATGCGCTAAGGTCGTTAACTCCAGCAAACTGATGGGAAGATTTTGAATAGCGCGTGCGATGATCTGTGTGCAGAACCACCCGGTTTGCAAGCATGCCAGAGCCTTCGATAGCCCGTCTGCTTTACTTTTATCGAGAATCTCTTCTCTGGACAGTGTCGGGATTATCTCCGGAGCGTGTTTCCTGAGGAATACCACTCCGTCAGGTTGAAGTCGTATTCGCGTCGCGGAGCGGGGAAGAAATGGTTCCTCGTCAGTCGTATCAAAGACGAAGCCGCCCATGCATGCAAAATAGCTATGGGTTATCGTCCATTGAGTGTCTGCATCTTCCGCCTTCTAGGATGCGAACAGTCCTCAGCCCTTGGAGAATGAAAGCCAATCAGTAGTGCTCACCTGTCGGATGCACATGAGCTTTGTCAAACCCTTCAATACGAGGCACTTGATACGAGTCGGGAACGGGTTTGATTTAGGACCGACTTGACGATTAAGGCGTCGTACAGCATGATTTTGGGCCCAAGAGAGATAAATGATAACCTCTGGCGATAGCAATGCTATGATAAGCAAGGTCGCTCTGCTTTCGCCCATATGAAATATTGGTCGGTGTTGAAAGCCCACGTTGGGATGAACAGCTGTCCATACGCAGAACACAAGAGTGAGCACACAGCTCGATAGGATACCAAATGACCCTCGACCGTCTGGTTCGGGCTGCCAGACGACGCCACCCGTTGTACTGTTAACGGGAGAAGACATCGATGTCCCTGGACGTCCAGAAGTGATGAAGGGAATGGTGCGTGGTACGATTCGTGTAAAAGGAATACAACGAGTTGCGAGAGCAGTGTGGGACGACAGGACGACCAAGGGGTGGTGTAAGAGAGGGAAGTGAGACGCTGTGAGTTCTTCCGGTGAAGGAAGTATCATTATATACAGGCAATGGTGCATATTCTTAGAGGAGGCCATAGAGAAGTGATTGCGGCTTCCACCATGCGGATGAGTCCTGACGCTAGAAAGCGGGAGTATAGAACCTTACTATTTTAGGGAGATTGCGAACACATAGGGCGGTACCTTTGCGTGGAACATTGCCTTAGCACGCCCTAACCACGTGTATGCCCTCACTCGCAAAACATACGTGAAATGGTGCATTATGATCAGGGCACTCCACAATACATGCTGCTGCTGGGTCCACTCGACTATAGCAAAGTCGACATAGCGTCGCGGGAATACAGCCCCTGCGACGACAGGATGGACGCCCTCCAAATACAAGATTGACTATCGGCTTTGCTCAGCACGGGGCCGAAGGGCTGAATCCCTATGCATAGCATACAGGCAAAAACACGACTGATACAGCCCATGCGTGAAATGATGTATCAACGCACCTTCGGCGTGCCGCATAGATCACACTACGATTGGATGTGATACTGAATTACCTAGAACCTGAGCTGCAACCACAGGTATGGTGGCATCTAGGAGTGTGCTAGAAAGACACCCAGAGTATGGACGCATGGTGGTCACGGCCAAGTTGTCAGTCAATGTTTTCTTCGAACGCGAAGACTTCGGTGTTCGTCGAGGGCGAAGCCAATGTGGCCCAGCGCTACGATCTCATCGCCACGACGAGACATATTGACTCGTGGGCTCAACGCCTCGATTTAAAATGAACCATATGTGGGCGTAAATGACCCCAATACAAGAATCGAAAACGAGGACACCGCCGCTAGCGCGGTGGCACCAAAATCAGGAGGGGAGTACTCGATCACCACTCCACAGTCTTGAAATCCCCGTTCTTTTGCGAGTACGGTGGGTGGTCACAGAAGAATCCTCCGTTCGGCCCATCTTCTGGAAGCGTGGAGAGCCAGGTTATGACCACCGCGGCTTCGTCAGGCGTGCGTCCTCCAGCTTCGAACCGCATAACAAGAAAAAGAATAAAGGGTCAGTGAGTGTTCAGATGGAATGCACAATTCATGAGAAGCGGAGATGAAGTGCTATCGAGAGGAAGAGTAGTATGGGAACTGCGGATCGTAATACAGATCGGGATATACAAGGAGAAAAGGCACGTACTGTAGCCACTGAAAGCCGTGTTAGTGTGCCCCGGACATGCCGAATTGACCTTGAAATGAGCGTTCGTATTCGGTAGGTCCTTGCTATACATGACCGTAAGCATGTTCAGGGCGGTTTTTCTGCGGCAAGCAAATGGTTTCAGTTTGAATCCTGTGGTATAGACGATTGAATACGTACGAGGTGCTATAGATTATGGGACCCACTCCTGGCAACGAAGATATCAAGCCGAGGGATCCAGCTCCGGAGGATACATTGACGATCCGAGGAGAGGCGGATTTGGCCAGTAACGGGGCAAAAGCGTCTGTCACGATCATGAATTAGACATATCCGGTGATCAGTAGGACAGCACAAAGGCAACTAAACGTATACTCACTGATGGTACCGACAACGCCAAATACGTTGACCGCGAACACTTCCTCGAAATGAGCCCTGGTGTGCTCCGTAGCTTTATAACCGGGCATTCCCCTGGCCGCGTTATTCACCAGAACCTGATCCATAACGGCAGAAATGCGAGCAATGTGAGCTATAGCAAGCAGAGGCGTGGAGGGAAGAGAATCTTACGTCAAGCTTGCCAAACTTTTCTTCCACCTCCGTTGCTGCTCTCCGCACGCTATCCGTGCTAGCTACGTCAATCTGAAGAGGATGCACCCCGTTCTTCGCACCGTCTTTCTTCAGCTGTTGGACAGCATCGTCTAGAGACGGAGAGAGATTACGAGAGCCTAGAAGGACTGTGAAACCATGTTGAAGAGCAAGCTGACGGGCGGCTGCGAACCCTATGCCGTCGATACGGTTCGCACCGGTGATGAGTACAATACGGCTGAGTGTAGAAGCAGGCATTGCAGCAGTGTTTGTTATAGAGAAGTTAGGGAGAGGGTGACAAGAGATAATAAGGTATAGCAGGGAGTTCTCCTCGATGTACTGCAAGTGAGATATTCTGCAATGGCATTGGATGTGGTGCTTTTATGCGTCTGGAGTAAAACAGAACGAGTGAAGATGTTTGGCGGAGTCACTGTGGGTAAAGATTGTGCAAAAAGATGGCCTTTACCAAGTCCCTTGCAAGAACGAGACCTTCGGAGAGAAATGACAACGCCTGAGGACTGAGAACCAGTGAGCAATTTTGAGCGGACGTTGTCGTTTCGTCCGAGCCTTTCCTCCTCAGTTGTCATGGACTGTAATGGGTACCACTAAATGCTGAAAGATCAGTCAAGGAAAGTCGAAAAGTGGATCGCCCAATCCTGGCGGAACGGTCGACGTGGGTCTTGCTTAGGTTAGCAATTTGGACCTCGATGTGGGTCGGGTTCTGGGTTTCAAACTCCGGCACCACCCGGTTTGCCTGGAATACTCACGCGCAGTGCGCACGTCTTGTCCGTCACATCATCTTTGTCTCGGAAGGAAAGAATTATCAGAATGTGTTCCTTGCATTTGCCATTGTAGATACTTTTACATAGTGAGGTTTTGTCGACATTCACCGCGGGCTAAGCAAAGCACCATTCGCACGACCATTCAACGACTGTCACCAACAACAGAACGCACTTTCCATGCCAGCGATTACCACTTCAAGGCCTTGAATTCTCCGTTCTTCTCCGAATACGGAGGATAATCACAGTAAAACCCCCCAGTGGGCCCGCTTTCAGGAAGTGTGGCGAGCCACGTAACGACTGCGGCGCCTTCATCGGGTGTGCGGCTTCCGACTATAATGATGGCAGAGTATACGATATTATCGATAGGGACTTGATGCAGCGGGTGGTGAAAGGAGTGAAAGAGTGAGACGTACTATGTTTATTGAACGACGTATCAGTGAAACCTGGACATCCCGAGTTGACCTTGAATGCGGGGTTCAGCTTCGGTAAATCTTTGCTGTACATGACGGTGAGCATGTTGAGAGCAGCTTTCCTGGAAGTGATTGTTGTCCAGTCGCGATCGCGATAGTTTTAGCTAGAACTGACTGCGGCAGAGTTTGACCCAGGAGAAAAACGTACGAAGTGTTATAGGCGATAAGGCTCCCTCCCATGTGGCCAGCGGGTAAAGCGGATTCAAAGTCCAAAGAGCCAACGGAAGAGCTGACGTTCACGATACGTGGGGAGGAAGACTTGGCGAGGAGAGGTGCGAAGGCATCTGATGATACACGAAAAAAAGAATATCAATGAGATTTTTCGCCACTGCGTCGAGTCACTTTCTCGCCGATGCGTAACAAAGTCAAACGGCCTGGGATGCAAAGGTGGGAAGAGAATGACGGAAAAGGACGGGGATGTGGGAACGCACTGATAGTATCGACAACCCCAAATACATTGACCGCGAATACTTCCTCAAAGTCTTTTCTAGTATGCTCCGTAAATTCGAGGATCTTTTGTGGCCAAGCGTCGGTGTACTCAGGGCGAGAGGGAGGGAGACTCAGCGCGGCGTTGTTTACCAGCACCTACACCGGCGCGAAAGAAATCAGAACCCAATTAGTGATTGCATAGACATCCAAACCACGGCAACAACAGCAGAGGAAGAGAGTGGCTCACATCGAGCTTTCCAAACTTCTCCGACACCTCTTTCGCCGCCCTTTTCACGCTGTCCGAACTACCTACATCGATCTGAACAACATGTACCCCGTTCTTAGCCCCTTCTTTCTCGAGCTGCTTGGCGGCGGCGTCAAGAGCTGGAGAGAGAGTACGAGAGCCTAGTACGACGGTGAAACCATGTTGGATAGCAAGTTGACGGGCAGCTGCGTAGCCTATGCCGTCGGTGCGGTTTGCGCCTGTGATGAGAGCAATGGGGGCGGACATTGAGGCAGAGTGTGTATGATAACGATAGGTTAGTTTCAGTCGTCTGTAAGATGTCGGTCTCCAGTTGCGAGTACCGGGCTGGAACTGTACTTCGGTGATGGGTCAGCGCGGGATATTTAACATAGGATCGCAAGTGTCTCCGAGGCGGGATCGCAGTGGATAGCCTGACAAAGCTCATCTTATGCTCGTAAGACGGAGTTCGCATCCCGTTGGACATCCTAAGATCCTGTGAAAACGACGATCACACGAGTGTAAGTAGGAAGTTAAGGAAGAAATTGGAGCTGCAAGAATGAGTCCTTTGGCCGCGCCGGGACCGAGGATGTAGGACATTGGCCGTCGATGCGCTCAGAAGCGCGTCATAGCAGAATGGATCTGCGGGCATTTGACGGGAGGTTGTTACGATCTGGTGTGAGGTCGAGTCATGAGGTCGTCGATGATTCAGAGCGACGGCCACGATGTCTGCCGCTTTGCTTATTGAGAAATACACAACCCTGAAGAGATAGTTTCAAATATATAGAAAGAACGGCCCATCGTGACATTGACCTACTTACATGATCACTAAGAAAAGCACTCAGCCAGGGGAAGTGGGGCTCTTGGTTCCCATCTCATGAAAATAGATCAAGAACGTGGAGTAGTGAGACACACGGTGGTCACTGAAGAGTAAAGGCCAGTGTCCATATCAAGAATGGACCAACGTGGCCCGTGGCACCTGCGTTCAAGCAAAACAGAAGATCTTGAGCATCCCTACGGTTGGAACACAATGAACAAAGACACTTACTACGGAACGCGTAGGATAAGTCTCGACCAAGAAATAACAATCAAAGACGCAGAAGGAAGGTGAACAAACGCCACGGCGTACAAAACGACGAGTGGAATACTCGCCACAATATGCCCCAGAATTATAACTCACGCGATGATGCCGACTGCTAGGAGGAGATTTCCTCTTAGGATGCCATCTGCGCTTCGGCTTGTCTCCATAACCGTCACTATTACTTTTTTTCCGTTTCTCTGCGTTGGCGATACGAATATCCTTCCGACTGATGCCATATCAACTTCACATTCAGCAAGAGAAGGTTCAGGGATCCGGACAGATTCTACCAAGACATGGATCAGCTCAATACGCAGCAGAAGATAAATAATGGTCGAAGGTTGCCGTTGTGGCAGACTATAGGAAAGTTGATGAAGAGATGTATGTTGAACTCGAAGCTAGCGAACGTCGCGGTTATTCGCAGAGAGCAAGTCGAGCGAAAACAGAAATACCAAATTGGGACGAGTCCTCGCAGCGGTCCGCGCCATGGTCCGCGGACCATTTACCCCGAAAGTACACGCTGGCATTGCAAGGTCGTGCGCATCTCTCACTCCAGAATCCCAAAAACAATTCACCATTCTTACACACACGTACCCACAAGTCATTCTCTCATACAGCCATGGCCATGAAAGCGGTGAGTGTTTGTCTCAAATGTTAAACACGGATTTGTGGCTGACTGTTGACTTTGTGGCCAGATCGTGAAAAGTGCGTAAAGCGGACTTGAATTATTCCATGGCTTCTTGTTCAGCGCGGCTAAGGGCTAGCGCACTGTGTTCAATATGTGCTTGAACAGGTGCTATCTCCGGCGACTCTCTTATTCTTCGTGGACGTCCTGGACCGCAAGGACAACCTCCAAAGGAACGGTACGTGTCAGAAATTTGGATGTGTTGAGTGGAATAAGTCTGACGGAACGGTCTTGTATGTTCCAGTATTCTTCACCTCGCCGATGTCTCTTCACCTCGTATGGGCAACCAGTCGCGCGAAGATGAAGTGCGTCCAACTATCCTACTCCTCAGTCTTCAGCTTTTCTGAATAACATTACTTCATCACTCAGCCATGGGCATTTGAAGCTCGCGAGTTTCTTCGCGCGATGGCAGTCGGCAAAGAAATCACCTTCACATCATCTCACTCACTACCTCCAAACGAAGACGTCCCTCGCGACCTCGGCAACGGTGAAATCAACGGCCATGACCTCGCCACGGAGCTCCTCAAGAACGGATGGGCAAAGGTCAAGGAGATCAAGAGAGAGCCGACCGAGGAGGATACGAAGAGAAAGGAGCTCGAGACTGAGGCTAAGAACGCTGGTCGTGGTGTGTGGAACCCTCATGGGCCCAAGGTGTGTCATTTTGTGCGGATTGAGTGTGGTCTGTTGCTTTCCGTTGGAGTCGGAGGCAAGAGCGTACGGTTCGCCAGTGTGGCGTACTTGCAAGTTATTGGGCCACACCACTCTGCATCTGGATACCTCGAGCATCGTTGTTCTCAATCATCCTTCCGATATTTTGTCAGGCTCGCGAAGTGATACACAACATGCCGATCGACTCACAAGCCTACATCACCGAATGGAAGGGCAAACCGATTGATGGTACACCACATTCCTAACTCCTCCTCTCACTCTTACTGAAACTCCATTCATGCAATCAGCCATCGTCGAAGCCGTCCGCGATGGCTCAACACTCCGCGTACGCCTCCTAATGCCCGAAGGCGAACACCAATTCGTCAACATCGCCCTCGCAGGTGTCAAATCTGCTCGCGCCGCATCAAAGCAGGGTGAACCATCCGAGCCATGGGGCGAAGAAGTTGGTATTCTTGCCTACCCCGTGCTGTTTCCACTGTTGAATGTACTGAGTATTGACTCAGTTATGTTGTTAATTTATCATAGGCTAAATTCTTCACGGAATCGAGGCTCCTGCAACGCGCCGTAAAGGTTCAGCTACTCTCGCTACCAACAGCTGCCGCTACACCTTTCCAGGCCAGCGCCAACGGAGGAGCACCCGCACCTGCGAGTATCTTCATCGGCAACGGTCAGTACTCCATCTCTCCGTCTTACCTTTACTTCCTATCATCGTACGTGCGCTTGGCTTCTCACTCTCTTTGGCCACAGTTCTCCATCCAGCTGGTAATATCGCCGAACATCTCGTCGGAGGTGGACTCGCTCGTGTCGTCGACTGGCACGCAGGCATGCTTGCCTCCTTCGGCGGGATGGAACGTCTCCGCGCCGCAGAAAAGTCGGCCAAAGAAAAACGCATCGGTCTGTACGCGAACGCTCCCATCTCAGCTACAAATGGTAAGGCATCTGGCGCTGGAGGAGCCGCAGGTTCAGGCGGTGCAGCAAATGGCGTGGGCAGAAGTTTCGAGGCGACGGTGGTTAGGGTGTGGAGTGGTGATCAGGTCAGTTTGGTGGAGAGGGAGAAGGCGGGGGCGAAGGAGAAGAGGGTGCAGTTGAGTTCGGTTAGGGGGCCGAAGTGAGTGTCTTCTCCATTTTTCTTTTTCCTTCCCCTCGATCTTGGGACTTGTGTGTGTGTGGTGAGTGTGGCGCTAAACGAGATTGGACGTCTAGGGCATCAGACCCCAAGCAGGCACATTGGGCCATTGAGGCTAGGGAATTCCTGCGGAAAAAGCTTATCGGCAAGCACGTCAAGGTTCATGTCGACTTCATTCGTCCCCGGGAAGGCGAGTACGATGAGCGGGAGTGCGCCACAATACGCTATGGGAACCAGAGCGCGTATGTCCTATCCTCTTTTTTTCTACGTATCTCGCTAGAATTGATTGACTAACTTTGGACTGGCTCTAGCAACGTTGCTGAACAACTTATTGAGAAGGGTTTGGCGGGTGTTGTACGACACAAGCGAGACGATGAAGACCGGTCACCGGATTATGATAAGCTCATGGCCGCCGAACAAAAGTTTGTCCAAATTTGCTTTCGTTATTCAGTGGACTCTTAATTAAACTCCTGTTGGGTCAACCAGTGCTGTCACAGAAGCCCGCGGTATGCACTCAGGCAAAGAGTTCCCACCACCCAAGCAACCTCTAAACTTGTCCGAGGTTAGTCGTGTCGTGCCACGGGCGTGGATCATGGGTGCTGATGTTGATGTTTACTGTTCGCTGGGCTCAGGCTGCCAACCGTGCGAACCAGTTTGTCAATGGCTTCAAGCGACAAGGCCGGATACCGGCCGTCGTCGAATACGTTGCTGCTGGCTCACGCTTTAAGTGCGTACTTTTATTCCATCTTTGAGATCAGAGCTCGTTCTTCTTAACACATGGTTCTCAGGGTTCTACTCCCAAAAGACAACCAAGTCCTCACACTAGTCCTCGGTGGTAAGCCTTCCCCGTCATCGCCCCAATTCCTACTGCCTCATCACCACTTCCTCACCCAGGCATCCGCGCACCACGAACCGCTCGCAATGCCTCAGAAAAAAGCGAACCCTTCGGTACTGAAGCCGCCGAATTCGCCACACGGAAATATATGCAACGCGACGTCGAGATCGAGATCGACACAGTCGACAAGTCAGGAGGCTTTATCGGTGCGCTGTACGTGAACAAGACGGAGAATGCTGCGGTGGCGCTGGTCAGGGAAGGTCTGGCATCCGTTCATGCGTTTTCGGCGGAGAGTTTGCCTTGGTCGAGACATCTGTTCGAGGCTGAGGAAGAGGCAAAGAAGGCGAGGCGGAATGTGAGTTGACTTCGCTTATGTTCGCATACTAAGGTCACTGATCCTGTGTCTATTCATTGGCAGATGTGGGCAGACTACGACGAGTCGGCGGAGCAGGTAGAGGTTGTAGTAGAAGACGACACGACCGCACTTCAGCCTGAATATCTCGACGTCATCGTCTCCGACGTTCGCACTAAGAACGGTTTCGGCTTCTCCGTCCAGATTCTCAACACCGAAGGTATCGCCTCCCTCGAAAAACTCATGCGCGATTTCTCGCTGCACCATAAGGGCGCACAATCGACGACTACGCCAGGGTTCGTGCCTAGGGGCGGAGATCTTGTGTCGGCAAAGTTCTCGGACGGGTCGTGGTACCGGGCGAAGATCAGGAGGGCGTCGGCACTGAAGAAGGAGGCAGAGGTGACGTTCATTGATTATGGGAACCAGGATACGATTGGGTTTGAGAACATTCGACCGCTGGATCCGAAATTCAGGTCGTTGCCTGGTCAAGCTCACGACGCACGACTAAGGTCCGTCTTCATCCTGGTCGCTCTGTCGGTCATGGTTGACCATTTCTTTCATTATTGTGTTACAGCTTCATCAAGCTCGTTGGCCCGGAAAGCGACTACCATCTAGAAGCTATCGACCGCTTCCGTCAATACTGCGAAGGCCGCAAGCTCGTCGCTAACATCGATCAAAAGGAAGGCCAGCTGCTACACCTTCGCCTCATGGACCCTTCCGACCCCAACGCATCGAACGACCCCCTTGCATGTATCAATGCCGACCTCCTGAGGGACGGTGTTGCGACGGTCGATAAGAAGGGTTGTCGGTACATGAGCTCTTACCCTGCGGTGATTAAGAAGATGAGGGAGGCTATCGAGGGTGCGAAGAGGGATCGGTTAGGAATGTTTGAGTTTGGCGATGTGGAGGAGGAGGACTAGGTCCTTACCGAATGGAGCTAGCAATGATGTTGGGCAGCGTTGAGACGAAGTCAGGGTGCCCCAGAAATGGCAATGAGGCTGCAATCTGGTCAATTGATAATCTATTTGATGTTTCAGGCGGTTGGGACGTTACCTTGCTTGCTAGGTCCTTCACACCCCCGTAATTATGCCAAGGATGCCAAAAACAAACGAAGACAAACATGGTGGCGTAGTCCCACTACAAAGAATTGTAGTCCGTGGTAATACTAGGCGCCACTCCAGGTTTACTTGCTTCAATATTGCTCTCCCGCGCAACACACACTCCCTTGAAGCAGGCCACTCCCAGGCTGCACTTGTGATGTGCATTTTGTAGCACAGCCGGAACCCCATCAAGCAAGGTTGGCAGCTGGCGGACAGAGCGCTCCCAGTCCTGTATTATCTCCGATAGTTACACTGTATGGCTCAGCTATCGTGCTCTAAAGCAGGGGCAAAGCTTCCTTGGACGGGAGGTATGTTGTCTTTGACCGAGTGCAGAGACGTTACGCGATGAAGCAGTTTTTATCATACGTACTGGGTGGCAACTGCCAACTGGTAGGTCGGTACTAAACTCCGTTTGAAACTCCGCTGCAAGAGATTCCGAGTCCTGGTCAAGCCAATAACTTCGTCTTCACGATGACTTTTGTAAGTTTTCTATCTCCATTAACACGACCCGTTCGTAATTCATAACTCAGAGCCTAACTCGGACAAGTCAAGATCATAGCTCTAAATCCGCTCCTGTAGGGATTCACGGACATGAGCCTGGGTTATGGGATCGAGTTTCTGGTCATCAATTTGTGCCCGTGCCATACATGGGTATGATAACAGTCTCACATCGCGCGTGGACCGCAAGAAGTGCCCTAGCCTTTGCCCCAGAGCTTCAGACTCAAGGAGAAGGGTTTGCATTTGAATGTTTCTTCTGTTCTTCCTCTCCGCCACGTCTCAGCAACTTCTCTGTACGTCGGAAGTGTCTCTCGGTTGATACGTTCGTCCTTCACGACTGATGATTTGATACTGGTCCGGCTGAATGTTATAGGATGAAGATTCGATAGGGACTGTGACACAATCAGAGGCACGGGTATGACATCCTTGGCGATGGTCAATGCGCGGGAACCTTGCAAAGCTACTATTCCCATGTCAATAGCGACTAGTGGGCATCTCTAGAGCGATATTGGGGTGAGGACTGCAAGCAAAATCAGGCCAAACTATCGCAAGTTTCTGTTTCTTGATAGTCAAGGGCATTCAGGTAAGTGAGATTCACAACAAAACGCAATAGGTGTTTGATGACCGTGTGCAGTGTTTCTCCATCAGTGTCACAGCCACTGCGCTGCATGACGTCGGCCCCAAATCAGCCTTGCTATCTCTAAACACTCCCAGCGGATCAGAGGCGAAAGCATGTCCCATCTTGGTCCCATTGAGCCATCGTATCCATTCTTTCTGTACGATTTGTTCGTACCAACGGCAGCGGAGACCACACGCCTCGTACCGGCCACATCGGTGTAGTTGTCAATGGTTTGAGGAGCCGACTCAGTTCCTAGCCCAGTCTGCCCTTGAGCGCAACTCTCAGCGCCTCCATTGACCATACCTGTGGACTCGGTCTCGCGAGCCTTCGCACTGTTTTCCGGTATGTGAATCTGTCCAACCGCTTCGAAAGAGTCGGGTATTCAAGTCTCCTCGCTGCCTACCTCTAGAAATTCGTACAAGACAGCTGTGTCGACGTCAAGTGGACGTCTCTCGTGACGACATCGGTCTATCAAGTACATCACATTCACGTCGAACTTCGCTCTCTCATCTTATATGGTTTATGTAGGTCTCAGGCTCGATAGACCCAAACACCTTGATTGGCGGTATGGTTTCTCTTCATAGCGTTTTCGGTAGACTTGATTAACCAAACAAACTCCACCTCATCGATCGGCTATTCACGAGCCCTACAAATGCATGAGTGCATGTGTACCCAGGATTGGCTCAAAGCCCCTCAAGTAAACACTGTCGCCTTCTACAGGATCGCTTAGGGAAAGTGAAGGTGAGAGATGTCCGAAAGCGTCTTGCGATGATGCTACAGTGACTTACGCGAATCATTTTTCCTAGTACTAGCTCTTGGCTGTCTCACACAGCCCGACAAACATGCAAACCATCAGCGCATACCAGTCTGCACCGAGGAAAGCTGTGAAGTAAGAGCTACGGCGGCGAGCATTGTGAACTGCGCGAAAAGGGCCAATTACAATGGGCATTCGCTGTTTTCTGAGCGCTGAACTGGTGCCTCCAACTGCATATCTAAGATGTAACACTTTGCTTGATTTAAAGATCCATAAGAGGGCACTTATTACGCAGGGTGTAGCTCGCCAGCGGCCAACTTGAGAACGCTAAAGCAGGGATTTTGGGCCTTTGCGTTCGCGCCATCCTGCCAAAAGAAAATTGATATCCATTATTTTCTGTCACAATCAGGGACTTGAGTAGCTAAAGACGCTCGGGTTGCTTGCTCTCCTCATCTCGTGAGCAGTATACTGACAGGATTCTATTGCAGGATTGGACTTAGGAGGTAAGGCAGGCGTCTCGTGGATTACACCGTCGGAAGGCCCATTTACCCACGCGGAATATCCGATGCCTTCGATCTTGCTTCGATCGCCAGAGATACTATATATCGTCGCCAAGAACGCTGCAACTTGTGCACAACCATACACATTCTGCGCCTCATCTAGCTGCTACTCCCAAATCCGGTTTATATACCCACTTGCGATCTCTCGGAATCGCTATGGGCTCTCGTATCACTTGCTCGAATTGCAAAACCCATGACATCGTTGAGTAACTCTGACCGCATTTCATCAGGGGGTATCCTACTAACTCGGTAACATATGGTTCCCAGCGCTGCGACAGTATCATTCCAGAGTGTGGCCCATGCACAAGGCGAAGATTTATGGGTGGTCCGCCATGCGATTACAGTGACAGTCTTCCCCACATGAACGATTCAGGCCTGCTACATGAAGGCGACGTATGCATTCCGTGCCGGTCTGTTCAGCTGATTTCCTCCACCGGTTTTGGACAAAGAGCTGATGAAACGTTATTGTAGTGGACAAAATAGGGTGCGTAGGTTGTTATACTCCTAGTGCTATCTTCTCATACGGTCGAAAAGATTTGTAGCGGCGAGCGTCCGTTCTGTCGAAACTGTGTCGCCGCAGAAAAACACTTGGAATGTGTCTACCACTACTGCGACTTTGTGCCTGGGACAACCCCTCCCCAACGACATTCTTCCGGTTCATTACTTTATCCGGATCTGCTCAGACGCCTGTACGTCCGATTTTTTTTTCTCTGTCCATTTAGTTTTGACCTTACCAGTCTAGTTTTCTAGCCGCTCCGAGTTTCTTTCGCATGGTGGATACTTCTGTCTTCGTATGATGCCAGAGAAATTGGACGCCATAGCCCGTGGTGATCTCTCTGGTCGTATTGTCCATCCGAGTTTTGTCCACTTTGCACACATAATAGGCTGTGTCTACTACCGTGACGACAATGGTCAACGTGTCCCGTCGGACTTCGAGGCATCCTACTACCAGCTCGTAATGCGGTATCTCGAGGACAAAGAATCCTTCACTCCGGTGGAATTCCTGCAGACTTGTATCTTCCTCGGCACATATCGTTATCTCAACAATCAGTTCGATACCGCTTGGGACTGTGGCACGAAAGCCTACGATATGATCATAAACGCAGACATGCACATCACACTACCTTCGACGGACTGCACCGGATCGCATTCACCGCAGAACGTTGCCCGCGGCAGATACGGTCATATTCAAGCCCTCGACGAAGCCGAGGAACAAAGATCTCTCTTATGCTATGCCATGCACGGAGACTTCTGCGCCATACTAATATGGGATAGGCCAGTCGTACTACCTCCTCATCTCGACGACGAACTTCGAAGTCTGCTTGTACGCAACATCTCCTTACCTCCTTGTATCTATGCCCTTGGACTCAATTGATCCGATTTTCTCTAGAGCCACACGCCTTTCGACTACACCCAAACGGTAATTACACGGACTATGAGTACCTGGCTTCTACACGAAGCTCGTTTCTCTGTCTCTCAGGGAATTCCGTCAGCGTCAGGCAAGTACGTTTATTACCATGCAGTGGTTCGAAGTCGTGGCTGATGGAGCTCAAAGCTTACGACAACACGGGTATTTCGTACGAGATGTACTCCGGCCTTATCGAAAGAATCGAGCGTCACGTCACCGAGAGCAAGCTCGCGGCTACGAAGTTCGACCTGGTTTATAAGGACCAATCCGGATCCGTCTCTCGCAAACTGGACGCAGTCATGGGCTTGACCGCCCTTACGGAGATTCACCTTGCTCTCTACAGTGCCCTAAACCACGAAGAATCACGCCGTCAAACCGTTAAGACTGCGATAGAAATAATTAGTATTTCGGACGGCCTCCCCAAGGACAAGTATGATCTTCTGGACCACATGGTATTGGTAAGATTGTTGTGTCTGTCACATCCTGCGCAGTGTTCTGATTTCGACATAGCTGAGTTGGAGAACCGCTAGAGAGGTTCTGGAACAAGAACAAGCTCGCTTACTTGGCGCGAATGCTGATGATACTTCGGTATACCCAGGGACCATTCCGTCGTTGTTGATGACACTCCGGGGCTGCGTTCGATGCTTGAGAGCAGTGGCACCATTTGGTTAGCGCCACGGTCCTCAGTGACCGATTTGTACTGTAATTTGACTGTAATCTTCGAGTTTGATGTAGTCATAAGCTGTTAAATAACCCTAGACACAGCGCCAAGCTCATGGTATACCGTGACAATTTTGGAGTCGCCGCATTCCTCTTCACTGCATCCTATCATACATAAGTAGACCTTGCTCCCGGGATGAACATCAAGGGCTGTATTGATACGATTCAAGTTCGAAGCTTCTAGTGGATCTTCTTACATAGATCCATACTAAGTGAACTCGGGCTCGATCGGCCTACCACCGTTGAAGAAATCGATAGGAGAGGCAGGCCTAACTAAGTCAGCGCTCAGGGTGTTCCGATGAAAGACTAGATACCGTCGGAAGGCCTGACGATATTCTCCAACTTCATACATCCGGGCGCTCGAAGCCCTCATATGACGGAGCTCTGCTCCCATTCATGGCTTTGGAGCATGATATCGTAGCACTCTTGGCTTTCTGATGCCAGCGCTCACCACGATGAGCAGCTAGCCCATTACGAGGTACTGACCCACGACGGAGAAATTCACCGTATTGCCAATCTGGTGGATCCATATCAAGACTCGAACAAAACACTTTTGCGAAGAAAGAATGTGTCCATGCAGTGAATATAAAATACAACACGACTATCGTCCGTGGAATGCCCAAATCGATACATCGTTTGAGTCCGTCTTTGACACGGTCGACACGACACGACGCCTTAAGCCTGAGACATATCTCCTTGTTCCACCCTAGCTCTAGGCAGCTGTATGATAGCGCAAACATAGTCTGAGAACGAAGAAACTTGAAACTGTGATGGGGTGCGGCCGAACACTCACCTCCGTCAGTGCCCGCATCGGATCCAGGACTGAATCTTGTCTAGTGACGATGTGACCGTGCTCCTGGATATATGTGCTTAGTTCGGATTGGATTGCGGTTGGTTCATCGAGCTATTGACGATTACACTTACCGGGCATCCTTCGAAATCGACGGGGCCCAAGCTCGTAGCAGAAGCTCTGAGCCATGAGAACTCCACTGTCCGAAGAGATAGATCCGCCGGCATTGCTAGTTGCTGATCACTATTCCGTCGTCGTGTGGCACGGTTGTTCAGCATGGCGAGAAGAGAATTAGAATAAACTACATGGCGAGTTCGTCAGTGAAAAGCTCAACCCATTGGCCGGATGACTGACGTTTGCTAAGGTTCAAGAAGACACCGATGAATTGAAGGCCTCCAGAAACAAGGAACTGTATTGGATAATAAGGAGGAGCAAAGTTTATGAGGTGTGGCGCGAGTGCTCACAATGATGAGGATTATGAAAGCTACAACTCTGTGGATCAGTAATGAGGATCAGCCGTAGGGAGCAAGGAGAGTCGACGGCTCGTACGTGGTCAATAACCCCGTGCACAGTACGTAGAGGATAAGCTTATTCAAAGTTGACATTGTACTGGAGTCAAGTGGGCCAATAAGTATCACGGAGAAGTGCAAGCATAATTCATCAAATACAGACCCTCTTGGTCGTAGCGCCTGCGCTCTTGCCAGTAAAGTCATGAGGCTCGACGCGATGAATCCGTCGGTGATGCTGATCGAGATGATAAGCACGATCAAAATGGTCTGCGCCGGGGTACAAAGAATAAGGAAGTCGTACATGACCGGATGCATGAGAACCGAAGCGAACGGAGACGTACTTTGAACCCCGGGGACTGAAAGGCATCAATATTGGTAAATCTAAACGTAAAGCAAGTCAATTCAAGTTGCGGCTGGATATGATATAGATGAGTAGTTGCAGACATGTCAATCGTGAGCACTAAAGAAGAAGAAGACAACTGATCAGCGCATTGAAACGGTTTCTGTGTTGAACCAAAGCACTTACCCACTCCTGCGACTAAGCATGTGGTTAAAAGCACGAGTTTTTCTGATTTAGAGCATGATGTACTGCGAAGGAATGAAACACACCGAGACAACTGCACGCGAGAAGACTCTACGCAAGTCTAAGATGAGCATGAAGGTCACGGGATAGACTGTGAAGCATTACTGTTATGGAAGTAAGAACCCAGTTCTTCTCGCTTACTGTAACGGGAGTTAAAAGGTTGAACAAGAAGGAAGGCGACGAGGATGACGTCTCACGTATGTGGATTTGGTAACAGAAAAAACTGTGAGGGGTCTGTCAGCGCACATCAACAGTTTTGACTCCATGCATCACATACCATCGAATAAGCGTGTCACTCAGGCTCTGTCAAATCAATAGCATGAATGTAAATATCACGCCCTTCAGCAGTGCGAGTGTACAACGAACGCTCAACAGTACGATTGACTGTTGAATTGATCAATATCATTCGAACGGACTGAATGACACATGGGGACTGACGGCGAAGACTCTGTTGAAAGTATAAGGGAGGATTCATGGGTATTTGGGTATAGATGGGACTTACTTATCTATGACCTCTGACTTATCAAGCAGTGACTCTATCGTCTGCATCATATTTAGTAGAGAGAATTCGTAGACTGCGAATGCAGCCAGGACTGTCGAAACTGTCTCCAGAACGCTATTCGAGAATTTGAGAACTTTCCATCCGCTAAGACTAGTAATTTCAAGCCTTACAGAAGTCCTCCGACCTGTGATCATATGTTTCAGGTGAGTGCGTTCAACGTTCCTGAAAACGCGCGACTTGCCATAGACTTGATCAGTCGACGATCATTCGGAGACTCTCGATAATATATGTAGAACTGGTGGAGGGCAACACCAAAGAGTCTGACAATGCGGAAAGAAGCGTCAGCTGTTGCTCAATGTGTATGAGGAGCGCGACAACGTACATGGTGGATAGATAATTGCCTGAATAAACCCAGGTGTATGTGGACAAAATATCTGCGGCAGAGAACGTGAACGTCTGGAGAAGATGCATCTATGCGCGGCAGACGAGATCAGACAAGGTCGGAGAGTAAGCCAGTTTGTAGCCAGGGGAAATGAACTTGACGCCTGCGTCGTGATATATAGTCCCTCTGTTTACATTTGAGAAAATCGACGTTATCTGCAAAGGAAGTTCCCGCTGACCTCGGAAGTCGTAAAAGGTTAACTTATTGTTCGAGCAACATTGGCAACCAATACTTTGCTTTTTGAGCGAAGTAGACTCTCACAGGAAGCGAACTTGGCTCGATGTTGTCAGGAGTAAGTTCATAATCTTTCAGAAGGAAAACGGCATTCTCGGGCGGTGCCCCTAGAATTTCCCATAACTCCCTTCGAAGTTGGACGCAGGGCTGAACTTCGTTTCCATCAAAAAGCCAGGAAGGCGACGTCGCAAGGAGAAGATCTGCACGTCAATCTGAGCCGTGGTTGACACAGCTCTGCGCACATGTTCTGGCCAACGAAACATGAGTCTCAGTCGTAGAGCAACGATGCTCGTGTGTGCAAGGACCACATGAGGAAGAAAACGATGAGCGCCGCCGTGAACGTATCAAAGTCTGCACAACGATCGTCAATAAACGAATACGAATGGAGACAGATTCACCTACTGGATTATTGCTATGGCAGCCTCGAAAAGCGCGTAATATGTGCTTGATTGCGGCGAAGAGCCTTTCATAGTCGCGCCACCGCCGCGACGCGACGCAGATGAAGAAGGTTTTCACGTATCACGAGGCCCCCTACTACGGAGTAGAATTTTCCACTGAGTGGAAAAGAAGTGAGCATATTCTGGAATGTACGGATGCGGAATTGACGGGAAGAAAATCAATACAAATCTTCCGCGATCTAAAAACAAACGTCCATGGTCCTTCTGAATCCCACACGAACTCATCATAACAACAACACAATGTCGAGAGCGCCGTCCACTGCTAACGGCTCGGCTTAATCTCCTGACGAGATTACTGGATAAAAATAAAGCAGGACAACAACAAAAAACGATAGAATATGCCACTTTCCAGAAGATCAGATCATACCACTTATAGTCACCAACACCACCGCGCCGCACTACGACATCTCCTCGTCGACGTCAATGACACTTCCTTCATCTGTGCCTTCCTCCCCGTCTTGATACGTCGCCCACACACTCTCACTTTCAGGGCCTCCGACGACCAAATCCATGAGGTCTCGAGCTAGATCTTCAGAACGGATACAGAAGGGTATTATCAGCTTCTATGAAGAAGAAAATGTCACGTGGGAGATAGATCCCGCGGACAATGCAGCGGGTGAACGTACCGGCAATCTGCTCCAACACGACCTTTTCCTCATCTCCCACCTCATCCGGAGGTTCCGCATAAGTCAATCGACCAAGCGTAACGACGAACATATGCGATATCCCATTGAATTGTCGGTGCGACGCTTGGTGCAGTCTTAGCGCTAGGTTCACGTTCGGATCAGGTGCGAACACGAGGTAGTTGAGCAGGATGAGGGCGTGTTTGATGAGGCCGACAGTGCTAATAAGTATGGTAAATGCATGTTCTGGAGGGTTAGCGAGTGTAATAAAAGATATGTTAAGGAAGACGCGTACGACTTGATGAGGGATGGCGACCGCATCAGTGCGGGGTCTTCCTCCCACAACGGGACGGTCAGAATCGTCAAGAACGAAATCAAGCTGAGGATCACAGAATGACTTTCGTTGAGGACCGCCAGCCCGTCTGCGTGTGCCAGCGCCAGGAGGGTAAACGTAGAAAGTATCGATGCTCGCATCGAATCTGCCTGCTCGAAATCGTAAAACAATGCGTGTGAGATTCGGAGGATGAAAGACACACGACGATCTTAAGGGAAAAGACAACGGATGCGCACCCCATATCCTACATGTTTCGAATCGGTGAGCAAGGCGCACAGACTTTCCATCTGTGGGAGCCGCAAGCGGTTTCCAGCCTGACTATGCTCAGATCGCGACTGTCGATTAGATTGCTCCCCAGCGCCCTCAGGCAGCGCAAGAAAGTCCGAATACAGACTCGTCCCTACACAATCCCGTAGCCGTCAGTGGAGCATGCGGCCAATTGCAAAAAGGGATTGCATACGTGTAGCAAGTAACGCAACAAGCCTCGTGCTCTGCTCCAGGAACCACGTTGGCTGAGAAGGATCCAGGAGCGTCGACAGGGTACCAGGAGACTTGATCACCACCGATAGCCTGTAGATGAATCATTCGCATGTATAGGTCAGTTCCGAAGAGGGGCTAGTTTTATAGAAAAAGGCGCACAGGTGTTCGAATGCGGGAGGTAGCGACCAGCAGACTGCATCCAAAAACCCAAGAACGGCCTTCGGAAGGTCGGTAAGGTGCTTCTTTTCGACATTTTGAGGGTCGGTCTTCGTCTGGACGGGTGGTAGATGCGTAGAGACGGTCTGACAGATGGTCGTAAAGATCATAGGAGCATCGTTTTCAGGCTCGGGGTCGGTAGGCTCGAGTAGTGAGATGATGAAGCTAGGGAGGAAGACGGTGCAGGTGGACAGAATGGAGAGTAGAGCTGCAAGAGGAAGTGTCTGGAGTAAACATCAAGGTATGAGCTATATTGCGGCGACGAAGCTCGATTGGTGATGTTAACATACCTGCTCCTGCCGAAGCAATATGGCTGCCATCTGCACGAAGGCCGTAGATACCGTCCGATATAAAGGCTCTAAACTTGAACCTCTGGAAGCAGAGCCCATAGCCTCCAGAATCGTGGCCGATGCACTGGAGTAAGCGGAGGCATCGTCGTTCAGTGAGCTTGTCACGCTCAGCAGCGTTTGGAAGGTGTTTGAGCGCGACCCTGGGACGGAATGTGTAAAGATTATCTGGTTTAACTATGAGTAGAGGTGACATCGTAGCAAATAATCAGCATACACCACATCAAAACCGTTCGTCGTGGAGAGGAGAAGTAGTGGCTTACATGGGCGACCCAGTCTGGAGGGTCCATCTTCGCAATCTCTTCCTCTTCTTGCGACTGTGTCGGTGTAGAAAGATCCATCCCGAAACTCATATCCAGCTCAGCGTCCATCATCACGTCTTCGCTACCGTCTGCCTCTTCATCCATCTCTCTCCTCAGCACTGCGATCTGTTGACTCCTGGCAGAAGGCCTGGCAGGGCTGCTCGGCGGCGAAGGCTGCATGGTACCCAAAGGCTGCACATCGTTCACGTCACGCTGACTAGGCGCAGGCGCTGCTGCCATCGCTGCGGCCACCGCCAAACGAGCTCGAGATGGAGGTAAAATCGGTGGCTGTGGTCTCTCCTGTACGGTCTCCTGTTCCTTCTCTTTCCCTCTCAACGGACTCGCGACAGTCGACTGGGATGGCTCCGGGTGGCGCCTCCGTTCCGGAGAAGGTAAGAACGCGTTCTCGAACCCTGGCAGCACCGGTCGTTTCTTCGCAGAGAGAGCTGGAGGCTGAACGGCCAATTTCTTGCTTCTACGATGAGGACTATCCGGTGCGACGTTCCCAAACTTCGGCCGTGGAGGTGAATCGGGTTTCCTCCCAATATTGGCCAAACCACTCGGACCAGCGACAGCGTTCTGAAGATTGAGTAGGGATCTAGGCTTTACCTCCGTCTGGTCCCACCGCCTCATTTGGCTTGACATAGGTACGGGTGTCGGCGTCGAAGGCCCAGGTCCTTGTGTGAGACGATTGCCGGTCGAGGCGTTCCAGGGCGTTTTGCGAACGGTGGATGTCTCGAGCTCATGTTGTTTGAAGGTGAACTGGGTCTTGAGACGTTCAAGCTCCTCTTTCATGTCGCGCTGAATCTGGAGTTGGACGGCCTCGGCGGCTTCTTTTGCGGCACGAAGTTTGACTTGCTCGGCGAGATAAGTTTGGTTCGCCTAAGATGAAAGGCTGAAGGTAAATCAGTGTGTTATGATGCGAGGGAGACACGAAGAAAAACGCAAACCTTCTCCATATTCTCGCGAAGAATGATGACTTCGCCCGCTTTGGCGCGCTTAGCGTTGAGTGCCTCCTTCAACGACGTTTGCATCTCCTCATTCGACCGTTGCAGCTAGCCAAGCATGCCTATGAGGAAAAGCACAGGAAAAATGGAAAACCACGAGACGGGACCTACAGCTTCAAACTGAGCACGCAACTCCGCCAACTCTTCCTCCATCTTCCGCGCGTTTTCATCTTGATTGGGAGCAGGGGACGGTTCACGTGTAATGACAAGTGATGCCCTCCGAGTATGTTGTTGTACTGGTGTCGCTCTATTATTAAAGGATGGGTTCGAAATTTGTCGCGCAAGGCCTTGACTTAAGCGTGGTCCAGATCCTGAACCTCCTGAACCAGAAAACGAAGTGACGCGACCAATAACTGGTCGTTCGTGCTGTTGGTTATGATTCTGTGGGGCATGCGCGTTGACGAAAGGAAGAGGCTGGCGAGATGAAGTAGGGTTATGGTTCTGATTTGGAGTGTATCGCGAGGGAGGATGGGCAGGCGCTTGAGGAATGTAAGAACCTATCACTTGGAGACCTGACCGAGTGCGCTGCAGGGTAGCTGGTTTTGTTGTAGGCCCGCTCGCGTTGGATCCACCACTGGCCGTCCTACTTCCGCTCCCGCTCGCCTGCTGAATATTGCCTGAGCTCGAGTTGGACATGCTCGATGCAGGTCGCTTCATACCCCCACCAACGCCAGCATTTACCCCACCTATGGCCCTCTGTACCAAGTCCTGACTACTGTCCCGCTGAACTCCATAAAATCCATCGCGCACCGAAATCTCTGGTAGATCCAAATCTTCAAGCGAGTATGCGGCGGGACCAGGCGGGACCGCCGGACGTTGTTGAACTTGAACTGGCGCCCTCCATCCGCTGGCAGTCTTCTGTCGCTTCGCTGGTGGTTGTGGGGGGACATATCGTGGATGGTATAGGGGTGGTGGTCGTTGTGTGGAAGTAGCCTGCGCTTGCGAAGCTATGAACTTGCTCTCCTCGGCGTCAAGTGCAGCGAGGGCCTCGTCGTCAAAGACGATGTCATCCTCGAAGTAGTCGTCAGAATTATCCATCCAGAAAAAACGATGTGGATTATGGCGGATATATAAGCATGAGCGCAACAAGATGGTGGTGGTCGAAAACAAAAGCAGGTCACGCTCATTTCGATGGCGACGCGACGCGACGCGTCGTGGGACCCCGGAGAGTCGGTCTCGTACCACGGTGCCACCTTTCAGTTTCCGTCGTCAGAATATCTCGTCAACAAGTGTACATCGCATCAGAAGAGGGGAAGTGATTCGGAAAAATCATATTGACATCGTTCTCGTGTCCACAAGTAATTCTGACAGAATACCTCCACTATTAAGTATGTAACTAAGTAGTGCATGTTTCGATACCTAGGCAGTGTGGCGTGCAACATTTGGTACAAAATCATTCAGAAAAGCCAACACAATAAAACACCAGATCCTCCACGTGAAATAGGCAAAGCAACAGTAACATTAAACCTCCGCCTGACGCTTCAAAAGAGGAATCGTTTCATCTATCTCCTCGAAGAGACTCCGTTCTAGAAGACCTTCATCGACCATCGCCATCAAAAGATCCCTAGTCCACGTTCGACAACTATTGACAACAGATGTCCTCTCAAATACGACAGCATTGGCAAGCTCCAAAATCCTGTCGCGCTGTGCTCGAGTGAACTGCCCGAGCGAAATGAATGTATGTGTTGTCAAAGCTCCATCCAATCCTGCCTTGGCGAAGGGGGCATAATATGCGTAGTTGCCCGGCATGCCGCTGAGCTGGATGATCTGGATCACGCTGCCCCCTTCCTTGCTAGGGCCATTCTCCCATTGGAGAAGAACGTGTCGGTCGCCGAAGCCTGGATAGGATAGTCCATCTGCACAGAGTTGGATCGTCTTCATTGTGTCGTTATCGGGATACTCGGAGTAGATGTCGCCCATATAGTGGCGAGGTAGCCTTGGAGCCATGTTCTTTGAGAGAAGTGGCATAAGGAAGGATATACTCAACTGTGGAAGAACATACGCTCACGACTTAATCCTCGGGAAGTGGTAACACACAGCTGATCGAAGAGGAAAATGTCAGCGTATATACCATATGCCAACATGGATCTCAAGACCTGCCTGGATGCGGAATGCCACTCCTTTTTTTTTTGTCTGTACTGCGTTCGTGGAGGATCTCGTGTTTTTCTGTGTTGACTTTCTTGAATAATTTTGTACCAAATGTGATTTTCCCGCTACTTTAGTAGTGGGTCTTACAGGAAGTATTGTTTGGTTTTTGGCGGAGAATCGTGCAATTCCCTTACATGGAAATTGCTGAGTCAGAATCGGATCGGATCTTCCGCGCTCCTTCCGCGCTCATCATCGCACGTGCAGGCTCGGGTGCATTTGTCTACTGTACAGTTGTGGCTGCCTCTCGCGCGTCGCCGTCTTCGTTCTGCTTTGCTTTCTGCAACGTCGTCCATCTTCGCCCATTCGCGCTACATCCAATATCATCGCTTTCTGTCTTGCTATCACTCCTCCCTCGCTCTCTGTATTCAGCCGTTTCGAGGCCTTGATGTGCTCATTCTCGTAGAAGTTACTCCGAGATCTCTTCGCGCTTTTCGCTACAGTCAATTACCCCGTAATGGGTCACCTACTGTTTACGGCGAAGGCTGGCATCGAAAGGCCAAGAATGCTATGATATCATGCTCCAAAGCTTCGAATGGGAGCACAACTCCACCATATGAGGGCTTCGAGCGCCCGCATTTGGAAGGTGACCCATTACGAGGTACTGGCCCACCACGGGGTAATTGACTGTACTGCACAAAACACAGCAAACTCTCAATGTTGCTCTCAGAACCTTCCCGCTACTCTGTTGCGCTCTGAGATCTTATAATTCTTCCCACTGATTGTGGCTCTTACCATTCACATAAGTTTTTTCTCGGTCATATCGGGAACTTCTGGTGTGGACTGGATACCTGTTTGCCCTCCACATGGGATGGGTCTTCTATACGGCCTGATGCTTCGTGTACGTCCCTTTTCCTTCTCATACATTGTCTGTCTTATGTGCTTTCGCCTCGTAGTGTTTCTCGTTACAAGTGATTGTCGCCCTCCATCTCTCCCACTGCTCAACCACCTCGGTCTTGAGCAACCACCTGCCGCCCAAGTGGGCTCTTCTGCTTCCCATGTGGGACGATTTACTGCTGCCCATGTGGGTTCTTTGTCTTCTGCTCCTTCGTCCGTCCGTTGCTGCACCTACCCATTCGTCGATGTCTGTTGATTGTAGTAATACCTGTGTATAATATTTTTGTCTCAGTTGATGGCTATTGTCAATTGGATATAGTCTCTGCTGCCCCTTCCGATACTTTGTGCATGGTTGCTCCTATATTTTGATCAACAAGCATTTGTTCCCGGTCCCTGATGATAGTTCGCTGTGCATGCATGCATCCCAATCACCAGTTGAAGAATACTGAAAGCTCGCATCACAGCACTTAGGAAGGAATATTCATGTAGTCGGCTGAGCCTTAAAATGAATGTGCTGCAAAGCTTTCGTCAAAACACAAATGTTGGCCGCAGCTTACTCTCCCATTATTTGAGCAAATATCAATTATTATGTTCCGTGAAGTTGCATTGTCTGATGCACTGGTTGGGTAGTACGAAGCATTAAAAGTCAGTTCGTGGTCATCCTTCCAAGTAGCGGGACCTGCCGTTCACCGGCCTTACGCCTGCGTTATTTCCTTATTGGCTCCGCTCCGGCCGCGTCCGAGCTTGATCATGATTTCGTGCAGCGTGGCACGGTTCAGGACCAAACCATATCAACCTACGAACACATTTCGGACAGTATGTAAGTGAAGCCCTGCCTACACGACTGCCGCCCCAGACCAACCAGCCTAAGCGTCCTCCGTAGGTCTCAAAAAAGAGGCGGAAGCTGTACTTCTCGACTACGTTCCTGGCCGGCCAGCGGTGACCCAGGAACTGGAGTGAGGAAAGGGTGTGGCCATGGCAGGACGTACGTCGCACTGTGGTGTCGAATGACAACGGGAGGCGACGGAGCGAGGGCGCTGGAGGCTACACAGGCCAAGGGGATAGCAGGCGATGTGAGGGAGAGCCTGCCTGCCATGTCGGGGGCTGGCGGAGTCGAGTCGACCGGCTGGCACGCTCTCCCTCGGATTGAGATAGAGATGAACGGAGAAGAACCACTGCTCGTCGCTGGAGAAACAGACTTTGAGGGCCATTTATCCGGCGACATGTTATCCCGCGAGACGGATCTTGACGGGTCGACTCTTCATTTCGAGCGCTGCGATCATGAATGAAATCCCAATCAGCTTTTGTTTCAGCAGCTGACGAAGCAACTGACCTTTCAACTCCTCCGCCTCCTCCCTTTGCTCGTAGTTCAACACCAGCCTCTTCAAGTGCTGCTGCTCGACCTTATCCTGCATCTGCGCCGTCCTCGTCTGCACCGCAAGAGCACTCTCGGATGGAATCGCCAACTGTCTCGTCTGCTGCTTATTCCCCCGCTTCGTGATCACCGTGAAATTCATGACTCCAGCTCCCTCCGAGCCCTGTATCACCTCCGTCTCCTCTCCGTCTCCCTCAGCACCAACACCGGCGCCGATCCCATCTTCAACGCCTCCTCCCACTCCTCCCACCTTCTTCTTCTTCAAATTCTGCGGCAGCACCGCGCTCTCCCATAGCGCCTGCGCCGTCCTCCGATCCACCTTCCTCGACTCAGTAGATGTATCGACGACCATCTTTGCGAGCTCCTTCGCGAACTCCGAGTCTTCTTCCTCAGAGGGGCCAAGGTTCTCCTGAGAGGAGGTAACGACGATCTCAGGTTCAGGCGAGGGTCCGCGATCTTCAAGTTCGTTCGGATTCGTATTGGCGTTGTCTTCTTCCTCTTCTGCATCTTCTTCATCTCCGGGTCGTTCGGCTTCGTCGCCGCTGTCTTCGCCACTGTCATCACCGTCGCCTTCTCCTGCGGTGACTATTGTCGATATGCTCGTCAGTGATATTTTTGTGGAGGCAGAAAGAAAGAAGGATGACGTACGACCAGCCGTCTGATACGCGTTAGCAAACATCTCGTCGACCGCGGTCGCGGCCTCGTCGACAGTCTTGAACAAAGTCAACTTTGGACGGATAGCCTGTGCCCAAGATTAAACACGGTCAGTTCCAATATCAAATCAAAAAGAAGAGACAAACGGATGGTACCTCAATGGAATCCGTCACCATGAACTCGACGTCCATCGGCCACGGTTCTTTGCAAAGGATGTAGTACTGTGAATTGCAATATTCGTGGTCAGTAACAGGCCACAAGATAACAACCTACGGGAGAATACGTGAGGACAGAGAAGAGACGAACCTGGAAGAACGTCAGGAAATTATCCAACTTCTTCTTCTGCGAGCCCCTATCGAAGCACATCCCACACGTATCCAGTAGCACGCACACGAGCCGCACGCGGAAGAAGTCGTCCGGCATATCCACCGGACAAGGAAACATCGGCAGCGGATGCCCTTCCGCTACATTCCCAAGGTCAACAATCATCCCTACACACCCACCTCCACCTCCCACCGGTGGAAGAACAGACAAGAGGAGGGGCAAATAAAAGTGGAAGACTCACGATGCCCAAAAGTGACCAACCCCCAGAACGTATCAAAAACCAACCCACTAGAAATCAACCTATAGATATACAACTCGCCCAGATACTTACACACCGCCACCCTCCTCTGATTCTCCTTATACACATTACTCTCCAGCCCCCGCCTCACATCCTCCACCACCTGATCCACCACACCGATCGCAAACTCCGGGTGATACCGCTGCAAGTCATACGTCAACATCGCAAGCAGTGCGATATTGGAGTATCGGAGCTTGTACGGCTTCGTGAACACTTTGTGTAAAGTGGAGGTCACGGCGGGTGATGTCCAGTCGAGCTTCCGGAGGAGCTTGAGGACTTTGTCAATGCTCTTCTTCGAAAGGACGTCGTGGATGAGATGCCTTATGAACAGTTCCATCGGCGTGCGCTCTTTCTCCTGGCGAGGAGCCCGTTCGGGCGGGTTGGCCTGGTAGTAAGCGTTCTCGAGCATGAGCAGCTGTCGTTGGTCGAAATGCTGCATGCTCTGCTTGCGCTTCATCAGCTCGAGCATCGTCGCGAACCGCTGCTTCGTCTCTTCGTTGCGGAGTAAGAAGCGGCCACAGCCCTCAAGGAGGAGGGCGATATTGTCGAGGTTCGTGCCGGAGAAGTCGTCCAGGCAGACTTTGAACATGTGTAGAATGAGGTGAGGTGGGACGACTTTGAACTTGGTGAGGTTCGAGAGGAAGGTGATGTTCTGTGGAACCAGAGTATTAATGATTCAGTTCAATGGGAATGACGGGAGTAGGAGGTACGGCGGACCTTCCTACGGGTGTCTGCGAGCTCCTTGACTACATTCTTCTTCCTCTGCAGGTACCTGAACTCTTCGTCCAACTGCCGCCTCATCAGCGACAGAAGACCATGAGCTATAGAAATAAACCTACATAAGCCAAAATGTCCGTCACAATATCCGGCATGAACGGCGCGAGCGTCGCTATGAGCCTCGAATAATGCGGCAACAAATCCGTTCGATTCTTCGGCACCTGCGTCAAGAACTACATGGACACATAGTAGATGATGTGAGCAAGAAAGCAACGAATCGAGGGTATGAATGCATTATGGTAAGCACCTTGACGAGCCTCTTCCGCGCCGCCTTCGAGTTCAAGAACGCGAACTCCACTGCCACATTATCGAGCAAGCTCCGATTCGTACAGTCGGGCAATCTTGCGAGCAATGCCGTGAGGAGCTGCGAAGGACCTTGTGGGGCTAGTGTCGGCGAACCAGGAGGAGACGTCTCCTTGGGCGTTCCGGGAATGGGGGTGGCGGTACTGGAGCCGTGCGCGTCAGGGGGCCAGCAAAAATCTATGGGGAGGATAAAATGCACATACCCCTCATCTTCAATGTCTTCATCTGCGACCTCTTCAGCCCTTGAGGCAGCGTTACCATTCTGCGCCACACCTCCCTCCTTCACCTTCGTCGTCAACCCCTCCAGTTCCTCTTCCAACTTCCTGACTTCCTCCTCCTCTCTCTTCTTGGCCTCTTCCTCCTCCTCCTCTCTATCCTTTTCCTTCTCCTCTTCCTTTCCCTTTTCTCCATCCTTCCCCCTATCCTCAACTCCCAGAATACTCCGCGGTACGAGCTCACGTAGGTCTTGAATGTCTTCAAAGAACCGCCTCTCCTCCTCGTCTTCCCATTTCGACGTGATTCCGAGCGTGATTTCGTCTGTCTCGTCGGAGTTGAGGAGAGAAGAGGAGTTGGTCCCAATTTGGATGGATGTGGTAGTTTGAGAGGAGGTCGGGAGGGATGGGAGGGGGGTGTAGAGGAGCTCGGAGAGGCTGTGGGCATGAAACTATCAAATCAGAACTCATCGAATATCACAGAGATGGTAAAGAGGGAACAAGAAGGGGGTAAGGGGACGCACGTTTGACAGCTCGCGAGCAGTTTCTCGTAGTTCTTCGTCATCTTTTCGTAGGCCTGTTGTCTATCCTCGAATATTTCGCCCGAACGGATATACGCCTCGTGATTCCTCCTGTCTTGCTCTTGAAGCCTCTACAATCCATTACCACCAAGATCAGTCCAGACTCATAAACAACAGGAAAAATGTACGCAGGTCAGACACACCTTATGTTCGATGACAAGCTTCTTCGCCACACTATCAAAGTAACCCTCACACATCTTCTTGAACCGATCTCTAATCTCCTTCTCGACCAGTTCATCCGCTTCATCCGCGTCCGCCAGAGCGGGGAAAGCACCGTTCTGATGCATGGCCGCCGTCTCTCCGGATAAGGAACCGTTTTCGGATGAGGCGGAAACTTGCTTGGTGGCGGGCGGTGTGAGGCCGAGAAACGGTCGCGCATAAGACTTCAGGAAGGTCGTAAGGAGAGGGAGCGAGGATAGAGACGAATCGTTCGAAAGCTACTCGGCCTCGTCAACAAACAGCACGCAGAATAATAGCGTTATGGTGCTCACTAGATCTCTGAGCGCCTTGATCATCCACTCTCCGCCGCTACGTCCTGGAGCGTCCCGTATGATTCCAACCAGCGCAAGTTCTGCACACACGCGAAGTATAGGTCTCTGTCTCTGTACTCGCGCCGCCTCTTCCTTCTCTCTCTGCTCCGGAGCCATGCCAGCAAGTGTGGCTTTAGACGCTGGTGCTAGCGCCACCGCAAGATGGCCGATGAGCGCAGGCGTAAATGTCTTCGGAAAGCGTCTGTGAAGTGCAGAGATGACCTATGACAACTCACGCAATTAGCATACGATATACGACGAGTATGAAATGGTAGACGGATCGAGAATAGGATGGGGATGTACCTCGGTCGCACTCCAAATATCCTTCTCGAGCTTGCACCTCGCTATCCCCTCCGTAATGGCGCCGGCGATCTCATCGATATATTTCTCGAGCGTGAGCGTATCGACGTCTTTGATGATCTGGTCGCGGTTGTCGAGGCCGATGGAGAGCTTTATGCGTTTGATGAGGGCGGTGTGGCGCTTGAGAGATGAGTCGAGTGCTTTCGTAGGTTCTGATTGAGACGCCCGCCAAATTTCCAGAGAACGACCTTGAGCATGGGACTTCAAAAAACTGGATACGATTGTTACGCAACATACCATCTCCGGCGTGGTTTATGTTCAGATCTTTGAGCTGAGCGCGTTTCTGTCGGCGAGCGCGCTCCTCGTCGAGTTTTCCGTTCGTGGCTGAGTCAGCCATAGTGGATATCAGGCGAAAGTTTCAAGTACGTCTTCTGGACATTCAAGCGTCGACTAGGTCCTGTCTGAGCCTGTTAGAGACAAGAACATGGAGGTATGAGTCCAAGGTATGGACAGCACAGGGCACTTCCGAGGACTGGGCGGAGTCTGAATTTGCGGCCTCGACAGAGTTACTTATACCAACTCTAAGTTATCCTCTAAGCTACCCTTCACGGCCTTCCAAATTATCTCCTCTGTGTATCAAAAAGCACCGCATACGAAGTGTGCTAATATCTCGTTGGACGAACACTATAGAACCTGATATATTTCGTCGGAGAGTGCAAGTTGTTGTGGCACCAATTTTGGACTCCGCAAGCCGACAGCCTGCCGTGGCACCTCTTCCGTCCTTGTTTGAGTTTCTCCTTCCCTCCTTCTACCAAAGGCTCTCAGCGGCTTGCAAAACACTCGGAATTTAATGCTGGTTCCACTTGTTCGAATGGGACTAGGGGGTCTGTGGCAGCGGCTATGCTTGATACTCGTCTTTCCCACCGTACCCACTCTGCCTTCTAGAACCCATCAAAGTATGGTCAGCACAGTCACCTGGACGTGACTTGGTACACATACTGAACCTGGTACTCTGTCGATTTGAGAACGAAAGTTTCTCTTCCAAGAACCTTTACTCTGCTCTAACTTGCTCTCATGTCCTCTCCCTCACGAGTCGCCCTCATCACCGGCGCTAGCCGCAAAGATGGCCTAGGCTACACCGTCGCACGCCAACTCTCTCTGCAGCACAATTTCACGGTCCTGCTAGGCTCTCGTTTCTTATCCCCTTCACTGGACGAAGCATTCAAGCAGTTGGAAACAGACGGCGCGAAACATGGCGTGTTTCCTCTTCAAATCGATGTGGCCAGTGCGGAGAGCGTTCAGAAGGCTGCGAAGGAAGTGGAGGAGAGGTTTGGGAGGCTGGATGTAAGTCTGTTTGTTGATTTAGCTGTGGATATATACGTATATGCGGTTAGAAAGACTCTGAGTGTTATGACGACGGTTGTGTGTTACATACTACGCAGGTCCTAGTGAACAACGCCGCAGTGGGCATTTCGTCCGCCCGTACCGAGCACCTCAGAGAGTATCCCAAACTCCCCTTAAGACCTACGGAACATACAAGGAACGACTTCGATGAGGTCTTTGCGGTCAACGTTTATGGAGTCGTTGATACTATCAGTTTGTATCCGATGGCCGTTTCTTTAATTCTGTGCGTGGCGAGTGACTGACTGCTCTTCATTCTATTTAGACGCATTCGCTCCTCTCCTGGTTAAATCACCCTCGCCGCGCATCGTGAACGTGACCTCCGTCGCCGGCTCTCTGAACTACGCATCCACCATCCCACCCGACGATCTCAGAGCGGGGTTCATGGTCTACAGCGCCTCGTACGTTTCTCAGGCTCGCACTCGTCCTCTCCAGCCCTTCAGCTGCCAGTGACTAGCGATGCTGACAATACCCAACCCATTGTATATGTGTATGCGGGTTATGCAGGAAAGCGGCCCTCAAAATGCTCACGATCATGTACAGCAAAGACCTTCCCAAACTTAACCCCGCGTTCAAGATCAACTCTGGCTCTCCCGGGTTCACGAAGACGGCGTTTAATAACTACTGTGCGTTCTCGTCTCTCGAACATCGCTCCTGTGTCCTTCATCTCCGTCTGCCTGCATCTACAAATGTGTCCAATATCCTTGATCATCGTCCACCTTGGATGTGCGATGCTGACTCCGCTCCATATCGAATTTCGAGCAGTGGGAACTCGCACACCAGACGAAGGCGCCGCGGTCATGACCTGGCTCGCCACGCTCCCAGACGACGGACCGAACAGCGGGTTTTACGCCGATCATCCGCCGTATTCGACTGAGAATGGGAAGTTTCGGGAGGTGGAGTGGTGATTCATGTTAGAGAAAGCAGAACACAGGTGACATTCATGGCCATAAACTCGGCCCTCATGCGCACGGTGGACCGAATCATACACAAGACTGTAGCCGACGCTCGTATTGGTGAATGAAAATTGATGCACCTGTGAGTATAGTAATCACGATCGTGAGTAAAAAGAAATCAGTGGTTGTATAGTAACAATACTGTACTTTTTCGCGCACAAGTTCGTGTCCCATGGGTGCCGTGAACGAACTTGTGTCGCGGGACATGTTGCCGTGCCAGCGTACACCAAATCTGAGGGCTGCTTGCGAAACTCAAGTGAACCGTGCGCGCGAGCGGTTGTCTACCGGAGCGGAGCGATGGTCTAGCCTTGTATAAATTATGTAGTAAGCGTACACGAAACAGAGCGATAATCGTCGTTAATAGGTACATATACATGGCGAAAGAAGCAGCAACAACGGGGAAGGGGGTGGGGGCAGGAAGAGCTACGCTGCTCAGTATCTGGATACAGTCTTTATACCTGTGTATCTCTTTTAGATCTCGAAGGCTGACAGGCACGAAGAAATAAACATATCTCACCTTCTCGTTCATGAGCTTGGATCCTCGGAGCTGGAGCTCGTCATTACAAACCGAAAGGACCGCCGCTATTCCTCCACTCTAAGATACGCCGCTAGCAAGTCACCCAACGAAGCATCGATTTGGCCTTCCTCTGAAGACGGGAGCTCCCACAAAACCTCCACAGTCCTTGGAGTTGAAACAACAACACTGCTCGAAAACCTCGTATCCTGCGTGACGAGTACGCGTTGGATGGGGACATCAGACATCGTTCTCTCTACGACGAGGTCATGCAACTGTTCATGGGAAATCCCAGGACATACGAGCGTCGTGAGAAGAGGAAGGTGCGGTGTGGTCTGCACATGGACCAAAAAACCCTCCCATCCATCACTTAAGCAATCGACAACGAGGACTCGGAGGTTGGCCAACCGTTGGAAGAAGGACGAGAGAAGTGAAGAGTCGCACTCCAATCGACCTATTCGGAGTACTTGGACTGAACCAAGTGCCGACGTCGACGAATCGGGATAGGCGGCGAAGAGCAGGGAGAGGGCAGTATCCCATTGGAGATTGTCTCTTTTTCTGCAGTCAAGGTCCATGATTTTGACGTTCGGAATGCGTAGGTGGGAAAACAATGCTTCACCATCTTCTGGGTGGAGGCCGCTGATGCAAAAATAGCGTAACAGAGGCAACTCGACGAGAGGGCCATTGGGAGGCGGGATGAAACCGCCATATACGGTCTCAGATTGAAAGGTCCGTAGGGTGAGGGCTTCGAGGAGGGGAAAGGTGTCCAAAAAACGCATGAAGTTAGGGATGGAGGGCCCGATGACATGGTCAAGCGTGAAGGACTGGAGATTCGGGTAGTAAGGCGTACGGTCGAGGGAATTCGGCACCGTCTGGTCGAGATACAAGGTCCGCAGGTCGGATGAAGGAAAGGGAAAACATTCCACCCATCTCTCGTGGTTGGCTTCCATGGCCTCCTCATTCAGCCAGGCATCTACACCTCTGTAGAACGTTGTGCAGAGAGTTACATCTCTCAACAAAGGAACCTCGACTATAGAAAGTCTCTTCAGAATGCAGGACATCACCCCTGCAGTTTCGACGAAGAGGAAGAACGACGCCCATCGATGGCCAGAAGAGATGATCTTTTCCAGAGTCTCATGCACAAAAACATCGCGGATCTGGGAGAAACGCATCCAATCAACAGCTTCAAGATCTAGTCGGTCATCTTCTGTGGGAGTCCACGAAATGAACATGTGCAGTGGTAACTGCTTTGAGCGCTCTACAAACACGTCGAAGCGCTCCAAATCGTGTTCGTGCCTGTCTGCGACAAGGAGACACGTCCAAAGGCGGGCACAGGCGAGTGCGACATCGCGCCAAAGACGGCAGACGTGGGATAAGTCGATGGGTCGGATGTATAGAGGGATGGGCTCTTGCAAAGATTTTGGCTGGTGAGAAGGAGTATGCGCCTCACAGACGTGTAGGAATATCTCTGTGAGAATTTCCACAGGAATACGATTGGTAAGACAATGCGTCGGTGCGAGGGCGGACATAGAGAGGAAGCAATCGCGGTTGGATTATCGCACAAGATACTTGGAGCTTTGAAGCCCAAGAAGAACTGAAAGGATGTTCGTCTTTCAAGAGGTGGAAGCTACACGATAACGTGGAATAACTCATCAGTGAACGTTCCAACCTGAGCATTGCGAGATGAGTGACGGCGGTTTCTTAGCACATACTTACTGTATACCTTCAAATTGATCACCGGGGCTTGAAATGGCTCCCTTTAAAGTCTAAGATATTGATTTATACCACACGTAGAGGAAATCGATATAACGGAGATGAAAGGCGGTGGAAGGCGAGAGAGAGACCTAAAAGGACATGGCAGTGATCGGGTGGCGAAGTTGTTTGTCATTGTTAGGATCCCAAGCCTTTCCTGTCCTCGCCGAGTTCTCGCCGAGTTCTCGCCGAGTTCTCGCCGAGTTCTCGCCGAGTTCTCGCTGAGTGCCTTTCTGCAACGCCCATGACCGCATCGTGACAAACTCGACTATGGTCCAACCAACCATGTCAACTCTTCATTCACTCTGTATCTCTTGGAAATTTATCTCACTGTCTGCTCCTAATAATCTCCAGGTCCTTCGGTGTATCGAAGAATCGGCCGTGCCTCACGTACGCCACACTGCAGTGGCTGACGTGAACGGTGTCCGGAAAGTCTTCGGTGGAAACAGCCCACTGGAAAATGCCGACGCCGCCAACCGGGATCAGAGGGGCCGCGGGCGTCCCGCCCTGTCCCGCCGCGGTGGCGTGTTCTTACTTACCCGCATTCGCTAAGTACTACTGAACCTCAAGACGAGTACCTAATGTCACGCAGATACGAAGGAGGGGTAAAATGGTTTGCATACATCTGCTAGTACAGCAGAATCGTAACAGTAGGGTTACAAGTACATAAAGGAGGACATTCTTAGAACTTTGATGGAGACCTTGGTATAGAAAAGGACAATTTTTCGTGCATTATCGGAGAATTGGAGATTCTGTGGGAGAACGATCAATAAGATTCTAGAGATCTTAACTGATATACAATTACCTCTGCTGAGTATTGCATTCAGGAGTCCCCTCAGTCACTGCCCCCAGAGACCACTTCTCAGCCACGTCTGGGCTACGTCCCCCTGGTAATTATTACCAGCACCGTCGAGCCTTAGGAGGGTGTATACCTGTTGGCGGAACAGTGAGCTGTGAAGTATAAGACCGGCAGAAAGGGAAATAGTCGAGAAATATGTTTGGACCCACGACTACACCTGCGTCATTCCAGCTCCAATTGATGACCTGAAAGTTATTGGTACAAGTATTGTATGCGGCACCAAACCGAGCCGCGAAGTTTCCGATGTTACCCTCGGGGACGTGAACAAAAGAGCCAATCTGTCCGATAAATTGAGTATCATTGATCAATGCTACTCAATAAGAGGAGTAGAAGGAGTAGAGCTCACGGCGAATTGTGGTTGATTCCAAGGCATGAAGGATGAGTTGGAGTGAGCTGAGTTGATGAGTGAATTGGTGGGTAGGGTCGAATAAAATGTGAGACGTAGATGATGTGTGAGTTGGACTACTCAGATCCTGAACCCCCTGCTTTTATAGCGAAAGACATTGGACTGATGGGCCCTTAGCTCCGAGGATCCTTCTTCATAGCACCCAATGGGGAAGCCATTGGGTGGCGCTTCGAACTAGGTCTCTCCTCAAAGACGAACAAGAGGAATAGCATGATAGCGTTAGTCATCACTGAACCAATAGAGATATGGCTTACCGCTGAAATGGAAGGCATGGAGTCTGATGGTAGGGTTCCTTCGCATCTATGTGTGAGATGGGCACGGCACATCTCCTTAGGCATTGTTATTGTCTGCATAGGTATTTTGTTAGAGAAGAAATGGGCTAAGATGGGCTGAGTCCTGGCATACAATTTTTATCGGTACTGCCATATGGTTACATATCCTTCAACAGGTGTAAGTCAAAGTCGTCACGGGAAGTTGAATGAGATGATTATTTATCATGAAGAAAGTCAGGCTTCTTCACGCGTAGTAATATGCTGAATGCTCAATACGGAACGCAGCACAAAGAGCACTCATGGGGTAAATATGTCTAGACCTACAGTCACCTTATTTAGCCGACCGACGACCATTTCGAAGGTAATGTTATTGTTGCAGTTTTAAGACACCGCTCTGGGGGTGCGTGGACGACTATCGATCTAGTGGTGGGTTGATCGGACAATGATACGTAGTTCAATGACATGAAGCTCGCAATTGATTGGATATTGGGCTATTAGCCCACACTCGATAATGCGCCAGGAATCCGGCAGCAACACTTGGAAACGTTGCGGTAAACCTCCGTGCCAGAACCATTCCCCTTAAGCGAATGATCTTGGCCGAGTCAACGACTGCCAACGAGACCACCGAGGAGATCATATTAGCATTGTGTTACTTCTTCAGGCGAGCTAGATTGCGTCGACAAGAACGAACACACTTTAACAGACATAGGACGCGCCACACTGGCATCCCATGCGGGATCAAGCACTGTGCCCAATGTCCGGTATAAGGCCTCGTCCATTTTTGGATGCGCCGCCTTTACATAACGAGAACATCAATAAATGTCCTTTGCAACAATATTCGACGCCCGCACAATGTGCGAGTCTACTGGAATGGTTTGTGACAACACAGTGCATAATATATGCACGTTGCACCCAGAGTCTAGACCGATCCTTCCAGCACTTCCCCATGGCCATCCCTATGGTGGTAACGAGACATAACATAAACAAATTCAAAAATGCCTTGTGCCGGGCAGGTAGGAATATTGCATTCTACAGTACTTACTACAAGACACTCCCCGATGAGAACGCTTTTCCAAAGTCCTCGGTATAAGGAGAAGACCCGAGTGGCGCGGAACAAAATGTCGAGCACTCATCCTGTTATCCGCAAACAAGGGGAGATAAGGCGATTGTACATCATTGAACTGGATTGAGATGTGAGTAAAGTCTGACAGCGCCGCTGAGAGCATTACCGCGCAAGTATTTCACGCCCCATTCGAATTAAAAACTGACATATTATCCGAGTATGCCCCCATAGATGATAGAGTTTATGTCGGTGCGTATAAATGTAGCCGTAGAGACGGTGTGCCCCGCGTGCGGTAGTATAAGATCCGACATAAAACCACTGCGCTTCCGCTGCACGATCTTCTCTACATCAAACCCAAAGGGAATTAGTGTAAGTTTCGTGCCGCCTACGCCACCCAGATATCGACATCATCGTTGCATTAACCACTTAGGCATCCTTCGCCCTAAAAGCGTTTAGCCCATTGCATGACAAGAATCTCCTAGCATGATCGTGTTGTGCTACCGCTTCGACGGGTACAATACTTATCAGAAGCCCGATTCAACGCGCGGGTCTACTTCGATGAGCCGGGACGTCCCCCTGTCTCCATACGGCTGAAACTCGACCGTCCATCGATCTTGTTAGTCATCCATCAACATCGGCATTAGAACGGATTTCTGCTAACCCTATACTACCACAAGCACCAGATCTATGCGACATACCGCGGAAGTAGTACGCAAATGCGGTATCCAACCTGCCACGGCGGCGAATCGAGATTCAAGGCGGGAGATCTTGTGATACTTGTTTTTCCATGATTCCCACAAGCCATTATTAGAAACACCCCAGGATCTTATTTCCATCCATAAGCGGTGGATATACTCACAAGGCGGCGGCATGCTTGAAGTTCGAATTTATTTCGCGGTTAGACCCAGGATAGAAGATCCGATTATGGACACCTGATGTAGTGCCTACCACAAGGACGAGCCGTAAAGAGTTTGCGCCATAGTCACTGAGCTACCTGTTGTCTGAACCTTTTGGTGTAGAAGGCTGAGATGTAAAAGGGGTTCCGAAAGAGAAGTGTCATTGGGTGACTTTCCGTAGCAATCTAGGAGGCTTCCTGATGCACAGAAACATAAATAAAGGGATCTCATCCAATCAAAAACCGGCGCGAACCTCCTTTCTGTGCATGTAGGCCTCTAGAATCTGTGAAAAGCTCTACGGAAAGTCACCCATTGTCGAGTGAGATCGTAAACAAAACGGAGCGGAAGATGCCGACGCCGCCACCCGGGATCAAATTTAGGCGCGAATTTGTCCTGCCACGGAGGCGTGTTCTTCTCCGCATTCTAGTCATCTGGGATCTTGACCGTGACACTCGAGGCGAGAACCTCCTTACCCCTGGACAATCAAGGGGACAAGAGAGGTCTCCGAGTGCGTGTATCGATCTTATGATCTATCTCACTCGCACGCCACCTATTCCCTCGAACACTTACTTATACTTACTGCCGTTTGCATAGAAGATTGAACGCGCGTTTTTTGCGCGCTGTTTGTCCCCGCCAAACAGTGACCGTGACGGTCGTGGACCGAGAGGACCGAGAGTGGCCCTGTGTGTGGCGAGCTGTGTTCCTGCAGCCTGCTGCCCATGCTCAGTCAGGAACATTTATATACCTTTGCAAATATTGGACAAATAAAATACAGCCACTGCAATGGACAGCTTTGTATGATACTTAGTGAGCAAGCAAAGGCTAAAGCTGCATACTGCACTTTCGGTGCCAAGTCTTGAGTGGCCAGTCCCAAATTCCGGAGCAAACAGCTCAATTAAAAGTCGAGAGCAGCATTGTAAAGGGCACCCAAAATATACGTACTAACTTATGTCTGATTTTTACTCATAGGGCCAGTATTCCACCTCTTCGAGCTGTCATGAACGGCGCGGTCTCGCTGCCGGCCTTCTCGGACAGCGCTGTCACGGTCACTGTTTGGCGGGGACAAACAGCGCGCAAAAAACGCGCGTTCAATCTTCTATGCAAACGGCAGTATCTTCGACATCAGCCAACTCGTCCTGAACAGTGTAAGTACCAGCGTTGGAATTTTGATATTATCTAACGCACCACGGGTTCGCTTTAAGCTTTCCATAAAGATGTAGGTGCGGAAGCGGGAGGAAAATCTCCCGTGTGGGTGGTAAGCATTGATGAGATGGGGGTGTGGATGAGGCTTCACAGCTGCTTTCATAACTCTAGACAGGGTACGAAATCTTCTCGGTGCGCCAAACATCAATTTTGACGGACCAAACACACAGCCTCTGCATTCATTCTCTGCCCGAATGGGGCATCTGCACATGACCAGCGTAAGATTGTGGCGTCGTGAGTGAGAAGAAAGGCAATTTCGAGATCCGCTAGCAGTGAAATCTAGCTTTTGTTTGGTCCATCCTCGTTTCTGTTTGGCGCAGGGGAAACATCTTGAAAAGGTGGTGGATGAGGTCCATGAGAATTCGCTTGCAATGCAGTTCATAACATTGGTCATGGCGATGAGGTACGCGTGTTTCCGTGTGTTCGCTTTTGTTTGGCGTGCTCTACCATCTTTTGCTTTCTATGACGTCCTCGTCTCGCGTCTGATAACACCCGTCTTTTGAAACCACGGACTGACTTTGTCTGAGAACAGCTTCCACACAGCAATCCTCTCACTTGAGTTCCTACGGCCGCGATATTAAGATTCTACAAGGACACTGCCTTGAGCGTCTATTTGGGTTCAAAGACGAGAACTCGTCGATGTATACTCTAATTCAAGACATGCCTCCTTCCTCCTCGAAGTGACTCTGGTGGCCTGACTACTACTCACCCTGCTGTCGAGATCATGGCTTGCTATCATGTCTACGCCGACCAACTCACCTGCTTGAACCACGGATACGCCCTCTGGGAGCCGGACCCTGGCCTGCGCCCTCCAGTCCGGATCGGCGACGTGGGGTACTGCCGTTTCGGAGGATTTTTCCGCATTTTCAACGTTCATCTGTCCGCGGACGACCCTCTGCAGGCATCAGAGCTGCCCGAATATTTTTCTCCCTTGCCTTACAATCCCAATCATGTCTATTCGCGGACGCTTGATCCCGGCGGGCGCTACTCGCGCAGTGTTCGAGCGAGAGGCGCTGAAGCTGGGCTTTCGACTGGGTGAGTTGCAAATATTCTGTGGCCTCTCATCCAAGCAATATAACTGATACCTATCACTCTACTGCAAGACTCGTCCCGTTAAGCGGGGGGATTTCATTCGAATGTTTCCGCGAGCAAGGAGCCGTCCTCGCCATATCAGAAGACGCGACCCGTCAAGACGCTCACCTACTCGTCAACTATGAAACATACATGCTCGAAAATTGTTCTCGTTGGCTCGCCCTTGTGGAGATGCAGGGTCTCGGACTACGGATGGAGGATATAGTCCTCGTAACTGGCTGCGATTTGACGAGCGCATGGGCGGTCGCAGCATTTACCGACTCTGGCGTCGATGCGAGCGTCCAACTCCACGTTGGGGCTACTCCTGCAGGCGCTGTGGACATTGGTACGAATGTATCGTGGAGGAACGAGAGGAATGTGGAACGACATTGGGGACCGAGGCGGAGGATGACGTCTGGATTCGGAGCTGATCCTTTCCAGCAGGTCGCCACACCGTCTTCAGAGCAGAATCAGTGCATATTCATTCGTGGGTATCGGGTCAAGTTCAGAAGTCGGTTCTTACCGAAGAAATTAGTCGCTGCAGCGGAGCCGGTAGACTACGACATGGACGACGACGAAGATCATGGGCCTATTTCGACTGTAGGATCTTACGGCAATGATGGTATGCTAGAAGTCGAGTCCATTGCTGATGATAGTGTGCGTGTGATCATCCGCGTTGTCCACTTGTGTCGAAGGCTGACTAGTCGTGGTTTAGCATACACCTCTCTCTGTCGCTGTCCTGGATTACATACTTGAAGTATTTCACACTCGCCTTTCACGTGAAGATGCTTTGTTGAGATGCTACTTCCTATTCAGCATTCGGAAGCCCACGTCGCCATCATACATGATCAGGACCTTAGTCCGATCTTCGAAGTAAGTGCTTTGTTTAGTAGTACTCTACACTTTACCACTAGTCCTGAGTAATACTTCAAAGAGGTCCTCTTCTAGATCAAGACTGGAGCTACAGAACGAACTGCAACGTCTAATGGTCAACGAGAAATTGTTTAATTTGAACCAATCTGGTCACCAATCAGGTATTCTACTTCTGCGCTTCAGACTCATACAACGGAGTATCTAATCATCTCAAACGATGCAGTGCTAGCCCTTGTGGGTTCAATATCAGCACCAGCACCACCGAGACGGTCACTTCCTAACACCGTCGACAACTGGCCCGCGTTTTCGACACCGCTCGACCTTTCGCTCACCTCCATACCGGAGGTTTTACCATACCCCGCCCATTCAAAGTCGCAAGGTGTCGTTACGCCTAGTGTCTCTCGTGACCTGTAGGTTTTGTGACCTTTACTACTGCGAAGTTACATAAATACTTATGTTCCCACACTTTTCTATCAGTGACATCCCAGCTCTGCGTAAGAAAGCCCGGGAACAAGCTCGTCGAATCCGAGAACTTCAAACATGGGCTCAGAATGTCGCAGTGGACAGCTCTAGCTCCAATAATAACCCTCCACCGGACTCAGACCCCTGCCTATGTGTCCCTCTTATCCAAACCCAGAACGAACCCCCAGCCCTTCCTTCTGAAAGTTCTACTAGCGTGACGTGGCCTATAAAGAAGGCGGGGGGATCTACCAGTGAGGAGGAGGATTCAGATAGCGATTCGAGTTGCTGGGATAGCGTCCAGCACGATCGAGTCACCGCTCAGACGTCCGACATAGGTGCTCCTCATATTTACTCTCTCCGTCAGTCACCTGATACTGATACGGGCTTTAATAGGGAGCGTCTCCGGTATCTACTCCCGAGCTTTCAGCTCGACGCCGATCTTGGAGAACGAGGCGTTGACAACGACATTCGGGTCTTCGACGCATGGCGATGCTGCTTCCGCTTCCGAATACTCAGGTTCTTGTTGGCAGTGCAAACGTCGAAATGTGAGGACCTTCGAGTGTGACCCTTTCCGTGGATCTATTATTGGCACTGATGCTGTGGCAGATTGCATGCGAAAATCGAGGAAAACATACGGCCTGCACGTTCTGTAGGAACAGAAAGATCGCGTGCTCCGTGACCGATCCAAATGGTCATCCAGAAGGCTCAGAGACGATGGGCAATGCCAAGGTGCTGGAAGAAATGCTGTTCGGGCCCTTTCGACGTGATGCATCTGGAGCGAGCGCTCCAGTAGGTAGCCCAGACTCTGGAGGAAAACCGAAGGCGATAATACGTAGACCTTGTAATCGCTGCAAATCCTTAAAGGTACGCTCTCAGTATAAATCTATTGAAGATACACCTTCAATCAATCACGTTGACCTTCTACTCTCCAGGTCAGGTGCGAGTACGAGCAAGGGGAGCAGTCTTGCAAGCGGTGTCTCCGAGGGGATCACGAGTGTGTCGTCCCAGAACGTAAAGCCCGGCGCCCAGAGTACGACCCACATTGCTTGTTCTGTCAATGTTGCGCGAAAGAGAACTGATAGTCTATTGACATATGCAGGCAGCGAGAGGTACTCCTTCGGGAGACACTCACTCAAGACGCAAGGATCGAGAGGAGTCTTGAGGAGATCCGGTCGCTCAAGTCCGCCGAGCGTGCCTCCCAGGCTGCTGGTGGTCAAGTAGGAGGATAGCCTATATTCATGGAGAAGTGGCAGACAAAGAGAGCATTTCTGCATGTATGCGGTGGTTAGGTAGCCGGCCCAAATTATAGCGAGAATATTGTACCTTGCTGAGCGTCTCCAAAGTGTATTTGGTCGTCTTCTATCGTTACGCTCATTTCGAAAGGAGTCTGTGATGATTATACGTTCAACTTTTGAATATACGGTTACTTCGGTTGGGGCATCACTGCTGTCTCCTGAGGTCTGAGCGTCGAGGAGCAAAGAAACTGAACAAAAAGATTTGGGCCACAGTGGCACTCAACACATTCCAAATCCCGCGCGTTCTTCCGGCTCCGAGTGCTCTCTTCCTCCTCCCCCTCATCCTCATCCTCTCCATCTCCTTCCCTCTCCATCTTCAGCTTCCCATAATCTCTGAACCTCTCTGAACCCTTGATTTTGACACGTATTGCTTCTTATATTTGAGGAGGAACCAGGGGATAAAATTATGCCGCTCTACAATATACTCGTCATCGCGGCGCACAACCCGCAATACGTGAGTACTTTTCTTTGGCTAGGATGTTTCGGTCTGGAGGAAATACATATGGAGTCGGAGAGATAGTTGCATTTACATGAGAGTCTGAGCTTTGGGAATGTTATCAGTGCTGACTTGTCCATTCGCTCTTCCTCCGGATATCCTCAACCCTCTCCTCCCATGCATCCCCACCCACCCTCCACACCCCAACTCAACACGGCATCGATTCTCATTATACACGAATGTAGATCCACATCAAAGAACTCGTCCGCCAATCGGCGCTACAGATTCTAGATAATGGAGGAGTCGTGCGTTCGTTGAACTACATGGGAACACAGACGCTACCGCAGAGAATGAGGCGGCATAAGCAGATTTTCGAGCATGGAGAGTGCGTGTTCTTCCTTCCTCCTATTTCCATGCCATTCAACCCTGTTCGCTTTATTGTGTACCTCGACCATGTTCCTCGACTACAACCATGTTCGTCGACTCACGCTGATTCCACGCACACGTCTGTAGCTACTGGACGATGTCCTTCGACGCCTCGCCCAAGTCACAAAAGAGCCTGAGCTCCATCCTGAGGAAAGATCCTCGCGTCATCCGGAGCACGGTCATCAAAATGGGCGAACGACCCGAAGAGCTGATCGGTTCGTCTCTTCTTTCTCCTTTCTCCTTTCTCCTTCATTCTTCCTCCTAACATCCCTACTCACCACCCTCTCGTCCCTTCAAATCCTACCCACGCACCAAACACCGACTCCCTACCACACCACTGAACTTGTCTACGGCAACAACGGTCACCAAACAGACCTCGGCGCCTCAGGCCCCGGCCGACGCGAACGCACCCTCGCCCCACCCGCCACCGCCTCCCTAAACACCTACGAATACCCCTCCGCCGCGTTCCCCGTCCCGCCCGTCGAGCTCCCTTCCTCGCCGTTCTTCCAGTCCTACAACGACGCGCTGTCGGAACCCTCGTCGCATGCGGGCTCGTCTGGCTCGTCACAAGGTTATGCAAGTAGGGGAGCTGGAGGAGCGGCTACGACGGGCGCGGCAACGTTGCCGCCGTCGATGAGGATGGGTGGGAGGGGTGTGGGCGGGGTGGGGATGGGCACGGGGGCGGAGTTTAGTGGGAGTGTTAGTGGTGGGGGGATGGGGAGGAGGGTTTAACGTTTAACGCTTGATTTATGGATGTTCGTGAGGGGTGGTGGGTAGGCGAGTGCTGTTTATATATGCTTCGTTTAATTCATACGACTCTCGGTCTGCATTGCTCACAGTCGTCATTGGGAGGATCTATACCGATCTGCGCCAGCGGTGCACTGCGATGTTCGGAAACATCCTACAGCATCTTGCACACCCCGCCAGCCGACTGACTTTCTGCATGCGAGTCGTAAAAGTTCAAAAGAAAGTGACGCGAGTCTCTGTGGCACAGGTGGCCCTTGACATTTTTTCCCTACAGAGCTGCCACTCACTTCCGAAACACCTGTAAATCAGCTGAGTGTATCCGTACTGCGACTCTGTTGACTTCAGGATAGATTCTGCACCACATACAACAGTATTCCGTGCGTCCAAATAGTGCTTATATACCCTGGGGCCTAATAATAGTCACCCCCGGGTGGTCGGCCATCTGGCTACGTGGTATCAGCACAGCAGTCTGATATGCACGTCCACCTTTGTCAATGCGTGTAGGCCACGGGTTCGCCCCCCTATGACCACGCCAAAAGGTGTCTCGAGCCTTTGGAGGGCGATGTGTATCTGGGATACGTTCTGCTGCCTCTGTCGCCGCTTTTTGATTCAGTTGGTATGAGAGGGACGGGTTTGCTAGGTTTTCTGGGAGGTTGCCTTTTTTTTTGTTGACGGCTATTTTGGGAGTGCGGTTCAGCGTGGGAAGAAGTGCGATGGTAGGGGTCGCGAGTTCAATTCGCACAGCGCGCGATGTACCAAAGATTTTCTGTCGACGTTTCTGGTTCAATTTCCTGACGGAAGAGATAGTGAAAAATGATACATGCATACCTCAGATATAATACCCAATTATATAGAGTGTTTACTATGGGCAGAGGCCCGAAGGGTAGGAATTGAGCGGTCTCTGTGGCACAGGTGGCCCGTGGCATCTCTTTTTCCTGAATTTTGAACGGGTAACTGCCCGTGCTCTGTGCTCTGTAAAAATTGTGTATCATGACTGAAATATTTAAATATTGTTATACATCATTGGTGGTCTCAGGGAATTGCAACAGAAATATCGATAATGAAGTTGCGATACATTGCGCACAGTGCGAATCGAACTCGCGACCCCTACCATCACACTTCTTCCCACGCTGAACCGCACTCGTCAACAAAAAAGGCGACCTCCCAAAAGAACCAGCAGACCAGTCCCTCTCGTAGTAACTGAATCAAAAAGCGGCGACAGAGGCAGCAGAACGTATCCCAGATACACATCGCCCTCCAAAGGCTCGAGACACCTTTTGGCGTGGTCATAGGGGGGCGAACCCGTGGCCTACACGCATTGACAAAGGTGGACGTGCATATCAGACTGCTGTGCTGATACCACGTAGCCAGATGGCCGACCACCCGGGGGTGACTATTATTAGGCCCCAGGGTATATACTGGGGGAGCGCTACCTTCGGCAGCAGCCACCTTGCTTGATAAATAACTTGCACAAGCACTTCTGGTCTGCTCTATACCGCATGTTCTTGAACGGGATTGGGAGTGCTTACGCCGTGCCCGGCGGGCCCAGTCACTGTCAACATTCTGTGATCCAGTCAAGTTGACTCGAGATTCCTCCAAGGCAAAGCAGAGTCGGATGAACCCAAATGTCAGCGGCGAACGGTATGGGCCATCATTGCATCTGACGGCAAGTTATCCGTCTAGCGCGAGACTAATTCGTCAACATCAACGTCTGCATTTGAATCGCTGCAGTCACGTCTGAAGGTAGCGGTCAGACCCTCTGCGACGCCACACACTGGTGCCACATAATAAGTCCGCTGTTTGTCCTTGTTTATTTCCGGGACGATTCTGAGCAATTACGGGGGTAGGAAGGACCTTCAAGCAAGGTAAAGCACTATTTGGACGCACGGAATACTGTTGTTATGCGCTGCATAATCTATCCTGAAGTCGACAGAGTCGCAGTACGGATACACTCAGCTGATTTACAGGTGTTTCGGAAGTGATTGACAGCTCTGTAGAAAAAAGAAATGTTAAGGGCCACCTGTGCCACAGAGACTCGTGTCACTTGTCCTACTTATCCTGGAAAAGTGTGATGGTAGGCCCCAGGGGTCGCGAGTTCGATTCGCACCATGTCCAATATTTTGCATGTTCACCGTTCCTCGGGTGGCCCGCGCGAAACAAGTAGACCAACCAATGCAAACAACCCAAATAATATACACTACTCAAATCACTGAGCTTTCTTTCTTTAACCTTGTGCCTTCTCCTTCTCCTCCTCTTTCTCTCCCGCATCCCTATTCTGAATGTCTACGACTCCAGCCCTATCCTCTTCATCCTCGTCCTCTTCCTCTCCCTCATCCGCACCCATTCCCATCCTCCCAATAACGAACTCGCTCGCCACTCTTGCCCCAGTCGCCCTCCTCGCACCCTCATCCCCCATCCCATCCCCGCCACGTCTTCCCTGACACTCTGTAACGTGCTCAAAATATCTGCGAGATAGAGGAACGTTTCCAATTCTTCCTCGACCATCTATACTAGTTCTTCCACTCCAGGTCTCTCACCTCGCTTGTCCTTCCTGGTCCCGCTAGCATCATTCCCGCACTCCCGACTCTCAATCGTTCGCGGACTTTTCCTCTACCGTTGGTTTCGCGCCCTGGCTACCTCAGTACCTGCTTCCGCTGTCCATGGACACAAAGAATCAAAATCCGTAAATAAACCTACACATCTCCGGTCCCCTTCGCATCCCCTATCTCATCTACCCACCCAACCACCCGTCCACCCGTCCTACCCTCGCATCCGCATCCGCATCCCCACCCACACATCCACACATCCACCCATCACCCTCACATCCCCATGCATCTCAGCTCCCATCCCCGTCCACCTCACCTCTCATGGTTATTGAAATCCCTAACCCGCCTCACGACCTCCCCCAACCCGCACACCATGTCCTCCCTCCTCACACCTCGCTCCACCAACTTACTCATGCCCTCTTCGGAGGGCTGGGTTGGTCTGTCGTGTGTTGGGCGTAGGAGTAGGAGGGCGTGCATGCCTTGGCTTGAGGAATGACGTGCGCCGAGGTAATCACTTCGACGAGCAAGTCATTAAGTTCAGTTCAGTTGTGTACATTAAGTTTGAGTTCAGCCACATAGAGTGCGAGCAGGAACGATGAGGGAGAGATAAACGCACGCGTCGACTTCGTCACCAACATGTAGCCCCTCCTCTAGCTTTACGCCCGCGAGCGTACATGCTAACTCGAAGATGCGTGGTGAGGGTTTTTCAATGCCGAGGAGTTCGGAGACGAGGATTAGGGGCTGTTCCTGTTCGGGGCTTTTATCTTGGGCGTTTGATGGTCGAGGTGTATTCGTCGTGGCATTGGGCGATGGAGAGGGGGAAGAGGAGGAGAAGGAAGAGAGGTGGGTTGGGAGGTTGAGGGAGGAGAGGACTTGGACTACAAGAGGGAGGGAGAGGGAGAGGGGTGTGTGGCGTATGCGGAGGGGAGGATAGAAGATACCGGGGGTAAAACAGATATATACGGAGGGAGAGAGATCAGAGGAGAGAGGAAGACGAGGAGGATAGTAATCAATAGCACTCACGTATCCTAGAATCAGCATTCGTGATGATCCCCGTCTTCACGCCCATGCGCTTCAACTCCTGCACTATCCATCATCAGCTTCCGCTCGTTCCTATCCCCTTCTCCTCTCCTTCTCCTTCCCCTAACCCATACACCTCTCCCCACAGCTAATTCACCAAGAAGAAAAACTCACAAGAAGGCACAACATCATCGAACAACATATATCCCTCGTCCGAACTAAACCTTTTCATCAGCACCGGCACGATACTCTGCAAATGTTGAGAGACGAGAGCTGGGGATGCATGGGCGCCGAGAGCGGTACGGCGGATTATTTCGGTCCACCAGGATGTCGGATCTGGGCTCGCATTCTGGGATGATGGCTCGGAGGTGCCAGAGGGAGAGGGTGAGGGTGAGGGTGAGGCATAGAGTGGTTTGGATTTCTGGAGGTCTTTCAAAGCTACGGGCCTATTGGTTCAAGTGATTCCAGCGGTACGATGGATAGGTATCGCACCTCGTTTGAAAGACAAGTTTAACAACTTAGGATCGAGTGGCCCGAGATACGGCTCGAATGTCTGTGCGTATTGGACGGCGATGGGCAGACGGGGAGTTATGAGTGTGTGAAGGGCGTCGAATGTGACGAGTTTTATTCGGGGTGGCATCCCAGGCATCAGGGTTATATGAATTGTTAAGATACTTATGGGCTAAGGCTGGTATAGACGACGAGCAGAATGATGACGGTTAAAGCTGAAGTTGGGCCACAATCCCTCCAATATGAACTGCTACGGGAGCACCGGCCCGATAGATCCAAATTCAAACGCGTCCTTCGAAAGTTCGCGTTTTGTGCCACCACGAACCCGTCCCCGTCCAACCTACACTCCAAACAGACTCATTCATCCATTCATCCTCTCCAAAAATGAGCACACCATCCACATCCACACCTTCGTCTTCCTCATCGTCATCAGTACCTCCAGAACAATTCAAAGCCATCGTCCGCCAGGAAGAAGACCGTCTACGAAAGATGCACCCCACACCTGAGGATATCCCAGGTTGCATGACCGTCTTTGACGATTTCTTGAAGTGCAACCGTGCGTTCACTCTCTTGTCCATCTTTCCCTCCACATCTAACACCTCATTCTCAACTCCTTCCAATGACATACGACCTCCCCAGTCCTCGGCAACCAATTCCGCTCCCTCTGGCGCTACGGCCAATCCGCAAACTGCACCACCAAACTCCAAGACTTCAAATTCTGCATGTCGATAGCGCGGCTAGAGCCGGATGAGAAAAGGGAGGTGTGGATACAGAGGAGGGCGGAGTGGTGGGCGAGACGGAGGACGGGGGTGAGTAGTGAGAATGTGTGGGAGGCTAGGGGGTGAGTTCTTTTCTCTCTACCACATTTCGAGACCTGGGGATGTTCTTGGGTTGGCTGGAGGTTGTTGGGTCTGGAAACGAGTGTGCTGATGCGGTGGTGGATGTGCGATAGGGAGCCTATAAAGGATTATCCACCGCCGATGGACGCAGAAACACTGGAGGCTTTACGAGTCGGATCGATACAGTCGGCAACTATTGAGTGATCTGGTTCTTCGAGTCTCTGGTGAGGTCATTTCTTAGTGAGTTGGGCTTCTGCGTCGTTTCGTTCATGGATTGTGGGCCACATGCTTTCGTAGAATAATATACTGTGAGTTCTTCCACACGATCCTAAAGTTCCTGCAATTTTGCTCCAACTGATACGCTTGGTTTTGCAACTGAAGGTAAATCGATTTAAATGCATTGCTATCAACCGCCCCCTCTGCTTTTATGAAATCAAAGCCTCGACTTCACTTTCCAAGTGTGGTTGTGGCGTATGTAAGTTAGTCCGTGGTGGCCACATTCTTGATCTCATATGTGCAGGTCGACACATCCTTTGTTACGACAGTACTTCAGGCTACCACAGAACGTCCCTCAAAAACTTCTCCGTCAGGGACTATGCAGCTCCTCGGCGAGGAGTCGAACCTCGTTCTCGCGTTCAATACTCACATTCGAACTTTGGGAACATATCGTGCGTGTATTGACCGGTATACCACCGAGGAGATGGGTATTTGCATGCTTCCTTTGACTTCTGGGTGACGTTTTGATGGACGGTGTGTGGCGCGAGCCAACCAGGCCGCGGGATGTTTTTTTCATATCTAGGTCCGCACGCACGCTCCATATCTTTCATGTCTACGTTGTCTTGGAATAAGCTCTAATAACATTCCGTCATACTACGTACACGTACCGTCCCTCACAAAATGTGGCGCCATAGGAAAAACTGCCAAGCTCCTCGACGAGGAGTCGAACCTCGTTCTCGCGTTCACAAAGCCATGGAATCGACCCAACACATATTGCACGCGTGTATTGGCCGGTATACCACCGAGGAGATGAGAAGAAAGAGGCTTCCTTTGTTTTGGGTGTCGAGGCTTTGGGTTGTCGGTGTGATGGAAGGTGAGTGGCGTGAGTCGTGTTGCGCGATTGACCGTTTAGATGGCGCTTTTTTCTTCTTGTCATGCATAGGTCGACAATTGCAACTCAAATCCTTTGCCTTTTGACAATAACACTCCGTCATACCACATGTCGTCCCTCAAAAATTGCATTGAGGAATGACTCGTTCTAATCATGCAGCTCCTCGACGAGGAGTCGAACCTCGTTCTCGCGTTCAATGCTGTGAAGATATAAATTGTTATGGAGGCCCACACATTTTACGCGTGTATTTGCCGGTATACTACCGAGGAGATAGAGAGGAAGAGGGCTCCTTTGTTTTGTGTATCGCGGCTTTGGGTGGCGTGGTGATCGATGGTGAGTGGCGGGAGTAGGTTAGGATCGCATCGCGCGACTGACCACATTTTTGCCATGCCTAGGTCCACATGTCCTATGGCCAATCCATACCGAGTTGATCCATAGAAATGGCGAGACTTGAGGCTATCACAGAACATCCCGCAAAAATTGCATTAACTGCGTTTAACTTGGAGTCGCAGATAGCTCCTCGGCGAGGAGTCGAACCTCGTTCTCGCATTGAACTGTCGTCCTGTGTAAGACATTTAAGTTGTACGCGTGTATTTGCCGGTATACTACCGAGGGGATAGTGAGGAAGAGGCTTCCTTTGCCTTGGGTAGCACTGTGGTGGATGATCAGTGGCGTGAGTAGGTTACGGTCCCATCGCGTGAGTAACCCCTTACAGGCAATTTTTCCTCATTTCTAGGTCGATATGTCCTTTGTCACAGATGCAAAGTCCTACCAACACTCCGGACTACCACACGTCATCACTCAAAAATTACATTCGAGCAAGGAGCCGTTGAGACAGGTCCTCGACGAGGAGCCGAACCTCGTTCTCGCGCTCATTGTACTCCGTGGTATGATAACATTGTACGCGTGTATTTGCCGGTATACTACCGGAGAGATGGGGAAGAAGAGGATTTTTTCCTTCTCGGACGGTCTCGAGGCTTTGGGTGGTGTTGCGGTGGGTGGATGGATGATGAGTGGCCATGGACTGCTACAGAACGTTCTCCAAAAAGTTGCATTGACTAAGCCCGACCAAGCAGCTCCTCGACGAGGAGTCGAACCCCGCCCTCACGTTCAATGTACTCCGCGGTATGGTAACATTGTACGCGTGTATTTGCCGGTATACTACCGAGGAGATGGGGAGGAAGAGGATTCCTTTCTTTTGGGTATCTTGGCTTTGGGTGGCGCTGTGATGCATGAAAGGATGATGGCGCGAGTAGGTTTGGGTCGCATCGTGCCACTGATTACCCACGTTCCACTCGCACTGCATTTCAAAAAATAAATAGTTAGACTTCGAAGACATACTTCGACGATCCCACAAAAGTACATATCAACCACGACATGGCTCCCTGGCGGGGAGTCGAACCCCGCTCTCGCGCGAACGTCTATGGACGCAAGGGGTGACGGTTCATGACAGGCGCGTGTACTGATCCGATATACTACCAGGGACCTCTCTTACCCTGGTCTTTTTTTGTTTTTCATCTGACTTCGGTCGTTGCTTTGTCTCGTCTCTTGCTTTATGAGCCACTTCGGGATAGCCCTACGCCACTGGAGACGCTTTGTTCACCTGGGACTACCATAACGGCGAGTGGGTGATTTGGGAGGAAGTGTATTGTTTATTAGACTCGTATACCTAGGCTGATCATCACTCACAGGTATCGTCGTCATGATGCCTCAATCCTTCGTTCTAGCCATGACCCAAATTTTGAAGTCGGTTACTGGGCTGTGATATTCTTCGGGCTCACCGACGATGGAGAATCCGAGTTTCTTGTAGACTTCGACCTGCGTCACATCATTAGTCATTCCGCAGTCTGAAGTTTGACTCGGATCCAGCAGAAGTGGAACATACCGTCGGTTCCTCGTCTGTCTCCAAACAAAATTTCTCTCCGGATTTCGCAACCTGCCGCAATGTATCGATACCAGTCAGCTCATGCTTCACTTTCAATGATTACAAGATGATCGGCGCCCACATTCTGGTATACGAATTCGATTAACTGTCTCGCCACGCCTCGTCTCTGTGCTTCCGGTCGTACACCTATCATCTGGAGGTTCCAGGACGCTTGTTTGCCATCTTTACCGAGCGTAAGAGAGGTATGTGATTTCTTCTTCGGGATAAACTGGTCGTGTCCAACGGCCACACATTCAGTACGATAATATACACCGTATGTTTGGAATGGAAGAGGGAGGGGGAGGGTCATCAGAGAGGGGGACGAACATATTCAAACCACCATGTATGATGCTGGGGCGGGAAGTCCGCGAATAGTGTCTCAAAGCCGTCATCGATTTTCGTTTTGGAGTTTTCTGCAAGAGCATCGCCATCATCGCTACATATGGACATCTGGTTAGTATTACGGAGGAATTGAAACTCCACTTTCGATCGTTCGCGAAGAGATACCGAACGTACGGGGCCACCAACAAGCCCGGAGCCATTCCAGGAGGGTACCACGCCGCCACGCCAATCAACCTGTCTTTACTAGCACTAGCGCTGCCACCGCATGCTGCGTCAAATCCAGTGCCGGGGGAGGAGGGAGAAGTGGCGAAGTAGACTTGACCATCATTGAGCGCTGCGAGGAGGGTGGAATGCATGTAGCGGGTATAGAGAGATGCGTCGGCGTTCGTTAAGGCTCGAAAGAGGGGATCTGCAGGATGGTGGATGAGATCCAAGGGTCTCGAGGATGATAGGTGTGGTATATTTTGAACGTACTGTCTTGGAAGGCTTCGATCCACACGTTTGTGGCGTCTTGGATTTGGGCGTCTGGAACGATGATGGTCATGGCGCCGGATTGAGTGGGTGTGCCAATTGACAGAAGATATTACACTCACCGCTTATATTCTTGGGATCAACAAGACGAATCTCGATGTTTGAAGCGATGGCCATATCAGCAGTTCAGGTTCAAGATGGTATCACACTGAGAGAATGGTTCGAAGTAGTTCATCTACTCAACTGAGCTCCGCGGAAGTTTCCGCTACTTTTGCTTCCACACGGAATTGCCCGGGGCGGGCCACACAATGGTGCCACTGGACGAGACTGCTCAAAGTGGAGACAAAAGAGAGCGTTTGGACTCCTACTCCCTGGCGAGGAGTCGAACCCCGCTCTCGCGCAAGATGGAAGACTTCAAGCACCAGAAGACAAACTGCGTGTACTAGTCCGATGTACTACCAGGGACCTATCAAGACCAAACAGCGAAGCAGTACGACGTGAAAAAGAACAAAGAAGATGACTCGGTCCTTTGTCCTAAGTGCAGAGAAATAAAATAAACAAAGTAGTTGAATACTTTTATGTCCGACACGAGCAAACCGCAAGCCTTTGTCGAAGAGATTAGACTCTGAGAAAGTCCGCCTTAACTACGCCACCCATATACCAATCCAAGCATAGTCTCTCAAGCCTCCTGTTCGGTCTCCCTTTTCTCCACGTCCGTCACAACGGCTATGGAATTCCTCCGCCGTCTCTCCCGCCAGATCGGCCCCCACTTCATCTCAATCGCCAAAACTGGGCCTCCCACCACAAGACATATTCCAGCGATGAGAACGAAGGTCCATCCTGGACCGTGGAGAGCGGTGAGAATGAGGTCGATGACGGAGACGAATGCGGCGCCGAGGGAGGAGCGAACTAGGTTGTTCTACGTGATTAGAGTATCAGAGTCAGATGTGATAATCCGAAGATATGGAGGATGCAATCGGATGAAGGCAGCGGATTGAAGGCGGGAGGACATGAGTAGATGCGCTTACGCAGGCAGTGATAGTTGAGCCTTGGGTCGGAAAAAGATCCACCAGAAGGATCTGCGCGGTATTCATCTGAGCCATGACCATGAAACCTACTATAAACGTCATCAGGCAGCGGGTTATTCACCGCTCATAGAGACCCCGCGAATAAATATATGGACGTGCCGACAATCTGAAGTAGCAGCGGTCCGGCCATATTGACCTTGGCCTGGAGACACCAGCCGTATCCGACAACGCAAGCGATGAAAGTCATGAGGATGAACGGCATGGTCCTCAATCTGGCTTTTTCGATCGGGAACCCCGCTTCAACTTCTTTACGCCTGTCTCCACGTCCTGCATCATCGCTAACAGCTCCTATAGCCTCTTTTCCTTCATTGTTATCGGTCTCTTTTTTCTTACCCAGCGCTCTTCCAACCCTACCGTATTCCCAATCCAAAAACCTGCCCACCGCCACACTGCCCGCCATCATCCCCCCTCCCATCGCCAAGAAAACTAGCCCCAGGTCCGTCTGACTCAGCCAAGGATAAGTAGTGACGAAGAGGGTGGAAATAGAGGCGGAGACGGAGTAGGAGGCTGCGTTGATTATGCCGGTGTAGAGTAGGATGAGGACGATGTCGGGGTGGGTAAAGGCCTTGAGAGGGTTTGTGAAAGGCTTTTTAGGCTTAGAGTCATGGGAAGGGGGTTGTGGTGCAGATCTGAGGGGACGCTGCCGGTGCCGACCTACAAGAGGGATGAGGGGGCAGTAGATTGCGGAGGGTTTGGTGCTTCCGTCACCCACGATTGAGTGGAGAGTTTCGGGTAGGAATCTGGGTGTCCGAGTAATCAACAGCTTAAACAAGGATGATAAGAGGGGCACCTATAGCAGAAGAATTAGAAAGCACACCGCAGATGCGATAGCCAAGAACCAGAATATCGATCTAAACAACGACGCAGTGAGTGACTTGAACGAAATAACCTGACGAGCTAACGCACCGCCACCCAAGACCTTGTGAAAGTGCACCGCCGAGAACTGAAGGCATTGGGTCGGTATAAGTGCATTATTAGATATAATATTGACGCGGCCAACGTACTTGGCCCAAGACACGGACCCACCATAGGTCCAATCCCCATAAACCCAAAGAACGTCCCCCTCTCATGTGGCTCCGATATATCCGCCACTACGCCTGCACCTGCGCGATGGAAATCATCCATGTCAGGCCAGGTCTGAATGCCGAAGCCATATATTGTAACAACGCAACGAACTCACTGAGGGCAATCGTACTCGCCGAGCCTGCAGCCTGCACACATCTCAACAGCATCAACAACCAATACGCATTCGTCGGCACGAGCGCAAGTCCGACGCAGGTTAGGCAGAGGACGAGCATGCAGGCGAGGAAGAAGGGACGGCGGCCGTAGTGGTCCGCAAAGGTTCCCCAGAAGCTCGGGGCTATTCATACGTTCGGCAAGTTGAAGTGTTTGTTAGTACGTCCTCGAGTGACGAGGGAGCAGGGAGGGGAGGACGTACCAACGGCTTGCATGACCATATATACTGTTATGGTAAGATTGATGAGCTCGACGGAGACGTTGAATTGAGAAGCTAGAGTTGGAAGAGCGGGGAAGTAGATGTTTGAGGTGAGGGGACTAGTGTACATGAAGGACCGAACGGTTAAGGTCCATCAGTTCGACTCCAAGAGTAGTATTTGCGCAGAAGATGAATACAACAGCTAACCTGAAAGTCCCAGCAAACCCACAAATCGCGACGATGAACCATTTTTCTCCGTGTGTGAAGATACTCCTGTGATGTCCTTCGCTATCAGTAGACAGGCGTCCGTGAGCAGTAGAACTGCGACGAGAGATCAATCGTGAATCGTTTTGCGGTATCGGCGCAATACTGGTGGAGGGCTCGCCCACAACTGGTGCATGCGCAACACTATGTGCAGATGTGGGTTCTTCAATGGCTTTTAGGCTCGATTTGATGACATGCTCTGATACGGGCATGTTGACAAAGGGCTCCTCTTGAACAAGACGCGTTGCTCGACCATTCCTACTTTGAGGCAAGCTTTATATTACAGGGCATCCGCACGTCGAGTCACAATTTGTCTGCTTCGATTCCACTTCCGTTCCAATAATGTCGACGAAACGTCGCGACAGCGTGGATGCGTTGTGTAAACCGGGTCCGAGTGGATGAAAGCATGGGCATAGAGGCGGAACATGGCCCAAAACCACCCAAAACCGAAGAAGAAGCGCTGAGAAGGGTGCGAACGCGGCGAGAATCGGAGTCGGACACCGCTGGGCAGAGGGTTCGAGGTAGCGAGTGACCCTGAGCGGGTGCGATAGTAAAGAGATCAATTGACGACGGCGCGAAAGACTTGGGGCAATCCACGTAGATAGGAAGATAAAGACATCAATAAACATGTGTCCTTGTTCCTCAAAAGGCCTACACTTAGAAAGGTCGACAGGTGTCGATCGTTCATTAGCGTACACGAACATGCGATCTGACATCGTCCAGTGCGTATACATCTCGGCATATGTGCATGGCGACTAGCTCACGCAGGAGAAGATCTCTCTCCTCGTGGAAGGTTCTTCTCGCTGATGATGACCACTTAGGATTCAGAGCACTGGGCGAGGTTGGAGGAGCGCGTCTCGTGACTTCTATCTATTCCGAAACGCGGGTCTAAACAGTTAAGTGAGCGATACCAAAGTTTGCGACATAAATTCGGTCTTACAATGATGGAGCATGAAGTAGCTTCCTAGCGCTGATTGTCAGTCTGTATCTCATCCATGGGGACACGAACAAGGCGTTCCCCTGCGGGTGGCGCTGGAACGTCCTCCTCCTCTTCACGTATCTGTTCCCTGGTGGATACTTAAAATCCTTCGGTCAGAAGATTTCATCGAATATGTGTTCGGTACGTTTGACTTACAGAAAGTCTCCAGAATCTTGAACATCTGGGGCCACTGCGCGAGAACCTGGCCGTGCACTTTGGTCATGGTAGTATCAGCACCAAGAACCGATAGATAAAGCGAAACAAAAATTGTCACCTATCCCAGCATCAGCCATAACATCACAGTCTGCGCTCAGGCCCTCAATCCGCTTCACGAACATAGCACTGGCGCGATCGAGTGCGCATACCGCATCGTATTCTTTCTTCTTCTCGCTGAGCCGCGACAAAGCTGCTGCGCTTGGAGCTTGCGACTGAGAGCCTCCGGTAATGTGTGAGGCGCGTAACGATGCTTTTGGATGGGCCATAATTACTCTCGTGCACGTTGCCTACAGGATTTATCGTGTCTCAGTCAAGTTGTGGTTGGGGATAAAGGAGGTTTGCTGAGGTCAGCGACGCGTCTGTGGCGCAAGCCCTTGAGCTTGAGCCGGGTTGCCGGGCCCCGAGGCCAGAGTCCCACAGCCGTAATGATACAGGTTCGTTACAAACTTGCTCTTGACCTCCACCATCCTCTACACCTGGCCTGTCCTACGATAACACACCAACGGGATATAGCTGGTACGAGGACTAATAGGTGTACAGGAAATGTACAATTGATCTAATGACTATATAGTTCTTCTGCCATTGAGATAGACGCTTGCCTTGCGCGGACAGAGTGTTTTGTCGGACTGAGGACTCTCAGGCCGTATCCTTGCTTCCCAACTCCAGTTCGTTAGCTGAGACGAGCTCTTTGGCTGAGAATACCTGAATATGACTCTCAATGGAACCAATCTCACCGCCACCACATCCCAGCAACCCATGTCACAATCGACACCGCCATCTCTGCCCCAAGACTTCCTGATTGACGGGCTGCTACCCCACACAAATGGTTTCGACGAGCATGAACCACCAATAGAGTTGCTGGAGAGGGAACTGCCTATGGTCTGGGATGGTCAGTTCCCGCTGGGAGATTTGGTCCAGCGAGTGGTCCAAGCATGCTATGCCGAGTTGAGCGAGATGGCTGAAACGTGAGTCTTGTTCACTTCGGATTCTGGCCTCTTCATGAATGCGTGCGCCGTGCAATATATGTTCTTCCTTTTTGGATCCCTACATGCAACATGCAAACTTGCCCTGTCCAGTTGAACTCGGAACTTGTGTGTGAGTTGGACTGAGGTGTCGCTGTGGCACAAGTTTTGGGTGGCGTAAGATATTATGACGTCCGAGACATCACAACATGATCATACCTGCAGATATTGTTCACAACTGACACCTTTGATCCTATATCTAGCTTACCTGGGATGTCGGACACCGCTCGAAAACGAAAAATAGCAGATTTCGTGGTCCACTGGAAAAAACAAATCGTTAAACTGTACGCCGTGGCCAAATGGTCAAGAGATGCTGACATTGTACAGAAATGCATGGTAGGTCTCCTACTGTCCCTCAGCTAGCAGTTATTTTTGACAGTAGATGGTCTCGAATAGAATATTACAGCGTTCTTGATGACTCAAAATCAGCAGTTCGAGCATGCCATCGAGGCTATCAAAAACGCAAGGAACCAACTGGATCCATCACGGTATGCCTGATTCTTGCACACTAGTGGCTCAGAGCTCAGACCAATGCCGTTAAACAGACTACGAAATCACGACCTCCTAACATCTCTGGACGTACTGACGACTGGGTCGTATCGACGATTACCTTCAGCAATCAAGGTGGGCCCACCCCCATTCTCCATCTCGGTAGAAGCTGACATCGCGCTGCGACTACCCTCAGAGCTTCATCATACCACCGACACCTCTCACAGACGCGGAAGTGGCGAAGACAATGTCTGATATAGAGGCTCTCATCCGGTATCGACTGCGGATGCAGGAACTTGTACCTGTTGAGATGTCGAGGTATCGAATAGGTTTGTGCTTTTGTTCTCCCTTCCGAACTGGGAATGCTATCTATGCGAAGCTCGTGATGCTGACAATGGCGCTACAGCGGACGGCCGGGTATTCTTCACCGTTCCGAAGCTATTCGAGTGTTCCCTGTCTTTACAGGGAGGCAAGAAGAATGACGGGTGGTTCTTCGTGCACGTCGAGTTTCTCTTCAATGTCGGGGGTGATCACACTGGCATGCAGGGTATACCATATCTTCTCTGGTTTCTTTGCATATTCCTCATCCTATAATCTTGCGCACAGAGTTTCCTCGAATACCAAGCGGGATTCTGAAACAACACTTGACCAATGAAGCGGACTCGCAACTAGGTCATTATTTACCATTCTCACAAGACTTACAGCTGCCGCCGGGTGTTGAACTTCCACCACGACCACAACTGCCTGAAGGAGTTATCGACTCACCGCTTATACGGGTGTATAACTTCCTTCGTGAGTTGTTCGCATAATCTTTGGACAGTGCTAGACTGACGAAGCGAAACTGACTGTATGTGCAGAGATCATGTCGATGTCGTATCAACTTGAGATCCTTTGCTACCAGGTGAGTAGTTCCTTCTGGCAAGGATGTGTGACCGGCGTGAGGGACGAGACTGATGGCGCGAGGATGCTTTTGTAGGCTGAGCGCCTACGATCGCTAGGCTGGGCCGACTTCTTGAGGGTGGTGATGAGCAGGGATCGTAAGACACTGACCATCACATACTGGATGTACGCCCCCCATCCTTTACCAAGAGCTCTCTGCACTACTGACATCCCCCCTTCCCTTCCACCCCTTTCCGTAGCCGCAAACCGCTACCTACGGGTCCCAATGCCCCCCGCATCAAACCCGCGAAACTCCCACCACACGGCGGAACCCTTACCATTTCGCTTGTCTCCTCTCCAGCACCGCGACGTTCACCACGGTCTCGTGTTCTTGCCGAGATCCAGGAAAAGACGAAGTTGAAGGCGAGACTGGGGAGGAAACCGTCGGATGAGGTAGAGGGAATGATGTGGGAAGTTACTTGGAAGCCGGAGGTTACGGCGTTAGGGGTGGACAGGATTCCGAGGGAGGATGCCGTGTTGATGGAGAAGGAGGTCGTTGTGGTGCGTGAACCTCCTCCGGGGAATCTCATGGAATTGTTACCCTCAGATACTGATTAGTGGCTGCTTGGTTGATTGGCCGATATAGGATGCGGATGATTTGGATCTGGAGAGCATGTTGAGGAAGGTCATCGAAAAGCACTCAAGAGGAATCCTCAAAGAGATCTACTCGAGGCTTATGCGTATGGTCGTGTTCTCCGCACCCGGATCTGTCATACTCACCACCCAAGGTATGCACACACAACCTTCCTGAGTGTTATCACATCTCCCTCTCTCTTCTCCTTGCATGGCATAAATAACTCCTATGACAATACAGACAACGAAATGGCTCTCCGCGTCCACCTTTGCGCTGACGAACTAGTTATCATCACCATCGACATCCGAATTGGCGAACTGAATCTGCGAGATACGGGCGATTTAGGCGCGGCAGGACGAGGGCAGAGATATGCGGTGATCACGGATAAGATCAACGAGAATCCGACAATGTTGCTGGATGCGCTTGTCAGACTCAGAATGACCGTATGTCCCTCGTTGTCCTTCCTCCTTGCTCTCTTAGGACGGAGACGAGATATTGACGTCGCCTTTGTGTGTCGGTGTCGGTAGACCATCGTCGAACTTGCTGAACAAAAGGCAAATTATTTGGGCATGCAAACGTATAGACAGAGAAACTTCTCACGCGAAGGTTTGTCCGCCCTGTCTCTTTGCAAGATCGACGCTCACATCATCCCATCCACATAGAATTCGCGAAACTCGGCCCAACAGCCCGCAGTCTACTCTTCATCCAACTCACGCCCTTCCCAAATCACTACCTCGTCCTCGTGGTCACGGATGACGACTTCCGGTACGCGCTCATTAACGTTACGATCGTGCCGGATAGTATGTATCAGAGCTTGGTCATGGAGGATATTGGATGGTTGGATGTCGCGAGGATATGCCAACCGCCACAGGTACCAGTCGCGGGTGAGGGTGAAGGCGGGAAAGTGTCGCTGGACCCGAAAGGCCAGAATGTTGGGCCAGGTGCTATGGTGGGAGATGCATCTTTGAGTCGATTTAGGATCGAGACGAGGGTCCTAAGGGAACTTTATGCTTACTGCTGGTGAGTCGCTCCATTCTTGTGTTCGTTGTGGCGTTACCAGCCCTTGCTTACTGTCGTCGTCATTTTCGATTCAGTGCACGAGTGGCCCACACCAAAGTCGAGAAGCAGTTCAAGGCCCGCGGCATCCCTTACGCCCACGTCAGCTCTGCTCAAACCAACCTCTCATCCCTTCCTTCCTCCCTCGACCACCTCCATTCCGCCCTCTCACACACAATCCCATCCCTCTGCGTCCAATCCTCGGACATCCTCTCCGGATCGCCGGCATTCGAAGCCGCCATGCCCAATATCCGTATAATACCTCTCTCCTGGTGGTCCACCACCTCTTCTACCCAACCCTCTTCCTTCTCTTCTTCGTCTTCCTCTATGTCATTCTACTCCGGTGGAACGAGGAGTAGTGGCGATCCACCACCGCAGGTCGTCACGTGCGTGAAACTGAAGTACGTGCAGCAACCTGTGGGGAGGAGAGCTGGGCTGGGGAAAGGTGTGATTAGGCCGTCGAAGAGGATCGTTTATGATGCGAATGAGGCGGTTGTCTGTTTTTTGGCGGATGAAGTCGAAGGTTGTGTCACAGAGTTCCTGGAGGAATGGGCGAAGGTGTCGAAGATTGTTGTGATCGCGAGGGAAGGTAAGCACTCGACATCGTCTTCTTGTGTAAAAATAAACGTTGAGGACTGATGGAATATACGTATACAGTCGCGAAGATGGCGAAGGAGAAGCAGTGGCAGGACGTCAGGCTTCTGTCGTTCGATTTGCAGACTGTCGAGTTTGCTTATGCATTGGTTCGTTCATCAAGCCTTTAACAGTGTTGTGACCGGACTTACATTATATACTTGTCTATAGGACTACACCGTATCTATCACCTGCACCGACCAACTCAGTACCTCCGGCGGAACGTACAACCTTCACTTCTCACGTATCCCATCAACACCCTCCACCGCCACGTCCGATAGCCAGCCTCCCTTTTCAGCTACAACAACCTCCTCCCCTCGAGGATACAACCCGCATACCGACGCCCAGGCTTTCTTCCGTAGTCTCCTTCGTCAAGGAAGGCTCTCTACTGCTTTACCTTCGCTTGTGTCCGTTCTTCGAGATACGGTTCCTGTTGTGGAAGTATTGGAAGGAATCCGTGCCGAAGTCGAGCAATGGAGCGCCGCATTGGACAAGGATGCGATGGACGTGGATTCGTCTCCTGGCAAGGGGAAGGGCAAAGAGAAAGAGAAGGAGAAAGGGTTGTCAGACGTGGATACCTTCCCAAAGGCCGCGGGTTGGTGGCGAGTCGACTTTAGGACGAACGTAGAGGGTGGGAAGCAAGCGAGACACGCCCTCGATTTCAGACTTATGAAAGGAGGACGTGTTGGCATACTCGACGCCTCACACTCCCTTTTCCTGTCGACGCCTTCGTCTTCCTCCACATCAACCTCCTCTCTATCGGCCTCGACTTCGGCGTCCGCGCTATCGCAGGCAAATTCGCACTCGCACCTGCACTCTGATAAGGACAGGGAGAGCGCGTTGCTCCTGCAGCCTATTCCGAAGCTGAAACAGTTGTTAGTGGACGCTGTTAAGGAGGTCAAGGCTCAGGAGGGCACGAGGATAGAGGGGAAAGTGGCCGTTGTGGATGTGGGTGTCGTATGTGGGATTGAGGATGTGAAAGAGATAGGGAGTAGGGTTTGGGCTGGAATCGTGAAGGAGTTAGGTGCTGGGAAGGGTGTGGGCTCGGGTATTACAGCTAGTGCAGCTGTCAAGTGAGACCACCAGCCACGGGAGGCGTCGACGTTGTATTATTATTGTTTGATTGCTTGCATTACTTTCTAACTATGAGACGGTTTCAGATCAGAACGCATTCAATGACTCCTCTGCCGTGCACCCGCCGGAAGTTAGTAGACATGGGATGAGTAATGACTGAGCCTTTCTTCTACTGTTCCATGCACTCCAAGGCCATCCCCTTAAGCCTGGTGGTGAAGCTTTGAAGACCGGTTGGGTGAAACATAATCATTGTATGACTGCTGATACATTGTCCTAGGACTGACGGATCCAACGTGCACGTTCTGATAGTCTGACTCTGCAGAAGCAGGATAGAGTGGATCGTTGTAATGATGACGCTTAGTTACTCGCTCCAAGGTCGCTTCTGCAGACGGAGAGGGAGGCCGCAATGTCTAAATGCATTCAAAGCTTTAAATTCGGACTCGGAGGACGAGGGTCGGTTCGCGGTCGGCCTCACACAGTCTTCTATGATTAGTCCACGAGCAAGTCACTCTAACCCTTGTACCGAGATTTGCGTGTGTAAAGTAGCTCATCGCCCCCTTCTCTCCGCTGTGAGCGCCACTAGTACTGTCGTACGCCACTATTACAAGTGGACCGCCGGGAGACACGTAATTTGCCGGTCGTCCGGACCTCGCCTGGCTAATAACAGTGTTCGAACTTCTTTTGTGTGCTACTTCCATCTCCGAGTCGGCTTCAAAGAGAACACACGAATACATCTCCCAGCCTTTTCAGCTCACTGAAAGCGCAGACAACATACCATAACGCTCTTTAGCACTGGCAGGTACAAATATTGCCGCTGGTAAAAATTAAATCACGAATCGGCGGCTATCGCTCTCACGGGACGACCCACCTCGTTGACTCGACTCAGTTTGTGCTATGTTTACTATCCGGATCGTGGGTTGGTTCATTGCGACGCTACCGACGCATCGCCGACGGGATCAAACTGGGGGAACCGGAAGGCAGGCCACAGGGCATATAAGGGCCTTGCCAATTCCGGTCCTGCACTTTCCTTCAACTTCATCCTCTGGCTCTTCTGGTCTAGGGTTGGCTCCTTCAATCTCTTACCATGTCGCAGCGCGAATCTGTAGGCTCTGGATCTGGTCGGGACGTCACTCCAACGCCCGATGACAACAAGTCTACCAAGGGACATGACGAAAAATCTACTGTTGGGCAGGAGGCGTCGGTGACACCGCCAGCTTCGGGTTCCCAGGAGAGGCCGTATAGCGTCTTCACGGCCAGAGAAAAGTGGTTCTTAGTGGCGTTGTGTGGTCTTGCTGCCATGTATAGGTCTGTATTTTCTTCTCCTTCTTTGTATTGTTCTTTTTTATACCCCACACTTGACTGAAACGCCGTCTCTCGTAGTCCTCTCACCGCGAATATATATTTCCCAGCTATTCCCACTATCGCCGATGCATTCCACAAAAGGTGTGTATATTATAACAATTATAATAAGTTGGATCTCTTATTAGTAATTGAACATGTAGTGTCGAATTGATTAATCTTTCCGTGACTGTGTATATGGTTGTTCAAGCTATTGCGCCGATGGTTTGGGGCACACTAGGAGACTATTGGGGGCGCAGACCATTGTTCCTTCTCTGCATGCTGATCCTCGCCCTGTCATCCATGGGGTTGGCTTTGACGCCTACTTCGGCATATTGGCTTCTCATGCTGCTGCGTGCGGTACAAGCAGGGGGCTCTGCGAGTACAGTGTCTCTCAGTGAGAAAACTCCCCACTTTTGCGAGGGTCAATTGTATACTGACGTGCGACGGACAGGTGTCGGCGTGATCGCAGATATTGCGAATCCTGGCGAGCGGGGAATGTTCGTCGGTGTTATGACGCTCGGTGGTGTGGTGAGTTCTCGTTTGGCAACGGATTTGATGAAGAAATATTGTTGACCTAAAATTCTCCCAGCTGGGTCCGTGTATAGGGCCAGTAATCGGTGGCGGACTCTCGCAAGGGCTGGGATGGAGGTACGTGATATATTCTAGCTTCAAATAGAAATTTCCCCGCTCACCTCTTTCAGGTCGATCTTCTGGTTTATTTGTATCGCTGCTGCCTTATCCTTCGTGTGGATGCTTTGGTATATACTTTCTTCAAGACCCCTCCTGCTCAAATATTCTCTAACAGAAACTCGCAGCGTTCTTCCTGAAACGCTTCGCTCCATCGTCGGAGATGGCAGTATTCGGCCACCCCCCCTCAACATGCCTCTCATCCCCATTATCGGCCGCAAATCACGCTCAGCCGTCTTACCCGACGCCGCAACGAAGCCTCCTCCTAAACCCTTCTCAAACCCACTCCGCCTCTTTTTGAATCCCGATATCGTCGTTCTACTCCTGTTTAACGGCATCCTTTACGCAGCTTTCTACTCCGTCACCGCCACTCTTTCCACTCTTTTCTCGGAAGCATATCCTTTCCTCTCCGAAACAGACCTCGGGCTGGCTTTTCTTGCCATCAGCGGTGGAATGCTCATCAGCTCGGTGTCCGTGGGGAAATGGCTCGATAGGGATTATGCGATGTTTAAAGCGAAGATGGCGGCGAAGGCGAAGGCCGATAAGGAGAACGGTATAGATGACGGCGCAGAGGATGCTGCGGGGAGGGATAAAGATGGGAATATTGATCCGAAGTTCCCGATTGAGAGGGCGAGGTTGAGGACGATGCCGATTTCGCTTGGGATTTATATCGCGTGTTTAGCGGGATACGGGTGGTGTTTGCAGGCGAAGGTGAATATTGCGGGACCTTTGGTGCTGCAAATCATCAGTACGTTCTATTCCAATCTCTCCTGTTCGCGGCGAGGAGGGCGGACACCAAAGACTAACTCAAAATGACCTGTCGCAGTTGGTTATACTTCCAACGCAGTCATGAACACGATTTCCATATTGCTCGTCGACCTCTTCCCCAAGCAAGGGGGAACTATCACTGGTTGTGTGAGCCTTCCATTTAGTTCTCTCGTCAAATCTCGATGACTTACTCCTTACTCTAGAACAACCTCGTCCGATGCGGTCTCGGTGCAGCCCTTGTGTCCGTCATCGATCTAATCCTCGAAGCACTAGAGCCGGGCTGGACATACGTCGTAATGGCAGCGATGTGTGTCGCCGTTAGCCCACTCCTGTTTGTGGCGATACACTTTGGGCCGAGATGGAGGGAAGAGAGGAGACGGAGAGTGAGTGGTCAAACTTAGAGCCTTCGTGTTGCGAGTTCCTTCCTATAATTACGGGTGTGAGATTAGACCGCGTGTGTCGTGAATCGACAATGAGTACATACATACAGGGCTAAGGCTCAATATTGAGGGTGATCTTGGGACGTATGAGATGTACACGCCTCGAGAGTCTGGTCTGGTTTGTCTTTATTACGATTTATCTCGGGTACTGCAACACGAACGTCCTACATACGCTTTGTGAGCTTACAGCCAGCGAAATTGATAGTCAGTGATAGTGTACTTCCAGAAATAAATCATAAGGAATAAAAAGTAATAGCAAGGATGTTACATGACCTCCCTGGCGGGGAGTCGAACCCCGCTCTCGCGCGAATAATTCCCGACGCCATCTATGACAGGCGCGTGTACTAATCCGATATACTACCAGGGACCTTGCTGGAGAATGCTGTACTAGTATAGATACACCGCCATCAGAGAGTTTGTCGAGGGTATACGTAGAATCTGCGCTCAACGTCGTTAATCTACGACCTCTCGTCGCCTGTAAAATTCTGGACATATTAAGACTTTATAGCCTTATTAAAGAAGTTTTTCTTGGCACGGTGAGTAGCAGAACTACCAAGCCCATGCTGAGTCCAGGTGACGGTACGAAGAAAGCTGTGTGGCGCCACAGCAGACTTTATTACCACATCAACAGAGTGCCACGTTATAGCTCAGCACTTGAGCTCAGAACCAAAAGCCCTGCTATAACGTTCACTCCGCAACCACCATATACCCCTTCTCATTACAATATCCTTGTAGTACTCGGGAGGCTTTCTGAAGTCCCCGCATCTCGTTTCCTGAACATGGACTACCTCAGAACCCTAGGATCTGCCGCTGTCTCATCCCTTGTCCAGAAATCAGGTCTCAACCTTCCATTCTCACTTGGCCAGAGAGTTTCTTCCTTCGATAACACCAGCATCTGGACATTGTATGACGGCACGAAACGCGTCTGTCTCTAGTCGTATGCAATATCCGTGCCGAATGACTGATAATTAATTCCAGGACGATGGATCCCCAGTCTCTATCTTTGAGTTCGATGGTTCACAGCCAAACAAACGAAATGTCCTACCACTCGCGAAGAACACTCTACGAAAACTTCGAGTTATGCGTCATCCAGACGTTCTCAAGTTTATGGACGCTGTCGAGACGGAGACAACAATTTACATCATGACCGAGCCGGTACGGCCTCTAGCGGCGGAGTTACAGTCGATGTCGGGCAAGAGTGTGCAGGATAAGCAGGACTGGTTGCTTTGGGGGCTTCACAGAATAACGGTGCGCTTCATCTCTTACTCAATCGTTGCTTTCGATTTGGACGACGGGGCGGCGGTATGTGGCTTGGAGGAACCGCCCCTGTTCGTGCCACTCATGCTCTTCACGCACAATTACCCCAACATCACGATTTCATTGGCCGCGATGGAATGGCATTCGTGAGCTAGCTGGGAGCTATGACATGCACGACGTGAAGGAAGTACTGGACGTCTGAGCCCGTTTGTGGCGGTGGCACGCCACAGCCATTTGATGGCCCCGTCAGTGACAGTTCAGTACGCTGCGTTTTCGTATTTTGATAGATTTCCCAGACTCCTACACCATACTCTTTTTCTTAATATGCTGCGAGGCCGGGCACACCATCCAAGAGGATCCAGTCCAATCATAGGCTCATTTTCACTTCTTTTAGACCGCATTGGCGTTCGTCAATGATCCCGGTAATTCGACTCATGGGAGCGTGCGGATTGGTTCTATCTTTTTATCAACGAGGGGAGAATGGAGATTAGGCGGGTTTGAGGTGTTGAGCAGTCCGAAGGATGAAGCAGCTGTTCTCTATGTACGTAGATTAACAGAGCCCTGTTCACCAAATGCCATTCATTTATTCATCTCATCTGTACACCCGTGTCTAGACTTACGGCGGTTTGATGGTAGAAGCCAACTCAATCGCCTCTCCTGAAGTCAAGAAGAGCGGTTGGTCTGCGTTGAAAGAGTAAGCTACTTCGTAATAAACAATCGTATCTCGCTGAGCATGGTCGAACAGGACACCTCCACCAGCTGCAGATGGCTATGCCCTCGCCTTGCTCATTCATGCATTATTCAATCCCGATGCACCACTACCACCTACGGTGCACCCACCTCATCCACCGCCACAGGCTTCATCTCGTGGTGCCATCCCAGCATCATTGTTCCCCTTCGTCAAGCGACTACTCAATCCTAATCCCAAGACCCGAATGACGGCTAAGATGTTCCTTGAGGTTGGGATGACGGAGTCTGCAAGTGAGGGTGGTTTCTTCAAACAAAACAGATTACTGCGCGTTTGTGAAGGCTTGGACGGTTTTGGTCTCATGGCTGAGGGTGAACGACTGGCTCTTCTACGGTATTTCGCCTCACCCACTTCATTATTAAGCCGTGAACAGACTAACACTTCGTTTCCAGAACAATCAAAGACGTGGCTCCTACCCTACCACCTACATTCTCCACCCATCTCATCCTACCTTCACTCCTCTCTTCACTCGGTGTCCCAGCACTAGCAACTTCAGCGTCCTCTATCCTCCCTCTCGTCATCCAGTTAGGCAAGAATGTCCCTCCGGAGGAGTACAGCAAGCTAGTTCTGGAACCTGTGATCAAGCTTTTTGAAAGCCCGGATAGAGGGACAAGGATGGCGCTGCTGGAGGCGTTGCCCGAATTCGCCGATAAGTTGGACAAGAAGATGGTGGTGGACAAAGTTTGGCCAAATCTGGTATGATGCCTTACTTGCTCTCATGCGCGATGGACGGAAGGTACTTACATGTGAACTACGGCAGCAAACTGGTTTCTCGGATACAGTTGCTGTGATCCGTGAGGCAACCGTTAAATCTATCGGGCTTCTCTCTGACAAGGTCAGTCTTCGAATTTCCCTTAGCCCATCCAGATTCCAACGTCTAATACCTGCCACCACCCAGTTCTCCGAGCGCATCCTCAACAATGACCTCCTCCGGCACCTCGCACGCCTCCAATCCGATCCCGAACCCTCCATCCGCACCAACGCCTGCATCCTCGTCGGCCGCCTGGGTCCCAATCTCGGATACAACACGAAACGCAAAGTGCTCATCATGGCGTTCGCAAAGGCGTTGAAGGACGAGTTCGTGCATGCGAGGGTGGCGGGTATCATGGCGTTTATGGCCTGTGTGGGGTGTTTCGAGATGGATGAGTTGGCGGGGAAGGTGGTGGGTTGTGTGGCGGGGGCTCTGGTGGATAAGGAGAAGTCAGTCTTATTGTTTTTACGTTCGGATAGCTGGTGGTGCGATGAGGTGGTTTTATGCTTGATGCTGACTTCTCATTTTTCGTAGACTTGTGCGAGACCAGGCGTTCAAGGCCATTGAGATGTTCATCAAGAGGTTGGAGACTCATGCCGCCACCATGGTAAGTCTAGTCGCACCCAATTCCGGCTTTCAGTCACTTATTATCTACGCCCTGCAGCCAGAAACCGCTCCACAGAACGAATTACCCGCCGCCCTTGGGGCTTTTGCACCACCAGCAACCAATGGCAGCAGTCAAGCCACCATCGCCAGCTCAGCAGCAGGTGCCGCCGGTGCACTCGCCGGCTGGGCTATATCCTCCCTCGGTAAAAAGGTTCGCCTCTCTTCTCCTTCTATCCAACGCCCCAAGACGTGGACTGTTTATGGTTCCAAATATGTTCTGATTATTCTTGGCCCGCTAGATCACCTCGAGCGAGATGCAGTCCAGTATCGAACCCGCAGCCTCAGGCTCCCAACTCGCCCCACCACCCGTCCCAAGCTCGACCCGCCCCGCACTCAATTCCTCTTTCTCCGCACCTCCAACACCTTCTATGCCTTCCATCCCTACCGCCACCAAACCGAAGCCCAGCGGTCTTGGTCTTGGGGCTGGGACGCATAGAGGGGCGATGAAGCTTGGCGGTAAGAAGAAGGGTGCGACGCTGCCTGGTGGGATGCCTGCCGAGTTGGCGGACGAGTTGGATGATTTCGATATGAATGGACATGGGAAGGATGATTTGGATGCGTGGGGTGTGGGAGATGGGGATTTGATTGATGTTAATGCGGACGAAGATGATTGGAGTACGTTTTCTTATTTCATTCGTTCCTTTCTTCCGGTTGTGGGTAAACCGTAAGGGATGCTGACCGGTAATTGATGGTCTAGGTGCCTTCGAAAGTGCGCCAACTGCGAAGGGTGCAGTGAATGCTGTAGGTCTCGGATTTGGGGATACCGCCGACGTTGTTGAACACGGTATCATCATTTCCCTCGTTATAGAGTGGACCCGAACTGACCGTCGTATTTGTGCTAGACGACGAAGACCCTTGGGGCGCCATCGACACCAAGCCCGCACCGACATTCTCCTCCCTTTCAACCCACCCCATACGCAAACACACAGCTCCTGCGCCAAAACACGCAACGCATGCACCACCGCTGTCCCTCGCGCCATCTCGCTCCTCGACGCTGTCACCTGCGTTATCGAGTCAACGTCCGACCCCGATATCGAGCCCGAAAGCGGCTGAGCATGAATTGACGGCTCCGCATGCGGTGAGTACGGTGGGTATGTCGAAGGAAGAGAAGGCGGCGGAGATGGCGAGAAGGAAAGAGGAGAGGAAGCAGGTACGTGCTTAGTTTTTACTTTCTTCATCTGGTAGCCGTCCTTGAGGCTGACTGTCGTCGTCTGTTCTTCGGAAATTCAGAGGATCGCGCAGCTGAAGGAGCAGAAGAAAGTGACGAGCCCGAAGGCGTAAATTTGCTATGTCGTCGTCGTCGAAGGGAAGAGTTATGATCCTGTTTCCTACTCTATGTGATTTATACGGTACTATGGGACAATTGATACGGTATACTCGACTATTTGACTATAAGTGATATGGCTCGACAGACGGTCCTCATTCGGATTATGCAGAGCATAAAGTACGGTAGCAAGAAATCGTAAAACAGGGAATAGAATGTCTAATGAGCAGTGGCGAACGAGTCGATGAACCTCACAAAGGTGGCGGAGCGTTCTTCACCAGTCCGAGCTCCTTCCTTCTCTCTACCCTCGCCCTAACGGCCCAAAACGCGGACTGGTGCGTCTTACCGCCTCCTGGAAAACCGAGCTTGAAGCACCCCTCGAACACCTCCTTTGGTCTCGTGCTCTTCCCCTTAACAGGCAAACCCGACTCCGCGGGTGCTTTTCCTTCTCCCTCTCCCTCGTCCAGTTCCACCCATGCCCGAGTTAACTTGAATATCCCCTGTCCACCTCCACCCAAAGTACTCGTCTCACCCACAACACCCATTCCATCGGGTATATCCTCCATACAATGAAAGAATCCTCGCTCCGAACCTTCAAAAACCACATGATCAACCTCTCGAAGATCAAGCAGCCTTATATCCCGAGGCCGCTCCTTCTCATCCATAATCCCTCTCGCCTTCATCTGTGATGGTGCTCCCCTATCATTATCATTAGCTGCAGCAAGGTAGAATTGCGCCGTGTAGTCGTTTCGCAGCTGGTAAGATATCATCTCGTCGTATAGAGCCTGGTAATTCGGAAGTGGCATGGCTCGTGCAAGACCTGTGCCGAGAAAAGCGTCTTTGAGGAAGGGAAGACTCATATCGTATAGGTCGAAGTTCCCTGCGAAGATGGCGGCGGCGGGTATTCGATGGGCGTGGACATGGGGGTTCGAGCCTGCCGAACCAGAGGCTGAAGCGGATGTGGTCGCAGTCTTCGTCGCATCCGTCTGGGCATTCATGCCGATTTCGATAGCAGAAAGAGGTTCGGAATGGTCATGACCATTTAGTGGCAATGGTGGTGGTTGGAAGTCAGACTGCCATTGAGTCTGGGACTGAGACTGGGATTGCGAAAAGGATACGGGAAAAGAAGGATCCAGTTCTCCGGGGTCGGAGCGTGTCTCGACGATATCGGTGACGGTTTCTCCTTCAGCGTCCATCTCGGAGTTGTACCCTGTTGCTTGTGGTATTGGTGTGAGTTCCTTGGGTGTTGGTGTTGCCGCACGCTTCCTCGAGCGAGATTTAGGGTTTGCGGTGCGTTTGGAAGTGGTTTTGGGCGATGATTTGGGCGCAGTGGGTTTTATAACATTATTACGCTTTCGTTTGGGTTCAGGGGTGACGGGATCTGCTGTCTTCCGTTTTCGGCCATTTCTTAGAGGAGTTTGGGCCAAAGGTTTGGTTCTCATTTGCCGAACGGATTCTTCTGCAAAGAGGGAGGTGGTCAGACGTGTCGAACTTGGAGCAGTTGTAAGTAGACTCCTGACGAGTATGATTTGACTCGCGTGGATAGGAGCTTTGTGAGGATTGTAACGGGCGCCACAGCATCTGGGCCACATTACGGGCTCTGTCGCAGAGAGTAACCTTCAGGAGTACATTTGTGAAGACGCAAGAGGTGTACTCAAAGTTGGGTGGTGGGAGAGAGTAACGAGATGAATTCATAACTCACCGGCATAATCATCCGGGACAATCTCCTCGAGGAAACTATATTGCGAGGCTTTAGGACGCGGTACCATGCCGACATGACCCCAGAAATCATCAATCATCTCTTCTGACTCCACGAAGGACTCTGCAGGTTCCCATCTTGTTGGGTCGTCAAACAGTTTCAGATGCGTTGTCTATACAAGCACGAATGCTGAGAGAAAGGTGAGACGTACGAATTCTCCTCATTGCTGTATCCTTGCCACTAAGGTAATTGCATGGACGTCATCAGATACATTGCATGCTCATGATACGTCTGCTTCTGACATCCATACCTTCACTCGGTATTTCTGAAAGGAAACAACAGAAGTTAGCTACGTCTTGGCTGTACCGTTGTGGGAATCAAGACCGGCAAAGAGGCATACCCATAGCTTCTTAGAGTTATTCGGACCCGTCGTGAATACACAAGCTTTGAGTATTTTCTCTAGGATTATGAGCCGTAATTATAAGAGACCAAAAATTAGACTTCTAACCACGGACACATACCGACAGTATACTCATTCTCCTCAGTAACGGGTTCAGGACCTTTTTGAGCCATCGCGGTCGCAGGTCAAAGTAGCACAAGCAAAGCACAAGCGCGTTGTCACGAAGGAGATGTGACGCTATCCACGTGAACGTGACTAATGGTGGATTCCTCCGTAAAGGCTGTGTGGCGTCTGCAGCTTTCAGCGACGTCGTGGCGTTTTCCGTTTAGCAAGTTCGACAAGATCATCAACGACCTAGCTTCACTACTTGAGGATCCCACGACGGATGTAGGGTATGCCTGGACGAAACAATGACGAGCTGCCGCTGAAGATAGAGGAATTACGTCCCCCGACGTGGCTCCTAGAAGCCCACACTTCTGCGGATCTAGGTACTGTTCAACTTTGGTGTCTGCCTCTCAATGTGGAAGATTGACTGACCAAACGAAAACCACAGGGTATATTGGGTATTACCCCCCTCGACCAGATCAAGAGGAAGACATCCTCACCGAGGTCGCTGTCAAGAATGGGCTCGCTCTGCCTGCGTCCGTAGCGGTGCGTACAGGACTTGCTGCTGGACATACGGACCAGTTGGTGGTCATAATATTTACTGTGATTTTCTGTGCTTGTTCTAGGCGGAAACGTGGAGTGCACAAGCCATAGTCAAGGACAATCTTGCTTACGAAAATGCAGTGTCTGACCTTGAAGAGCTCATGAATCAAATATTTGCTAGGCGGGCAGAAGCCATCCCAGCGATTTCGTAGGTCTTTCCTTTCTATCATAACACATCATAGTGCAGTCTGTCAGTACAGGCTCTATCGTTGGTTTGTATGCTGGACTGTACCCGCTGTAGGGACGCCACACTACGCCTCGTGCCACACTCCTTTCACAGTGAACAATGCTCTTCGGATACTGACATTATCTTCTTGGCAGGCCTTCATCCTTCAAAATACCGTCGCGAGTTACTCTCAATGATGCGCGACGGACTCAGTGGTTCCGTGAACTCGCTGATTCTAAAGTACCACTCCAGAAATTAGGAAAGAGTGTTCCCCATGGAGCCAAGGGCCACGACTTGCTGGATCTTCTCTACACTCACGAGGTCGAAACTTCGCGAGCACTGTGGTTTCTGCGGGTGTTCGGGGCCAACGAGACGGTATAGGTCCTATGTTATGTTCCCTCGTCAGGAATCACTAATTATTTCGTAGGCTGGACAACGGACCAAACCTGGTTATGACCCAACTGGATATAGTGTCGAATGGGCGCACCTTGTTACAGGATATATGAAGAAACAGCTTGGAGAGATCAACCTCCCCAGTGCACCTCGTCCTGGCCTCAACATTAAGCAAATCTTCAAGGGTGTCCTGTCGGACCCTGAAAGTCGGGAGCGCTGGATCTCGCGCTTTGTGTATATGTGGGTGCTCTTGAATATGTAAGGTTGGCCATACGCTGACCAGCAGCATTAGCTTGAATCTGATGCGAAGCTTCTACTCCGAAGGTCTTGTTGACAATCGGACTTTCCTTTCGTGGTTGGTGCTACAGCTTGGCACATGTAATTTGGCGCAGGCAGGCTTCATGGCTCGGTTGGCAGACGAGTATCTGGACGGTATCCTGATCTGTCGGGCGTTAGCACGACCTTTCATCGACGCCTGTTTGACCAAGCTCAATGAAGTGAGTCTATCGTAGAGTGATAACCAAACAATCGTGTCTGATATCAAGAGTAGATCTATGCGTCGCCGACAAGGGAATACTTACCCAAGCTCGAGCTCATGCTGAAGACTTTTGTTCAGGTCCGTATCGTGATGTCATTTTCGCCTTTGGAGTGCATTGACATGGTCGTCATTTGCAGCGAGCATGTCTGGTACTTCCCGACGCCTTCATTAGTCCCCGGATGTGGATCACCCATAAACTCCTTCTGGACGAAATCTTCTCCTCTCAAGACGCCCAAGACCAAGAAATTCCAGATCCATCCACGAGTTATTTGAGAAATACACTATCTGGCCATTTTGATGACTTCAAGACGCGAAACGAAGCCATGCTTTTCCGGGACCTTCCTAAACGCGTACTCGCTCGTCTCTCAGAGGCTGTCACTGACGTTCTGGTATGCACTCGTTCACAAGTCTACCATCTTCTGCTAATTTCTATCTCATTTATTGCTTTAGCTCCTCAACTCCATCAGTATCTCCACCGACCTCGACACGTTTTCCTTCTTCGGCCCACAATTATCCGATGCTGTCTTTGCATCCAAGGTCGATCGGCTTCTCACATGGTCCGTGACTCCTCTCCAATACGGCGATCATCGTCCATACGCAGCCGTTACCCTTCTTCGGCGATGGCTTGATCGTGCCGGCGAACGTGCCACGCGTCGTGATTTCATCAGTCCACACGAAACTCTGCAGGATCTGTTGTTCCACTGGTTAGATGCATCTGAGGTGGCGGGGGAAGAGACGAATTTGATGGCCGTGGCGGTTCTGTTTGGGGAGTTGGTGAAGTGCGAGTTGTTTGAGTATGCGATTTATGTGCAGAGGTTGATTGCAAGGTGCGAGCAGGGCCTGTCGTATGCTGCGGTATGGGCACATTTATCTTCCGCACATCAGTGAGTGCCAAACTGACGGTGAATTTTATTGAAGGAATGTGGATCACGGCATCGGAACTTCTTGCGATGGATACCTCTGCATAAGTCAACCTCCTCCATCGTCACTCAGCGGAAGATTACGCTTCATGGCGTACGGGCACGCGAGACGCCTGAAGAGCAGACGGAGAAAGAGATACGGGGGGAAATACGTCTGCTCCTCCCGGACTTGTTCTCCGGTTCGTCCTCAAAATTTCATCCTGCTCCCCCGAATCGAAGCGTTCTCACTTATGATGTGCAGAGAATACGGACCTGCAAACGCTGATGGGACTCCCGGTCCCGCACTTGACAAGTTTCGCGACATTGCTCTCTGCACCGCGGTATGAGCAGGTCAGAGTAGTCAGGCAATGGCTGCTTCCGATATTGTTGAGGACATTGCCTTCGTGAGTTCGAAAATATTTTTGACAAAGGCAGGGGATGTGACCTGACCAGCACAAATTTAGGCGTCTTGCCGATCCCTTGACAGAAATCCAGGCTATCCGTTCTTACTGTATCACAGTAGAGCTCATGGCCCAGGTCAAATGTTATGGATCCATCATGGACGTGAGTGGTCTTCTTCGCATTCGTCTTGTTCTAAAAGCTCAACAAGAATTCCTTATCATAGCTAGGCATCACACTCCTCGAATCAACCACCTCACAAGGTCTCCTGACTGTACTGATTGAGACGTTCCGTAGATATCTCGCGATATGGGCTAGCATGAACGTCCTGAAGAGGATCGGGGAGGCTCTCGCTGTGACACACAACTTGTTCAAGAGTCGTGGGATCGTCTCGAGACGCTTGTTGATGCTCATGATGGATATCGATCATAATAGGATTCTGGACCCGACGGTTCGCAAGTCCGTGGAGGCAGAGTTTGCCACATTCGCGCAGGTACGGGAAATGCGCTTTTCATGTGTTCATTGACTGAGACCGTGTTTCGCAGGCCCTACATCCTCCGGATGAGCACCCACGAGTCGTACCCACCCACCTCCAAGAGATTCTGCTGCTTCCGAATGACACGCGACCAGATGCTGCCGCCACACTAGCAAACAGTTTATGGTTTACTTACCGTACTGCCTCTGACTGGGGTTGGAGAGTCTGGGACAACACATTTGCCAGCTTACGGCTCAAACCGACAGTACCGTTCGATACAGCTACGGCCCGCGCGCGATCGTTCTGTTATGCTAATTTCCTCCTCTACGTCGACCAGCACCTTCCAAACGGCCTTGACGAACACGTCTTCAACTGGTTTAACGGACCTGGGATCTCGGAGCTTATAGCCGTCGACGCGGAGGCCTGGGACTGCATCACCGTAACGCTACTCTACCTCGCAGTGAACGGCGCCATGTCGACCGCTACCATACTGAAGGGTTTAGTATATCCTCTGTGGCAGCTGGCGCTCAAACCACCCGTACCGGGAACGTTGCAAGCCAAATCCCAACCCTCAGAAGTCTACCTCCGTGCCGCGCATGACATCTTCGCCCGCCTTCTCCTACACACGGACGGTACATCCGATGGCATCCCACCCACCGATTTCATCGAATGCCAACGCATCCGCACCCGAAGAGCCGACGTCTTCCAGGAGCCACATCTCTCGTTACTCGTTTCGAACATACCAGTTCTCGTTTTCTTGGAAAAGAGCGAGCATATTCCCGAGGATCTGCGGATGACGTCTGGAGATATTAGGAGTCAAGTCTGTGCAGTGACGGAGTTCAGGCAGGGGATCTATAGGAATTTGGATATGGCGAGAGACGCGTTCGAGACTTTAGTACAGTATGACACTTTGGAAGAGAGTTTGTTGGAGCCGCTCATGGATGCCTTGAGGTTAATCTTGAATGTGGCGCGCACTAGTAGGTTCTATCATCATTTGACTTCGATGCGTCTCATTCACATCATGCTCGTAATAGATACCGCCGCCATAGGCTCCTCGGAGTGGCTAGACACGTCATCTCTGCTCAGTCCTTGGAAGCTTGCTGCAACTGCCATCGAGGTTCAATTCACGCTAAAACAGATGGGCGAACGGCTCGCGCTTGGAACACCACATACGCATGGAAAGACGAAGGTCGATCGACTTATCGCACAGTTTCTGCACCATCATATGTCGACAGAGGAGGCAGACTTCGTTGCAGATATGGCTAGGGGTGTCGGGCCTACGATCGTTAGCAAGGTGTGTGCTTACTATGGTGAACGAGCCCACATAGTTAATTGGTCCATCAGTTTGTCAATATGGGCCTATGGTGCATTGCCGAGACTCTGAAGAATGCCAGTGCCCCCCTCAGCACAGAGACCGTACAAGAGGTTATCGATGTTGCAAGCGAGCAATTACGCTTGCTCGCTCATGTTGTAGAGCCTGTCCGCGATGATCCTCTCAAGATCCCTTCCATGGACTTCCAAACTCAGGACGAATTCTTTGCGGCGCTGACAAATAAGATGGAAGCCCTGGACGCCCTCGTCTCCAGCTCCGTCAAGGGGACGTGCGACATGGCACCTCAGCTGATTACGCATGGGGCCGTTTTGATGGCGAGGTTGTTGCAGTTCAACTTGGGGTTCAAGGGTGTGTGGACGCCGAAGACGAGGGATATGAGCAGTCGGATGTGTGTCTCGGTATTTCGTCTTGCTTTGGTGGGCAGTTTTATGGTATCTTATCCAGCGCATCTTCGCTCATAATGCCCTTCACACAGGCCCACGGAGCGGGAGACTTCTTAGACCAAGTCGCTTTTCCACTGTTCTTGGATACCTTCTGCTACCTCCTAGACGGTGCGTAGAGCTGATAGTCGGTCTGACCATATCTAATTTCACTTTGATACAGAGATCGCCAACGACACAAAATCTAACAACTCTGACCTCTTCCGTAACTATCCCAAGATCGCCATCATGGACCTCCCACCCGACATGCCTGCTGAATATCGCCAACAACTTCGTGCTCTTCTGCCCTTCCTCCCTCCGAACGAAGTCGTAGCCGATATCGCCTTCGCTACTCGTGATGCCGCCGGTAACATCATCACGGGCAGTGCTGTTCAAAACCGACCCTGGGAATGGACCGAATATCTCGGCGGCCAGCCCGCAGACGAGAACGAAGACCATCATCGTAGCGACGCCATTAGGAACTCAGCATCCCTTTCGCTGGACCTATTCAACGCCAGGCCTACAGGAGAACCCATCGTACCCTATGTACCAACAACAGGAGATTCGAAGGTCGAGGCGAGCATCCGATCATTCCAGGATGACATGTACAGCGACAGTCTCTTCGCACGAGACTGGCGCGAAACGCGGATGAGCAACCTACATGACAGCACCGGGTCGGGAGGGAACCGTAGTGGAAGAGGAGAAGGAGACGACGAGCTTGGTCCTCTACCGACTTTCCACGGTTCTTCGCGGCGCGGTTCGCCTTCAGCTTCCTCTGGTCGTTCTCGGTCGGCTCATCCGTCCGGGACTTCATCGCGCCTGCAGAGCCCGTCGTTCCAAACTTTGGCAGCGCTCAATGGAGGCAGCACGTCTACTACTGCGAGCGATACTGAGTCACATGCGCAGTCGCATGGAGGAGGAACGGCGTCGAGTGCGACTATCGGGAGTGGCAAGGGGAAGAGAGCAGGGAAGAGAAAGGCTGAAGCAGCTGCAGATTCAGATATTGAGTTCGTGGATGATGCGGGGCCGGTTGCACCGCCGCCTAAGAAGGGAAAGGGAAAAGCTCCTCCGAAGACGAAGGCGAAGAAACGGTAGATAGATCTCATGGACGATGTCTAGCTCGACAAGTGATGGTACAGGATAGATTGTTTTCAGTTCATGTCTCGTCTTCTAAGTTATTGTTTTACATTCTTCTTCCCTTTGTTATGCTACCACATGCTGTATGAATTCATGATCATCACGCCACATCCGATGAAAACGCGTCTCGCAAACCTACGATATTGAATGTATCGTCCGTAGTAACACATCACATGTGCGATAACATCAGGACGAAAAGGGAAGAAAGAATCTGAGCTCTACATCCCATCACGAAAGCGACCGTGCCAGTGGGCACTCGGAACAGAACAAAAGTCCCAATAGAAGGCTTCAATTCATCCATTCCCTACACGTCTCCTTCAACCACTTGATACGCCTCGCGAACTCCACTTCCACTCTCCCCTTGCGCCCACGTCCCTCATCTGAAATTTGCTTCGAAGCCGTCGCATGCTCATTGTCGTCCGTTCCAAGCATCTCGAGCTTACGGATGGCCAAGACGCATGTCTCGCTCTTGAACCTCGCACTCAGCCTCTTGCGTATAGCGTTCTAAGATTGTCGTGATGTTTGTGCCACACACCGCACGTGCCACCCAAACTCGTCAGATCCCAAAATCCTAAACAGCAAGTCTGCTGAGAAAAGAAAATACGGCACTCACAGTCACGCTCATCGGATATCCCCTCGACACATCTACATCCGTTCCATTCCCATACCGTTCTCCCCACACCAGACTTGCCGCACCTCCGCCTTCTGTCACCATGGAATGCAACTTGGCACTAGGCTTGGTCATCGGCGTAGAAGCTTTACCACCAGTATGAGCAGCAGTACCGAGCGAGCCATAAGAATCAAGCCAGAGTTCCCAGATGCATTCGTCCCAGTCAGCGGCTCTCGAAAGGGGCGGAAAGAATCGTTCGGTGCACCAGAAAGGGTATGAGCGAGGGAGAAGGATGGGGGAGAGTGTGTTGAAGGGATACGAGTGTGCTGAGGGTATCGAGCTCGTGGTAAATTTTGCTAAGATAGGTCTCGAGGACGAGTGTATTGTATGCGATGCCCCGGGACTGACGGGTAGGGAGAGGCTCGATAAGGGAGCTGGGACAAGGAGGACGTTTGAAGTTGGAGCAAAAAGACGAGCGAGATTCAGGAGGGCGTTGGATGAATATGAATTACGCGAGTCGATATGTATGACGTGTATCTTGAGGAAAGTGGCGAGCGTCAAGTCGGATGAAAGCCGGTGGGCGATGATCTTTGAGAATGTCGAGGTTGGAGAATGTGCGACGATCACCAGAGAGATCGGGGCTGGTAGAAGAGCAATCATGTACAGTATAAAGCTATCATCTAGATAAGGATAAAAGGGTAACGGACTGACCATTCCATGACCTTGCCCAATGCTTCAGGTGGTTGACTGAAGTGCGGTTTGAGAGTTCGTTGATGTGCATCCACGCGCACGCAGTGATAGCATTTGTGTCGATGACCCCAGAAGAAGAACCGGCCGCAAAATAAGGATGAAACCCGTCAGGTACAGGCCGCACAGACGTGAGCTTGAAAAGCTTGTCATCCGTGGAGAGGAAATCGAGGTGCGAAGGCGCGGCTACACGGAAGAGGACGCGATGAACACCAAGAAAAAGGAAAGACACCTGGAATGAAAAAAAAGGTAGCATACCTCCATGAAACATCATTCTCGTCACTATCTCAGCGTATATCTTCTTCGTAAACAGAATCACTGACAGAAAGCAGTACCCCCAGATAAGCCAAGTCCACCACGAGCGATGGTGAGACCGTTTCGAGAGCCCGACCCAGCTGCTGACTGTCCAGGCAAAGGTTCTAGAAGTCGGAGCAGCAGCAAAGGATATATCTGAAAGCTTCGCAAGTCGAGAGGTGCGGAGTCGCTGTTGTGTATGTCTTGACGAGATGTGCGATTGGTAGCTGGCGGATGCGGATATTGACTTGAGGTTCGAGGATGAGGAAGATTGAGACTGAAAGCGAAAAGTGGGAAGAGAGACGGAGGGGTCCATGAGGGCTCCAAGTATAATATTTACACAGGATTCAGAAGTCGTGAGGATGCTTTCTTTTGTTGGTAAGCGTGTTGTAGCGTGTTGGCAAGCCTATCGAACAAGCTACGTGAAAGTTCGTGTGGGCCGTTTGTGCATGGACACTCTAGAGATGCCACTGAGATTACGGATAATTAGTCCGCCAAAGAGCCTTCTGTATAAGCCGCTAGACCAGATAGTATCCGAGGCTTGTAAGACTGCGTATTTTTGAATCGGATGGTGGTGGTCGTGAGCAAGCCTGTGGAAGGATGTTAGCTGACTAAGCTTCAACGTTCTCCAAGAGTGTTGTGTGGCGCGAGTGTGGCCCATACCCTATCTCCTCCTATCTCGTTACCAGGGTGAACTTTGGCTCTTGAACACGACCTTGTTCGTCGCGCTACCTCCTACGTTTCCGCCCAGCGTCATTCACAGCAAGTACATTTCTACACGGACGCGTTTGCTGTTGATCTACAAGTAGTATGCACTGACCCGGCTTATTTGGTACCAATCGACCTGGTTGCTAGATGTCAAACAACGGCAGTAGAGAGCCCACTCTCGGAGAGTATGAGGCCTTCCTCAAAGTTTTCGTCACTTGCTCAGTCAGTGATGAACGAGACGTTTTCTTCCACTCTCCAATGGCCGGTAAAACCCCGCCATGGTCCGGTTCCAGCGCGGAAAAGCTTATTCAGAAGTTCTGCGAGGGAAGGAAGGAGGACCGATATGTCTACACCGAGCCCACAGAAGGGCACAGTGAAGATGAACAGAAGTACAAGGGTACGCTGCTTATTGAAAGCTCCGTGTCGTGCTCGCGTTCGTCTCTGAACCGTACTAACTCCTTGCATTTCCGTGTAGAGATAGAGCTTTGGGTCGCAGGGACGCGTAACCTTCGAGGCGCATTTCTCCATGAGATGAGGCCCGAAAAATTCCCCAAAAAAGAACCACGTCCCTCTGAAATTGATCCCTACGCTCGCCCATTAGAACGCGGCACCGTCGCTACCGCCTTCCTTACGTTCCCCCCTGTGCTGTCCCTTTCCTTGGGTCGACTAATCGAAAAACGTATCATGCGCCGCGGCCGCGACGGAAAGGTGGGTTTCTTCGATACAAAACATCGTGTCAGTAGGTCTTACAATATTTTTCTTCAAAATAGATCGTGGATCGTTTTGAGTATCCCGTCCACCTCGACATGACCGAGTTTCTCGCATTGTCTGCGCCTTCCTCTCCTCCCCTCAACTATCGCCTCTTCGGCGTTTTGGTACACCAGGGGAACGACCAGACCACAGCGTTTGTCAGGCAAGGCCGGGATGACTTGTGGCTACGATACGAAAATGGGCTCGTCGCACCGGTGTCTTCGATACGGGAGGTCACTCAAGATAATTTTGGTGGTTCACGGAGAAGTAAGACTGCGATGCATCTGATGTATATAAGGGAGGATTCGATAGATGAATTCTTCGCAGAGAAAGATAGTACGTCTCTTCCTCCTTCGATGCAATGCTTCGTAGAAGCGACACCTCGTGCGTGTCGATGTTTAACACAGTGCGGCTAATGCCATCACTTTAGGGCGATGCTGTCAGCATTGCGGATTGAAGGCCACAACGGCATGCTCGAAATGCAAGACTGCAAGATATTGTTCACCCGAACATCAAGCAGTGGATTGGCCAGATCATAAGAAAGTTTGCACGCGCATCACACCACGCATCAGTGCGTTACTCGTTAAACTGAAGAGTTTCGGGTTCTGGACCTTGCTCCTACTCGTGTATATCGCGGCTTTCTTTTTCTTCTTTCAGAGCTGAACATACGGCATCAGCTTGGTTGTGATGTGCAATTTTATGTGTTTGCAGATCGTATTTTGATGAGATGCACTCTGTATCTGTCCTGACGTTCAGCTTCTTCGGTGCATCCGGTCATCTGAAGGATGAAGCACTGGACTCCGGCTAGTTAGCCTCGGAGCGCCCTACTTACTGGTGCTCTACCTGTGCGCTGTATGACTGAAGACATCGCCATCTGTACGCGATGGGTTCTCCGGGCTGGTGAGAAGGCATAAATACTCTTACAATTCGAAGGACGAGGACATCTGTACGCCTGGATCGATCCTTCCGCCCTTCAACAATGGACAGACTCCACTTCAAGGTCTTAATACTCTTCCTTGTGTGCGCTTTTGTCGGGTCCGCTATGGGTCTCTTCGCCCCGATACAGAGTCCTGCCTTGTCTCCGCCTCTTGACGTCTCGTTATCGTCCTTCGTTCCCGCCGTGAAAGGAACTCATGTACGTATCATCAGATTCTAAACATCATAGAGTAACTCAAGCTGATCAAATCGAATATACCAAAAGCTCGCAGGCAGCGTAGACATCCAAGGACGTGGTCGGTCTTTCATCCCCTTCAGCCTTTCCATGCACGTATATAAACGCTGATCCATTCCATTCTCAAGCCGCCACCAGAACTCATAAGATCGCAGCCGTCACGCCCAAACCTGCGGCTCAGACCGTCAAACCCGTCGTCGCTCCACCGACCATCAAGCCCGAGTCTTTCACCACTCATTCTCAGCCTCAACCGACTATCAACACCGCCTCCGCTGAGAGTGAGAGTCAGTCCGCCGCTGCGAAGGGAGTAGATGGGACCAATACTCCTGCTGCTACGAACGGAGGTCCCGTCCCCATCGTTCCTGTACAAGAGAACGCAGAGTCTGATGGGGAATCGACGTCGAGAACAATCAGGATCATAATGGGGTTGGGTGTCTTGAATTTGGCTATAGGCATGATATTGTGTGGGATTGGAGTGTATGTGTGTGTCAAGAGGAGAAAAGATGGCGAGCGGGAGATGGAGGGAGGGGCGGCGTATGCGCAGGTGGAGAATATGAAGGCGGGAGAAACGGTGTTTGATGCAAAGTATGAGTCTCACGAGGAGCAGGTTTGACCAATGTACTGTATGTGTCAACTTTCTGGGGTATGACTGGGCGGCTGAGTAGTGTCTTGTGGGGGAGCCCGGTGGGGTAGTCATACTTGCGCTTGAGGCAGTCGATCATGAAGCAGGTCACGGCTTAAGACAGAAGACGGCGCGAGTAAGTTAGAAAAGGTTGGAAACGAGACGCACAAAAAATAAGATGGAGTGACTTACTACCTAGGCGCACGACAGGCCGGATCCATGGCGGTCCACGAGAGGTTTGCGAGAGGTGGCATGAAGGACCCGGTTTGGATTGAAATAGGATCGTAGAGTACTGTAGATTCAGAGTACACAACCTTGAATTGTATAACGGTAATATAATTATCGCCTATGAGGCCAAGTCGTACTTGCAGTAGCACTTGGATGTCGGGAGTCAAGATTCGACTTTTTCCCTGTTCCAGGGCCACATTCAGGTCGAACGCTGGGTGCCACTCACGTCAAAATTCCACATACGGCGGCAGCCACTGTTCCATGGCCACACATTCATCCCCTCCAAAACACTGTCATCACCAGTCTTGAAAACTGCAACGGGATATTGCTAGGGCTCTGTGTCAACGTCTTTTGCGCTTGTTATATCATCTAGATCCCTCAAGTGACCATTTGGAGGTCTTCACGGATTCACCGACGACTTGGGCGTCTTTGACCGTCTTCCTTTTCTGACGTTCTACCCTCGAGACTTCAGCTTCCTTGGGAAACCATACTGCTATTCTTCTCGACTATACATCGCTCTTGGTCTCCAATGGACGAACCAATAACGAAGCGTCTCCACGTCTCAGGCCTCACGCCATCCATCACCCTCGCCGACCTCTCTACAAGACTCGGCATGTACGGTTCCATCACCTCTCTCGATAAATTTGGAGAAGTAGATGCGTTGGGACAGCCGAGGAAGTTTGCGTATGTGACGCTAGAGACCACGAAAGGAAAACTGGGAAAATGTGCGTCGTTATCAAGACTGCTTGTTTTCTTGAAACTCACATCCATTTTTTCCCTTTCTTTTTCTTTTCGCGGGGTCTGGGGGTGGACACGATATTGATATGCAGGTATGAATGTGCTTAGCGGATCGACGTGGAAGGGCGCGAAGTTGAGGATCGGAGAAGCGAAACCCGACTTTCGTGAACGGTACGTCCGCTCTTACTCCAATCGACCGACTATCCTCATCCATCCATCCTTTACTTCATCACCACTTATCGCCGTCATCGTCACCATCACCATCACCATCGCATACCCACTCTGTTCTACTCTATCCACACAACGCAGTATCGTCCGTGAAAATGCGCCTACCGAACCCTCCGACCGCCCTAAAAAACGTCCCCGTCTCGCACGTGGCGTTCAAGGCGTCCACGCTCCCTCCATGGATCCCATAACGCCCTCCACCGTCGAAGAGTACGCTCATAAAGGGTGGTACGTCACGCCTCTCGGTAGACTCATCCGTCCGATGCGTATGCGACCCGCTCGACCGCTCGATCCGCCTGTCATCGCTACTCCTCCGAAGGATAAGAAGGAGGATAAGAGGGACAGGGAGAAGAAGAAAGGAAAGGTTGCAAAAGATGGAGAGGGAGAGGGAGAGGGGGACGAGAAGAAGAAAACGAAGAAGAGGAAGAAGGTGCCGGATGTGAGAGCGAGGAGGAAGACGATCGATCCGGTGAAGTATGGGAGTACGCATGTTATTGGGGCGTTCTTGGGAGGTGGTGAGGGTGCTGGTGTGGCCCAAAATACGCCGCCGGTGGAGGATGAAGTGAGCGATAGTGAGGAGAGTTCTTCATCTTCATCTGAGGAGGAGGAGGAGGACGACCACAACGCTAAAAACGACCATCCCGATACTGCCCTCAAACATGCTCAGCCTTCAGTACAACCTCCTCCTCCTACCGTCCTACCTCTTCCAAAATCGACGATACCCGTTCTTTCGCTAGCACAATCACCTCCGCCACCTCAATCACCAGCAACGGACATTACTCCCGGAGACGAACTGACAGCCGAGAAGCTGAAGTCGTTGAACCTGCTACGCTCTATGTTCGGAGAGGACGAAGGTCAAGAGGATTGGGGCGGGGCGGAGAGCATGTCAGATGTCGATATGGACGTAGACGTGGATGGAAATGAGCCGCGCGGAATGGCAGCAGACGGAGATGGTGAGGCGTATGAAGTCGTTCGCCGCGATGGGGGTGCCAAACTCCGGGAAGGGAATATCGATGTAGATGATGAAGCCGAAGGGGATGAAGAAGAGGAGGAGGAGGAGACGGAGGAGGATGAGGAACCGAGTCAAACGGAGAACGGGACACAAGAGAAGAAGGGGCAACCCGGCGTACAGATCACGAAGTTAAAGGACTTATTTGCGCCGAGGGAGGAAGAAGGTTCGTCTTCTCCAGTCAATATTCATATTCGGCCGATATGTTGCTAACACTATACCCGTCTTTGTAGCTGGGTTCTCACTGTTGGGTCACCTCGACCTCGAACTCGACGAAGACATGGATTTCGAGTTCGGCCTACCCTCCTTATCTACCGCCGCTCCTTCCACCATCGTCACCACCACCACCGCCGCCGCTCCGATCTCATCCCTCACAACTCCCAGCATCATCCCAACCCATCAAAAGACCGGTACCTCACAACAAACGCTCACCCTCGACCCGTCCCTACCCCTCTTCTTCCCCACCACTTCCCAAACCGGACCTCGCAACGTGCCGACCAATATGCGACCGGGTGCGTGGAAGGACATGTATGGGTTTTATAGGACGGATGATGAGGCGACGATAAGGCAGAGGTGGGAGGAGAGTAAGGGGGAGTTGACGAGGGAGTGGAAGAGGAGGTATAGGGAGGGGTTGAAGAGGAGGAGGCGGAGAGGGGGTGGGGTGGGTGATGTGGATTGATATCACTATGTTGGTGGTTGTCTACGAGAAAAAAGTCTGCTTTTTTGAATGCCATGGGGGCCAAAACTGCAAGGTTTGTTGCCACCCGCTGAGGGCTCCCGCCACCCGTGTTTCGACTGCAAACTGCGTGACAAACGCGTTACGTCACGCGTTTTCTGCGTTACCCGAGTCACGTCATGGAGATACTTTCCCGTTCACGTCCTTGGTCTGAACGTTTGATGTTCAATATTCAAGATCGACCGTCATCATTGTAGTCATTGACATTCGTCCCTACGCAAGCCTTGAACACTTGATCAATGGTGGACGGAGTTATCTCTTCTTCTTTTGATGACGCTCGTCTGTCCAAACATCCTTGTTGTAACGCTTCGTCCGTATCAAGAAACCCGTGGGAGTGCCCCTTCGGCGAGCATTTGTGACGCCGGACATCGTTTCGATTTCAATGGAGGTTGACTGCATGCTCAATGCGTTCTAGGGCCTCTGCTCACGCGCTCACGGCGGGTCGTACGCGTTCATCGAGCCGCGTTACGAGCAGAAGGTGCGTTGTGAGTGCCATGTTCAGAGTTCTTCTTCTGAGTCTCACTCTTCCAGCAGGCACCGTCAAGCGCCACTTTAACATCTCTCTGGCGTTGTGTCTCGCTATGTAGGTGGTGCTGATAGTCTCTATTGTCATTGTTTCTTGTTCGGTGAATCCATCTTGATGATATCGCTCATATGCGTCTCACGCCCATCTGCGCCACCCCCGTGCATAACGCGCGTGAATACCGGCGGACATAGGACATTGAGTGGGCTATCCGGTACTAGGTCCTCCGTAAGTTCCTATTCACGGCGTTCACAATGTGTATCTTCGTATGTCCACATCTGCAGACTCTTTGGACTTTCCGTAGATGGTGGCGTCACAGTCTGCATTGTGGTGCCGGGCTCAAAGAGTGTGAAGATGCGAAGAACGCTTTTGAACACAATGCACAAGGCAGCCATCTGTTTCACTTGGTGGCTTTCCTTGATCGAGAGCGGTATCTTCGAAGTCGATGATGTGATTGCCTCGGGTGCAATCATACGAACCTTTGAGGACGACTGCTGCATGTGCATCGATGCCTTTTCAGCTCATCGAGTGTACTCGGACTTTGCCTCGTCAATATCTATCTATGTTCGAGCCTTTTGCAACTTAACATACTCTCCCTGCGCGACCTCAGGTGGAAGGCCTGCGAGACGTGTATGTCACCGGGTTGGAATCTGCGGTTCCTGTTGTACTCGTCCAAAACAGAACTGTCTTCTCAAGGTTAGGTACCCGCGTTCTGCGCACACAATCGTCATATTTCTCTAACGAGCAATCTGATACCCCCGTTCTGTTGTTGGTGGATCGTCTCCCGGTTCGCGGTAGACTTCGACGCCCGAACGCTGTTCCGTGTCTTGCGCCCTGCTATATTCGTCTGACAGCTCGAATGATGTGTGGCCCTGTTCATCTGCTTTATATACTGTCCTGTCTCCGCTCGTCCCCCGACGCTTTCTAGCCGTCTTCCCATCTCTTCACCCGAAGTGGGGTTGCTATCGCTTGTATCCATGTGCAGACTCTTGAGCAGGCTGCTGGTCCTCTGTCTTATGTCTCTTGCGGTAAACGCAAGCACTTTCGACCAATGCCTCACCTCTATCCGCGCGCTTCCGGACGGGACGGATGGGATCGTGGACAATCACGGCAATCCAGTCAACATCAGTTCCAACGCGACCGCCATCTCCTACGGCCTCTGCAAAGAAGTCTGCGGACGCGACTCTGGTGCTTTCGAATGGTCGGTCTTCTCTCAGCAATTCAGCGCCTGGCTCCTCCCATGGTTGGCCCTCATATCACAACTCCCGTTCGGTGCAAAACATCGATCCGACAACGTCATGTCTATGCTTCTCACAGTGGGATCGCCCGTGCTTGGCGCCTACTCCCTAGCGCTCACTGTGCTCAACAGCCAGTGGATCGCGAGGAGGTTTTCTGGGTTCAAGTACCCCAACGTGGGTCTTGCGGTTAGGGCGCTCAGCAGCCTTCAGCAGGTGCCGTTGGAGGTTTCAGCGGAGTACGGAGTGCTAGCCAGCATGGTGGTATTACCAGAGAATAACGAATGGTGGACGGAGCTGGTGGAAGGGTTGGATTATATCCATACCTGGAGTATATCCGCGGCTTCGTCTATTGCTTGGGTTGTGATTGCCTATCTGTTTACGGTGATCGGTGAGTCGATCGACTTTTAACCCTATATGAAAAGCGAATTGATAGTTTCGTTGTTGGTATCAGATTCATTTGCGAATGTCTCCGAAAATATCCAAGCGAATGGTCAAGGCGTCGGGTCCGTCTGGCTGTGGCTTCTACCCATCGGTGAACTCTCAAAAACCCCGATAAGGAGAAGCTCTTCAGCGAGGCTAACATAACGCCCCCTTGTAGTGATTGGCTGGCTTCAAGTTTCTCCAAAATGCGACTTCGACCGCGTCGCACAAGCACTCGAGAAAGCCAACAGAAAGGCATATCTCGCCGATTATCCCAACCCAGTCCCCCTTTCTCATAAAACCGGACGTCCAGCCTTCGTTTTGCAGCATTATCGACGTGGTTCCGTCCACCGTGATGAAGAGTCCTCCGCTCCCATCTTCAACTACGCTCGCTTTTTCCCTTGGGTACACGCCGTCGAACAGGTTGCAGAGGCGTTCGAGAGGGCGTCAGAGAACGCGTTGAGCCACGTACCCGTAGGAAGAGATGTCCCATGGGCTCCATCTGACGTGGGTGTGCATGGCGATAATCGGAAGGGTACTCTGGATGACGTTCAGGCGTACTGTGGCCCTGGTCCAGGGGTATACGCAGATGAAGTCATGGAAGTTGACGATCAGGACAAATCGGCGGGAGATGGAACGAGTACGAGGTCGATGGATAGTGCTTCTGTCGCGCTTCCAATGACTACGATCAGGAGTCATCCCGTATATCGCGCCAGCAGGCCGCGGAGGGGTAGCCCAATCGGTAGGTGGGGCTCGGACGTCTGGACGAGGGTTATCGTGGCGTCCGCACTCGCGTTGTCTTTACAGTGGGGAACGACCGGTGCTGCTTTCATGATTGTCGTAAGTGTGATTATAAAATTTTATCCCTCGTGCTTGCTGACGTCTAAGTACAGTGGTTCACTCCGACCAAAGGCCTCGGTAGGCATACGTTCTCCCGCGTCCAATTATATCTGAAACTAATCACATCCACCTCAGGTTGTCGCAGCGGCGCCTATCTCCTCTACGGCCTAATCTCCACCCTCGTCTGGCTCATAATGCTCCTCTCCTCCATCTTCGCACACTACTCCCACCTCCCGCACCCAAACTCACAGCACCTCCACCTCCGCGGCGTAGTAGACGAAACCGCCGCTCGGCTCTCCGTCGCCCTTCGTCGCATCGGCAAGTTCGTCGCGACGCTGAACGCGGTGTGGATCGTGGTGATTTGTTTGTTCCAGTTTAGCAGCTTTTTCGATAGATGTTATTGCGATAGTAGTGTGATTGGGCTGGGAAAGAGGGCGTTTTATACGTTGTTGTTGACGGAGGAGGATATTCCGGTGTTGAGAGGGGCTTGGATTGGTGGTACGTTGTTCTACTACTTATTCGATTTTGTGCGGACTATTTGAGCTGATCGTGGTGTGATGTGTGATGGATGTAGCGATCGTCTTGGCTCTCGGGAGCGCGTTTTCTTTTGTTGGTGCTATTATCCTCGTGAAGGACCCACCTCTCCCGGATTCATGAGATGGAACCATTCGGCCTCGCTTTCGTTGTGTGTTGTAAAGTATTTATTTATAAGTTTCAGTATCCTACTTGTATATGCTGTCATTTGACTCTGGAGTATCTCACTGCTACTATGCGGCGCACCCTTTCTCTCTCGCGCGATGTTGACCTGATACTGTCTTGTTTGGGAATCTGGTTTCCCTCAGCCCATTGTTGGCCGTTATTAATAGTTGGCCCATTGTCGGCTGAGGTTGGCTTCCCAAGTCGGGTCTCCACTTTCCTAGTCTCCCACAGTCAGACCTAGGGAGTACCACTTTCCTAAATCCTCTGAATCAGCTATGGGTAGTTATCTTTATGGCGGTTGACGCAAGTGGATCGTGCCTCCTTTTATAATATTTTATTATACGTCTACGATAGTATTTCTCTCAGGATTTTGATGGAGTAGAATCTCGAACTCGAGCTCCGATTTGTATTTGTACTGAGGGCTGTATAGGTGAAGAAAAAACGTTGCTGTAGGTTGCGGCTGCACCCAAAATCGCGTGACGTCCAAGTTCGCTGTGGACCACCGCAACGTCAGGTAGCTGACGAACAAAGAGACAAAGGTAGTACATTGTGTTCTAATTCATTACAATATGTCCGTATGGTAGCACGATTCAGATACAGGGAAATACACTGACATACAGCCGCACGAGGTCTTAGGTCTACAAACGAATAATCAACTACACAGCGTGTATGGTGAGCGGTATCGGTCCCGGTAAGGGAATATATAATTAGTACAGAGATATAACGAGGAAGCATCGTTCGATATGAATAACTGAGAATAGTCTTAGTGTGATGTGATGAATACGTTAATGGATAAAAGAGTGAAAGAGTGAAAGAAGGGAAGTCCGAGTATGAGGCGGCGCACGGGACAGTATAATAGGATCAGAAGCTCGGAAGCGGGGGATTGATGACGAGGCTGAGGGCGCCGACGAAGGCGACTGCGCTCCCGAGAGCAAGCACGATAGCTGCGTAACACAAACGACAGACGATCAGAAACGTATTCACAAGAGAGAAAAACAAAAAATCACTCACCGCCAATCCAAGCCCCCCTCAACGGCCCCAGATCCGCATCCGTCAACAGCAACACATCATACGCCGTCCTCCCCAAGCCCAACACGCTACTATCACACCAACACCTATCGAAGAAGCTGCTGAACTGGAACAGACACGCGACGACGATCCACATCGCGTTCAGTGTTGCTGCGAGCTTGCCCAGGCGACGGAGGGCGACGGATAAGCGGGCGGCGGTGTGGTTCACGACGACGCGGAGTTGGGGGTGGTGAGAGTGGGCGTGTGGGAAGTGCGCGTATTGGGCGAGGATGGAGGAGACGAGCATGATGAACCAGACGAGTGTGGATACGAGGGCGTAGAGGAGATAGGCTCCGCTGCGACAACCTGAGGTAGATGACAGAAACGTTACTTGATCAGCTCGTATGTTAGGACACTAACGGGATGAAGCACCTACCAAGGCCCATCGTCGGTGTGAACCACTATAATTAAAGACGCAGGCTATGAGAACGAGAATTGTGACCCAAATAAAGGAGAGACGACTTACGACGACAATGATTGCAGCGCCGGTAGTTCCCCACTGTAAGAACAGAGCCAGCGCGGAGGCCACTACAACCCTCGTCCAGACATCCGAGCCCCAACGACTAATCTTTCTCTGCCTTTCCTTCCCCTTGTTACTCTCCTGGTAACTCGACCTGCTACTGACTGAGCCTATCGGGATGACCACAACCGAAGACATCTCCCTCACGATCGCGTTCGCGCACTCCCGTATCTCCGCCTCCTCATCTGGTTCCCCCGCCCTCTGCCCATCAGGACCGACCCGACAATACCGCTCCACATCCTCCAAGATCCCCTTCCTGTTCGGCTTCGCCACCTTCCCCATCTGTCCTACAATCCATTCCTTTGACCCATTCACTGGCTTATTCGCCAACGCATTTTCCGAAGCCATATGATACGCTTCTGCGACCTGTTCCACCGCGTGAACCCAAGGAAAGAAACGAGCGTAGTTGAAGATGGGGGCTGATGATTCTTCGTCGCGGTGGACGGAGCCAAAACGATAGTGTTCGAGGGTGAAGGCACGGTGGCCTGTGCGGGCGGAAGCGAGCTGTGGGGTATCCGGGTTAGACGTGGCGAGATAGGCGATCTTATTGGCTTTGTTCATAGCTTGAGAAACACGGTCGAAGTCGCATTTCGGCGAGACCTGGAGCCAGCCTATGACTGAATGGAGTATCAGAGATGAAGGAGAGAGAATGAAGAAAACAATTATCGCGTACCGATGGGAAGCAACCACAGCCAGACGGATCCCACGCCTTGACCATTCGAATTGATGTTCTGTGTCACATTGGAGAACGAATCTGGAACGATGAACACAACAGTTAGATGAAAACCTGAGATAGTCCAGGCGTTTGTACTCACCGATCACGGTGAACAAATAGGCAATCACTACCCATGCGATGGATGATGCCGCCGAAATACTCCACGTATGGATATAATCCAACCCGTCCGCTAATTCTTTCCACCACTCATCGTTCTCCGGCAAGACCACCACACTCGCCAACAGCCCATACTCCGACGACACCTTCAGTGGCACCTGCTGCAAACTGCTCAGCGCCCTGACCGTATAGCGCAGGTTCGGATACTGAAAGCCCGAGAACCTCCTCGCCAGCCACTGTGAGTTCAAGACGGTGAGTGCGAGAGAGTATGCGCCGAGGACCGGCGATCCCACAGTGAGAAGCATGGACATGACGTTGTCGGTCCGAAGTTTGGCGCCGAAAGGGAGTTGGGAGATGAGGGCGAGCCATGGTAAGAGCCAAGCGCTGAACTGTTGAGAGAACACGGCCCACTCGAAAGGACCGGAGTCGGTGCCGCATGCGCTCTTGCAGAGGTCGTAGGAGATGGCGGTAGCGTTCGAACTGATGCTGACGGGGTTTCCGTGATTATCGAGGAGACCTTTTGTTCCATTCGGCAGCGCTTGTATGGTCGCGAGACATTGGTCAAAGTTGACAGCGCGAACGCCAGAACACATGAAGAATAGAAGTACGAGGCCATAGAAGGGGGTGTGCCGAGCTACTTGCATGGCTGACAGCACTGATGAGCTTGGTATAGAGCGGGTACGCGTCGAGGGGGTCGTAATAGTCAGGAGAGGCGGGACATGGACGGAGGACAAAGAGGAGAGATGGCGGGAGCTCGAAACGAGGGTATATGAGCGAATCCCGTGAGATCAAGAGTCACATCAACAACGACGTCTGATTCGAACCGCGCAGGTTGAAGGCACCCGGGCCAAGTAGCACAGCATCCAAAGAACGGCCTTGATATAATATAAAAGAGAGCCTCAGGCTACGTAGTCGGCACAGCAGTGTCGACAAGGTGGCGGTCATGTAGTCGGGCGTAGCGTCGCTTCTGGTCCTCGGACCCAGTACTTCGTATCTAAACCGACTACCAGGCCTTCAAATCCGCCAAGGTCGATATTTCAGATATTGAAGCAGCGTGAACTGCAAAATATCCATAAGAAGTTATAGACATGTCAAGGATAACTTGCCTGTGATAAGGCAAAGGCGATGCGTCCAAGTTCCGTTCGACTATCGTCGTTCCTGACGAGATCAACGGGGGGAATGAAAATGCAGAACTGACAGCTCGGCAGCGATATCGCGACATTTGTCGCGACAGCCTCAAACAAGCTTCAAACCCGGGTTTACTGCCCCTGTGTGGACCGGTGAGTCTATGTATAAGTTGACGACTGTATTGTTTCCCTCGCAGCATCATGATGTTAGTTCCCGCTGTTCGCCCTCGATCCAGCCGTTCAAAAGACAGGTGAATGTGTCTTACAGAAAGATTTTGGGAAGACTGCAAGACGATTATCGAGCGGAAATGTCGGCATGCAAGAGTAGATCAAGGTTGGAGAAGACCAGGAGTCAGTAGAGAGAACTCGGGAAACAGTAGTCAACTCGGAGCACGGTCGATTGGAATCTAGCAGATGCGTGGGAGCTATGGGCAATGTCCGGTGTGGCCCAACTGTGGCATCCGGGGCAAGTGCATGTAGTTATTAAAATTTGAGCGAGAGTACGAGGAGAAAAAAATGTACAAGATATGTAGGAGACATTCTGAGATAGATGGATTTCGTACATTGAGAAATTAAAGCAAGAAGAAGACCCAATGACCTTTCATGCCCTCCTCTTCCTTCTACTGGTATTCTTCCTCTTCTTCCCTTTGGATCCCAGAGGCCGACCAGGCTTCAGCCCCAGCCCACAAGTCTTCTCATGCTTGTTACGAGGATCACTGCGAGCAAATCTCCTACCACATTCGACCCCTTTTCTGCACATAAAAGGTTTCTCCCCGGTATGCGTCTTCATGTGCCGCCTGATGTCTCGTTTGAGCTCTTTTTGACAAATTTTGCAAATTTTGGGCGACCCCGACGTTTCTGCCTCTATTTCGTTGTCCTCCTCTTCCTCCTCTTCCTCCTCCACCTCTTCATCCATTCCATCATCTTCTGTATCTGTCTTATTATCAGCATTTGCAAGGTGTTCAAGCCTCCATTATAACTTACCATGATCCTCAGTGCTAAGCCTGGTCTTGGGGAATTCCCCATATCCAGTCTTGGGTTGAGCATGTAAAGTTTGTATGGAGGAATGGCCTGTGCTTTTGTGAGGACCAGACAAGCCTCAGCATAAATCCCCAACAACTTGCCTGTGGCATTCTTGTTTAATTCTTTATTTTTTCCACCCATAAGCGGCAGGTTCGCATCGTCCTCGGAACGCTCGCGCTCGCCACTCGCCACGGACGCTTCGTCTCCCATGCTTTCATCTTCGTCATCTTCCGCCAACTCTTCAACCATCTTCCCATCCTCGACGAACGCAGACGGACTACGCGCGAACACGGTCTCAGATGCGACGCTGTAGGGAGTAGTGTCGCGATAGAGTGGAGATGTGGCGCAGATGGTCGGCGACGCGGGTAGCAACGCCGCCAACGCGATGGCATCTGCGACGCGCTCATACGCGAACTCAGACGCGTACGGCGACGCGTAGGACGAGACAGGGAGGGGAGCAGGACACCCGGGAACGATGGTTTCTACCATGGTGCCGGGCGTGATGTCGAGTTGAGGTGGCGCGTCGTGGGTGATGTCGCGGAGAGGCTAGTCATCGCAGGTGCGTTCAATAACGCGTCATTTTCTTTGTTGTCTGCGCTGGACAAGGGATCATACGCACCTGCTCTCCCATATCGATGGGCCTGAAGCCTTCGTCGTTGATGATGGCCGGCGCAGGCTCGTAGCCCTACATGTTCGAAGAGGTCTGAGCTGAGTACCAAACCTCTGATGAATATCCATGATACATACGAATATCACGCCCAGAAGGGCCAATTCTTCAAGCTCGTTGCGTTCTTCATCATTGCCAGACACGACAGTGTCCATGTTGGGCAAGAAGAACGTGTTCATCGCGAAGGACGCGTCGTCGCTGTCGCTGACCATGGCGTCGACCGTTCCACCATACGGAGCATCATTGGCCTCATCGGGGCACATGTCTGACAACATGGGTATGTTGTCGGACATGTAATGACCTAATCGAGTCCAATCACGATCCTGGTTAGAGGCAGTTTGAGCAGACATGGTGGTAACGAGGAGAGTCCAGGAAAAGGGAGGACAAACGGACACTTCGCTTCGCGTCTGCCTGAAGGGATTTCCACACGCCTTATGATTTCATTACCACTTCCTCAGATAGCCCTCTCGCTCTCCGATAACCCACCATCTCTGCACATCGGTGAGCCGGACCCTTTATTTGCACTCACAACCACCAACTCAATTATAGAAGTTCACGGATCAGTTCACCCATTTCACGATCCCCGTGATGGAGGCGTTGAAGTCGTCGTCAGACAACGAGTGCACTCCTTATAAGGACGCGTTTTAGCCATCATCTTTTCTCGAACGTTCGACTTGAATTCGCAACGCGTCTTCCAGGGTCATGTAGTCTGGGCCACACTGGTGCCACCTGAACGTGTCACTCTGCAATGTGATGGAGGCGACCTTCAGCTCCTTGCAATTTGACGAAATTATGCTTTTTATCGCGGTCGTCAAGGTCTTGGCCATTAATGCTATGGCGTAAAAGCATCGTTACTCCCAGCTTGTGCTGTACAGCGTCGGTCGCTCGTCGACTTCGAATGATACCGTCCGTTCAGCCTTGTTTATCTTGCACGTTACCATTTCCCCCTCCAATCGTCCAGGTCATTTGAATCGCTGTTCTTCAACGTCAGAGCCGTGACGAGATCATTGTGCAATCATGTAGATACTAAAGCTACAGCATACAAGTACTTGAATAACAAACTGTCCAATAAATCGGGCTACAGGAGATGTAAATATGAGGGTATCGATGCGTCTGAGCCACTCATGTCCATGTAAAGTATCGATGCGTCTGAGCCACTCATGTCCATGTAAAGTATCGAGCGTCTACGCCAAAAAGTCCAAAGAACAATTACCAAAAGCGTCAAGTTGCGAACAAAGAGAACAACGGGGAAGTGATTGCCGACTATGACTCCGTATCTGGCAGCGGTGGATCAATCACCGTCAACAAGACAGCCTCGTAGATGAAGGCACTCCCCAAAGCGAGAACCAGCGCTACACAAACCCATTCATTAGAAGCGAGGACAACGAACTGGCAATTCTGAAAGGACTTACCCCCAATCCATGCAGTCCTCAACCCGGGAACCACATCCGGTGTCAACTTCAGCACCACATATGCATCCCCCCTCCGACTAAAAATACTGCTATTACAATAACACCTATCGTAGAACGTGCTGAACTGAAGCACGCAGGTCGTCACGATCCACGTCGCGTTGGCCGTTGCAACGACCTTGCCGAGTCGACGGAGGAATATGGCGATCCTTCCAACGAGTTTGGACCGGTGTTCGGAAATACGGAGGTGCCGTCTGGATGGGCGATCAGAGAGGGATGGATCATTGAAGCTTGAGTAGTGGGTGAGGAAGGAGGATACGAGCATAAGGAACCAGACGATTGTGGCGAGGGAGGCGTAGAGGACGAAAGAGGCGCTTCGGCAGCCGAGCCCGGTGGCGGGAGTGAACCACTGAACTCAAATTGACAAATCAGCAATACAAAACATGGTTTATAGCGTAAGGACATACCAGAGCAACGACACCGGCGCCGACAGTGCCCCATTGAAGGGCGAGTCCAAGTAGAGAGGCAATGAACATCCTCTTTAAGACTTCATGGTCCCACCGAGGCGTGCGTGGCTCTTGAGAATGTTCACAATCCCGTAGCATGGCCATACTGTCTTCTCGGGGATGGACGCTCGTACTGCGGGGAGGATACACTGCTCTTGTTGGTGCCAGAATAGTAGTGCAGTATCGCTCGACCCGAGCCAAGCTCCCCATCCGCTCATCAGACTCACCCACACCGGGCACGATAGCTACCACGTCGGCACCTACGTCCCACCTCACGACGTCCGAATTCACCGGGACGTTCATTTCCCTATTCTCCGACGCATACCAGAACGTCTCCGCTACGGTTTCTACCGCGTCATTCCAAGGTAGTACTCTGGCGTAGTTGCATATCGGGGCAGAACTCTGTTCGTCACGGAATAAGGAGCTGCGACGGCGGAATCTTCGAAGAGAGAAGGCACGTCTACCGGAGATCTTTGAAGCGGGAATGGGAGTAAACGGATCAGATGTAGCGACGTAAGCAACCTCGTTGGCTTTATCGAGGGCTTTCTTGACGCGGTTGAAGTCACATTTCGGGGATACCTGAAGCCAGCCTACGACTGAAAAAAGTCGAAAAGTGAGTAACTACAATATTTCAGACAATCTCGAAGAAGACGTACCAATCGGTAAAAGCCATAAGAAAACAGCGCCAACGCTCTCGCCGTTGGAATTCAAATCGCTCAGCGCGTCTGCGATCTGGGAGAACGAGTCCGCGACAGTAAACAGATAGGCAACGAGCACCCACGCGATTGACGCTGCCGCTGACACACTCCATGTGTGGATATAATCCAATCCCTCCGCCAAATCCTTCCACCACCTATCATTCACCCTCAAGACCACCAAGCTCGCCAACAACCCTTCTTCGTGCTCGCCAAGTCCGGTGGCCATAACCTTTAATGGCACCTGTTGCAGGCTACAGAGGACGCTGACCGCTTCCCTCGTATTCGGATATCGCGAGCCATTGAGAGTTGAGAACGGTCACAGCGAGCGAATAACCTGCTAGAGCCGGTGATCCGACGGTGAGCAGGACAGACATGATGTTGTCTGAGCGAAGACGAGCGCCGAAAGGAAGTTGAGAGAATAGCGCGAGCCATGGTAGCAGCCATGCGCTGAACTGCTGAGAGAAGATGGACCATTCGAAGGATTCGGCACCAGATCCGCAGGTCTGGGTGCAGGTATGGTAGCTGACGGCTGTGGCGAGGCTAGCGTTCGTGACGGGATGGTGAAAATTGTCGAAAAGGCCCGAAGTGTTGGTGGAGTTTTGGACTGTAGCGAGACATGCGCTCCAATTGGTAGAAGAAAGGGCGGTGGTGGGTAGGGAAATGACAACAACAAAAAAGATGACGACTCGCAAGAGGATGGGGGGCATGTCAATCAAGAGTTTGGGTTTGATAGAAAGTCACGAGCAATGTCGGCTCAACTGCCTACTCACCTTAAGTAGGCCGCGTCAAACACCATAGGACGGCATATCACCATCTCTAGAACAAAATGATTCATGAGGCGCCGCCACCGCAGAGCATCCAGGTGCGCAAAGACGACGCCACAAATAGGCAAGGAGAACCTTTGGGGAATCTTCAGCAACATCATTGTGATCGCAGTTAGGTCTGGGATAGCAGAAACTATGCCTATGGGAGCAATCCCTCGCACGGAAGGAAACTGATTCCGTCCGCCACTGATGCAAACAAACCAGAGTGCCAGATTCAAAACGGGCGCCACATTATTGACTCGGGTGCATTGAGCACAAATGACTCCGCTTTTGCTCCGCTTGAAGATGTGACTGCGCAGAAACAAGGCAGTGGGATTCGTGGAGTCGGAGCATCGCATGTCAAGCCGATGTCAGCCAAAGTACTTCACCTAAGGAGTGTTCCTATGGGCTGCGTTATAGCGGGAGATACCAACTACGCTCCATTCAAAGGAAGGCAGGACTCGGAGTCAGAATACAAAATGAGAGAAAATGGACGCACTACTGCCGCAAACGCGATAGAGCACTGGCAAAGCATATGAACTCCGGTAAAAGTCCAGCAGGGCTCGCCTTTGGTCATGCTTAGCATCAGAAGAACTCGGACGAGAGAAGCGTCCATGTCAGGTATGATCATACTCAGAGCAACATGTAAGGCCAAGGCAGCGATCCGGAGCATGAACGGCGTCGCCAAGGCCACCACAACTTTTCATATCTCCTTGCTCGTTATCCAGTCAAGGTACTTGACATTGACGCAAAGAGTGTCGATCGTCCAGCGGTGTCCTCGTCTTGGTTGAGCGTTATCGCGAGCTAGAGCCTAATTGACTATGTGCAGTCTGCTATGCACATATTGATCGCTCAAAACGACGTACTGGCCTGGTCGAGGACTGGGAGAGCTTTGACCGGCTTTCACATTGTCGTGGCATGCCAGAGTGTGGCCGTGCCCATGTCCGTACTGCAAACCACAGTGTGATGAGCGCTGTTCGAAAAGCTGGAGATCTAAAAGAGAACAATAAGTCATTCACATGGCAGATGTTACCGTTTACAAGCCAAAGTCGGTTGGGAGTAGCGGAGCTGCTCAAAGCGTCTGTTCTCCGATTCATCCCGGCGGAGGCCACACACTGAAACTCGAGGCAGTGTCCCTGTTCAGTTTCTCCTCCATGTAAAAGATGCTGGAGAAGACGCTCTTCGTTGCTAAGATCAAGAGTGACCTCTGCTGGTAAAATTCGAGAGTCAAAAACTGCAAAGAATGTGGCACATTGAGAAAAAGGAGTCAGGACAGCTCACATGCTGGTTCAGTGCCATGAGCCTGGATTGAACAGGCGACCTCCAGAACTTCAGTCTGTTGCTCTCCCAGCTGAGCTATCACGGCAATAAAATTAGAAAGCTATCTATTTTTATAATGGCATTAGTATTTGCATTTTGTGCGGCTCACCCGCGCCCGGTTGCGATTCCGCGTCACTGTGATCCGCGCATTGTTCAACTTTCTGCTTCTGCCCACCATCTCGCCCGCTCGCCACTGACACCACCGTCGTCGTCGTCAACGACGTCGAGCTCGAGCATTGTTGCTTTTTCTTCCCTTTCATGCCTGCTACTCGCTCGAACACTCGGCTTGGCCATATGGCCAGCAGCCCCGATATATTCGCGTCCTCCCCTGAACCACCATCTCGTCAGACACGCGCACCAACACATATTGATTCAATCGACGTGATTATTATCTCGTCTGACGACGAGGATGTAGCTCCTCCACCAAAACGATCTGCCCCGAGAGCGAAGTCAGCGAAGGCAAAGGGAAAGCAGCGAGCGCACGCTCCGGACCACGTGGTCGATGTGGAGGTTGTTATGGATAAGGCTAAGGGGACAAAGAGGAAGGGGTCTGGTGGTGAGGGAAGCTCGAACGAACGGGACCCGAAGAGGGCAAAAGATGTGTGTATCTTGTTTTTCTTCGCTCTCCGTTTGGCGCTTGTGCCTTCATGCTCACTAAATGTATCATGTCGTCCAGGATAGCGACGAGATTGCGCGGCTGAAAGAAGAGCTAAAGAGGTCGAAGGAAGAACTACAGAAGGCGAGGGAAGAAGTGCAAGATGCAAAGATTAACATGGCCGTATCCAAAGCCGAGGAGAAGGGTGCGAAGAAGGTGGCACAGGAGGCAGTGGCGAGAGCTGCTGCCGTTGAGCGCAAGGCAAAGGTGTCAGATTCTCAGGTGTGTTCTCCGTTTCATGACCATAAAACTTGCATTGAGGCCAGTCCAGGGCGTCTCGGCCGATGTCCTCGAAGACATCGTCACCTGCGAAATATGTACTCTCAAGATGTGGCACCCCTATGTGTACGTGCTCGCTATAATTAGTCCTTGACATCTTCATAACGTCTTCGCCATTTCATCAGACTCCCGAACTGTGGTCATGTATTCTGTCAATCCTGCCTAGCCGACTGGCTCGAAACCGCAGCCACCCAGTATCGTACCACCCATCCCGAATGGACACCACACGCCCCTTCACATAACACCCTTGGCCTCGTCCCCGCCGACGAAACTAACCCAGATCCACATAACATCCTTGCCATCCTCAGCTCCCTCAGTATGCTACCGGCGCACATGCGAGTAGCCATCAACATACCAGAAAATCGTACGCTGTGGACACTTATCAACGGTGGAGTCGGTTTCGGTGTGGGGGCGGGGCCCAAGTTCTCGTGCCCGACCTGTCGTATGGATGTGAAAACGAGACCGGTGGAATGCTTTAGGATCAAGGACGTGACGAAAGCACTGGGCGATGTGGTTGGCGACAGTGACCCGGAGGAAGAGAAGGTAAAAGAGAAAGGCAAGAGAGGAGCTAAAGGAAAGGCTAAGGCGAAGGTGACGGGCGACGCCGTGTGGGATGCATTTTTCGGGAGGCGGCAATGATCAAGAGGATAGCTTTTCACGGTTTTTGTTCACTGCATTTTGTTTATTCTGTCATATTAGCGTCTGTTTTCCTCCGTGCTGGACTAGGTCGCCACACCGCTCCGTTCCCGGTATCATCGTCCCGCCACTTATGCAACTTATATTCTTATCACGCACAGTCCCTTTCTTGGTGTTTTCGACACGTTTAACTTACCGTTTGTAGCTGCCTCTTTATACACGAGGCTATGATGTGTCTCCTGTAGTGTACTCGCCCCCACTTATTCGACTACGAGACTGAGGCGGAGCGGAGCAATAAAATATCTCAGAATTGTGCTTTCATCCATCGGGTGTCTTCCGCTAGTATGCGATTTTGTTACCATAGCAGGTAAAAGTATACGACAGACACCAGTTTGCGGCTCAGATAATGAGCCTATGCGAACGCGTCTTCCCGATTCTGAATTGACAATGGGTATATATATGCACATTCCTCTCGGTCACATCACCTAGTAAAATCAACAATCACAGCTTCCGACTCCTGCACGACCACATTCGCCACACCACCACTGACCGCCACGCTCTCCCCCGTCTGCTCTCCGCTAACCTCACACCCACTTCCAAACGTCATCCCTCCACCAATCGTCACAGCTCCCACCTCAGCACCTCCCTGTCCAATAGTAACGCCAGCGTCTTTCGCAGTCAACCTCACCGCCGTCGCCTTACTCAGACTACTCGATAGGCCACTGAGTTGGACGGTCTGGTTTGAGCGGGTACCGGTCCCGTCGAAGTAGTTCGAGTTGTAGATGAGTGTGCGGAGGAGGGTGTTGGAGGAGGAGTAGACCGCGTAGACTGCGACGGCGCTAGAGTCGGTGGAGAGTTCGGAGATGGATGCGCCGTCAGTACCGAGGAATTGGGAGACAAAGTAGGCGCCATAGTAGGGTGCGTTTATTACTGTCGTGTTCCAGAAGCAGTATGCCTACGCACATCCATGAGTGAGCGAGTTATACTCGTGATGACTGGAGATCGGGGAGCTTACACAGTTTCCGATGGTGCCTTGGTGGAAGTAGAGCCTGTCGACGCCATTCAGAGCCGCTTGGAGAACGTAATCGACGATCCAAAGTCCCGCGCCGAAGGTTGGACTGATACCACCTCCTCCACACGTAGCTGGGAGGAGAAGTAGACGGTAAGCAAATAGTAGACGGTGAATGAGCAGAACAACGCACCAGAGTTTGTCTCGCCGAGGAAGAACTGCTTGCCCTGACCGTGGGCAGCTACCGCGTCGGGTTTGAAGCGACTCGTATACGACGCGATCCCTCTATATCGAAACGCACCCCCCGTTAAGAAGCACACAGTACTACAGGGTCTCTAATGGGACTCACGAATGACTCATCAACGAATTCAAATCTGTGCTGGCACCTCCGCAGGCGCTTTGAGGGTACGAATGAATCGAGAACGTCTTGACAAAATCGATAGCTGAGCCTAGGATCGGTATAAGCCCTTGCGCGCTCCAAGTCGGGAATGAGATGTATACTGCGGCTTGGAAGATGTTTCCGACCTGTTTAGGCAAGGATACAGGTAAAGCCGGCGTGTGTGGGTGGGTAGACATGGCAAACGCACTGAAGGAGCTAATCCTGTTTCCCATTCCTTTTGAGATTGACCATCTGTGGTTGGAGTCCAACCTCCAGACGAGGGTATGATAGGTGACCCACTTCCATATACTATTCACGCCGTGAGACCAACCGAAACGTTCAGCGGCGCTCATGCAAGGACAGAGGAACAAAACCCTAAGAAACACTCACAATCTGGCTCGTTCCCCAACTCAATCGCATACAAATTGGACATCGTGTCCTGTGCTTCCGCCGCCGCGGCGCCTACATTGCTGATATCGTTCAATTGTCGGTTGAACCCGATGGTGACATCTCCGGATAAGTCAGCTGCAAGGTCGAAGAAGGAAGGACCATATGTTAAAGAGGTGGGGGCGTCTGCAGGCGAGGCGACGCTATAGTTTACTGCTCTGGACAAGCTGGGGTCGTATGTCGCTCGGTCTCTGAGTTTGATGCCAGTTAAGATATTAGCATCATAAGGAGCCGGAGAGGTGGATGTACGCACTGAGTAGTACCGCCAATGCGAACCGCAGGGTGTGCGCCACGAAGGGAGGCGATGTTGGCGAGACAGGTGGATGTGGCTGAGAGGTCGGTATATCCAGGGAAGGCGAAGAATTCAATCGATACGCTTAGTAAGGAGGGATCGACGGTCGATGCATTGGAAGGAGCTGTCTGGGGGACGGTGATCGCGTGTATGCTTTGAGCTGCAACGACCAGGAGAACGAGTAGCTCGAGCACCTGGAAGGCCATGTCAATATGATGCTGTCGATGCAAGGATAGAGGGAAGCTCGAGAAGGAAGGGGCATCCTTGTGAGATATAAGAGGTTTTGAAAGGCGATGACAAGGCACTCATCCGAGAAATTGACGTTTATTCTCAGAGATGCGGCGGTCCGACAAGGCAGACCAGGCGTAGAGAGCAAGGGGCGGAGACTGACGTAGCTGGGATAATCCTTTCAGGGCACCTAACGCGTGATCATACACAGTGTTGAAGAGTCCGCATAGCGATAGGACTCCGAAGATAGAACGACCTGGTCAAGAGATGCAGTGAGACTGGTCTTGTGCCAGTAAGGTACAAATATCCATGTCGTATTTGGAAGTTTTCTCGAAAAGTGATCATCCGAAGCATAGGCAGAGTAAGAACGAGTATGTAGTTGACCTTGAGGTGTGGGAGGTCTTGTGCCACGAAGATGGTTGGCTCGTGGGCTTCTCCGGAATTGTTCCCCGCTGAAGGTAAGTGCATCCGGACCGAGACTCCTCCATCAAGCAGAAGTCCACCCGACACAAGCACGTGACGTACACTCTCAGAAGGAAGGATGCGGTGTTGTCTTCCAGAGAAGCATAGTCAGACTTCGAGCATAAAAAGAGAGCTTGAAGAATACGTTCAGCATAGATGAAAGCAAACGACCAGTATATATACCATCGGTACCCTTACACTGTGGCTTCCGAACAGTTCGGCAAAAGAAACGAAGTTGTACCGCCTGATGACATGGGAGAGGAAAGCGCTGGCCCTAAATGCTCGTAGTTCACCTAGAATGAGAGGGTTTGAGATGTGAAAGGTGTAGCGAAAGGCTGAGAAAGTTTCGTCGAGGTTCGACCCATTCGAGGTGTTAACGCATAGTAAAACTGCGACCCCTTCACCGCGAGCAAACAGAAGCACATGCGGCAGACTTACGAAGACCCATAGAAGCTCACAGATGTAAGTCATTGAAAACAATGCAGCGTTCCATTCCCTTCAAAACCAGTACCACCAACAGAGACAGACCCAACACAACATGTCCAACGAGCGCACAAGACCAGACCCCTAAGCACAACGCAGAAGTCCACGGATCGAGAGCACCAAGCGAGAGCTAGGACCTAAGTCGTCGGCACGAGAAACTGGGAAACTAGCTATACATGCACCTACAATCCAGTCCGTTATCCGTCCAGACATCCACGCAAAACACCACACCAGCCAATTCAAGAATTCAAGATCAGTTTTCGCTGGATCTCCAGAGACACGAGTGAGGATGGGACGCACAATTTTATATAAGAACCTCCAAAAGAACATGATGCCTATAAGCCCGCTGAAAAACTGCGTCGGGAACACTAGACGTAGGAGATGACCAGAATCGGAACATCCTATGGACTGGGGCCGCTGGCGGAACTCGACGGTGGTGGAGATAAAGACGAACACGTAGAGGACCGAAAGGAAGAGTTGAACCCATGCGTTCGTGCAAAGGGACCTGGTAATATCAAAGACGCAATTTGTTAGCCAAAACATGATGATGATATAGACGTGAGGTGAGGTGAGGGGCGGTGGCGCCAGGAATGAGCGTCGAGAGGAATGAAATGGAAGGGGTGGGTATGAATCATGGTACGTACTTGGCTCGACGCATGATCAGCGGCATGACAGCCAGGAGCTGGAGGAGAGCAGGTAAGAGGATGATTGCTTCGAAGACGAAGAGTTTGAGGCATGCGTGGCCTTGGTCCAATCCTTCCAGATGACTTTCTCCCGTGGTGGGCGATTTGTAAATCAGAGGGATTGCGATACTGTATATTATAAGCTACGTGTATATTCAAGGACGTCAGCATGAATGTGACAGAGCAATGATAGCGCGTGCAGGTCCGCAGACGGGGAGGTTGGGGAAAGGGGAACATGGCGAAGGGCATGATTCAGAGGGACAGGCTTACGATTATGGTGGCCAAGACAGTATCAAGCAAATCGAACGGCTCGAACATCAACTCTACTGGCAGCGATCTGCAAGCGTATATGGATCAATAAAGGACACCTACCAAACCGAAACAAGAAGTGGGCGATCAAAGCTAGAAATGACTCACTCTCCCCGCGACCTAGTATTAACCTGGGCCAGTTCAATGTCTCGCATCCTCTGCGAGAGCGAAGAACTAAGACGAATCGATTGATCGCGGTGGTATGTCGAAGACATAGAGTGTACTTTGATAGGTTAGTAGATGTATGACGCGCTGGTCAAGAGAGAAGGGAAGGATCGCTGCTGCCTATCGTCCTTCTCCTCGATCTTATATAGGCCAGGAGGCACAGCCGCTGTGGCGGGGGATGTGCCAATCGATAACAGGCCTTTGTGTGAGACGAATAAGGAAAAAAAAAAGCGTGCTTATCTGGTCTGTGGCGTGTGTCTGGATGGCACAGCCGGAGTACAAGGAAGAGGACAAGGGGCGACCACACGCAATCGCGAAGCGATAAGAGATAGTGTTCGATAAAGATAGAAGGGGTTATGCAGTCCAAAGACCATAATTTAGGATATTCGAGTACAAGCTCACAGTAACAAGTAGCCCTAGTGCCAGAGCCCCTTGGAAACGAAGCAAGTACTATGCTTCCCAGTCTGAATCACTGCCATCCCTGGTAACCTTCGTGTTGCTGGCTGTTTCTTTCTACCAGAAGCAATCAAGATGTGGGCGTAAAAGTCATAAAGAACAGAACAAGCCGTAACACTATTGCGCCACACAGTGCGTAGCGAGGGGCGTGGAAGACACAGACAAAGACCAAAAAGGCAACCGGGAAGAAGAAGAACAATAGGCAGCCACGTGCACGTGGCCCGGACCCCAGGATGTAGTTTCCGGCTCTCGCCGAGCACCGACTGGCATGAACTTGATGCGCTCCTGCGCACACCCTAAGCAGTTACCTGGGTCTCGTTGGACAAGGTTATCGACAAAGCGACCCCGCACGAATCGAGATGCAGCACCTTCAAATTCGCAGAAAGATGCTCGGTTCCGTCTTTGCCAGTGGAAACCATACGACGATCTCCGATTCCTCTTTCCCGCCGTCAGACTTTCGCGCCACACATTACTGTATCTTCGTGTTCAGAGCTCAGATATTTCTATTTCTCTCGCTATAACTTCCCGCATTTCTACATGGAAGAATTCAAGGAGGACTTTTCGTCTCGACCCCTTCGTAAGGCTTCCATATGGTTTGATCTTGCGGAATTGCACCCCCGAGATATCATTGTAGACGGAACGACCAGCCATTATTAATTGGGCAACGGCTTTATTATAACGATAGTAAGGATTTGGGGTAGGTGGTATGTACGGCCCGTATTGGTCGTCTCCAGAATGGGATCCAGTCTTAGATCAGTAGAAGAGGAGCTTGTGGCCACGGCGGGAGGACACTAGGGCAATATTTATCCTCAACGGAGAGATGGTGGAGGCTGATTCATGCTCTTCGTAAGGTCAGCTAGAGTGCTGCAAGCAGGGGATATTATCTCTCTACAAGAAGCTCCGAAGCGAGGGATGTTCCACGCCGTTATGAGTGAGGTACTCGCGGGATGCGTGGAGTTCGAATATGACAAAGCTCAAGCCGCACTTTCTTTCCAAGTGGGCCGTGGCCCAGAGGATTTTCTCAAGGTTTCACTTGGCACTGGAACCTCATGCTTGTTCTTTCGTCACATTATAATTATATTGTGCTTCTATGTTAATATTCTTATATTTAGTGGCCATACAAACAAGAACTAGGGCGCTCACGGGAATGACGGAAATGGCGCGTTGATACCCACCTGATTTTCAATCAGTATCGTGAAGACCTCAAGGCTATACATCGTCACAGGTTAGCATCTTATAGCATCATCACCACGACTCCCCCATGAACCTAAGCCCTGAGCGCTAATCCCCCACCTCGCACCAAGACTAACGCTCAAGAATTCTGCATCACAAGGAACGACCCCAATCAACACGGGCATCATGATCACGGATGTACAACTCGACCGACCGGCGACATAAAGTTAGTCGCACCGCCCCTCGAGCTCCTAGAGCGATAGCCGACGACATGACTCTGTGCATGCGATTTCAGAACAAAAGAAATACCTTATGTGGATAGTATGTAGTAGAAGGCGTGTAGAAAACGCGTCACTGGCAGGATCATTGTTACCCTATGTATACATATTATCACGGCCAGTTTTATTCTATCTGGCCAAGGCTAACGCACCGTGCATTTTGGATACTAGTACCTGATCCTCCCCAACCGTGACGCCCGGCCCTATACACAAAAGGCTTAAGGTTCGGTATCGCTCTGAGGATAGGTGGCGTTGGGCTCTCGAGCTCTCGAGGATGGGTATCTACATACGGTCTCGGTTAACTGATCTCCGGATGTGGTTCCAATTGACCTAACCGTCGTTGTCGAGTATGGGGGCGTCTTTGTGGGTAGTCCGGATTTGTTGAAGTACACGGACATTCCGAGGAGGGATGAAAGGAGCCCGAATCGTTCCTTGGATATCATGATGTGGCACGACGGCTCGACATGTCATGCACTCGAGGGTGAGGGTCTACCTAGGGCTATTAACACGATCCAGTAAGTTGACCTGGAAGTGAGTGAGTGAGTGAGTGAATGAGTGATCGCCGAGGAGGTTTCGTGACCGCATGCGGGCGTCTTCGTGAATCGTCCGGGTTTGGTGAAGTCGTTGTCGTCAAGGCAAGGCAAAGAACGTTCCGAGGAGGGATAAGTAGAAATAGAAACCACAACGTTATTTGAGCAAGGCCACCGCCTTCAATAATAATCATCTGAATCATAAACACGACAGCCCACCTCCAGAGCGAAGATCCTCTATACTCGTATGATTATCAGACACAATTAGAAAGAACGAAAGAAAGCGAGATACTGTATCCTCGTGCTTCTCTTTAAATTTATGCCGTTGCAGTACGAGTCAGCACTCTCGAGCAACCGTCAAGTTTCATCACATCAACGATCCTATAACTAGTTCACGCACAGCTGTGACTGTCGCATCAAGGCTCAAGAAGAGAGCTATGTATACTTGAGCACAGAGCTATACTTATGCGTGCGCACGAGCTATTAGTATATACTCACGCTTGCCTGTGCGAATTCATGCCAGATATAGAGCCGCTGCGACTGATATAGAACAAACTGACTGATGAGATGTAGATGTGGATGTGATATTTGATGTGGATGTGGAGCTGTGGGGATGGATGGGAAGAGCTCGTGGTGAGATGGGGATGCGTTGGGTGGGAAGTGGGAAGTGGAAGCGGATGAGCGCTTACTTAGATAGACTCATCAGGCGGAACGATTGAACATCTGTACCTCCACAGATATATCGATGGGATCGTGCGTTCTATTGTGTCTAAAGAGGAAAGAAAGGCATCCAGAGCGAAAGATGGGAAGATGAGAAGATGTGCGGGATGCATAGGTGATCTCGTTGGCAGCGGTCACAGGCGGAGTTGAGCCCAAAGCCCAAGGTTCTGCGTCGGGTCGGAGTCGGATTCGGAAGAAGGAGGGAGCATAATGAAGAAGAGGAAGGGATTCTTGAATGAATCGGGAAGAAGGCGAGATGAGGTGAAAGAGCCTTTGCCGGATCGAAATCTCATCATGCTCAGCTGGCTGCGAACGAATCACGAGATGCCAGTCCTCTGTACTGCGACGATGGAGATATCCTGCATGAAGCCGAAGAAAACCACTCAGAGCTAGAAGATGCACATGCATTCGAGTTTCCATCAGATTCAGACTGAGAGAGAGGAGAAAGGCGGACGCCGGAAGGACGACGAGAATAAATCCTGGCGCGATACTACAAATCTTCTGCGCGCCTAAAGGAACCGTGAGGACGGCGCCAATCCCCGCATCTGCATCCGCATCCAATCTCCATCTCCATCTCCGCCCCTCTCCACATCCGCGCCTATCCCTCCTCTCTTACCTCTCCTCTCCACCTCGCTCACCTCACCCTCCCTTCCCAATCCGCACCTCGCCTTTCCTTTCTCGCCCAAGCATCGTATCGCCATCGCTACCGTCGACCATCTCTTCTAGCTCAGGAGGCGGGTTGAAACGGAGAGCTATCCCTCCATTCACCGTCAAGCCAACATCCCGCCCCGCGTGCCTGCGTCGACGATCCACTCTCAAATAAATTTAAACGTCTTCGCAACCTCTGGATCTCCTGGCTTCAAGCTTCAACGTCAAGCCTCTAAGGCCACACCGGCACCGCTGCAACACCTCCCGGACTCGGATTATTCTCGGTCGTTGTATACTTTACCTTGACAGGCAGGATTAGTGGATCATCCTTAGCCCAACGCTCGCATCAATATCCGCTGCAATTGGAAGGTCGGTTGTGCGCTTTGCTCCCAGCTCGCTTCGTCTGCCGTCTGCCGTCTCTTTGCTCACCGCTCTGCTCTGCTCTGTAACGTCACGACCATCATCATCAGCTAAGCCAGTGGACGCCCTCGTTCGTTCTGCCTTACAGTCACACCGGCGGTTTTGACTTTGGCTTACAATACCACCACCATTCGATAGTTGAAGAGCAAGAGGCAAGAGGATAGAGTACGATGCCGGGACCCTCAAAGTCGCAGAAAGCAGAGGCAAAGTATAATGTCACCACAGATTGTGCGTTTCTTTTCTCTCCTATTTCTCCTTCAAATCTAGCTCACATTATCCTCTCCCCCTCTCCCCCCCTCTCCCTTCCTCCCCCTTCCGCCCACCCACCCTCCGCCACACCAACCCGCAGTCCCCCACCTCGGCCTCCACGCCGCAGCCGCAACAGGCAACATCGGCCTCGTCAAATACGCCCTCTCCCACGGCCAGCCCATCAACTCCGTCATCGACGGCGTCCTCCCGCTCCATGCGGCGTGCTCAGGCGGCAACGAGCTCGTCGTGAAGTTGTTGATTGAGGCGGGGGCGGACGTTAATGCGCCTAGGTGAGTTTTCTTGTTTTAGTTTTTTTGGGGGCGTTTTTTCCGTTCGTTTGGTTTGTGGTGTAGGTTTCTTGGGCAGCTTTTATTTTCTCTGTGGTTATCTGCGCTCTGTCTTGCGAGTTCGTCCATTGCGCGCACTCGTCGGATGTTTCGGCCACCCGCCCTCTTCCTCCCCGCGTACCTCCGTCCCGTCTCCATTCCCATCCTTCCATTCCTTGCATTTTGTTCCATCAGCATGCGTGCCACACATGCCACAACGCGATGAATCGGGCTTGCGTTTGGGCTTTGCGTAACCGTTAACGCCACCGGCGCTCCGGGGATTGGGTCTTTTTTTGTTGTTTGGGCTAGGCGATTATTATTGGTTGTGTTGTGGCACCATTATCATGAGATTTGTTTTGGGGGGTTATTGGTGTGGTTTGTGAATGGCAGTACGAGTGGTGGTGGTACGACGCAACGCAATGATACGATAAGAGCCGCACGTCTTACGGGGATTCGTTTATCTCTGAATCTGACGTCGTTGGCGTCGTCATATGCACGCACATACTTAGTCGACGTGGTTCATCGTCATTGTTGCATTTATCGAGCAGCAAACCGGGTGTGGAGAAGTGGACACTGGACGTCGAGCTGAGATAGGGGCTCCATCATCTGACGATGCATCGGGTTCGTCGCGACTCCCTTGGTTCCTTGCTTACTCCTGTGTAGGGGTGATAATTGGTAGTCCGTCCGGTTCCCCTGTTGGGCGCAGGAGATGGATGTAACTCTGCAACCTTGTTCTTGATTGGGATATTGAACTTGGGACGGGGACGTTCGAACTCTGCATTAGGATAGGTCGTACTCCAAGTTTAGGCATAGGATGTCCTAATCGGATTCTTCTTCTCTGTCTCCCAATTGGGATATGGGAGGATCCCAGCTCACGTATGAATCCGTGCCTGTCGGTGGACGGCGCGATCTGTCTGTCCTGTCGTGTGGATTGTTCCGTTCGTTTCGTGGATGTAACGGTCGGGGGATTGCGCCAGGCCAGTTGTTGTCATTTTTTGATCGTCTTTGCGGTGGATAGCTTGAATTGTGGCCGAGTCGGGAAGTGTGGCGAGTGGTGGCACCATCCCTTGTTATTCCCTGCAAATTATATTTTCGTTATTCAATTTCTCTCTTCATATTCCTTTCTCTATCGCCCTGTCCCCACAGAACCTCTTCACTAACATCCCCTCCTTCCCCTCTCAAACAAACAGACTCCCCCGTCGCTACTCCCCCTCCACCCCCTCCTCCTCCTCCCACCACCACCACCACCACCATTCTCACTCCCACTCCCACCCCCACCCCCACTCGCACTCCCACCCGATCGTCGGTTCCTCAGGGTCAACGCCGCTCCATTTCGCCGCCGCTAATGGGCATACGAACGTTGTGTTGTTGTTGTTGCTTCATGGCGCGAGGGCGGATAGGGCGGATAAACATGGGGTTACGGCGGAGATGGTGGCGAGGCAGGGGGGGTGGGTTGGGTGGTGAGTTTTTTCTTTCTGCTTTTCTTCTTCCTCCTACTTTTCCTCCTCCTCCTCCTGCTCCTGCTCCTCCTCCTTCTGGGGCTTTCTTTATTCGGGATTGTTTGGATTGATCATTTGTGTTGCATGGCCTGTATAGCGCGGAAGCCATCCGAGAATGGATAATCAACAAAGATCGAGACCTCATCGAACGCGAAACATTAATAGGCGGCTCTATCCCCCCAGACGACGCAGAGGGCGACCAACCACAATCACAACCACAAACGACATCATGCTCTTCGAATCCATTCATGCGTTCACACTCGAGAGATCGGAACGGGAGTTTTGGGGCGCATTCACATTCACATTCCAACTCACATTCGCATTCGAGGGATCGGAATGGGAGCTTTGGAACTGGCACGCCACAGAGGGATCGACATGGGAGTTTCGGCAGGGAGGGAAGCAGGGAGTGTTCGTGCGGTGGTGGTGGTGGTGGTGGTGCGGACCCCGAGTGTTCCTGTCAGGCGGGTGGATTGGCCTCGGTGAGGAAGAGGATACAGGTGAAGAGGTCGATCGATAATGCGATCTCGATGTTTAAGGCCAGTGCGTCGAATCTTGTTTTGAGTGGCGGTGGCAGTGGAGGAGGAGGAGGAGGAGGGCCGGAGTCGCCTGGGCAGGACGTTATTGCTGGATCGCCGGATTCGATGACCATGACGAACGGTCTAGGAAGCGGCGGTGGGTTGGACGCGAATGGGTTCCCGACCGGACGTAGGCCTTCGTTGCCGCATTATCTCGATTCGAGTCCAAGTGGGCACGGTAGCATTGGGAACGGCAATGGACATGGACATTCACCGTCACCCGCACCCTCGGAAAAGAGGCGGACGAAGAAGTCGTCTCTGTCGAGCAGTCGGAGACCAAGCTCTGCGGGGACGGGATCGGAGCGGAGCGTGCAGATCACACCGGCGCAAGGAAACGCACAAGGGCAGGGACAGGGACAGGGAGGGACGCAGAGCACGAAGAGGCTGGGATCGAAGTATTCGTTGATGAATCTGTTTAGGAAGTATAGCACCGAGGGGCTCTCAGCTGCGAGAGAGAGGGACAGTGAGGGGCAGGGACAGGGACAGGGAGGAGGACAGGGACATAGAGCGAGGATGGGGAGTATGTCTTCTGCGAATTGTGGGGACGGTTCAGGAGGGGCAGCAACAGCAACAGGAGCAGGAGCAGGAGGAACGGGATCGAGCCCGCCGTCGAGGCCTGGGCCGGGGATTTTGAGACCTGGCGCGGGGACGAGGTCAGCATCGTCGGGGAGTCCGGGACCCGGTGGTGGGAGTGGGAGTGGTGGTGGGAGCGGGTTCATGGGCAAGGTGCCGAGCCAGCGAGCTCTGAGGTTCGATTCGTCGTCTTCGTCCGTCGTGCAACGAAGCCCGTTGTCGAGGGGCGGGGAGTTGCCTTCTTCTTCTTCACGTGGTGATGACGATCTGGACCGAGATGATGGGGATGAGGACGAGGACGAGGAATACGGGAGGCCGATTGAGAGCGGGAGGTTTGGGACTACTGGTCCGGGTGGCAATGGGAGTGGTCGTATGGGACGACCGAGAGGATCCTCGAAGAGTTCCTTGCCTTCGCCTGTGTCGATCTCGAATGACGAATCTGGAGGTGGTGGTGGTGGTGGTGGTGGGTTCACGTTCCCGTTTAGTATCAATCAGCCGCCGCCGGAGCCGGAACCGGAGGGAGATGATTTCGAGGGAGATGAATTAGAGGATGAAGGAGGAGAGGAGATGCGTATTCCTTCAGTGTTCGCGTCGCCGCCTCCGGGTGCGTCGAGGGCTGAGCTTCCGCCAGCTCCTCACTCCTCCTCCTCGAACACGAACGCGAACAATTCAAACTCGAACTCGAATAACTCGACCGCGAACGCCAACTCGAGACCTTCGCTCTCCCCGCCTCCAAGGTTCGGACATGATCTCGACGGGCGGCACCGAGGAAACTCGACCACGAGCGACGGGAGCACCGCGACTTCGGGTACTACTACCACCACCACTACCACCACGACTTCTGGCGCGGAGGGGACGTTGCCGTTGACGCCTGGGTCTTCGATTTTAGGGGGGCCGGAGGTGGGGAAAAAGGGAGAGGGAAGGGAGGTGGAGGGAGAGGAAGAGGTGGAGGGGTTGGGATTGCTTATGCCGCATTCGAAGACTTCGTCGATGGAGACTGAGCGGCCTATCCTCACTACTACGACGACCATGACCGCGAGCACCCCCAGCACTGGAACCCGTACAGGCACAGGGAGAGATGGAAGAGACAAGACCCATTCACCGAGACTGATGCCCCGGATCCCGCTCGATATGGATCTTCGTGCGATATCGTCGCATGCCCAGGCGGAGGCGCTCGTGCAGAGGACGCATCGGTCTATACTCGAGCTTGAGCGGTTGCCGCCGGAGGAGCTGGGGCAGTTGAGTTCTGGAGGTGGTGTGGCGGGTGGAAGTGCAGATGGGACTGGTGGCGGTGGTGGTGCGGGATCGAGCGACGGATTGGGCGGATTGCCGTTGAGTGCGAGGTTGGCGATGTATGGGGAGAGTTTGGCGTTGGAGAGGAAGTTCAAGAAGATGGAGGAGGAGGAGGAAAGGGAGATGGGGAGGATGAGGGCGAGCGGAGAGATGGAGAGGAGGAGGAGCGAGGAGGACGGAGGGGTGTTTGGGAGGGATAGTAGGGGAGCGGGAACCTACCCGAATAAGACGAGGAGCGCGAGCGCAACTATGGATAGGGATGCGGCGAGGACGGGGATGGGGTTGAGCCCTGGGTCGGGAGCTGGGGCCAGTGCGGCGAGGAGGAGGAGTAGAACAGGCAGTCAGAATCAGGGCGTTATTGTGGAGGAGGTGTGCGTGAGTGAGAGTGAAGGTCAGGGGAGGGGTGCAGGTGGTGCGAGTGCGTATGGGAAGTTGCCATCGACGCCGCCGTCGAGGGGTCATAAGATGAGGAGGCCACATACGGCGGGAGGGACGCCGAGCACACCTTCTAGTATGTTTTCTTTCTCAATCTTAGAACTTGGAATATCAGTACTGACTGGATCCCTTTTCAATAGCTCCAGGCCAGCTTGATACCTCGCCCTCCCCTCGAGGACATCATCATCGTTCCCGTTCCGCAGCACCTACAATCGAGCTCGACGCACCTACGCCTACTGCAACCTACCACGACATACCTTCCCTCCACCTTCCCCGCACGACCTCACCATCCTCAAGATCTCCCAATACAGCGCCACTCGCACTCTCCGCCGACTTTCCCGTCACGCCGCCGCCGCTTCGTTCGAGGACACCGGACCCGGAAAGTTATGCCTCCGCTTTGGACGACGATCTCGATCTTCAGGGTAGTGGTGGTGGTACCGGCGTGGGTCTCTATCGCGTGCTCACCGCGCCACAAGTCGGGACGTATGATAGTCCCAGTGGCGCGGGGAGCGCCGGCAGCAGTATGAGGAATAAGTCGCATTTCTTGGGTGGGAGGGAGAGGAAGGTGGCGAGTGCGCATAAGTTGGTGAGGATGGGCTTGCCGAATGATGGGGTGGCTTCTGCTACTGGGCTCGGTGGAGGAGGTGGTGCGGCTGGGATCGGGGGGAGTTTGGGTGGTGGGAGTGGGGGTGGGGCGGGGACGCCGGGGAGGATGGGCGCGATGGGAGGTGGGGCGCATAAATTTGGGGGGTTTAGGGGGTTGATGCAGACGTTGAAGGGCAAGTCGTGAGTTCTCTGAGATTATGGGCCCTTCCATATGATGTGCCCATGTCGCCAGGCTTGTTAGATGTTCGTCGTGCGCGGAGCGCCGCTGTTTCCTTCATTATTTATTTTCCCTCTTCGTTATATTCCTGCTCTAGCATTGGGCTCTTGGACGCCCCGAGAGCATTCGTCTCGTCACTTTCTTGTATCATCCACAGCATTCTCGCTTCATTCCCACATCTCTTGTCTTTCTACTGCCAGCGTCTATTCTGTATCCTTTCTTGTTCCTGTTTCTCTCTCTCTGTATGCCTCTGTCTTTATTCTCATATTGCATAACGTGTGTCTTCGTCTCTTCGTCTCTCTATCCGTTTCTATTTACTTTCACTGTCACACATCGACATATATACACGATTTGTCTCCATCCCGTGTCCTTCTGTATTAACTCTTTTCACCCAGAGGACTTTATGGGTCGTTTAAGTTGACTCGTCTGAATCCTTTTTCCTTTGTCTTTTCTCATCTGTATGCCTGTAACACCTTGATTCAACTTCCTTCCTTTCTCTCTTGCCATCACATCACATCGCACTTTCGGAATCCTTCTTCATTGCACACCTTCCTTCGCTTCGTATCTACAACCTCCCCGTCTGTAACTGTCTATGTTTCGTGTTTCACGGTCGTGAAGAGCTTGCTACCTATATATTCGCTATTTCCTTCTGGATCCTCTCTCTTTCTATCTATCTATCTATCACAGGCCAGATTCAGCTTGTCTTCGTTCCAGTCTATCGCATAGCTCTTCTTTCATTCCTAGGCCTGCTTCTTTTTTGGGCAATTCTCGGGGTCGGTGGGGCATCATTCGGCTGTCCTCTTTTTTCGAATATATATTCGGTGTATCCCTTTGGTTTTGGGGGGAGTGTTTCTTGTGTTTCACTTCCAATATATATATATTTGCATATTTGCATGGATGTCTGCCAGTACTCCTTGAGAGCATCCGGATCGCTGACGTTGTCCTTGTCGCAGCGTGTGCCACTTCACTCGCGGGATGCGTGAGAATTTAGTAATAAATACGATTCGCTCGCCACACCCCACGCGAGTTCCGGTTTCATCCGAACGAAGCTTTTCTTTCACTTTTGTTCGCTCGCTCGAGCGATCTTGAAACTCTGTGGACGACCACAGCGGCTTGCTGAATGATCGCTGTTGTGGTGTGCTCTACTATGGTTTATTCTGGATTTCTTGCTGCGCTTGTTGTTTTGCCACTCTTGGTTGACGTTCCGAGGCCCACTGGCACATGCCACAGTCTGGATCTCCACGATATTTCAGTCACATACGGGTCGAGCAATTCTATGTGAAGATTCACTCTGTATCACCGTTCTTGAACGTTTTGAACATGTAATCGGGTTATGACGACCGCCTTCCATGGCCATCTAAGATTCGGTGGCGGTAACTGGATCACATACACGTGGTTGCGGTGCTATTGTTCTTCTTCTTCTTCCAGGTTTCCTTTTCCGTCCGACAGCCTTGTCTGTGTCTTCCACGCCCCTCGCTAACGCACTAGGTCTGTGTGGCGCACGAACTTGGGGCTTTCTCTGTTCTTCACGACCTGTACTGCTTCTGTTGAAAAGTCATCTACCAATGCGGATGTTACTAGGGCTCAGTTGCCAGGACTGACATCACTTAGGCCGCCTCCTGTCTAAGCTGCTCTTCAATTCCCGGGCAACTGTCAGTGCATACTGTGAGCCTAAATGATAATCTCCCTCCTCCCTTTTTTGGTCCTTGCACTGCATAACGCCTTCTGTTGTTGCCGAGTATTATCTGATCGCTTTGCGATTTACCGGTGTTTGCCTCTTGTTCTCTTTCTCGCCTGTCCTGGCACACGCCACAGACCAGACAAGCACAATTTGTCTTTCCCTATTCGTCTCACACAAAAACCTCTTATCGATTAGCACAACCCCCGCCACAACGGCTGTGTTTCCTGGCCTATATAAAGTCGAGGAGAAGGATGATAGGCAGCAGCGATCCTTCCCTTCTCTCTTGACCAGCACCTCCTCCGTCTGACCTACCGAAGTACTCTATATGTCTGTGAGTCACCATCGTGATGAAGGGCTGCATCCTAGTCCTTCGCTCCCGCGGACCGCTGAAGACATTGAACTGGCCCAGGTTAACGCTGGCTCGCGGGGAGAGTGAGTCATTTCTAGCTTTGATAACCCACTTCTTGTTTCGGTTTGATGTTCCTTCTTTACTGATCCATATACGCTTGCAGATTGCTTTCGCGAGGGTCAGCGCAGAAGCCGGACCCAATTTTAGATATTGTCTGCCCAATCATAATCGTAAGTCTATTCCTCATGTCCTTCGCCATGTTCACCTTTCCCAACATCCCCGTCTGTGGACCTGCATACGGTATCGCTCCTCTGACACATTCACGCTAACGTCTTTTTATTCATACACAGGCCCTAACAAATAGCATCGCACTCCTCGTCATTTATAAATCGCCCACCACGGGAGAAAGCCACAGGATAGGACTGGACCAAGGCCCCGCGTGCCCCGATCTCGTCCTCCGCGAATCCATAATAGTCTTTCCTTCGCTCATCCAGCTTCTGGCTGTCACACCGCCGTTCATGTATTCAGCCAAGTACGTGTTATGATTAATCCCTACCCATTTCCTTCCTTTCGTTCCCCTCGACGCTTATCTACCTCACCTCACCTCACCCCACCTCACCTTTATCTTATTATTATGTTTCGGCTCAAAACTTGCGTCTTTGACATTTCCAGGCCTCTTTGCAAGAACGCATACTTTCAACTCGTCGTGGCCGTCTTTTACGCGTTGGCCTTCGCCTCGAACGCCGACCAATATCGGGTCGAACGATCCCAGGGATGCTCCGATTCTGGTGATCTCCTACGTCTAGGGTATGCGACGATGGTCTTCAGCGCGGTTATGGGCTTTATCCTCTTCGTGAGGAGCTGCTTCAACATCGTGCGTTTCATTTCCATCTTCGCCTGTGTCTCTCCGGAAATCGTGCAAAAAGGTGGAAGTATTGAGCTGATTTTGAACTCTTGGATTGGTTAGTGGCCTGCTTTGCGTGGACTTCTGTTGGCGAGTGGGGCCAGGGACTGAAGTATAATTATAGGCGGATGCGCTTCGGTACTGCTTAGGCACTACTTGGCGCTTAGTGGATGACTGAGTCCAGATTCTTGTGCTGATGTCTTAGCTCGAGCTTGGTGCTTTCTGTGGGCTTCTGCGTCGTACTTGGAGGTCTAGTCTTGTGTGCTCCTTTAGCATGTTGCGTTGGGGCTTTTTGTGTTGGTGGTACTGGTTTTGAAGGGAATGGAACGCTGAATTGTTTTGACTGATTCAGACTTACACCTGTGAGCTTATATGGATCTTCGTAAGGCTGCCGCACTCTGGGCTTCAAGTTCTGTTTGCAGTCGCTGTCTTCCTATGCGTTGACACCTCGAATGCGTCCAACCTCGACGAGCCGTTCTCGACTTTTCGCTGCGGCCGTCACAAAATCTCAGAAACTCTCAGTCTAGGCGAACTACATTAAGTATTGAAGGTCAGTGCGTTCGTCTTGTATGTGATCAGCCGGCACAGCTTCTTTGCTTTCGCCGCATACGGGACGAGAACACATACGCCCGGCCCATACAGTAAGGTTCGTAGCATGCTTGCTTATCTCCCTCCGTACTTTCACGCTCTCCATTCCGACACTTTATTCAATCACGACTCATTTCGGACTCGGACGAGGCGGACTTTCTATAGCCATGTAGGCACTGCCAGCCCGAAGGTCACCGTGATCGAGTTGGCTTTCAAAGTGCGTAACGCAGCTATTCACAGAGTCAAGCGAAGGCATGACTGCGAGGAGCACTAACGACTGCATGGTCTGATTCCCCAGGTACTTCTCTGAATCGCACTCCGCATATTCCACTGCCCGAGTCTTCTTGTTACCCCTTCATTTAAGGATCATTAACTTCTTCTTCTTCTTCTTCTTTGCGTTCTTCTTCCCCATATTTTTTCGCAGCCACCTGTCCAGACAATAAGAGGCCCACCAATTACATTGAAACTAATGTGAGCGCCAGATTCTCAAGCTCATGCCCAACCCACCTCTAACTTTATTTCTCATCTCCGAGTCTTCCAACTTAAAATCTCAGGCCCTTCTACTTCCACTTCCATAAATTGAAGTTCGAACTTTGTCGCCTTGGATATGATGTCGATGTCGATGTGAAGCCTCAGAGAAGTACATAGGCTCTGAGCCACAGGCGTGTTCTATCCGAGTCCTGAGACTTGGAAGACGTCCCCGTGGTCGTATGCTCACTTCTCAACTCTACATAGGTTCTCGAAGCCGTATAAGTACAAAGCGTGGCCGTGGGCAAACTTTCGCAAAACTACTCATTCTCATCTGCCCCCGCGAGTCTAAAACTTTCGGGCGAGCTGGCTATGGGAGGTGAGTCCTTTTTATCTTCCAGGGATGTCATAAGTATGTATTTCCGGTGGTCTCGGAGAGTCGGGGATGAAATTTATCTTTTCATAAAGCCGTCAATTGAATATCTCAATCACTTATTTTGCAGCTTGTTGGTCCCGGAACCTCGAACACCGATAAACTCTCATGCGCGCAGCGCACGGTACAATCAGTCTCCAATTATTTCCGCCGTGTGCTTTGACTCAGGCTGTAAATTTCCCGCATTGATCATGATATACATGTGTAGGTTCATGAATCATCACCGCGACGATGGATGAAGATGGTCTGCGGGTTCTTATGCACAGGTGGACTATTCATCCCACGGGCCATGATGGACGAAACGCATTGATTTGGTGTACGCAGTCGGTATGTAGAGGATGAGGATGTTGTATATTGGATCCTGATGTCGAAGCTCGTTTCCTTGAGCGATTCGACGTTAGCGCCGCTGCTCTGAATCACAGGCTGTTTGTCCATCTGAATCGTGAGGCTTCCAGGTTTTTTTTGGCATCACGACGAGCCTGAGGCTTCGAGAGCGCTCTTTGACTGGTTTTGATGGCATGGAATCTTGACTATACTGTAGTACCTTCGTGATTTCGAGGCCACCACGTATACATATACGTTGATTCTGCAACGGAAGATGTCACGGTCGCGGTCACGGTATCCAGGCTCTGAGGGTGTTCGTCAACGCCACCCGCGTTTAATTTCCACTGAACAACTAAATGGCTGTATGTACGGTATTCTGCGTCCATTCATGAACCTTGCGGGTCTAACGCGAGTATATATATCTGAATCTGTGTGAATGCCAATGCGTTGGCCATGGCCGACGGAACTCGTTAACGACAGTCACTGATAGAGTTCCACCACCTCCCACCCAGTTCCAACACCCGGCGCTCAGCGCTCCATCCAGAACAAACGCGTCGACAAAGTCTCAGCCTTCAGGCCTCTCACTGCAAGCGTGTACATAAGCTACTGCTCTTGGCTTCGAAGCTTCCGAGGATGTGCTAGCTGGAGATCAGGAGGGTCCCATGTGAACGTTTTGAACCTTGGATAGCCTGAGGACAACAATACCGTGCGTGTGAAGGATGGGGCATGAAACGCAGGGATCAGATTTCGGTCTCACAGCCCCTTGAAGCTTGCGTCCTGGGTGCTTCTGAATCGTCCGAGCCTGAGTCGTGATTCGGAGGCTGCATATCATATCATAGGATAGGTTAGCGTTGCCGTAGCCCTGCTCAGTGCGATATAAGTTTTTGGGTTGCCCGAGCTTGTGGGGCACGGTGATGAGGAGGACGGGGCCACCAATGGAGTCGCTGACAGATACTTTGATCGGAGCGGGAAGACTCAGGGCCCCTATCCCGCTGCAGCCGGCGGTAATTTGCACTCAAAGCGCTTGTGGGGAACCTCCGCGGACCGGGGCCGATGCCGGGGGAGGTTATCGAGAGGGAGTTGTGTGGTACATAACGGCCGTGTCCTCGGATGTCTTGTCCTTCGTCCCTTCTCGTCTCTTCTCCTTAGGCCTTGGCTCATCGTAGGCCTTGGCTTGTCGTACGTGTACTCTAGGCGGACCCCATTAGTTAGGATTGTTGAAATGCCTCGCCATAGTCGTACTTCGCTTGACTATGATCCATTGACGGCTGCGATCGCCCCACCGAGCGACGAGACGCCAGAGCAGCGCGCGAAGAGGGAGCAGGACGAAGCGGAGGCGCAGAGGGTCAGCGATCTTATTGACGAGCAGTTGAAGGCGGAGAGGGCAGCGTTGAAGAAGAAGAAACCGCCGATCAAGGTTTTGCTGCTCGGGCAGAGCGAGAGTGGTCCGTGTACTTGCATCTTTGTTTGACTTGAATCCCATCACTAACTGTTATGATTCATACGGACGTGTATATAGGAAAATCGACGACAGTCAAAAGTATTGTCTATCTCTCTTGGCTGTATTTAGATACCCAGCTAACAATGACTCACACCTCGATCCAGATTTCCAGCTTGCATACGCACACAATGCCTGGCTCGAAGAACGCGCCTCCTGGCGCTCCGTCATCCTCCTCAACCTCGTCAGATCCGTAAACACAATCCTCGACATCCTCGGAAAAGAAATGCACTACGTCTCCTCACCACCACCCTCGTCCAACCTCCGCCTCCCACCCACCTCTCCCACGTCCTCCCAAACCTCAGACGAAGATGACGACGACGAAGAGGATGAACCCGAACGTAACCTCCCTGCTCCTCTTCCCCGTCGCCCAGGCTCCGCATCGCCCCCCGCAACCCAACAAGACATCGCACTCTACCAAATGCAAATGCGAACACGCAACACTCGCTTCTTATTCACCGAAAAACATCGTCTACTCCAAATGCGTCTGAAACCCCTCCGTCGTGTACAGAGGGATTTGGAACAACTCCTTGGTGCGCCTTCGTTCGTCGAAGCGGACGATTTGCGCGGACCTGCGACTCCGTTTGCGAGTATGGAAGGCTCGTCACCCTCCTCTACTGTATCGTCGAGAAAACGAATGAGTCAGTCGCACGAGTTCGTGGTGAGGTCGCGGAACGGGTGGAAAGGCGCTTTGAGACTGGGCGGAGACGAGGATGAGAGGGAGAGAGGGGAAAGAGGGAAGGGAGGGAAGAGGGGAAGGGATGAGAGGAGCGAGGAGACGATGGGTGTGATTTCGGGCTGTGGGGAGGATATTAGGGCACTGTGGGCGGATCCGATTGTTCAGGAGGTGTTGGCGAAGAGGGGGGTGAAGATGGAGGATCAGCCGGGGTTGTGAGTTCGTCCTTCCTTCCTTCCTTCCTTCCTTCCTTCCTTCCTTCCTTCCTTCATCCTTCATCCTTCGTTGCGTTCCAAGAGTTGGCGGGCCCCACGTTCTGATTCTGCGCTATTGTAGCTTTTTGGACGAAGTCGACCGGATCGCGACGAGGGATTATGAGCCGTCGGACGACGACGTCGTTAAAGCTAGGCTACGAACGACAGGCGTGCAGGAATATCATTTTTTGTTCGAAAAAGGTACATCGGCCTTCCCCTTCCCTCCACGATCCCTTTCCTTCCCTCCACAGTTCCTTTCCTTCCCTCCACAATCCCGCCCCTCCACAATCCGCCCCACCCCTCCATTCTCCTCTATCATACGAGTTGCTCCATCCTCCATCCTCCATCCTCCATCCTCCTCTTTCCTCCCCGATAAGCCGTGCGTTCTGACTCTGACAAGGTACGCCGTTTGCAGGTAGTGAAGCGGGCAGGGAATGGATCATGTATGATGTTGGGGGTGCGAGATCATATGTACGTCTGTTCATGTCCTTCCCTGTCCTCGTGTGTATGAGGGGATGAGTGGCTGATGGAGTGATGGTTTTCATCAGCGATCCGCGTGGTATCCGTATTTCATGGACGTGAACGGTACGCATCTTTTCTTCTCACGCCGTGTTCTTTCTTGTTTCGACTGATACACCGACGAATCATTTGTGGGGGAATGCGGAATCCAAAAGCCATCATCTTCCTCGCCCCGATCTCCGTGTTCGACGAGCCGCTGGCCGAGGACCGCAAAGTGAACAGATTGGAAGATAGCTTTTTGTTATGGAAGGCTGTGTGTTCGTCGAGGTTGCTATCCAAAGTGAGTTACACCTCGCACCTCGCGCCACACACGCACCACCACAACATCCGCCATCCGCCGTCTTCCTTATCCACCTTTTAACATTCTCACTTAACGCCTCACCTAACATTCTGTGCCTCCAACTCACATTGTGACTTTGTTGCGAACGATCCAGGTCCAACTCATCCTCTTCCTCAATAAGTGCGACCTGTTGCAACGGAAACTGAAACGGGGCAGTCAGCTCAGGCAGTATATACCGACTTATGGAGACCGGCCGAATGATTTGGCTAATGTCGCGAAATGTGCGTGTTTTTCCCTTTCCATTTTGACCTGTGTGAATGCAAGATCGGACATCCGTGTTGCGAGATCGTTCGGATGGAGATTGATGGGTTGGAGTGACTGACTGACTGATGCGCGGGACTTTGCGTATGTGTGTAGATTTCCGCCAGCAGTTCCGGGAGATGTCAAGGAGGTATTCGCCGGAGCAGAGGAGCTTCTACTCGTTCCTTACTTCCGTCGTCGTACGTCCCTTTCCCTTCCCTTCCCTTCCCTTCCCTTCCCTTCTACTCTCTCTGCCTGCCTTCCTCCCTTTTCTTCCCTTCTCTCTCCCTACCTTCCTCCCTGCCTCCCACCCACTATAGTCTCCTCACAGGTAGTCTTAAACTAACATCGCGGACAATATTTCAGGACGTGAAATCGACCGCGGTGACGCTCGGAACCGTCCGTGAAGGCATCCTACGCAACCATCTCGCCAATGCGGAACTTATCTGACAATCACAGTGATTAGTTCTCTGCGCTGGTCCTCCTTTCGATCTGTTTTTCTCATTGATAGGTACTGTGGGGATATATTGACGGGTACCCCACCCATCCGTTTCCCTCCGTCCCCCTTTTTTTAATACATCACTTCGTTTGCGCTACGCATCCATTTTGTTTTTGTTGTTGATTTTTTTTTTGACTCGTTGCTTTTCGACATCTTTATTATCTACTCCCCTGTTGTTGTTGTTGTTTCCGCCTATCTATTTATCCGACTGCCTGTCTATCTATCTTGTTTGCTACATCTACGGAATCGGCCTTGTGTTTACTTATGATATGTTGTACGCGCTCTGTCTCTTACCTACCCTACCCTACGCTCCTGTTTTCGTTTCTGTTCTTGCCATTACCTAGTCTCAGACTGTTGTACGTCCTGTCTCGTTTCATTACTTCTATTCCTTACTGCCACTCCTGCCACTCCTACCTTGCTTGATCCTCACTACGGCCTATAACACTGTTACCCCTTCCGCTTACAGTTACAGTAGGCGCTAGTGCTCACTATGGACTTGAACTTAAATTATGATATTCTTTTTCTCTGTCTTTCTAGCGGAGTTGTGAGTTTGAGGATGTATCTCTATCTATCTCGTATATACGATGCTGGACAAAATACATTGCTTGCTATGGCTCTGGAACTGTGATTGGAGATTGGAACGATCGTGCAGATTCAAGTTCGTATCTACGCTCGCAAACCTGACGAGGCCTCGGGCACGGGGACCTTGCAAATTCAAGTCATGTCGATATTGCGGTAAGTGAGGTACAGTAAGAGACTCGAGGTTTGATTTGAGTTGGTCATCTCACGAATTCAAATATTCAAAGCCTGAGGGGAGATGAACGATGTCATCCGAATGGGAGGCATTATTGGGCGGTCATGAGAGCACGCGTGATGAGGTGTTCTGGACGTGGTATGTATGCATGTGAGTAAGTAAGTAAGTAAAGCAGTAAGTAAGTAAGTCAGTAAGTACTGTGCAAGTGCGTATATACAAAAAGTGAAAGGAGAAGAAAAGGATACAAACGTGGTACGTGGTAATAGTACCGATCTGAACATATAAGCCTGAAAAGGTCGTCGGGTGTCGTGTGGAAGGGCTCTGTCGCTTGTATTAGCTGACGCGAATGATGAGTGATTACTATAAAGGGTGGGTGGATGGTGTCGCCGTTGGTCGAGGATGGAGGTGGTGAGGGATAAGGGAAAGTCGGTTGAGGTGGAAGTATATGAAGTAGGAGAGGGGGACGAGGGAGTTGGGAAGGAGGAAGGAAGGAGGAAGGAAGGAGGAGGAAGATAGCATAGGCTCGTGATATCTTTTGACTTTAACGAGTCTGATCATGGATATGATGGCCGAGCACGTACGCACGGTCGACGGTGAAAATGCTAGACGAACAAGGTGGGAGGCGGTGAGGAGACGGGTGAAGAGCGACGGTAAAGAGGTCGCAGTGCGTGATTACAGACAACGACAGGTCCTACTGCCTCTTACTCGCTTGACCGACGACTAGCCGCACGGATCCTCTTCCCATAACTACACGAACGAATCCCATCAGCTCTCATCCCAGACCTCTCATCCTAACCCTCTCGAGCACAAAAGAAAAGAAAAGGCACTCACAACATAAACACATACGGAATCGGCATCATCACACAGGACACACACGCAAGCAGCGTGCTCGCCCACCTCGGGTTCAGCTTGTCGTACATCTGGATGACGAACATCGGCACGGCGGCACCTGCCATGGAGCGCGCGAAGGTCTTGGCTGCCATGGCGGAGGCGACGTATTTGGGGAAGGAGTCGACGATGTAGGCATTGGCCGAGATCTGCACGTCACGACATATCGAACGGACCGTTGAATTGATAACGAATGGGAATGGTGTAGAGAAGTTGGCGTACGTAGATCGAGACCATGGACCATCCGAACGGTATACCGCTCATCATAGGCCCCACCCAGCTCACATCCTCGTAACTGGTCCACGCAAAGATGAACAGAGAGATGGGCAGCACCGCACAACCAGCCATCCTACACCGATTATATTCAGACATCTGCGCTCCCCAACTTCGAAACAAGGGTGGAAAGTGGAGCTTACATGGGCGGAAGACGCGCTTCGGGGCCCCACTTCGGCGCCAAGCGAGCATAAAGCCTGTTGAACCATTGCATCGATCCCATAGCGATCAAGATGCCGACGAGGATTGACAAGAAGCATAGACCAGTATCGCCGGCGTCGAAACCGTGGAGCCCTTCGAAAACGATGGGGTATGCCTACTCAGCCGCATGCGCAGGGAAAACTCAGATAGTTTCAACAGACGGGGTCTATAAATCTGACTTACGAAGAAGAAAAGGTAGAGTAACATGTAGATCAAGCTGAGGTAGATCGACATGAAGATCAGGATGGGCTCGGTAAACAGCATCTCTAGTCCACCGTAAACAAGTCGGACGGCGTTAGCAAGTCAGATCGAGGGCGAAGGGAGACAGGAAAGAAGGATAACGAACGGAAGGGGCGAATGAGCGCTGTTCTCATCCTGTTTCCGAACGTCACACCAGCCTCTGCAATCTCGCTCCCGGACAGGTACGCCGAGTTTCCAGTCTCCTTGCGCAGACGTTCGGCACGACGACGAAGGAGCCTGATCATGAATGAAAACATTTAGCTTCAACATGCGAGAGGGAAATAAGGGATACGAACACAACAGCGAAGGTCTCAGGGACGAATAACGTCGTGATCCAAACACAACCGATGAAGATGAAAAGAACCCAGTAGATCCACCGCCAGCCGACGGTCTCTCCAATGAAACCGCCGATCAGAGGGCCTAAAACAGGGCTGCACAGAAGGAGAACGTGAGTACTAGGCTACTCTTGCTATCCAACTCAACGCTTACCCAATAAAGATGACGGCGGAGAAAACAGCCATAGGGGTACCACGATCCTCTATAACCGTGGCTCTGGTCAGACCTAGCGAGTACTACACCACGAAGAATACTTACCGATGTTCCATATGTCGGCGACGGTCCCACCAACGTTGGTCATGGGTGCAGAAGCGGCTAACCCCGCGAGAGCACGCCCTACGAGAAGCGTGGCGATGTTCTTGGCCAGTGCTGATGGCAGAGTGAATACTGAAGCGGCAAGCAGTCAGGTCCCATTTCGAGGGCGAAGGGAAGAGGTGAAACGTACGGAAATACAGCCCAATAGAGATCATGTAGATTGGTCTCCGTCCGAAGACTTCAGACATTGGGGCGTAAATCAGAGGCTATCAGAGTTACAATTAGTTCAATATATTTCACCCGCAGGATGCTGGAGAGTAACTTACTCCGACTCCGAAACCAACGACGAAAAGAGTTACGGCGAGGTTACCAACAATCTCTGACATATGGAGGTCCTCCTGTGGGCCTGGAAGATCTCCAGTGATGATAGCAGAGCCCAAGGCAACGCAAAGACAGAGCGACGAGACCGAGATGGTGATTGCCCTGCTCATGACGGTAAATATACGCAGGAGATTCGCTTTGAGAGAGGTAAAGACTCGCCATTTTTTGAGCTTAGAGAAGTTCCTCGGGTTGTGCGGATCTTCGTCGTCCCAATCCACGATCTCATACTCCTGAGTTCCCTTCTCTGCGTCCGACTCCCTTACCTGCTTCTCTGATTGAGCCTCCGTGAGGGTGGCCGTCGACGTCTTTGGATGGGTGGGGTAAACAACATGACCATGCGTGTTATCGTCGATGTCGATGTCCGGGACGATGGCGGGCAAGTCAACCTCGTAGTTATGTTCATGGTCGGGATGGTGTGGGCGCTGTTCATGAGAAGCCATCTCTAAGTATAGACCGGGAGCGAACAAAGAACGCAGACAAGAAAGGGCGAGCACTACTGTACGAGCCTCAAGGACGAATAGTGGCCCGCTTTTATATTGTGGAAAAAAGAGAGGCCATAGAGGATCACTCCCGGCTCAACTCAAGAAAGGAGGGAGAACTGGACCTGCCGCCGGAACAGAGATGAGCAGGATGTGGCACCCGTCGGTGCCACACGCGGTGGCCAAGCGGCAGCCTATCGCAATATTGCTGGCTGCGACTCGGCATCCACAATCCAACCGTGCTGTGTGACTTCAGCACCAACAAGAATCATTGCGTGCCACGAGCAGTGCATATCACGACTTCGTCAAGTGATGTGTGCCCCATGGGCCATGGTCTATGTCAATGCTTTTGAGTCTGCCTGTCACGATCTGCTCGGATGTTCATGTACGATATTATCTTGCGAGAGCCCAACATGCTGTAGTCGCGGAATAGTTTGTAGGACATCACAAACCGACTCCGGTAGAGATGCTTGACGTACGAGCATGATTGATAGGTATGGGTCTACTGTAAGTGGACCGGGTCGGCTATCGTCCCTCGCCGAGTTGAGGCCTGCAGAAAGTGCAACCCTGCAAGATAAAGCAAGCCACCACAGTCAGCAGTGAAAAGATGGAGCCCACAGCGCATCGTCGACGTCCGCCAAGCATAATTAGCAGTTCAGAACCAGCAGATCACAGCAAGGGACAGTCCTCTCCTAGTCGTGGAACAGAGATGTGCCGACAGCGGCTTCAAGATCCTGAAGCGGAAGCACTATCAGCTGCGTTTCTCTTTTAGCGCGGCGCCGTTTCCTCTGTACGAGTCAGAATGAAAGTTATTAAGAATCTGAAGAGTTCCAAAAGATTTTCTTGACCATTGTAAGAGACTTTGGGTTGACTTTGGGAAAGCAAGAACGAAGAAGACTTGATCCCCGGCTGCCAGTGACGTCACACCTGACTGCGGTCACTGTGACTGACGCGTTAGGTCACGCGTTTGTCCCAACTGTAGTTACGAAGAACTTTTGTTTCTTGTTCCTTTCACGGCATCGTACGCCACCATTTGCGGTCAAGAGCAAGTCTTGGGCGCTGGGACCACACAGGTACAGTCCAATAATAGACTCTGAAGTAAAGTAATCGACGTTTTGACCAATGATCAGCATTAAGTACTTACCTTCCTGCGACAGATACAGAAACTCCGTCACTGTCTCTGAGTCGTATCCTACTCGACGAGCACCACAAAGTCGATTTCCTCCGCGCAGAAATCCAAATCTAGCAACGGCTTCTTTCGCACATTCGTCATGCGCGCTGCTGAAGGGATCCAGTGTCGCATCAACCGCCTTCCTGCGGAGATCCTATCTAAAATCTTCCTACACGCCTGCGATACATCGACGCTTTCTCAACAGCCAAAATTCTACGTGCAAGTCATACCGCTCTATGTTCAACCTATAGACATATCCCATGTCTGCCAGTACTGGCGCAATGTCGCACTCGCCAACGGTCGTCTTTGGACGTTCATGGTCGTCTCAGATATGCACCGATACCATCTCGACCGTCTCGATGCGTTCATGCACCGCTCAAAGCAGTCACCTCTGCACATCTTTATCTTGTGGACTCCCTCGTGGAATCGACCAGATTCGGACGATATGGACTGGAAAGTTTTCTTTCAGATGGGCGACCATCTGGTGGGAAAGACTCTCAAAAAGCTCGTTACCTCTAGTGATCGATGGAAGTCGTTTGAGATTGCAGTGGAGACACCGTGGTTGATGTCTAGAATCCTCGGAGAAGTCAATGAAGTGACTTCACCTCTGCTGACGGACGTATCCCTCCACACTACATTATATAATGGAGAAGACGTTGACGAGTGGGATCCCAGTCTGGCCAACCATAATGGGGTTGCCTGCTGCTTTCCTTTTCCCCTATGCGACCTACGTACCATATACTTCGAGGGGACAGCGCCAGATTGGACCCGAGATTCGCCTTACCGGAATCTTCAGTCGCTCAGACTCGACAATTTTAACGAGGAAAACGCCCCTTCCGTTCCAGCTTTTCGTCGATTCCTGACGGCTTCTCCCGCACTTGAGGTTGTCGTTTTGCGAGACTTTCGCTTCAATTTTCACGTTCATAACTATATCCTCGATTACGACGGTCCTGTTGTGGAGTTGCCGCTATTACGCCATTTATCCATCAGCGGGCTCCGGCCGCAAGATGATCAAGCGCTCTTTGCTCACCTGCGTATCCCCAACGTAGAAATCATGGATCTGGGCTGCGATAGATTCGATGGGATTTTGTGGGACTTCACCGTCTCCGGGCTCTCGACCACTTATCCTGATGGGTCATCAACGCTCGACTCCGTCCAAGCACTCCGAATAGGCCGAATACAGCGCCGGTCTACGCTCCTTCCGTACTTTTTCAGTCGCTTGATCAACCTCCGTGTCCTCGTCGTTGAATGTATTCCTAGAGGGTCTAGTGAGGAGCTTCTCCTCCCTCTTCAGCAGTACTCGGAGGCCTTGGCGACCTCAGCCTTCGAAGACCATGAGTCGAATGTAGCTCATCTCCCATTTTTCACGACACTCGTCTGCCCCGGTATCGCCGCAGAAGAACTCATGGGCTTTATTACCGCCAGAAAAAGAGCCGGCATCCCACTTCGACACGTATTTGTCACAAACGATACGGCATTTTCGGATAGCGACAAGGCACGGATTTCGAAGGAGGTTGAATTGTTTGGAGAGCTCTCGTCTTCGGAGGGAGGCCATGCCGATATCTCGCTGGAAGACTTGCTCGATGCGCATCGTAGAGCGGAAGGGAACGGTGGACGGTTTTGTATATCGTGCTGAGCTTGGGCTGAAGGTTATCAGACAGATTCTTTGGTGTGTCACGGTCTTCCCTCATGTCTTTTAAACCTCGTCTCATCGTTCTTTTGCAGAGAATGGCATGGAAAGTATGGACAAACAGCTCTTCAAACTTGTGTGGCAATATAGGATGGAAGATATAGATTCCCACTCGACTTCTGGTCCCATAGTGTCCAGGTTTCATTTACCTGTTTCGCCAATATATATCTTGACCTTCTTTGAATAGTCCCTTCAAGGTCACTCGTTTCTCTACCAGCAGCGTTGTCGACGGAGCGTTTTCAGTTCTTCTAGAGCCCAGTTCAGTCTTCTTCCCTCTGCCCACTCATACAAAACGCGGGGCACGCATGATGCTCACTTCTTTTCGACCGACGACCAATACGCACCTCGACTGCCTCATTTTCACTCCCGTCTCTACGAACAAGTGGTAATCTATCCAATACGCATTGCACCGCAGCCCGTTCTACCGTCTGCCCCTTTGTATGGAGTCTCTTCGTCGCGTTCGCCGGCGGAGATCGAGCGAACCCATAGTTGTAGAAGACGGTGCAGCCAGATAGGTGAACGAGCAGGGGGCGTTGAATGGAACACGACAAGACCTTTGCCATCGTCCATGGCGACGAGCTCAAGTACCGCGTCGCCAAGACGCTAGATGACCTCGTAAAGAGGGCGAGGATTCACAGTGCGTCATTGAATACCTGAGTTGTTTCGCTTTGTCCACATTATCGATCGTTGCGTACAGTGTCGTAGAATCGATGCTCCAAGCGCACACCGTGATTATGGGGACAAATATGTCATTAACGAAGGCACTGGCAGCGTATTACGCTACGATAAGTATTCGGGAGATATTCGGACGGGGATGACTTGGCAACGATTCTGTACGATACGTTCGCGCTTTCATCAGTATTGAACGGTCGCACATAAGATAGCAGAAACGAGGCCTTACCAAGACAAGGGTACGACAATGAGTCGAGCATCGTTCCTCTATGTGTCTACTGGCATTTCAAGCCGTCGGCCGCGGCCACGCAATCTGGGAACGCGAGGGAACGACCAGGATTCAGTTTGTGCATCGCGAATGAGAAGATATACAGCAGTCAAAGACTTACGGCCCGAGAAGATCGCACCATGCTGGTCACACTGGTCCAAGGTGTACTTGCACGGATGGCCAGGCGGGTAGTTGTTCTTGTCATTACACGCAGACACTATATTTGAAAACATCAGTATCTCCACGTAGGATGAAGGATTAGTTTGAAGCGTACGGGGGTCGCAGGCGATAGCGCTGACTGCAGGTGCCATGAAGAGGAGCGCGGAGGCAAGGGTGAAGAAGACAGTGGAGAACTGCATTGTGCTGACGGTAGTTGAGGTTATTGTTTGTGAAGTAGATGGAAAGAGTGTTGTATGAGGTTGATGAGTCGGTGAGGACGACCATGAAGGCTTTTTATAGGAGTCTAAGCCGCTTGCGTAACCAGTTTGATTACCGTAGAGTAAGTAGACGAGTCGCTCAGGTATCAACGAGTCGTTGTGTCACCCCGTGAAGGATGAACTTGTCTTCTGAACCTACCCTGTTCCTGGATGCTGTATGACACGCGAAACTAGTAGGGTGGACTCATTCAAAAATAAAACGTACTCATTGGATGACATATAAAAAAAAACTTGCTTCTCGAAACCTGAACAGCCCCGGAAGCGTTTCCGTCATGATGGAAGCGACCTTCGTGTTGAGCGTCGTATGAGCTGGCAGAAGCAGAGACCGAGCTTTCTGGTACCATAATAACGATGGAACAGCTTCTCATTAACGCGCCGAGCACTGTAATAGAGAAGAAATTACCGTTAAATAACGATCGTACAAGCAGTAGAAGTCGATGAACAGCCTTCAAGAACAGCCAAGACGGACAGCCTAGCCGTGACGTGCAGTCATACGTACACGAAGTGCACGGTAGTAGTTGACACAAGTCCAGCTGCCTTTGCCAGTCAAAAGGTCATTCAACGAGGAGGGCGTATCTCCAGGAAGATACAAATTCAAGTCGCGCCAGCTTGAAAGTCATCTCGGGCTCCGAATCTCTCAGAGCTGAAAGAGAGGTTTCGTCAAATTTCCACACCATCGAAGTTCTCAGTGATGCTATCATACGGGTAACATTTGACTTCTCACCTCCCGTCTGTGAAGGTTATAACCCAGTGAGGTGAATACGTAGCACGGCGCGAGGAATAAAACGGTGGGCCTGAAATCTGCGCATTCAGTAGGGGGGCTTCAGTGATCGTCGACGTAGAACTTGAAGACGGTGAGCCTCAAGGCTCTGATGGCTGTCTACGGCGCTCGTACACACACCACCAAAACGAACACGGGTTGAGAGTCTACTCAATCGCCTCGGGATCTTACTAGCTCATCCGTCCATATCCTACTCCAACAGGTCATGTTGGGTCGCAACACGGAGTGCAGCTACTGAGCCTGGTCCCCGACGTACCATGGAGCTCGCCCAAAATTGAGAAAGCCTAACATCGATTCTGTGTCTCTTACCGCGAAAGCAGAACGAACGGCCGCTAGCTCCCACTTGCCAAGATAAACGCCTGCTTGAATTACAGGCGCGACTTCAACGTTGCCCCATATCATGTCAAGATACGACACCAAAATACAGACCATAAACAACGCAAGGTATAAATAAGCCCGAGCGTCAGTCGGGAAAGCTTCGAGTCCGACGAAGCGTTACCGCCCCGTGAGACGAATCTCGAGCCACCGTAGTGGAGGATATGTGACGGCCGCGAACGCAGCAGCGAGCTATACAACGTCACAAGAAACGAGGAAGAGATCAGTTGGTGTTTACTGTGTATTCGGAGATCGCGTTGGGATGACTGACCTCGAACCCAAGGTCGGCGCCTTGAGTCTCGCTTCCTGCGAGCCATGATATCGGTCCAGTATACCAGACCTGCCGAATGCGCAATGAGCAACGAGTTCGAACGTTTGGAAGAGAAAAAGAGACAGGGCTCACCTCCGCCATCCCAACAACCGCCCCCGCAACCCCACAACACCCCGCCACAACGCCCGCCACCCCAACCGGCAACCTCGTGGGACTATCCCAATGATCCAAATCATACCCGAATCCCCACCCACTCCTCCTGAACAAGAAATGTTCCTCCGCGACGATGACGATGAAGAACGCCGTCCAATAGGATAGGATGGCCAGGAAATTGGATAGGATCTCGGAGAAGTGTTCGCGGCCTGCTACGCCGGCGACGGTGTAGCCTACGAAAATGAGGATGGTCCAGAGGAAGCGGGGGACGAGTGCGAAGGGACGGCCGAGAGATTGGATGGAGAGGGCGGCGGAATAGGTGTTTGGGATGTTGTTGGCGCTGCGTCCATGATAAAAGGGGATTAATTAGTAAAAGCGTCTGGTACCAGGTTTGGAGGGCTGGGATGAGAGGAATGGAGACGAACACAACGGAGAAGGCGAGTACGACGAGTAAGAATTTTCCTCCGCCTTTCCAGGGAGAAAGGACTTGAGCGAGGAGACCACCTGTGGCGTCGGCAGCGAAGGCATCAGTGTAAGCCGGGTCTGTAATCGTCATGAGTGCGGCGCCCAAGATCTCAGCGAAGCAGATTGCTGTTCGGATCCAGATGAGAAGGGGTCAGTGCGAAACTCATACAGGGGTGAAGGCGCGCATGACTTACGGATCCAGAGGCCAAAGAAGGTCAGGATGAAAACACGGTACGAAGAGGTCTCCACGGGAAGGCGACAATTGTAGTCCGCTGCGACGGGTGCCCACTGAATGGATTGGAGAGTGAATATAAATGAGTTGTTGGACTTCAACTATGGTAAAAGAAGAACGTACACCAGAGAATGATCCAAAGACGATACCGCCGAAGCTGATGATGCCCGCAGAAAGATCGCGGCCAGTAGGTTCATCAGCCTTCGCAGCGTTGATGTCGAATCCGGCCTTCCCTCCCAGTCCCCACAAGAAGAGCATGACGATGAAAATAACCTGCAAAACAATTAATCGAGTCAATCTAACCGGTAAACTACAAAGGACCAAATGAGAGGAACTTACCATCCAGGCATATCTTTCATAATAATGTACCATATGATATCCAATGAAACAAGGAATCAAACTGCACACCCCAACGATGATGATCCCTACCACAAGTGGCAAGGTTCCCGGATTGATGCTCGCGAGTGTTTGGCCACCGAGAATAACGGCGGTAGTGGAGAACCCGAGTTGGGTAAGGATATTGAGGATGGAGTAAATCGTGCATCCGACGTAACCGGAACTAAAACGAGTGATGATCATGGTACGCAAGCCGGTCTGGGGCCCTAAGGTGGCTATAAATGCTGTGGCGACAGCACCAAGAGCTCCGAAACACATGATAGTAGCGATTGCATGGCTGTAGGGTCAATGAAGGGTGGGTTGAGTTGATGCTTAAAAGACTGGAAAGGGGGTCTTACGGGAGAGTCAGGTCGTAGTATTCCTGGGCGAGCACACCAATTGGGATGGTGGTCAAAACCGTGTTTACGGACCTGGAGAATAATAAGGATATTGGAATCAGTAAGGATGCTCGTAACGCGAATCTGAGAAGAAATAATGGAACTAAATATCGCGTTGTCTAAGATGATCTTGGCGGTTGCAAACACTGCAGATCCCCCGCAATCAAGCCATCGCAAGTAACTCACGACTCACAAAGATACTCAAGTGCGAAGGATCGAACTCGTTCACATACTTTCTCAACTTCTAACAGAAAGGTAGGACGGCCCACTCACCACCACATCAACAGATTGTTCCACGCGTGCTTTCCTTCACGCTGGTCCTCCGGCACCCTCTCCACACCTCTCGCCTCCACACCACTAGCAAACACCTTCGACAAAACTGGTCCCAAACGACCGAATCGGTTGATCAACGCAGAATCCGGATCCTTCTCTGCCAGGTGAACGGTGTGGAGCTCTGCCGGAGATGGAGACTCGTAGCCGCCCTTCTCCTTGTCCTCGATATCGTACTGCGATGCCATGACCGAAAATTCCTAGGAAAAACCCGTCAAGAATGCTGAGCGGAGGCCTTCCAGTCGAGATGTCGTCGAGAGAGATGACGGTCAGGAGAAGATCCGGCGCGCGACTTTGAGGATTAAAAGTGAAGGGTGCATATGGCGCTGCACCGTTATCGGCTATCTTTATATTTAGCGCGTCCTTGCGGGGGTCAAAACTGCGTGTTTGGGCGGTGGCGACGCTGTGCGTCATTCGAAAAGGACATATGTCCAGAAATTACCAGAGACGAGCATTTCTATCGCGAGACCAAGGAAAGCATAAGACGCGATCTAAGGTTGGGAATAGAAGATGATGGCGTGAACCAGAGCGAACGCTTGGCGAACGCGATGCACGTTCCACAACGGATGATTTCCTAATTAGTCGAGTGTTTTTGCCATGCCACACGGACGCCACACGAGGTTGTAAAAATTGGGTTGGTTTCTTCCCCTGGCACATGTTCTGCATTCATATAGATAGCACTCTTTTATGAATTACGTAGTAAGTGGGACACAAAAACAGAGCGAGAATCGTCGTTTAGTATGTACATGAGCATCGCGAAAGATAGAAACACTCATAACGGTGACGGCAAAAAAGGAAGAGCAGCGCTGCTCAGTATCCTGGATCCAGTCTTTATATCTGTGTATTTCTGTTAGATCTCGAAGGCTGACAGGCACGAAGAAATAAATGTAACTCACCTTCCCTTTCACGAGCATGAGTCCTCGGAGCTCGAGCTCGTCATAGCAAACCGAAAGGATCGCCGCTATTCCTCCACTCTAAGATACGCCTCCAGCAAGTCACCTAGCGAAGCATCGATTTGGCCTTCCTCCGACGACGGGAGCTCCTCCAAGACCTCCACGGTCCTTGAAGTTGAACCAACAACGCTGCTCGAAAACCTCGTATCCTTCGTGACGAATACGCGTTGGATGGGGACTCTAGACGCCGTTCTCTCTACGACGAGGTAATTTAGCTGTCTGTAGGAAATTCCGGGACATACGAGCGTCGTGAGAAGAGGAAGGTGCGGTGTGGTCTGCACATGGACCAAAAACTCTTCCCATCCATCACTAGAGAAATCGACAACGAGGACTCGAAGGTTGGACAAGCGGTGGAAAAAGGACGGGAGAAGTGAAGAGTCGCAGAGCAAATGACCTATTCGGAGCACCTGAACTGAGTCAAGTGCCGATGTCGATGAATCGGGATAGGAAGCGGAGAGTAGGGAGACGGCTGTATCCCACGGACCATCATGTCGTTCCTCGCAGTCGAGATCCATGACTTTGACGTTCGGAATGCGTAGCTGAGTAAACAATACTTCGCCATGTTGTGGGCGGAGACCGCTGATACAAAAGTAGCACAACAGAGGCAACTCGACGAGAGGGGCGCTCTCAGTACCTCCACGCACGGTGTTAAATCGACAGGTCCGTAGGGCGAGGGCTTCGAGGAGGGGGAAGGCGGCCAGAAAACGCATGAATTCAGAGATGGGCATGGCGACATAGTCAAGCGTGAGTGATTGGAGATTCGTATAGTAAGGCGTACGGTCGGTGCAATAAGGTGTATGGTCGATCCAATTCGGCGACGTCAGGGAGAGATACAAGCTCCGCAGGTCGCATGCAAGAAAGGGAGGACATCCTGCCCATTGCTTACTATTGGCTATTTTGGCCTTCCAAACGGACTGGACGTCCGAGCCTTGGTAGAATGTTGTGCAGAGAGTTACATCTCTCAATAGGGGAGCATGGACTGTAGAAAGTCTCCTTTGAATGCGGGACATCAACTGTGCAGTTTCGATGCTGAGATGGAATGACGTCCATCGATGGCTAGAGTGAATGATTTGTTCTAAAGTCGTGGCCACAAAAACATCGCTCATCTGGGAGAAATGCTTCCAGTCGATGGCGTCACGATCTGGTCGATCATCCTCCGTGGGAGACCACGAGATGAAAATGTGTAGTGGTGACTCCTTCGAGCGCTTTACAAACGCGTCGAAACACTCCAGATCATGCTCGTGTCTGTCTGAGACGAATATGCACGTCCAAAGAGGGGCACAGGCGAGTGCGACATCGCGCCAATGACGGCAGACGTGGGATAAGTCAATCGGTCGGCTGTATAGAGGGAGGGCCTCTTGGAAAGATCTCGGCCGTTCAGAAAGAGTGTGTGTGTCGCAGACGAGTAGGAATATCTTTGAGAGGATTTCCACAGGAATAAGACCGATAAGACAATGCGTCGGTGCGAGGGCGGACATGAAGAGGAAGCAGTTGCCGTTGGACTATCGCACGAGATACTTGGAATGTTGAGGGTCGAGGTATCACTGAGAGGGTGTTCGTCCTCCAAGAGGTGGAAGCTACACGATAACGTGAAGTAAGTGACTTGTCAGTCAACATTCCAACTTGAGCACTGCGAAATGAATGAGATTTTCATACATAGCACAGGCTTATACCCTGGGGTTTAAATGGCTCCCTTCAGAGTCTAAGATATTGGTATATATCACACGTAGAGGAGATCGGTACAACGCGGATGGAAGGCGGTGGAAGGCGGGAGAGGGACCTAAAACGGCGTGGGCAGTGATTGGGTGGTGGTGAAGTTGTTTGTCCTTGTTAGGATCCCAAGCCGACAGCCTCGTGCGTTCTTTCCGAATTCTCGCCGACTGCCTTTCTTGCAACGCCCATGACCACGTCGTGACAAGCTCGACTATGGTCCAGACATGTCAGCTCTTCTCTCACTCTGTATCTCTTGGGAGTTTATTTAACCGTCTGCTCCTAATGATCTCCAAGTCCTTCGGTGTCGAAGAATCGGTGCCTGCATGTATGCTGGCGAAATCATCTCAACCGCACTCCTCCGCTCGAACGGTCTTCATTGGAGTTCATGTCTCGTATGGCAACTGCTCTGTATTTGCTCCGGAAATGCTGTCTTTGAAGCCTAGTATCCCGATATCGACATTCACGGCCTCTGCTAACGTTCTCGTCATGACCGAGTGCTCTGCGATGTTTTTCCCGTCTTCGAACCAGGTTGTTACAGGTGCATGCTCATCTTTCCTATCCAAAGTGATTTCGGATTTTTTTCGGCAATTAATATATCACGGCTCGTCTTGTTCTAGCCGGCGCGACTGACGACTTGAAGTCTGTCCTCAACGTCTGACTAGTTTGTGAGAGGATAAAGCTCGGCAGCCGCTCCCATCCACTTCAAAGTGCCATGCTTGCTCTTTGCTTGGAGCATGCTGTACCATCTCTCGCGATGTATCCGAGCCTAGACTTGAGATATAATTGGGACGAAAGTCATTGGGACATACCGACTTCTTCTGCTCAAAAGCTTCGTCGCGCAGCCATCGTTTACCCCAGCCCTCTCAGCCCTTGTTACTATCGGCCATGTTCTTCGGAGCGCTTGCTCTACTCTTTGTCGGCGCCTTTGTCGCTGCCGATGATACTGTTTACGCGCCTGGAACTGGTAATCTTGCGTCTGGATGGGAAAATTGGTCTTGGTCGTCCACACTCGACTTCGCCTCCACCGCTGGACCCGGAGCCGTAGAATCTATCTCGGTTAACACGACAGCTTGGGGTGCGCTCTCTACGTATGCCGAAACCGCATTCGACAACAACTATGCTGGTCTCCGATTTGATATCTCTGGAGCGCAGCCTGATGTCTCCATTTATTTCTCTACTTCCTCCAACTCCGATGTCTCTCCTTCTCTTCCGTTGGCATCTATGAGCAACTTTGTCAACGAGAGCGCCTGGACAACGATCACTCTGGACTTTAACAACCTTCCTGGAAACGAAGGCGTTCTTGCCACCGACTCTTGTGAGTGGCTATCTCTTTTTTGACCATGAAAAACAATCTTAGACTGTTGTCACGACAGGGAACCTCATCAATTTCCAATGAGGTGCGAACGGTGCATCATACTTTATCACGAACATTGTTCTTCTCGATGGTAAGTCACCACTTTACCAGCGAATACCCACACTTACACTCATGAATCAATACAGAGATCATCGTGACGCCGATATTTCTGTCTGCTGAGCCCCTGGCGGGGGACGTTCTCGCTGTCACCTCACAGGGAGACGTCGACTTCTCTCAGATCTCGGCCACGCTCAATGGCAAAGACCTAACGTTGAACAAAACTGCCACATTCTCCCCTTCGGACACCCCGTCGCAGACCATATCATACTTCACTCTATCCAGTCCACTCTCCTCTGGTTCCCTTCTCATCATAGCCGGCACCAACACCACCTTCAACTACACCATCCCAGCGCCCTCCTACGGTACCATCAACATCGGAAACACAAAGGACATATCCCCTTCGATCTATGGCGTCAACTTCCCTACGGATGCAGACTACATCAAACTCTTGGGCGTCACCGTGAGCCGCTGGGGCGGCAACGCCGTCACGGCATACAACACGAACGGTACATTCACAAACGCTGGCAACGACTGGTACTTCGAGAACCGTATCGCCGACCCGATCGCCGACCCATTCCTGCAGTTCGTCTCGGAGGCTGGAAGCAAGAGTCTTTTCACAATTCCAGCGTACGTCTTGAGAAATTGTTGTTCGTCACGAAGACGATTGACTCTCGGTTAGGCTTGACTGGGTTGCGAAGGACAACGTCTCATACTCGTACTCTCGTACTGTTTATCCTGGTACGTTCTTGGGCATGTATTACTTTCAATATCTGACGTATTGCGTAGACCAAGAAGCCTACGATCCTTACAATAGCGATGCCGGAGATGGTCTTCTCCCGAACGGATCCTGGGTGACGCCACCGCCACAAAGCAACGCATACACCCCTTGGAACACGTCCATGGCAGCGGCGATGTTGACAGCGATGCCAATCAAGCCCGATATCATCACTGGTGAGCCATGTGTCTATATCTTGCTCTGTATTCTAGAATTGTGGTGCTAATCAGGTCACAACATTGCTTGTAGTCGACAACGAAATAGAAATCGCGTCGAACACACACCAAGACATGCACCCCGACCCAATGGGATATGACGAGGAGCTCGCCCGCGTCATCGCTACCGCCATCATGGCAAAAAACACTCTTCCAAGCGTCGAAGTCGCTGCACCTTCCACCTGCGCCTGGTGGTACTGTCAGTCATTTTCCTTGTTTTATATTCAGGGTATCATTTCATTAATGGGCACGGAAACTTCAGACTGGACGAGCAGCATTGGCTACACCGACAACGCTGCCCACAATAACGAAGACTTCCTCCCTTGGTTCCTTGCCCAGATGAACAACGCATCGACACAGGCCGGTACACGCCTCCTCGACTACCTCGATATTCACTACTACTTTGCGGCGGATACGAGTGCCAATGACGCTGACGCGAAGGCCCTCAGGCTCAGAATGACCCGTTCATGGTGGGGTACGAATATTCTTCTGCTAACTGCTCGGTTTTGGAGTATTCGACTGATGGAATGGCCATGCTCACAGACCCAGAGTACATCGATGAATCATACATCGGGACGTCCGTTCCCGCTCAATGGAGCGAACCAAACCCAAACGCCGTCGTTCTCATCCCACGTATGCAACAGCTCATCGAGCAATACTATCCTGGAACCAAGCTTTCGGTATCCGAATGGTCTTCGACAGACGATACAGACATCACTGGAGGTCTCGTCACTGTCGACTCCCTCGGTATCTTCGGTGTCAATGGCCTCGATCAGGCGACTTACTGGTCTCAGCCCGACCAGATGGGACCCATAGGATTGGCGTATTGGCTTTACCGAGGGTATTTGCGCTCTGTTTGATTCATGGATCTAGTAGAGCTCAATGACATGAACTGAATAGGAACGGTACATACTTCGGCGACAAGAGCGTGCAGGTTAACATGGCTGACAGGAACGAAGATGTCCTCGGCGTCTACGCCAGCACGTCCGATGGAGAGAAGGTAACGATGGTCATCGTCAACAAGGACGTCGTCCCGGTCAACCTCGCTATCTCCAACATACCAGCTGGGTCTTACTTCCTTCGTCACTTTGGTGGTGATGCCGGTGTGGCGAAGTGGCAGGTGAGACTCAGATCTGAGCCTTCTGCTTAACTGTACCCTTCAGCTGACCCATTGCGTTCGTAGACGACGATAGATATCGATGCGAACAGCAACTTTGTCGTGCCGTCGTACACAGCTGTGTTCTTCCAGCAACAGTGAGGCACAATGTGAAGAGGCTGCTTTTCCTGTGGGCTTTGTGGCGCACCGTGTATCCTTCCGGGTTTGATAATTTTAATGAATCATGACTTGGCGTCGATGCGGGTAACCGTATGATAGAGGAATTCCGAAAGCATTGACCAGGATTCCTGCTCCTTATCGGTCTCATCGTAAATGATTCCAAAATCGCACAACTGACCACCGTCAAAACAGCATGATCTATCAAACCAAGCAACAATCCGGGCATTCTTTCCATCATCTTCCGACTTCTCAGTATTGGTGTTGTTGACATGAGGAAAACGGAACTTTGCCAACCTTCGACAGGCGCTGCGGCCGCTTTGTGTCCCGACATCCTGTGGGGCATGTCGCTGTAGCTCACCATGTCAGAATATGACAAGGATGAAGATTCTCATAGTATGTATCTACACAGATCTGTGCCCGTGCTAGCCTTCGAAACCCGAAATGCCGAACAAGATATAATATAATAGATATCGGTACACAGAGCAAAAGCGTCTGTTAGTTTCCCCGAAAAGGGTACTAGTCTCCTGGGCCACGGAGAGGCCGACGCCGGGAGCAAGTTCGTACTGAACTATGCTCCCTATACCAGGAGAAAAAAAAAGAAAAGGGGAGGGAGGGGTAAAAGGGTGAGTCGGGAGTGGATGGATGCGAGGCTGATCACCGGCACCCACGCCCGACCCGAAACGAACAACGCTGTACGGCGTGTCCGTGGCCCGAACCAAACTGTTTATTCGGTGCGATCATGCCTAGGGCAAATTACTCACCCGTCCACAGCTTGGAACGAACCAAGAAGGAAAGGTTGAAACTGCTTATTCGGTGCGATCATGCCTGAGGCAGATTACCCACCCGTCCACAGCTCAAGAACTAAGCGAACGAACCAAACTGCTTATTCGGTGCGATCATGCCTAAAGCAGATTACCCACCCTTCCGCGATTTGGAACGAGCGAGGAGAAGGAAAGCATGGTGTTATTGCTGCCTCGAGGAGGCAGAATATCCGCCCGCTGCCTGGTTCGAACGAGCGGATCGAGCCGTGAACAGTAGAATCATGCCTCGGGCAGATTACCGACCAATTCACGACCCGAAACCGAACGAACGAAGGTGAAAAGGGTATAGTAAAAAGTAGAGCCGGCAGTTACGGTGCGATCATGCCTAGGGCAGATTACCCACCCACGTCCCGGCTCAAAAAAGGGAGAGGAGAAGGTGTATGTAGAAAAGGATGGGGCTTTTTGGTGGACGAACCTCACTGGCCTTTATACCCTTCGGTGTCTGTGAACGCGGCCCACGATGCGACCGCCAGTCTGAGATATGTCTTAGAATGACTGGAGGCAGCGTGAGCTGAGTGGCTCCGGTGAGACATTGGGTGGCACAATGAATTAAATGTGAGACATTTCGAGGACTAGCGGGCTCGATCATTCCAACTCGAGAACACAATTCTGTTCTACTCGGGCGACGAGAGACTTCATCTGGGAGTGTCTAAGATGCAACTAAAACAGTGACCCTATGAGCTGAGGGCGCGCCCTGGTGCGCCGAAAAGGCAGTCGGGAAGTTTCCGCAGCGAGCGTTGTAAGATTGAAGGCAGTCGGCGACTCGGCGAGAACTCGGAGAAACAGGACGCGCGAGGCTGTCGGCTTGGGATCCTAACAAGGACAAACAACTTCGCCACCCGATCACTGCCATGCCGTTTTCCACATCTCTCCCACCTTCCACCGCCTCCCATCCCGATTGTATCGATCTCTTCTACGCGTGGTATCAATCAACATCTTAGATTCTGAAAGAGCCATTTCAAGCTCCGGTGATCAACTCTCAGGTATGAAGTCTATGCTAAAAAATCTTCACTTGTTTGGCATTGCTCAAGTAGGAACGCTGCTTGACGAGTTATTTCACCTTATTGTGTAGCTTCCCCCTCTTGAACGGCGGACATCCTTTCAGTTACATTTGGATCCTCAAAGTTTCAAGCATCTCGTGCGATAACTCGACCGCGGCTCCCTCCTCAGCATGTCTGCTCTCGCGCAGACGCGGTGTCATATCGATACTATCCCTGTGGAAATTCTCACCGAGATATTTATACACGTCTGTGAGGCGCATACTCCTTCTCAGCAGCCAAAATCTTTGCAACAAGCCATCTCTTTATACACTCGACCTATCGACGTGTCTCACGTCTGCCGTCATTGGCGCGAAGTCGCACTCGCTTGTGCCCGTCTTTGGACATTTATACTCGTCTCAGAAAGACATGAACATGGTCTGGAGCGCTTCGACGCGTTTGTAAAGCGCTCCAAGAAGTCACCACTACGCATATTCATTTCGTGGTCTCCCACAGAGGATGATCGATCAGGTCGTGACCCTATCGACTGGGAGCATTTCTCCCAGATGAGCGATGTTTTCGTTGATACGACTTTGGAACAAATCCTCCGCTCTAGCCATCGATGGACGTCATTCCATCTCAGCATCGAAACTGCACGGTTGATGTCCCGTATCGAAAGGAGACTTTCTACAGTCGATGCTCCGCTGTTGAGAGATGTAGCTCTCGGCACAACATTTCCCCAAGACTCGGACGTCCCGTCCGTTTGGAATGCCAGTAAGCGATGGTCAGGACGTCCTCCCTTTCTTGCATGCGACCTGCGGAGCTTGTACCTCTCCCAGACGCCGCCGAATTGGATCGATCATACACCTTATTGCATGGACCGTACGCCTTACTACACGAATCTACAATCGCTTACGCTTGACCGTGTCACCGTGCCCTTCATCTCTGCATTCATGCGTTTTCTGGCCGGCTTCCCCCTCCTTGAAGCCCTTGCCCTACGGACCTTTCGATTTAACACCATGCGTGGCGGTACTCAGAATGACCCTCTCGTTGAGTTGCCTCTGTTGCGCTGCTTTTCTATCACAGGTCTCGGCCCACAAGACGGCGAGGTGTTGTTCACTCAGCTACGCATGCCGAACATCAAAGTCATGACTCTTGACTGCGAGGAACAACATCATGATAATCTCCGGTGGGATACTGCCGTCTCCCTACTCTCCGCCGCCTATCCCGGTTCTTCGACATCGGCACTTGATTCAGTCCAAGTACTCCGAATAGGTCAATTGGAGTGCGACTCTTCACTTCTCCCGTCATTTTTCCAGCGCTTGTCCGACCTCCGAGTTCTCGTTGTCGATTGCTCGAGCACAGGATGGGACAAGTTTTTGGTCCATGTACAGACCACACCGCACCTTCCTCTTCTCACGATCCTCGTATGTCCTGGGATTTCCTACGAGCAGCTACATCACCTCGTCGTCGAGAGTACGATGTCTGAAGTCCCCATCCAACGCGTATTTGTCACGAAGGATACGAGATTTTCGAGCAGCGCTGTTGTTTCAAATATAAGGACCGTGGAGGTTTTGGAGGAGCTCCCGTCTTCAGAGGAAGGCCAAATCGATGCTTCTTTAGGTGACTTACTGGCGGCGTATTTTGATGCGGAGGAATAACTGTAGTCCCTTCGGTTTGCTATGGCGAGCTCGAGCTCCAAGGACTCAAGCTCGTGGACCAGAAGGCGAGACATATTTATTTCTTCGTGCGTTTCAGCCTTCGAGATCTAACAGACACATATAAAGACTGTTTCCAGATACGGAGCAGCACTGCTCGTCCTGTTTTCTATCTTTCGCCCTGCTCGTGTACATACTAAATATAAAATTCTCGCTCTGTGTTTGTGTCCCATCTACTGCATGACATATAAAGATCTATGTATATGAATACAAAGAACATGTGCGCGGGAAAGAAACCAACCAAATCTTCACAACCTCGTGTGGCGTACGCGGCGCGGCTGAATCTTCGATACATCGAAGGGCTTGGAGATTGTCAGGAGCAGACAGTGAGATAAAATCCCAATAGATACAGAGTGAAAGAAGAGTTTACATGGTTGGACCATAGTCGAGCTTGTCCCAATGCGGTCATGAGCGTTGCAGAAAGGCACTCAGCGGGAACTCGGCGAGAACAGGAGAGGCTTCGGATCCTAACAATGACAAACAACTTCGCCACCCGATCACTGCCAAGTCGTTTGTCTCTCTCCCGCCTTCCACCGCCTTCCATCCTCGTTGTACCGGTCTGCCCTACATGTGATATATACCGATATCTTAGACTCTGAAGGGAACCATTTCAAGCTTCGTTCCGAGGTATAAAGTCTGTACCAGTGAGGAAGCCTCATTCATTTCGCAGTGTTCAGGTTGGAACGTTGACTGACAAGTCACTCCACGTCATCGTGTAGCTTCCACCTCTTCAAGGACGAACATCCTCTCACTTATACGTGAACTCTGAAAGCTCCACGTATCTCGCGCGACCGTCCAACCGCGACTGTTTTCTTCATGTCCACCCTCGAACCGACGCAGTGTCATATCGATCTTATTCCTGTGGAAATTCTCACAGAGATATTCCTACACGTCTGCGACGCGCATACTCCTTCTCACCAGCCAAAGTCTTTGCAAGAGCCCATCCCTCTATACATCAGACCGATCGACTTGTCCCATGTCAGCCGTTGTTGGCGCGATGTCGCACTCGCCTGTGCCCGTCTTTGGACGTGCATCGTCATCGCAGACAGGCACGAACATGATTTAGAGCGTTTTGATGTTTTTGTAGAGCGCTCAAAGCAGTCGCCACTGCACATGTTCATTTCTTGGACTCCCACAGAAGATGATCGACTAGATCTTGACGCCGTCGACTGGATGCGTTTCTCCCAGATCCGCGATGTTTTTGTGCATGAGACTCTGGAGAAACTCATCTCGTCTAGCCATCGATGGGCGTCATTCTTCCTCTATGTTGAAACTGCAGGGGTGATGTCCTGCGTTCTGAAGAGACTTTCTATAGTCGAGGCTCCTCTGCTGAGAGATGTAACTGTCTGCCAAACGTTCTACAGAGGTGTAGATGCCTGGTCGAATGAAGAGGCCATGTTAGCCAACGATGAGAGATGGGTGGAATGTTTTCCCTTTCCTGCATGCGACCTGCGGACCTCGTATCTCGACCAGACGGTGCCGAATTCCCTCGATCGTACACCTTACTACCCGAATCTCCAGTCCTTGACGCTTGACCATGTCATCGGGCCGTCCATCCCTAACTTCATGCGTTTTCTGGCCACCTTCCCCCTTCTCGAAGCCCTCACCCTACAGAGCTTTCAATCTGAGACCATATATGGCGGTTTCACCCCCCCTCCTAATGGCCCTCTCGTCGAGTTGCCTCTGTTGCGCTACTTTTGCATCAGCGCCCTCCACCCACAAGATGGTGAAGCCTTGTTTTCCCACCTACGCATTCCGAACGTCAAAATCATGGATCTTGACTGCGCAAAAAGAGATAATCTCCAATGGGATACCGCCATCTCCCTGCTTTCCGCTGTCTATCCCGATTCGTCGACGTCGGCACTTGATTCAGTCCAAGTACTCCGAATAGGTCAATTGGAGTGCGACTCTTCACTTCTCCCGTCCTTCTTCCAACGCTTGGCCAACCTTCGAGTTCTTGTTATCGATTGCTCCAGCACAGGATGGGACAAGTTTCTGGTCCATGTGCAGACTACGCCACACCTTCCTCTTCTCACGACGCTCGTATGTCCTGGGATTTCCTATGAACAGCTATATTACCTCGTCGTTGAGAGAACGATGTCTTCCTTCCCCATTCAACACGTGTTCGTCACGATGGATACAAGGATTTCGAGACACGCCGTTGTTTCAAACCTAAGGACTGTGGAGGTTTTGGAGGAGCTCCCGTCTTCAGAGGATGGCCAAATCGATGCTTCGCTAGGCGACTTGGTGACGGCGTATCTTAGAGTCGGGGAATAACGCGGTCCTCTTGCTTTGCTATGACGAGCTGGAGCTCCAAGGACTCAAGCTCGTGGACAGGAAGGTGAGACACACTGCGCGACGCTGCTTTTCCTGTTTTCTCCCCTTCACCGTTGTGGTTGTCTCTATTTTTCGTGATGCTCATGTACACACAACGATTCTTGCTCTGTGTTCATGCCCCACTTACTACACAATATATACGAGAGTGCTGAGACCATGTGCGAAGGGAAGAAACTACCGAAGTCTTTACAACCTCGTGTGGCGTCCGTGTGGCATGCGTATTTCGCTTCACATTTAGGAAAACTACAATTCGACACGTTCAAGCGACCTCATCTGATTTAATAGTACTACAGTGACAGATCGTTTGCTATTCTAACGAACGACGGCGACGCGAAACTAGATATATGCTATGCACAAGAAACAACAACGGCGACTGAAATGAACCCTACCGAGAAACGGAGAAAAAAAAAGAACGCCATCAAAGCGATGCCTCGCAAGCAAACCAGCAATAGATAAAAGAAGCAGTACAAACCTTGACTATACTTCATCCTTCGCTCCAACTTCGCCTACAACCCTGCATCGACACCCAAACGTATACATCATACACCAGCAGCCTTTCCCCTCCATCTCAAATCCTCAACTTCTGATCCACCTCCTCAAAGAAACCCAACAACCCATGCTCCTCATACGTAAACTCCCCATTCACACTCCCCCCCTCCCCATTCACGCTCTCGTCCCCTCTACTCATCGCCCCACCCCTCTCCTTCGCCACCCCCAGCCCCGCCGCATCCGCCTCCCACCCCCTCAATCGAATCTTCATCAGCTCATCCCACACCACCGTCGCGCTCCCCTCACTCTTCTTCAAGAACAGCCTAATATGATGCAACCAGCTCTTCACAAGCGTAAACTGGCTGATCGAGCTCAGGGCCTGTGGGCCCTGTGGCGTCGGAGCGAGGTGTGGCGCCCTGTAATACATCGGGGAGACGAATTCGGGGGAGGCGTGCGGACGCGGGTCAGGTGGGGACGACGAGTTGTGCGAGGGCGGATCGTGGTGCAGGAGAGGCTCGGGTTCGGACACACCGACGCAGAAGGACGTGATTTTGAGGGGGTTGTGCGGTGGAGGGCCTTCTTTCTTCTTTGGCGCGAAGGGAGGGAGTTGCTCTTGGAACGCAAGGAGCAGTAACTGTGCGAGCCAATAGAAAGGCAAGGGGTCGCCAAAGAAGGGCGCGTCGCCCGATTTCTTGCCTTGCGATGCCGAACCAGCAAGACCCGAGGTCGTCGTCGCCGTGCTCGAAGACGATTGGGGGATATTGGGCGTGCGTGTGGCTTCCGGGTTTTGGAGCCAAATACGGAGCCAACGATGTAAAGCGAGCTGAACGACGAACACGTTCTCGTTCACTTCTTCTCCTGCCGGTACGGCCACGGGTGGCATCCCGTCCCTGTTCGCTCCGCCTCCGACCTGGCCCCTGGACGCACCCATAGGAGAGCTCTTGCAGAGTTGGCAGAGCATCGCCAAGATCGCCTGGATCAGGATGAAGTGTCCGAAAGGACTGATGATGCCTAAATCCTTCGGAGGCGCGTCCAGACCGACTGTAGCATTGCTGAGTTTGTCGTTCTCGATGCCGATGGCGGATAGTGCTTTTTGCATGGACACCCCGCGGAGGCGCTCTTCGCCGGTACCATAGGGAGAGGGTGACATGACGAGGCGTTGCCAGGCTTCGGGAGAGGGTGCGGTCCAGAGGGCTTCGTCGGAGGGGAGGCAACCTACGAATTCGGATGAGCGGAACGAGGCAGGGAGGGAGAAGTAGATGGGGTGGGCTTGATCATGGTTGTACGACAGTAGCATCACGCTGTGGTTTTGAGAAACCAGAAAAGATGAGGATCAGGATATAAGAGACAAGTGCAACGAATCAAAAGTAAGAACGTACCGCTTGATACTCTCGTATGCTGCCCAATCGATCCAAGCGGCGCGAAGTTCTTCAGGGTCCGTGACCCGCCAGTCTTTCTGAGTCCAATTTGCGTTTCTTTCGACGATACCAGTTTGGCGAATCATCTACCACAATATCATCTCGGTCAATAGTCAAGAATAATAACACGGGCAAGAGGGCTCACCAGAACGACCATACCATGATACAAACTCGACGAAGCTCGTTGCTCAGGATTCTGATGGAACAAGCCAATCGTCTGAAGGAAGACAATCGTCATGATGATGTGTAATCGATGCTTAGGATCCGGCGACGCCTTCGACTATCATATCGTACACACGGAGTAAAAAGCGCAGCGTATAGGTAAACAAGAGTGTAAGCAAAACGCTTCGAAGTTCTCACAGACTCGTAGCAAGGGAGAGCTTACAAATTCGCCAACCAACGTGTCTCTAGAGTTCGCGAGAACCTTCGTCACAAACGCCTCCGCCGTCTTCGTCTTGACGAACAACGCGCCACACGCTTGCATAGCGCGAAGCAGAATCGGAGGCTTGAGCTCCACACGGAGCGAAGGAGTATGCACGATAGGAAGTTGTGGCAAGAACTGCGTCAAGAAGATATACACTTCGACGCACAAATGTCAGTTCAAGCATATCAAGGAAAATCGACAGGAGAGCGAAACACACAGTATTGCTGTAACTCTTCCGTCGTAGGCTCCGGAACCTCCTCCGGAATGCTCGAGGGTGGCGTCGGTAATGAATTCTCCGGCGTGGGGTACGCCGTAGACGGTTCCGGCTGAGCTTGCTGAGCGGGAGCTTCTCTCTGCGGCGGCGGTGGCTGCTGTGACACAGGCGGTGGTGGAGCTGGTTGTTGAGGCTCCTGGGACGTAGAAGCACCTGCCGTAAACGACGACATACTATCGAGCCCCTCCGCCTCCGGAGGGGTAGGATACGTGTTGACCATCATGTCGTGCATAAGCTGATCATCGAGTGGCTGCGAGTTTGCGTCACCAGAGAAGATGAAACTATCGACAACAGGGTGCAACTGAGGATCTCGGCTGAGGATCTGATCCATGCTCAAGTCGTCGCCATTAGCGCCGAGACCCTCCTGAGCGTTCTCTTGGATGCTCGACAGGCCAAAGACGTCTCGGAAGAAGGGTTCGAACATGTCGTTCGAGAAAGAGCCGAGATTGGCGAGCCCGGTGGGGCCGCCGAAGCTGGTGAAGGCGTGTTGAGAAGGCGCGAAGGAGGAGAGCGTCTCTGAGGAGGCGAGGTCCCAGTTTTCGAAGTTATAGTTGGGAAGTGAGCGCGCGTGCGACATAGGGCTATTTGCCCGAGGAACGGGAGGCGGCAACATCGATCCGAATTGAGCAAGATTCTCTGCGTTCAGTGGCTGGGAAGATGGATGGTCGTTCGACATGCCCGTATCCATGAGACCTAGCTCGGGGAACGCAGAAGAGGAAAAGTCATCCGGGAAGGACGACAAGGACCATGTCGCAGTGCCGTCGAGATTCGGAGTTGGTTGCTGAGACTGAGTGGGCTGCGAACCTGAAGCAGTTGGCGCTGGTGGCGTTCCCTGTGCGTGTTGCTCGGACGAGCTGCCCCGTCTTCGAGTGGGTGAAGCAGACCTTCTCAATGGCATGGTCGTCTCACCCTCAGCACCGTACACGCACTCTCTTCCTCGCTGGATGCATTTTGAACACGGGCTCCTGAGATCGCACTTGACTTTGAGGCCGGCGCACGCTTGACATGAGCGACGGCGGGTACGACTGATTGGGTGCCTTCAGGCAAGTGAGTGCCATGAACGAAAGAGAAAGGGAAGAAGAGCACGCACGCATCACCGCAGCTCCTTTTATGTCTCGCGAGAAGATCACTCCTAGTGAACTGAGCAGTACAAGTCTGCACAACGCACCTAGATGTTCAGCACTGGGCTCACTTGTCAGACAGGGGCGAGTGGCTCGCTCACCTCGCAGCGATACATTCGTTCATTCGTATCTGCCTTCTAGTCAGAATCGTAGTCGATCAAGCAATTAAAAGTCTTAAGAACCACGTACGATTTCTGAGATGCCGGTTCAGATGCGTCGTGCGGGTAAATTTGGCTGGACAGAACGGGCACAACTTCGTCTGCGGCAGCTGAGGGACATTTCCCTTGTGCGAACGCATGCGCGAGACGCTGCCGTCCTTCTTGTACTCGACCACGTCGGCCGCTGGGGACGACGACGAACCCGCCTTTGGCTCTGAGGGAGAATCCATGTAGACTGAGATGATAGAACGAAGACAAAAGCACTGACGAACGCAGAGGCCGTCTCGGCTTCAGCGCCGGGCGGCTGCCATATTCGTCGCTGACCCACGCGCGTTCCGTCCTGTGGCTGAAGTTGCGGTGGCACGGCGTAGATGTGGGTGTGGCGCTCTCGCTACCGCTCACTGACTCGAACGTCTTCGAAGCCCAGGGTCTCAGAGGCCTCGCGGCCAACAACCAGACAGTGGAGAAGACTTACATACTCAGGAGCTCCTTATCGGACGTGATGGGGGCACAAAGGCGCTCGGAACAAGGACAAGGACGCGTAGACACGGCATTAGGAGGGGTATAAAGAGCACATCGAACTTTCGCCCGTCAGCAAGCAGTCCGAGGGAATCGACACGACGGTAGATCAAAGAGTAGGGTCTTATATATTCTCAGGCTCATGTAGAGCTCGTGTTGAGAGTGGATCAGGCAGGGGTGTGCATGGTCTTGAAGTGAGTGGGCGTTGAAGAACAGTAATCGTGTCACAGTGGATGGGGATGTGGATCTCCCGGGACCGATCAAGCTCAAGCGTCGGCGACACTACGGCATTGGAGAACTTCATCCACTTTTGCCCTTTCATTCGTATAAACAAAAGCCTTATTTCTAGGTTCAGGGATTCTTAAGCCATGCCGGAGTTTAAGAGGCCGATGGGTATAGATATTCGAAAAGAGATGCGAAGAAGGGTATCTCTGGGCTGCATGTAAAACAAACATTATAAAGACACACAATATCAACAAATGCAGAGAAATTCCATGTCAAAATATTACCCATCATCGTCCTTTAATCTTACCACCAACCTTCGGAAACATCTCCGCACTTGTCTTCCTGACCCTTTCCTCAACATCAAACCAGCTCCCCATCCCAAACGCCTCCGGTATCCTCCTCCACACATTCCCTTGCGCCTTCCTCATACTCTTCCACATCGCCTCCCTACAACTCACACACACCACCCCTCCCTGCTCCATCATTGCTCTCAACTCCGCATCCAGGACCTTAAGCGCAGGCAATCCGTCCTTCCTCCCAAGCGTAGGATCTCGGTCTGTGAGGGTTTGCCATAAAGTGGTGAGGAAGTTGTAACATCGGTTATCGTACCACGCGTCGCGGCCTGGATGTTCGTCTGAGGTGCAGCCGGGAGAAGGTTTTCCGGGGAAACCGTCTGGCGTAGGATGTTGCAGGAAACCTAGGATATCGTCACGTCTGCAGTTGGAGAGGAATTCTCTCCCTTTCATGATTCGGATGATCTCGCCGGGTTCGAGTCGATGTAGCTTGTCGCCTACGTCGCAGTTCGGCTCGTCGACGACATCGCAGTCGAAATTTCCACGTGTGGAGATACCGTGGAAGATAACGCGTAGAGGTAACTGTGCGCACATGTAGTACGCCACGGGACGAAGTTGGTCGATCTCGTATTCGATGCAGAGGCGGAGGGTGAGGATACGCTTCGCTTGGTCGGATGGAGTTAGAGTGTGTTGAAGGTGGAGGTAGCTCTCGAGTTTGGAGGGGCAGTAGCGGGATAGAGAGCAGATGGCGAAGTCGCGAAGGAGAGGACAGCTGAAGTATTTGCTGAGCCAGAGATATTCCGCGATATCTTTGATATCTACGTCATCGGGACTCGCTTCAGCTCTGAAAAGCAACGATTCGGTAAGTGACCACGGATTCATAGGCGACTCAGTCATGCATGACAAGGACACTCACGGGTTGTAGATGAAATCGAGCACGAGCTCCCATTGTCTTCCGCTCACCTTTTTATGAGACCAAATCGGATCTCCATTATACCAGTCTAATTTAGAGGGTTTCCCATCGACGAGATGAAGAAAAGTTTGGATAGGCTGGAAAAGTAATTCCCTCCCGATCACAGAGCGATGGACATGAACGAACACATCTCCAGCGTCGATATACATGTCCGGATCGCCACTGATGTGTTCGAAGGTAAGTTCCTTGGTGGGCGGTTCGGAGTAGTATGAGCACGAGGTTATGTTGGCTTCGCGACGGTGTATTGCATGCTTGATATCGCGATAGAACGTGGTAGATTTCGCGTCTGAGGTGAGATGGACGCCGGCTAGTAAGAGCTGAGTATGGATCGAAGAGCATTACATAAACGTACCTGCACTTTTACTTGTTATGAACTTTCCATCTGGTAGGATCTTTCGTTTTCTTCGAACCTCACCCTCTTTCGGAGGTGCAACATTCGGTATCGGTGGGAAAGGGTCGAGTTCGGCAGGCGGGCCTGTAAAGATGTTAGAACATATCGTCGGCCATCAGAAACGGGAATCTCATGAGCATTCGAGGAAGATGTACCCTCTGCATGCCGAGCACGTTTGGAAGGCGAGTCTATGGCATTGATTCCCTTCAGCTACGCCATCTCACGCCACCCGTTAAAGGAGACAACAATGGCCCACCTTCGTCTCGATGCAAAAGCTCTGACGTTGGTAACTCTTCTAATTGTTTTCGTTTCCGTTTGGTGATCTTTGGTGGAGGAGGAAGTGCAGATCCGAATGGTTTCGACGTAGAAGGGCCGGCCTGAGGTTGTAAGCTCGAGCTCGGCATTCTGGCGAGGTGATAATCGCGTTGCACGGTGTAATGAGATGGTGGTTCGATGATAGAAGAGCGATGCCGCAACCCATTATCTCGTCAGCGCGTCGTGTTTGATAAGGGTAGTTGTCCGTATTATTGTCCATGTGAGCTGAGCTGAGGGAGCTGGGCGTCACGTGCAAGTTCTCATGCCTCAACGCCGGCAGAGAGGACCTAGAAGTCTTGAGTATGGAAGGTGTCGCGAAGGTAAGTGGCTCCTGCTGCTGTGGCCGAGTCGGTTCGGCGGGTATGACACCTTCGGGCAACATCAAGACACGCTCGTTAGAACTGTTGCACACTAGTCTTGTGTCGTCGGAGGGGTTGATACCGTAGGTCGAGGTTCGGCGTTACGAGCCACGTTTTCGCCATGTGGAGGCGGGCAAACTAATCAGGCAGCGCGCGTCCCACCAACCCAATTTGATTTCCGCTCTCTCGTGTTCCTGATATGGCACTCGAATATATATATACATTTCTGTTCAGGCTTCATTTGCCTGATTATTGGGGAGAACAAAATCTATGAGCGTTCCTACTATGGCCCAATCATTTGTAGAATCTTTATATGCAGGGTGTCTTCAACGGGCGCTAGTGAAATGGGGGAATCTGGAGACCGTGCAGCCCACAACAAGCATTGCATTGTTTGATAAAAGCAAATCTCCTGGGATTATGAATTAATAGTGGTACATGATCACCCTCGGTCATAAATAAGCTCTGTCTGAGGACAAGAGTCGACAGAACGATGTGTTTTAGCCGCTACAACCAGTGCGACTTGGAGCGCCACAGCTCGCCACAGCCGGCATCTCCTGCCGAATTTCATTTTGCGGCGTTAACACCGATATTGGTTCTCGAAGGTCGACCTACGGTCCCGGGGGCGCGTTCCGTAGCAGACCTTGACACGTTGAACGCCCTATCTTCAACACCAAGGTCTGCCTGTGGGAGACTACCATCCGCGCGCTTTGGCCTTTTGCGTAATACTGACACAGTGCCGAGAACCCGGCCATGGCTTTCTTTGTTCTCCCTTTGAGTCACGGTACGAATACGGAAGCCATTTCGAGCGCCTAGACTGATAAAACTGGAATTCGGTCCCGCAAACTGCCGGCCGGCAGTGTCACTAGCACCTGGAAGCACGTGGGGTTTCGGACGCTTGTTCGTTTCTCCACTCGACCCTCATGCCGCTAGGCGGACTGTAAATACTGTGCTCGTCTCCTGTTCTGCTTTCTTGTCTATACTTGTGTCCCAGTCTGCTTGTGTTGTATCATAACGACTGTGTGTTTCAAGACGTTCTGAACTCAACTTTTCTATATCACACGCGCCACCAGATATATCTAGCGCTCCTGAACTCGGTTGACTCACATCTGATTCGCATCGGACTCGCATGTCGTTGCTCTTCTCACATTTTACAGCGCTCGACGAGCGCATCCAACTCCACTATCAAGGCAGCTCTCGGTTCGTTATCTTGTCGAAGGTCACGGACGATGCATGGATCGTTCATCTGGGTCTTGCTCGTGAAGGCCGCTGGTGGAAGGGCTCGTGGGAGGAAGGCGATATTCTCGAGATCGCTGTGCGTCTGGTTTCTTTCTATCGGACACTTTGTTCTACGCCTTTGATCTTGCGTGTCCTGACACTGAGAACGCTCATCGTAGGGAAAGCGCATCTTACCCAAGAACTTGGAAGCGCTCGCAGATAACTTGGCCACCAAGCTCATCGATGACGACTTAGAGGTGGAGAACTGGGACCCGCTTGTAGCGAGAGGGGATAAAGCTATGAAGGTCGATATCTTACCCTCCTTCCTCTCGCGAACATGATGCTGACGGGTCTCTGTAGCTCACTCTTGGACCATCGGGGAAGAAACCACTTCGGATCAATTTAGTGGAGATGAGCGCGAACGATGCTGCGATTTTCGCTGTCGGAGAGTTCATTTCTGTAGGTGGACCCATCTCATTCGACGGCCATATTGAGCTGATCCTTCGGATGTTGCTAGATCGCTCTTCAAGCTCAATCTCGTCAGTGTCACATCAACCCTTCGAACTACGACGGCGCATTGTCACGTACGTCTTCTCGTAGGCCTCCCATTCTGACTCACGCCTCTGACTAGACTTTGATACTACAGTCTCTAACAAGAAGCATCGCCGTTCACAATCCATCGATCAAGATCGAGCCACCTCTCCCATCGAGACACCCTCTTCCCCGGGCCCCAGCACACAAGGTACACAAGAAGCGTCCCAGCGCCTGGATAGAAAGCGAAGCAACGCTACATTCCGTATCCCTACCGAGAGATCAACTCAGACCGCGGGCAGCTCAAAGTCACAAGATAAGCCCAAGGGGAGAGGGAAGGCCAAAGAGAAAGAGAAATCGGCGCCGACGCCGCCACTCGCTGTTCAACCCTCTGCAGCTGAGCTGGCTGCTCTTGAGGAAGTCCGCCAGTTGAAGGAAGAGTTGAAACGACAGAAGAGCTTGGTCGCTTCTGCGTCGCTTGCTAGAGTGGGGAGCAACGCTGGCCTGATGAGTCGTATGTATCTTTCACTGAACGAATGGGTGTCTTCATATTGATACTGATGCTGCATGTGTATTAGGCTCTGTGATTCCTGCACAGCCACGTAGGAAAGGTGCATCACTAGCGAATCCGAATAAGAAGGCTAGGAAGCTAGAGGAGCTGGAATTTGCCAGTGATAGCGACTGATATTGGCCGCTGTGCGTGATGTCCTCCGCCAATCTGATTGAAATTACCTCTATTGTACAGTAGTCTTCACAGATTTGCGTAGTATATTGAATTATCCCCATGAATGTGTCAAATATTGAAAAATGGCTAATTGAGTGGCGCGCCACTCTGCGCGCATTGGCCATCCTGTGTCGCGCCGGTGTGTCGGGCCCTCCTTCCGCGTTCACTCAGCCCTTTGTTCCCAAACCGCACGATTATCGTACGGGCCCAGGCACGCACAAAAGATCATCCAGTTGTTTGCTTGGACCATCGTGTTGAAATTGCACACGTGTTGCATAAGCAGACGTCTACAGATCCTGACACATCGTTCTCTTGTCCTCTTCCCCCATCTTGAACCCTGACCATCGCATTGCTCCTCAGAAGCATATTAACTCTTATTTCGCCCTAATAGCGATTTGCTCGATAACACGAATGACTTCTCCAATTATTCCTTCTATCTCAGCCTCCATTTGGGGCGTAAAGCGCCCCCGAGAGCCTGACACCGTAGAGGGCACACGTTCAAAGGATGGCCACAATCAGGGTGCGTCTCTTTGGACTTATCTCTCCGAGACTGTGACACCAAAACCTCTCTCGAATACGTAGTCCCTAGATTCAAACGCCGACGCCATTCGGGCGAGTTCGATCCAAAGACCTACTTTTGCCCGCGTCCACCCGCCGCCAACTTACCTGACACCCGAACAGCCCAAGGCGATACCGACCCTACCTCCTCTGAATCCAGTTCTTGCGCATTTAAACCACGTATACTCAGCAGGTTCAAAGGAAATGCCACATTTCCCGATCCAACGTACAGCGACGCCTTACTCGGCACACGAACGAACGCCGATGAATCTGTCGAATTCGTCGACGGAATACCAAAACACAGCACCTTTTATTACCCTCACGGAGATCTCATCATCAAAACCAAAGAATATATCTTTCGAATCCACCGCGCGATGTTGTGGGAAATGCGGTTCTTTCACGACATGTGGTACGAAGAGATAGGCGAGAGGACGGTGGTAGGGAGCAAGGGAATTACGAAGATCGATGGGGTTGACGCTTACGAGGATCCAGATTCTGAGGCATGGCATTATATGTGCTACATTTTCTACAAACCGTATGTCCGATCGTTTTTATTCTCAGCAACCTATGATCGCACCTCTTCCTCTACAATCCGGCGTAGTGTTGACACTGGTCTCACCATGAAATCACCGCAGAGACGCCACATACCCCGAACTGTTTACCGTTGACCTCATCGCCCTCTACCTCAAGATATCACGCAAATATGGCTACTCCTCCATGCGCTCTGTCGCCGTCTGTGCTCTCTCTCACTTCGCCCCCTCTAAGCTCGAATCGTACAACACTCGCCACTTTTGCTCTCCACCCCGCGCTTTTCCATTAGAGAGGGACCCACTCACAGACGATGACGAATATGACTATGAGGAAGATGAAAAGACGGAAAGAGGCTCCCAGGCAACTACAGAATCTGGCTCTGATCCGGATCGGGACAAAAAGTCAGATTCAGACGCCGATGCGGAAGGAGAGACGGACTCAGATTCAGACGCTGATGCGGAAGGAGAGACGGACTCAGAGATTGCTGACGACAAGGAAGCAACCCCAGAGCCTGAAAGAGATTATTTCAGTGAAGACTCGGGATCATCCCTCTCAGGCCAGTCAGAACTCGAACGCAACCACGAACTCCAGCCAGCCGACCGCATCTTTGCTCTCCAGCTCTGTCTCGAGTTCGATATCCCCGAACTACTTCCCATGGCGAGCTATCTGTGCGCGCAGCTGCCTATAAAGGACATACTCTGTGGTGCACGAAGGAGGAGGTTAGCGAGAGTGCGGACGAGATCGGACGATACGCAGCGAGACTGGGACTCGACGGGACCCTTGTTTCGATTAGACCCTGCGCAGGCGATCACGATCTTAAAAGGCAGGGAGGCGCTGATGCACGTCCGCAGAGACTTCATGTTCTCGCCCTTCGCTCACCACAAAGACGACGACAGGCTTTCTGTAGTCGGGCCGCTCGAACAAAAAAGCCTCGAAACCCCACTGTCACTCGGATGCGACAAGCAAGTAAGAGGCCCACGATACGGATCTAGCGACCGCTACACTTGCATTGAGTTCCTCGTCCTCTTCTGTCGCATGCTCGGAGACAAGGACAGCTCTATGTTTTCGAAGGACAACAGTCGGCGGTTGCGTGCGTTGGACCTGTTACCAGACGAGATCTTCACGAACTATCTTTCGAAACATATCTGTCCTTCATGTCTCGGGGGTTTCAAATCGGAGATGCACGCGCAACAGAGAAGGATATGGAGGTACATCCCCAACGCCTTTGGATTGGGAAGTTGGTTCCATCTGGAAGAGAGGGCGAGACAGAGGTGGGAGGCGCTGAGTGGATGGACGAGAGAAGCTGCACGTAGTATCGTCGCCCGTGCGAATAAAGCTGCTGGTGAGGAACAGCCGTGTGATGGGTTGCGGGATGCAGGCTGCGGGGTAAAACAGAAGAAGAGGGAGCAGGCAGAAAAGCAGGCAGTGTTAGAGTACTTGGCAGAAGACGGGGTGCCATGGACGAAAACATTTGTGGAGTGGTCAGAGAAGAGGAGAGCGGATGAGGCAACGGAAGCTGACGAGGATCTGGAGCCTCAAAATCAGGTCGTTGATCTCCGGACCTACATTCCCTTCTCACTAGTCCCACAAGGCCCTTGAACGCAATTTCACATTCATCTCACCATTTCATGATTGAGTGACAACCCCGCGATGGGCGACATAAATCCTGCCTGATCCAGCTATAGAACACGGAATTTTTTCAGTCCGCTCGTCCTGAAATACACAATCAGACTGTCCAGTCCAGTTCGCTGATACAGTTCATCAACATCGTTCAAAGAGCCATCGTATCAAGCCACTTCGCTAACCGATATCCCGATTTTGCGAGTTGCAAGTCGATCTGAACGGATGTTCATCCCTATCATCAGCACATATTTTCCACCTCCAGAAGATGGTGGGAAACTCACGATAGGGATTGCAGTGGTGTAGTAAGAGGTCTCGCACAAATCGTCGCCCTTGGTGTAGTCGAAGACAGTCGACTAACATGCAAAGTGAGCACGGACAAACTCTGAGAGAGGAAATGGATGGAGAGGAACAGAAAGTTCAAGGGAATTTTAAGAGCGAGAGGGACGTACACAATCGTAGGCATTAGCTTCCTTAGCCCATACGAGCGGGCAAGAAGTACCATCAAGTGCGGAATCGGTGATGCAGGTTACCCAGCCGGATGCAAGAGACTTGTACTCGCCAGTCTATGAAACCACACGTACATCAGTTACACGATCAGTATGATGCTAGGCTAGTAATAGTAGCTGAGAGGATACCACGGCGAAAGCAGGACACGAAGAAAGTTGAGGACAGACCTTAATCCTCGTGACGAGCTCAGCTGCATATGTCTGAACGTCGTTATCGTAGTTTGCATCGACGCTCTTCACCAACATTCCGGTATCTATGTATGGTGATATTACCCATGTCAGCCCCATCAGGATCAATAAGAACCACGACCATGAAAAACACTGAACGTACCCCAGACCTACAATATGTTCGTTATTGAGCATTCAGATATCTCGAGGGTAGAGAGTGGAGATTGGTCGAAGGATGAGTGGGAGACTCACAGCGTGCAGATTGGTGCTTTTCCCATCGCAGGTGGCGTCGATGTCGTTCCCACCAACTTCATAGTTCTAATGATGAGGGAGCACAGCACAATGTGAATACAGATACGAGTACGCGGAGACAGGTCACCCACCTCGACATGCAAGGGTTGGCTGATGTCGCCCAAGAACTATAGCGATAAGACAATTAGCTGGACGATTATTCGTTTCGCAAAGGCCATACGAAATCTTACGTGTGCTATGATAGCAATTCTTAACATTAGCATGCAAGAAATAGCACACGGAATCACGCACTGACGAATTTGAGAGCCTCCTGACGCTGTGTGGCGCTCAAGCTCCTGCAAGTCCAAGTCCAAGTGGAACAGTCAATACAAGAGATTCAGAGCAACAAGCCGTGGTCCATATACTACGTACGTTTCCATCAGCCTCTCGGTGTAATTCTGTATAGCAGAAACTGGGATCAAGAAACATCACTCGAGTGTCTGAACATAAGACAACCAAAAGAAGCGGTTGAAGGGCCACTTACTGATGCATCCCTCATCGCCACAATCACGAGAAAGCTCTACAGAGCACGAGTCGCTCAAGGGAGAATCTGTTCAAAGCTATAAGGAACTTATTCAAAAACTTGAATATAGAGCTGAAAGTTACCTTCGGCGTCGATGAAGTGGTACGGCTTTGAGTACTCGTATGCAGTCTCATATTTGACGGTGTCAGCCCACTGAAACATATAAAGATGTGTTAAATGCGGATCGAAATAACATAGGGTTGTTCCTCACAGTAGCGGCAACACCAAGGGATTCGTTGTATGTTGAACCAAGCGATGTTTGGACGAAGCTAGTAGTTTCAGAGCTGATAAACTGCTCGTCACCGCCCGCCACAACACCATATATCGCGACTTCGTCAGATTGGTCTGTTGAGAGATATCACATGGACATCAAAAGTTTGAGCTTACAGCCATAGCGACGTATCTGCATATAAGAGAGAGTTTCAGTGAGTAGATAGTGATGAAATCACGGAACGAATGGAGACGGACCCAATAGTTTCATGCCCGACATTCCCCCAAGCCCAAGCACGATCTATAGCAGCCACTGCGAAGACAAGCGCGAATTCGAGAGCAGTGAATGACTTCATCGTTCGCTCTGAAGTTCCTGTATGCGGCTTGCGGTCTGTCAATATTCCGAATGAGCGGTCGACAGGAGCATCTTCAATCTCTCAAAGTCCTGACATTTTATACTGGTGCTCTCAGAAGCACTGGCAGGCCGCGATAGCACCGGCGTGGACGCATGCAAATCGCGGGAGAGGATGTCGGAGATCTCGAAATACACATGCTAAGTAACACACGTTGTTACTGAGCGAGCCATGTGGTGATGGTAGCTACCACCAAAAGCCAAAAGAAGGAGAACAAGGAACGGTGTGCGATGATACCGGTGGTAATGGGAGTCTTTGTGCGGAGTAAGGCCCAGCAAGGCCGGGGATGGAAGAGCCTTCGACAGTCCAAAGATAGAAGCAAAAGAAGCTCCGGGGACCGGCTTGGCACGATATGCGCCATACGGAGATCTGAAAGAGATCAGCTGGTTCAGCCGACGATGCATCCAGGAAGTTCAGCATGCGTGCTTGGCAGGAGAACGGTCCTGGTTTGTCGGGCGACCTTGTGGTAGCGACCCACAGAAAGGCATATTTAGCTCCATATCTATTCTTTGAAATCTATCAGAGAGGCACTTGAGTGGACGAGACGATATTGCACTCACTTTTGGTGAATGTCGTGAAACTCGAAGGGGCATAATTCGGCTGTGCGGCATCTCTAGAGCTGTCAAAGAAGATCAGTCGCGTCGATGAACGTGTCTTATAGCATATCGCAGTGGATCTCGTATCGCCGTCAAGACGCATCCTCCCGCGAAATTGTCTCTATGACAATGAGCAAGTCGAGGAGAGAATCGCTGTCGGACGACGTCCACATCTCGTATACATATAGATGTGTAGTAGCAGGCAGAATGCAGAGTTTGCAATTGTGCAGGTTATGGGGACACACAAATTCGAGCCACCGTGATATACAGTATCTTCCCAAGCACTGCGGCAGGTAGGCTACAAGGCCTTTACGAGTCGAGCAAGCTGGAACGTGAATGAAAAATGACCATCGATGCTACAAGAAGTGCATGGATGGTGGAAGTGAGAAGATAATTCGGGAATCTCATGAATATACAGTCAGCGCGTATCGAGAGGTTTGACGTTACCGCAATCAGGGTAACGACTCCCTTTCTTTCTGGACCTCCGTCCGCACCGTGATCGTCCCATTCGTATCATCAACACCCCTAGACTCAGCTATAGATACCGTGGCCAGTTAGAATACATTTCCAAATTCTGCCAACTTTAAAGAACGCATACCTTCAACCTGATCCACCTGCCTCACGGGTCCCCTAAACCATCGCCGCGCGCTGACTACCCAATACCCTAATGCATAGACTAGCACTATACCCACCGCGACAATAGCGTAGTTAAGCGTTTGCGAGTTGACGGGGTTCAGTTCGGGAAGAAGTAGTACGATGGTGATGAAGCATATCCAAATGACGGCCACTGCGGCGCAAGGTAAGGAGAATGGGCCAAGGTGAAAGGGCCCACGCTGGAAATGGGACGAGTAGAAAAGGCGGAGTGCGATGGGAATGCCTGTGTGATGCATCGTGATTAGCCCCTGGATGCCATGAAGGAGGTAGAGAGAGAGGAAAAGGGACGACGGATGACTCACCGTATGATATGTAAAGCCCAATGGTGCAGATGGACGTGGCAGCTGAGAGGGCAACACTACTCCCCAAGCTCGGAAGTCCGAGTAGAAAGCTAAGTGTACAGGCGAGCCATACTGTGGATGGGCAACGGGATGTCACTACAATGGTCGATAGACGAAGTGAGAGAGGATGTACCAGTTCGAATTGGCGATCTCCACCTGTCGTCTACTTGGTGGAAGAAAGCGCTTCCAGGCATACCTCCGTCGCGCGCGAAGGCATACATCATGCGAGAATTGGCAGTGATAGCAAATATCCTGTATGATATATCAAGTTTGTGAGCTTGAGTGCATATTGTGCAAGAGAACCAGAGACCGAAAACGATGCGGACGTACCCGCACATGAACATACAGACAACGATTATGACCTATAGTATATGGCGACAATGACGGCGACAGTGGTCAAGATTGAGTTTTCGCACCGCAGCTATGAGAAGAAAAAGTGCATGAGACGCACCATCAAAGCAATGGCCCCCTTCTCTCCAACAGTATCTAGAAAAATTTGGGTGATGGGTTGACCAGTTGAGGACGCGACAGTCGTTTCATAGTCTTGTATCGAGAAGAGGAGACCAAGAATGATGAACCAGCCCTAGGAAAAGACAACGCGTTAGAATCCAGACATCATTTGCGACACTACATCAGGGACTGACCAGAGTTACAGAGACGCTGAGGGCCATTATGATGCCGATTGGGCCGGCCTTAGCAGCATTGTGGGTCTCTTCTGACATCTGCAAACATGATCGGTAAGCAGGCCAATTCGTTAACCACAGAGAGCCTCAACGGGATACTAACATGGGCGCTGGCATCATACCCTGTAAGAGTATACTGCGCTAGAAGGATTCCAATTACGGCAACATATGCCGGACTTGCACGTTGAGACCATCCAACTCCGCCGTCCACACCGGTACCGTCGATGAAGGTGGCGAAGACAAATTTTGCGGATTGGTGCGTGGGGGCCTTGATCAGGACTGCGATGACGATGGAAGTTGTTCCGACTGTATTACACACCAATAAAGCCAAAAGGTGAGCGTGAGTATGACGGGTGTGATGGAACGGAAACGAGAAATTCGGGAAAGTGGAAAACTGACGAGCATGCCACCATACGGAGAAGTTGTTGACATACCCCAGAAAACGAACGCCGAAGGTGTTGAAAAGTCCTAAAAAGCATGAATGTCAGATGGAATGGGGAATCACTATTATGACAAGCAAGACGAACCTTGGGCTACCGTTATAGCAGCATAGATGCCTAGTGTTCTTCCCGGACTAGGAGCATAGCCAGTCCCTAGAGTGCTAACTGTCGAGATAAAGTTCGCACAGGCGTAGCTGTGGTCACATATGAGAGTGTAACTCGTAACACAATGAAGTCCTCGGCGATAATAGAACAACGAAACCACTTACTTGATACCGGTGGTACCGGAGAACTGACCAAGAAGATTGAACCAGCCACAGATCCACGACGCAATTGGCGCGTACTTCGGAGGGGAGAGCATGGCAGCCCAGTAGTAGGGACCGCCGCTGGTGGGATGCGAGCTGCAAATCTCTGTTAGGGACAGATTCAGGTCAGAATGTTGGGGTGTCAGCGCTTCAGCCCTACAGATGCATGACGTACCGGCCATAGAGAGACCGACAGACAAGGTGAAGAATGCTGCCAAAACCGTCAATGACATTTCGCTGTGACCGGGAGATATCACGTCTCGACGTACAGACAATAAGCCACCCCCAGACCATGACAGCAGGTCCTCCAGTAGTCTATGACTGGATTAGCATGCCGGCATTTCCTGAGCAGAGGAGAGCTCACCAGGCCGTAGGCAAACAGAGACGCCATCCCCGTGATAACGCTCATGATAGAGAATGAGAATCCAAAGTTCTACAGCATCGACGAATATGTTTTGTTAGGCTACACTGCGCAATACGAATTGGTAGCGCACCTGCAGAAGACTCAGATCTCGTCTTAATAGTCCAGTATCGAATCAGCACGGGCGCCAAGGCAACGGATGAGGTGAGTTCACCTGAGCTCCTGTTTGTATCCCATCCTTGCCAACTGCACTTCATCTTTTTCCTCCCCGACTACGGCTGCTTCGCTGACTACGATATCGTCCTTGGAATCCGCCATGTCGCGTCGTCTGGATGTAGAGCGCAAAAGATGGAGGGGGAGAGAAGATGAAAACAACTACAAGGCGTCTCTAGAGATATTCGCACACCCATCAGCTTGCCCCCGCATATGGAGATATGGAGAGGCCCCATTGCCCGATTTGAGCACATCGAGGCCTTGAATGCGTGAGCGAGATTACACTATAATGAAGAGCACTTAGAGAACTAGGGTTAGTACTTGTCCTATATCGGATGCGTGAGATGCAACGACTTACCAGCAAGCACGTAAGGCTTAGAAAACGATGGGACGGGGAGCAATGTTACCAGATGGATGTCACGAACGGAGATAGACCATTGGTGCGTTCGCAAAGCGGGACAATTGTGCACCAAATCGGATGGCAAGCGCCACAAGAGCTCAATCTCTTTACTGGCATGATGTTCTTCACAAGCTCGGTCGCATGACGAGGTTCATGTCTTGGAGCACGTCCTCAATTTATTTTCAACTTTTGGTGTATTGCGTCTCAAATATTTTGTGCCTCTATAGGTAAAATTTCATGGGGGTATACATCAGCGTTATCTCGAGTACGATAATAGACTCGGTCATAGACAGAATCGCCGTACCTGCCGACACCCTCGGGAAGCATACATGATATCAGATAGCTGACAAGCCTGGTCAGGGGTGTGCTGGACATAGGTACCTCTTGGCAAGAATACGATGTCGAAAGATTGAGAAACCTAGCGCTTACAGATTGACCATGAATGGAGCGAGCCCGTGTATCGTGGCGATAGTATCCGCCCGTCACAGACTTGTATGCTTCGTCACCATTCATGTAACTGAGTCGTTACTGTGTGTAGAAACATCAAAGAAACACGGCTTTGCCTCAGACACGACGTGCACACTTCGGAGAATGGAAAATGCTCGTAGAGACCGAAATCGGAGCCTGGAGGGAGAAGTGCTATGAATCACACTCACCTCTGAGTACATACTCGAGCATGCTGATGAGTTGCACCATTAATCAGGATAAAGTATGCGCATTCTGGTGATTTAGGCTGTCAGGATCAAGTCCGGACTGGGAATAACTCGCGGCGGGGCAACCAGCCGAAAACTGACACCCTTTGCAACCGCTGACTAAGAGTCGCTCTCCGGATATCTCCGCCAGTGACGCAGAGCCCCCGACCGAAGAACAATGGAACGCACTCTTTTTGGTCTTGCCTTCGCGTTTTGCCATATCAGGAATGCTGAAGGGGCCAAAGCAAACGTGGCGTGTTTCGGGTAGTGCTTCCGGCTACGTAAATCTGAGGGCCCTTCCCACAGCTAGCATTGACTCTTTCTCTTGAACCACCATCATCGCTGTCCGCCCCGTCTCTGCCTCTTCCCTTTGATCAGTCCACAAGACTCGATTATCGGCAATTCACTCTCCATTTACATCTACTATTCGCATACGTTATGGCGCAGTCTTCCAACTCTAGTCGTCACACGATCGCTAAACCATCAGAGGCTTCACCCGTCAGCGACCACAATCCTGATGCTGGAGATGGAGAAGGCGAATGTGAACAAGCGTCTGATCCGAAGCGTACTGTGGAAGGTGGAGGTCACCTTAAAGGTACGCATGTTTTACTTAGCATATGAGCTCAACTAGATTTGACCCAGTATGTTCGGGTACGTTAGGCATGGACACGGTGCAAGAACCAGCCACCCAACGTAGACATCAGTCGACAGTCAGCATCCCTAGTGAGTATTTCACGCACATTGGCACCCAACGAAAGAGGTCCTGACTCAATTTTTGGTTAGTAAATGAATCCACCCTGAAATACTTTGCGCAATATAAGGCCAGGTGGGGAGCGCCACCCGGCCCAAGCGCGCGGAGCGCAGAGCCGAGCGATTCTCGACCTCTCGTCGGGACGGAATCGGAGAAGCACGATGATAGAGAGCTCGTTGATATTCCTGGTCGGAACAACAAGCGCGCACACGACTCAGGGGAGGAAGACGAAGCACACGAAGGGCTACTGGTAGGCTTAAGCAGCGCGTTGACGCGAGAGAGTGCAAACGGTCCAAGCTCCGATTCTAGCGACGAATCCTTTGGTGGGACCTCAATATCCTCATATTGATCTGAGAATCAGTACGCTGATCTCGGGATGTATGCATTTTTTCCAGGTTTCAGAGGATTTAAGACGCGCAGCAACAAGCGACAGCGTGTTGGTAGAGTATTCACAGGGGAAATTACCTCCCATCTTTCGCCTCCAGAGCACAGAATCGACGCTCCCCCTGCACCGTCTTTCGCGCCTCCTCCTGTCGTACGTGCTGCTTCTCCAGCTGATTCCTTGGCCTCCTACGAGTCGGATAGCGAGGTCCTCCCGGCTCCCGCGGTACCTACGGCCCCTGTGGCACCTGTCGAAGCCCCATCCACCGTCAACCCCCATGTCCGCCCGCACCCTTCTCTATTCGCCACCCCAATCACCTTCGCCGATTACAACGCGCGATTCGATCCACTATCCGCACCGATTAAGTATGCTGCACCCACCTTCGACGCGGACACCACTTTTGCCTCGACTGCATCGGGTATTGAAGGCCCCAGTCATCCAACGAACGGTTCCGTATCGTACAACGACCTCGAATCCCACCAATATCAGTCTATTGACGAGCTCAAGAAGGCGGCCGATTCGCTGGAGCACCACACGTTCTACTGGGAAGATGGGGACGTGATCATTCACTGTGGCACAGTGATCTTCCGCGTTCACGCGGAGGTTCTTGTGGAGCACAGTTGGATGTATCGAGAGATGTTTGGTGAAGATGGAGTTGCGACGATGATGAGTGAGCAGAGAGAGTTGCCGGGGGTGAAAGTCTACATCCACGACGAGGGCGTGGCCGGTGAGACTGTGGAGGATTACGAATTTATGCTAATGTCCTTTTATCGTCCGTAAGTCGCGGTCTCCATTCGTTCTCGCCTTTTTCTTCGTCGTCCTGATCCGACCCCTACGTCGCATTACTCTAGAAACGAACTGAAGCCGACTTCATACTGCACGGTTCCGAAACTCGAACGCATACTCAACCTATCCCGTAAATACTCCTCCGTCCGCCTTCGCGAATTCGGGATCTGTGTCTTCTCCCTCTACGCACCCACATCCTTCGAGGGCTGGCTTCATCTCGGCGAACGCCTCGCCTCTTCCAACGCCCATCTCTCGACGTCCATGTCTCCGTTCGCCTACACGGATTCTGCCACCGCGAAGGGAAAAGGAAGGGCCGTCGACATGGGCACGAACAACATCCATTCGTCGTTGACCGTCCGCGACAAGTTCCGCCTCCATTATCTCGCCAAAACGCACGAAGTATGGGCAGTTCAGCCATACGTCCGTTACCTCCTCTGCCAAGAATCCATCGATTCGATCACGACCGGCGGCGGGTTCGAGGACGTTACGATAACCGATGACCCCAACCCTTACTGGAAGTTCGGCGACTCCGAGGTCGAACCAGAATCCAACGACGAGATGTTCCGTATCCCGCAGGAGGAAGTCCTCGATCTTTTGCAGGGACGGGAGACTCTAAAGGATGCTCAGCGCGACTTCGTCTTCGGTTTCTTGTCGAAAATCAGGCGGGAGGGGAAAGTTGGCAATGCTTGGGACCGTCAGAATGGTCAACTCAGCGGAGGAGGGCTGTCAAGGGAGGTTGAGCGGACGGAGAAGAGTATGACAGCTGCGACATCTTGGCGAGTCTGGACATTGAGTTGCGATGAGAAGAGGAACTCCGAGACAAAACATTCGTGTTTTATGTTCCTGATCCGTCTGCATCGTGAGTGGGAGGTGAAAAAGAAAGATATCTACGGTCTTGGCGAAGGTCTCCCACTCAATTCGCTCGGAGGCTTGACGGCCGAAGCGAGGGGGTTGATCAAGGGGCATCTGTGCCCAAGCTGCTGGAAGAAGTTCAAGAGCGAAATGAGGCAGGGCCAGAGGAAGGTTTGGAGGGTGCTGCCGCGTGCGGTGGGTCTTCGTGATTGGTTTGAGGTAGAGAAGAAGGCAAAAGATGTCAACAAGGTGGGTACGGCGGGTGTACCGAAGGAGGCCTGGGATGACGCGAGACGAAGGGCCATTGATATGTACTTCGAGAGTAATGCGGGAAAGACTAAGGAGCGGGATGAGCTGGAGGGTAGGGAAGGGAAGTGGAAGCGGGAGTTGGAGATACGTACCTATGAAGAGGTGAGGATTGCGTATCAGAGGGAGAGAGCTCGAAATGCGACACACTAGATGGGTTAACGTTCTGGACGGCTCGCATCTCTGTATATTTGTAATATTTGTTCGTTGTCGTTGTTTGTAACTCGTTCCATGTAACGCAATTTGATTGTTCATCATTCAATTTCCTTTTCATATTGCGAGAGTATGTGTGATATAGACCAGTCCAGGAATCTCTACTAGCTCTGTACATTGCTCTTCGGTGTATTGCAACAAGTCTGCGACACCACAATGCACAAGCCACCCCCATTACCCATCCCAACGCCTTCCCTACACCCTCGACTCTTCCTGTCCCTGAATTGCTCCCGGTATTCATGTAATTCCCTGAAAGATAGGCAAAGGAAAGATGTGAGCCTAACTGCGTATAATCCACGTGAAAATGAAGGTTTGCACTTACAAGGATCGAGATCGCCATAATTCCCGCCAACACAACTGGGATGAAGGGCTGATAAAATAGGCAGCGTGTTGATCTAAGGCGATCGTCGAAGTTGGTGTGGAGCGTCCGGTATGTACGGGACTTCAAAGTAAATTAGATTACGGAATGACGACGAATGAAAATGCGATTGATAACTCACAATGTCCGTCAAAAAGAACCGCGGGACAGGTCGTTCCCTGCCCAAATATGGTTCCTTTCCCTTGTCTAATCTCCACTTCTGTTCCTGCTCCTGGCTGTATTCCGTAGGTTTGTCGAATCCCTACGACAAGAGTACCAAATGACGTGTAAGTGCGAATTCCAATGTACAAGTCAAGAAGTAAACTTACGAGGTTCGAAACCGCCATATATTCCTGCCAACGCGACTGGGATGAAGGGCTGGTGAACTAAGGCAGCGCGTTGATCTGAGGGCGGTTTCGAGGTCGGTGGAAGGGCCAGGTATCGACTCGCTACATTTCAGGGCGAAAACGTTAGCTGGGTGAAAGAGAATAAGATCACGAGGAGCACGTACGAAGCCGATAAAACGAAACACCGGGCGGGTCATTCCCCGCCCACTCACGATCCTCCTCGTACTTCTCTCACTTCCTTCTCCATCACTGCATCTCCGAAACGAAAGAGACCGACCGGCGGTGCGGAAGCCAAAAGCATTGAAGTCCAACCAGGTATCCTGGTCCACGGGTATATGGCGCAATCCTCCGAGGAAGGCAAAAGAGAGGTTGAAGTCGAAATCCGATCCACTGTCCTTGTTCATTAGGGTATATCGCCACGATGGCGAGAGATGAAGATTATGTCCAAAGTCCATTAGTGTATATCGTCCAAGCCATCGGAATATAGGAAGATAGCGTGTGGCGATAGTCGAAAGAGTAATTCACGAGTAGCGCAAATCGAGGGCGAAAAATGGGCGCCGTATAGCGTGTGGCGATAGTTGAAAGATTGTAAAGCGTGTAGCGATAGTTGAAAGATTGTGTAGAGTGTGTCGATAGTCGAAAAAATTAGATCACGAGTAGCGTGGATCGAGGACGAAAAACGTGCGCCGTAGGTGGCGTAGCGGAGAACAGAGTCGCAAATATTGCAGAGCCGGATAGTTTTGTTGTTTTACGATGTTTTTGTTGTTTTCGAGTTTTCATAGTCGTCGCCTCAAGAGTCAGAACATCCTGTCGAAAGGAATCAAGAATTCATCGTCGCCACAGATAAGTCAGAGCACTACAGATGAAAGTATAGGTCAGAAAAGTCTCTTCGCGGTCAACGAAGGCAGATGTTGCGTACCATTCAGATAATCACCCATGCTTCTTGCGCCTCCACGCCCTATGTCGCCACCAAGTAACCCCTCTGCCCACCGTACTGCGCACCCGGTGAGCCCGGATCGACGAGCATCAAGCACCAGAGGACAAACACCAAGAAAACGACGATCTGGACCAGGGACCGCATAATGGCCACTACCGTCGAAATGGTTGGGACGACTCGCAGTGCCAGGGTGAATGTGGCGAGGCAAACATGGGAGAGTAGCTCGAAGATCGTGAGGATGGCAAGGTATTCGAAGTAGAGGAGGGTGTTTGCTACCCTGGTCGCGAGGTTGGTCTTCGTAGCTACGATGCAGCTGTCCTTGTTGACTTGGTGCGGCGCATAAGTGCTGTGCGTATCGAAGGAATGGTGGAGAGCACGGTCGTCGTCGTCGTCGTCGTCGTCGTCTTCCTCAGACTCCTCGTTACAGGACTTTCCAGCCTTGCCGGCGAATGACGATACCATGGCGGGACCAGGGATAGGCAGCTCGATTGTGTTGGAGTCTTCGACGGCGAACTTAAGATGAAAAGGATCAGCCTATCACACAAAAATAACGTCAGAGTGGAAGAAGAGACGTACAGCATCGTCCATCAACATCTCCTCGACCGCGTACTCGTCTTCCTCGTCCTCATCTTCAACTTTTGGAGCGAGCTCCGTGATGGGCTCCTCGTAAGAAATGATAACCTAGATTAATGACAAGACCAACGCCGATGAATGAGCACGAAACTCGACACATGACAGCTGCTAGAGATCGACTTACATCCTCCTCAAAAAGAATACACTCAACCTCTCCTTCGTCATCGTTATCGGCCTCGTTCAGAGCAACCTCGTGCGTAGATGTATTGATTTTCTTGTTTTCTTCGGCCTCTTTGAGCCTACTCTCGAGGATGTAGTACGATGTAGAAACGCGCAGTGCGGCGAGCATGTTGGTCGAGACAGTCGAATGGTTGGCGACGGAGACCTTGCAATCCCTGCAGACATCCGAACCCTCCGCACGCTCTTCGCCGGATACGATCGGGGCGGTGAATTCATTCAATGCCGATCGGCCCTCGGCTTCCTCGTCCTTAACCTTCGAAATCCCTTCATCGACCTGAATGAAGTCGCTGGAGCATCCAATGACGCTGTCGATGACGTCGACGCCGTTTTCAGAGCCCGATGGCACGATGACGAAGATAGAGGTGGAAGCCAGTGGCTTGCATGCGATCTCGAAGTCCTCCCAGACTGAGGTGACGTCGAAGACGGCAGGGATGTCTGTGGCGGTGGCAAGAGTGAGGCCAGAGGCGGCTTGCTCAAGATCGAAGGAACTGAACAAACATAGTACGTTAACAACAGCACGCAAACCGATAGTCAAGGCGCAAAATGAGAGACGCACCTGTCGCATGCGCTAGGGATCCCAGCGTCGACGGCGACCTCCGCCATCAACTGGTCCCACTCATCCCAGTCACCCTCTTCATCGTCTTCATCATCGTTGTCGTCAGCCTTGAGCACTGTCTCCGCGACTCGAACCATACACGTATCCACGAGCGATGCACGAGCGTCGATGATATCATCGGGGGCGGCGGGTTGGGTATCCTCGGTATCGACGAAGTGTGAGATGTGAAGGGGAGCTTCCGACAACGGCGAGCTGTCAGTGGAGATCCAAGAGATTATCGACCCAGATTAAACAAGAAACGATATCGATCAGTAAAGCAAGAAAAGGATAAGAAGTACGGCGTAGGCATACCTCTCCTTATCGTCGACTACACCATGGACGTTCGCGACGTCCAACAGACTCACGCTCTCGACCGTCAGGCCACGGAAAGCGGGGATAGACTTCTTGACAACGAGGTTCAAAGGGGCGAACTCGAGATCGTCGCCGAGCGAGGTGGTGCTGCTGTGGGCGGATGATTTCGACCAGAGATTGGTAGCGACATCAGAGTCAGAGTCAGAGTCGGAGCCGTCCGTATCGTCGGAGGGAGCGTCCTCGGGGTCGACGAAGGTCGCGGTCCACGCCTTCGGTCGGAGAGGAGCCAGAGGAAGAATGAGGACCTGAGTTTTCTTCGCCGGAGAACGGACAATCGCTGGAGCGATCATCCTGATAATAGTACCGGGCACGTCGTCCTGGTCGCCAACGAGAGCAGAACTGTTGGATGAAGGCTCAAGGTCTCGTCCAAGCATGGGCCTGAGGCAAGCACCAAGCCCGAGGGTGGTGATAGCTGACGAGGGCCTGAGGCAAGACTTGACAGCAGACCACAGATCGGCGCCAGAGAACGATGGAAGGTTGACCTGGTCGATGCCCGAAGGCGGGGATGGGGCCGGGAGGCCAGTGATAGCGGTGGTGTCGAGTGCGTAGAGCATATTGAGCTATGAAGGCAGGTAAAAATAAAAGTGATTGTTACTGTAGAGAAGAAGGAGAGAACGCAGCGCTGCATGGGATTAAATACTACGTGCTGGGCTATGTTTCGCGGAGGAGTGAATTCATCCGTAAGACTGGTAGGCCAAGTCGAATTGGCGTCTTGTCCGAGACATAATACTCGTCGATCTCTCAGGATGGCTGACCTGAGCAGTATTGTCCCAGTTGTTTCAGGTGTAGTCGTAACAGGCCATAAAAGGCGACGGAGATTCATACTTCGACGAAGCCTGAGGTAGCCTAGCATGAGACCCGCTGAGACGCGACTGAGACTGCCAGCGAGTAGACCGTGTCAAAGTTCAACGTTCAAGGTCGCCACGAAGTCCCGATTGTGTAAGGAAGCCGTGGTGATCATTTGGCCCATGAATGCTCAAAGACTGCGTTCTATATGAAATGCACCTATTCTGAGGATAGTTGGGCTGGTGCCGCCAAGTCGACACGCACCGAACGAAAAGGACTCAGACAGATCGAGGCAAGAGAAAGGCTCGATCGATGACGTACCGCCTTTTGTGTGCGCATATTTGGCCTTAGTTCGCTGGATCGCGGCCCAGTGGTCGCGGTGCCACTCATGTGGCACAGCTCAGCCAGAAGTCCAGGATCAGGTTTCAACGATGCCTGTCCTCGCACTCCATGACATACGTGCAGAGATTTAAGAGGTGAAGATGAGAGTCAGGGTACGAAGTCGCCGCCCTATTCTGGGGATGCGCTCATCGCTCTGAGGCGCGTTCCAGTTCAGCTGTCAAGTCCCTGCCAGCGGTCAGACGCCGAGGTTCGACAAGACCTAAGAACAAGAAGTTGGAGGTCGCGAACATAAAAAAAAGAAAAACCTGATCCGTGTAACATTAATGACGCGGCGATCTCATATATGGTTCAGGTTTTTTTCGAGGTCGAAGTGGCAGTCGCAGAGATCGATATACCGTGACAGCCACGATGGGGTCCAGCAGACATCCCAACTATACGATCCAGACGAACCGGTTCCAGCTCCCCCTCTCGCAGAATGTCGGCTGAGTTACTCACAGAGAAAAGACTAGACCCAGACGCGAACCGAGAGACATATGCCATCGTGTAATATCAGACGCGTTGTCCAATTACACTATCAGGTCCCTGGGAGTAGTCGAGGTGCATACTACACGTCAAGGATCGACAAGGGCGTCCTAAGGGCGATGAGTCAAAGGCCACACAAAGAGAGGAAAGAAAAAGCATGAGCTGAGTGGACCGAGCCTTCCTTTGTAGTAGTAGTGGGCCTGGGCTGATGTGCTGAAAGTCGTAGTGGCGGGGGACCGTACGCTGACCTTATCATAATCAACGAAGGTCACTTCCCGTCGTCAGTTAATTCGGCTCATACACTGAGTGGACGACGACTATTCGATCCAAAAAATTGAGGATCAATTTCAGTGGAAGGGCTCGACTCGGATTCGAACCGAAGTTATCTGCCACCGTGAGATGTCAGATACGCATTCCAGTTACGCTATCAAGTCCTGCAGATGGACGAGGCGCATAGTGCACATCGAGATCCATATAATACGTCGATGTACATTCTGCACGCCGAGGACAAGGCCGAGAAAACCTGAGCCGAGTCGACCGAGCCTCATAGTGGGTCAATCGATGGCGCAGAATGCTTTCGGGGTCGCAGTGGCAATGGCGGTGACAGAAGTAGATACAGTTCCGATACCTGACAAACGTCCAAAATTTGAACGTACTACAACATCCAGACTTGTCGGTTCCAGCTCCCCATCTCCAAAAATGAAATTATCAAAGTCGAGGAAGGGCTCGACTCGGATTCGAACCGAGGATCATCTACGTATTCGTCATGACCGCAGATGTGCTTACCAGTTAAGCCACCAAGTCCATACCAGTGGTAGATGTGCACGATCAAGTTACACGACGCGGTTCGATAACATCGGCCAAACAAGTGCCAAACATCGGCCCAAGAACGAGAAGATCGCAGACGAGAAAAGACAAGATTACAGAGCTCGAGCGCTTGACTGGGAGAACAGTTGGACTTGCCGGCTACGGTGCAACTCCCGTATACATCAAGGTGGCGAAGATGGGCCTATAAGAAACCATAAAGCGCGGGTGATAGAAACAGACGAGGGAGGAAACACGAAGGAGGCGACCGTGACTAGCGGAATCAAAGCGAAATATTGACGTGGTATCTGTTCCGTTCGGCGCCACTGTGGCCCACCCACTCCCAAACACCAACGCAGCAGAGCGTACCACGGACACCGAATGGACAACGTCACTCGCATCGTACAACATGCGAAACAATGTATAGATGTACATAGCATTTTACACACAAGTCAATGAGCACGAACCAAACCATCCATCATGGCAAAGCGAAACAAAAAGGACTCAGAGCTTCGAAGCCGCCCTGTGAATCCTCGCCCTAAACTCATCCTCCGTCTCACCCGCCTTCAACTTAATATCCTCGCCCTTTGCAGCGGCCCTCGCCTTCGCCGACTCGAATCTCTTCACAAAGTCATCGTGCGTCTCACCAGCACGCTGCTTGAGCTCGTCACCCTTGGCGATGGCAGCGGCCTTAGCCTGTTCGACACGAGCCCGAAAGTCTTCTTCGGCCTCACCAGCACGTCGTTGGATGTCATCGACGGCATCTTGAGACTTGGCTTTACCCCAGCCAAACCAGGACCACCAGGAGCTTTTGGCTTGGTCGGCTTTCTTAGCTGTAGATGGGAGAAAGGGAAATAGGGGTTAGCAAATGAAGAGCATGCAAGGGAACATCCAGACATCGTGGACAAAAGCGAATCAAAGGACTCACCAGCGGACTCCTTCGTCTCCGCAGCCTTCTTCTCAATGACCTCGTATCCCTCCTCGATCTTCCTCTTCCCATCATCGTACGTGCTTCCTGCCTTCTCCCTCGCACTATCGACCTTACTCTCGCCCGACCTCCTGATCTCCTCATACTTCTTCTGCGCATCACTCAAAGCCTCCTGCGCCTTCACTTGTCCCTGCTCCACCGTCTTCTGCAACTCAGGCTTCGACAACTCCTGCTTCTCCTTCTCGAGGCGGTCATTTTCGAGGGTAGAGTAGTAGTAGTAACCACCTGCGAGTGCGGCAAAGAGACCAGTGAAGAGAAGTGCGTTTGAAGATTTAGATTCGGGTGGTGGTGGGGTCGTGCGTGTTTCGGTGGTGGGTTTTGTTGGGTCGGGAGTGATATCGGAACGGCGGGCAGTCGAGGCAAGGGTGCGTCGTGCAACGACAGGCGCGACCGCCACACGGCGAGCAACGACGGGGCGAAGAGTAGAAGATGCTGCGGTGCGATACATATCGGGCGATGTTATTGTTCGTTCGTAGATGAGATGAAAGTCAAAGTCAAGAAAAGAATTCGAGGTGGAGGTGCGTGTTCGTCGTGGGTGGAAAAGATGCGAGAAAATGCGGACGGCGTGAGGCGCGTTTTGAGTGAGCGGGGAAGCGCGATGACGCGCGATGAGGTCACTGCTTTGTTCGAGTTTGCCCCTGAGAGGCGCGTACTAACGCGTCTTGGCACGTGGCACTCCTCTCCATCGCTCCTCTTTTCGACGCGTCAATGTCTTCGCGCTCGAGGATGGCGTCGTCATGGTCTGGTTAGTCTGGTAGGTTCGGTTTTTCATGCATAATGTTCTCGAATAGTTCGTCATAGTTGGACTTTCGTCCTCCCAGACTCCAGCCCAATGTTAGGACAGTTTTCTTTCGCGGCTGGTCCATCTAGGAAAATGTCTCGTCTTCTCCCTCCCTCACACTCGATAGAAGAAATCATCTGGTCAAGGTCGTGGCTCACACTACGTGCTCCCTTCTGAAATTGACGGACTTCGTGGACATTCGACAATCAAAGTCTATATCCTATTTTCCCGGATCCAAGAGGGGCCTTCTCTAGATCTAGAGATGGGCCGCCGCGGTAGGGTTTTGCACGGGTCAAACCACGGGTGCCAGAGACGAACCCGTACCCGTACCCGCCAAACACCGTACCCGCACGGGTACGGGTACGGGTAGCCCGCGTTGTGGCACGGGTTTGCCTCTTGCCACCGCGGTTATTTTGTACGGTGTTGAAGGAAGTTGACTGCCATAAAGGCAGTATGAGTCGATTTTCCAAGACATGGGAGAGCACTGTAGAGCGCGGCCTTCTTCCCGTTACTCTTTTCAATGGGAACCTCGTCCCACCCCGCGCCAAGTCCACATGTCAACCCACTCTAGTTCAATACTGACAGTGCCAATGTCAAACATGTGTGTGTTTTACATGCACCGGAGGGGTTCGACCCATAGCAAGTGATACTCGTCACTCAATGGAACAACGCCGAACGGCAGTTACAGCCGTTGTTCTCGTTGACGGTTCGTACGCTATTTCGGGGACCGATAGAGCGCGGGATAACACATCTCCATAGACGAGCCCTGACAGCCTGGAATTCGAGCTTAAGCTCAAACTGTACCATAACACAAGAGCATCCGAGAGCCCGAGCTGAAGTGATGAATGAATTTCATCCGAGTCATTGGCTCAGCAAGTCGTAAAAGTGGGATATAGTGCTCCTTCGAGCATCTCTACTCACCAAGACTCCAACCCGTCGCAAGAACCGCGGGTCTCGCGGTATTTAACGGTCCTGAGAACCTCAGACCCGTACCCGTACCCGCCACACACCGTGCTCCAAAACCGCGGGTGTAACCGGACCCGTGCAAAACACTAGATGGGCGCCGTGCGTTCCTAAAACGAACTCATCGCCCGAGCTCATTGGGACTACGACTTTGCTCCGGTTCCAGCTTGACTTGCGTGGTAATCTCCGACCGTGCTGCCAAGGCTCTTCCTGCCTGTAGACTTTGCTTGGGTAGCTCATACGCTGGGTGTGGCGGGGCCAATAGGGTGCGAGAGCGGTGATCGTATATTGATTCATGAAGTCTGGTGGTACAGAGACACAACATTCGGGAACCTCTTCCTGTGTGGCAACCTCCTTCGTACAGTTCAATCCGTCATGTATTCCAAAAACGATCCTGAGGGAAGAAAACGTCAGCTCCGGGAAGCGATTTCAAATCCTGAAAATCATCACCTTCGTCTGCCCTTCCTACGAATCCGACCTTGACCTTCGTACATGCTCACTCCCTCCACTGTATAATCGGCACACGAGTAGAGTCCCAGGGTGAATTTATTGACACATATCTGCCATCCTCCCGAGCAATGCCATCGAACGGAGAATTCTGTTTGATGTGCGAATAATCAACCCACTGGGTCGAGACGAAAAGCTTCAGAAATCCGACATCTACGTCCCGTCCTTGGCGCACGTGGTACATTCGTGGGTTGCCCCCGCCAGCCCCATAACCAATCGTGAGGCTCGTGTGGGCGTCTATGGAGAAGTCGGCTCTTCCATCCCTGGCGATCCCTGGCTCGTAGTATGAGACTGTTCCACGATAAACGACAGTCAGAAACGAGCTGTAAATCATGGTCGGTCATGTCGGATGGAGAACACTGCACATTACCTATGCTGAGGGCGCCTATGTCAAAATAGAATAAGGCCGCGTAAAGGGGCATGCTTGTGTTATTGACAATCTCGAATCCTAAGGGCCTGTGCTCGCCATCGTCCATCAACTTGATCATGTCACCCTCGATAAGATCCTTCGCGGGGTCTTTCTTCTTCATCGCCCAACCACCGTCTACCATTCCCTCCTCGAGCGCATAACATCTGAGGAAGACTTTCCCCGTGAGGCACAGTTGGCTGACCTTCGGAGTGCGATGGAGGTGCCGAAAGAAGTCGGCGGCGCCTGATAACACAGTAATGACATCCTGGCTCTCGTTCGGGTTTGTCTTGTTGCTGCAACCAACTGAGCCGCACAGACGTGTCACCCCGAATTGATGACATATATCATCGTTGACTTCAAAGGCGACTGTGTTCTCGTCCTTCATCAACAGCGTAACCCTAGGTGGTGCTGGGGCGAGTACTGTGAAAGGGATATTCTGGTGTTTTCCGAGTAGCCGTCCGTCGAGGCGATCTGCGATGAACGTCAGGTTCTTCGGCATGGCAATCTCCAAGTTCTTCCCTGTCCGAGTCTCCAGCCCATACGCGGTAGACGGAAAAGCGTTGGGGCTCGGTAAATCGACTGTGGATACTATCTCCGCCGTGAAGTTTGTGATTGACTGGACGGTGAACTCTCCGAGTGACGAGGCCGCGTCTCTCTCGATATGAACACTGAACTTGGAATCACTGGTGATTCCATACGCTTCGCCTGCAGCCAATTTATAGGTCACGTTCCTGGAGCAGAGTGGAAGGTAAATGACGGGAGAGTCCTGAGGTTTATATCCGAATCTGGTAATTAGAGAAAAAGCTTATCAGCTAGTTAATCTGCCGAAGCATTCGAAATCTTACCTAGTTCTCTTCGAAGATGACAGGAAGAGAGGACATTGGGGAGGTTTGAAGGTTTCATCAGCTGTCTTCTCGGTGATAGGGACCAGCTCAGCTGTAGACTCCGATGTTGATTTCACCGACACTTCGAAGGCTAGCGGACCGCTGTTATTTTGGGCAGTATAGACGTTATATTGATCTCCCTTGTCGATCTTGAACTTGGCGTCGAGCTTGACACGGTAAGTTCCCGGCTGCATCTTAAGCTTGTGGAAGTCGTGCTCAGGGGTATGAGTGATTGACGTGAAGAGGTATCTGTCTCTGTAAACGCCTTCACACTGAGGTTGCTGGCTAAATTTCACGAAGACGTCGTCAGTCCATGCACGGTCACCGAGATCGTAGCCTTTGATACATACTGCTTGACCTCCGGAAGGTCCTCAACGAGTCTCCTATACGTCAAATTATGCGCACCATCACCCCGGAGTGCATCTATCAGCATTGTCGTGAACAACCCGCCTGCGTTGCTTTCATTGCTGGGCTGCTCTGCACTGCAAGCAGCAAGCAGGACATGGGAGGCTAAACCCGAAATTTCATAATTTCTCTTCAGCGTCTTCGGCTCAGGGGGTATGGGGGAATTCTCTGGAGCAACTGCTTGGGCTGGAGTGCGGCATTGGTATCCGGGTTGGAGTTTGAAGCCTCTCACTCTATATTCCGGCTCTCGGGTGCCCGAGCCAGAGTGGCAGCAATCGAGGATAACGGTCTTGTGGGAAAAGTCACAGCAATACTTTAGCGATGCAATTAGTAATGAAGTTGAATGGACGTTACCAACAATATTGTTCCCCTTCGCCTCGGAAATCTTGTTCAAGTATACGGCAAGAGTGACATCGGCAATTCCCTGTACCAGCTTGTCCTTGCTATCACCCGGTATGAAGTCGTATGGGCAGAGCACTTCAATGTCCTTTTTCGGGTCGTCTGCTGACGGCGCCTTCGTCCCATGGCCGGCAAAATAGAAGAGGATGGGGTCGTCCTTCTTTGTAGTCGAATTCTCGGCAAGATCTTCTAGCAGCTTTAGGATATTCGTCCGAGTAGCGGCGTCGTTTCTGAGTATTTTGATGTGATCTGGACGAGCGTGTCTATCCAATAGAAATGCGTGAATGGCCTTGACATCGGCGCATACACCGGGCAATGGTGACATGGAGGTCTGTTTGGTGTTTTGATATGTATGAATCCCAACGAGGACTGCAGATAAATTTTCCAGTGAAGGTGGGCTAGACTCAGGGGCCATAATATGAATACTATACTCTCAGAGAAAAAAAAAGTTTAAGGCCCACATCTCAGAGCTCGATTTCACTTGTTTATCGTTGCTAAAACGATTATGTTAGCTCATTCTGACATAAGATATCAAGGCCTAAATTATGCGTACCTAATACGCAAGGAAGTGGGATCCGCATCGCATCGGCACACTTCGGGCTGGGACGCATTTAAGACAGGGATAATATCCCGTAGTCGCTGAGCCATATACATGAGGATGATGTGTTCGCAGTCCAGGTCCCGCTAGGGTGAGGGGAGTGAGACAACAGGAAGCTCGAGACTTTATAAGCAGTCCCTGTGAAGCACGGGGATATCTATGATGCTAAAAGCTGCGAATGTAAGACGTAAGGATGGTCTGCGACTATTTTGCAACCTTCGACGATCCTGAAGTATATAGCACAATTATAGTAGCCTCTAAGGATCGTGTATTTCCATGAGTATAGCCATAGGAGGAACGAACGTATCATTTACGAGAAGTGAGAGAAATGAATCAGCGCTTATTATAGGAATAGACCCGAATGGCGCGGGGAATGTGGTACCCTGAGACCTTGTGAAGAACATAGATAGTGTGAATAGTTCGTCTTCACAATCCCTCCCCACGTTTGGAGCTAGAATTATGGGAAAGTGGAAGGCCAGAAACGACGCTCATCTTCCATGCAGCGACCACACTCAGTCCTCGAGACCACACAAACTTTGTGTTGATTACTTTCTCAACAGAAGGAGATATCGTCTTCCTCGATGTAGTGTGCTGGGCGTGTTCAGACCGTACAATCGACGAAAATAGTATGAGCACCAGCATTATAGGTCAAATCAGAATATTTTGGATAGCACGTTGCTGCTCAGAACGGCGTTGAATCGAGAACAGAAGTGGATGAAGTCTTAAAAATCATAGACTTTCGCCACCCTTTGACGGACTCGATGCTCGTAAAATCTTTTTCAACATCTCATGATCTATGCTCAAGCCATGAATAGTATGGAAGCAGTGATCACATGTAGAAAACATACCATGAGATAACATATCTCCATTTGAGAATCCCTTACGAAAAGCAGACCTTCTCCCTAGGCGTCTGTGAGTGACGGTCCGAGAGGTTGCGGTGCCGATATTCTCCTAATTTTGCAAGGGATCGATCTAGACTAACCTAACTTGAGCAGATCATGAACGGGCGCACTGGGCCCTCAGTTGTTTTTCCTAGCAAGTGACAAGTATGGACGAAAGAGTCCATGAACGCTGCAGAGCTCGCCTATTTTTTGCCAGGTTCGACGCAGACAAGCTCTGGAGCAGAAACCTTGTCACCAGAGTCAAATTGTGGCCTTTTCTTCCGCTTGCATCTATTTTCTCGTTGTCATGTGGGATATTCGTACCCGCAGCTGGAAGCTCACGAGGTTTGTCACTGTACTAGCGATATGGATAACTTGACGTCTTTCACAACGTGCTGGCGCCATTTCAGCTCGTGTCGTTGACAATATTTTGAGCCTTGTACCAACTTGCCCCACCGTTTACCATTTTCGTCCTCATTTCCGGAAGTTGCTGCGGTATCGCGGATGTTGTGCACTGCGGTTTGCGTGCAAACACTGAGAGCTTCCAGATAGATCTATCTCGTATGATAAGCTCCCGCTGTGAAGAGTTATATCCTAAGTTTGAGGTCTTACATAATTGGAGAAGACGGTAAAATCGAGAGCGAGCAAGGAACGACTCGGCAGATAAATAATTACATACCAAGTGTACAGATATCGCAGAAGGACTACCTCCCCCGATTTCAAGGTGAGGCCATCGTGAGACAAAAAAGACATAGGTTTGTTCGCCTCCGCTGGTTCATCCGGGATCCTGTACTGCTACGAAAGTACATAGCAGATTGAGCACTGTCGACGACTAGAGAGAGAGAAATATAGTAAGGGTGGGCACTGATCACGTCGCGCGAAGCATGGAGACAATATTTGTACAGGGTATGGTCGCATTAAGTATTACGTCCCCTCAATTGCACAACGGACACGCAAACTGCATCCCATATCATGCCCTTTGCTGGCCTCGACTTTAAGCGTCGCTGCTTTCCTCCCTGGAATGGCGAAGGTTGCGCAATCTGCGAGTAGTCGACCCATTTAGTTGAGATAAAGAGCTTCAGATAACCGACGTCGACTTCCTGGCCCTGGCGCACGTAATACTGCCGTGGTTGTCCGCCACCTGCTCCATGACCTATTGTCAGTTCTCCTTTGGCTGCGACGGAATGCTCCGCTCCGGAGCTCCTAGCAGCACTCGGTTCATAGTACGATTCTGTGTAACAAAGTGCCGCGTGAGCTGAGATTAATAAGAAGTAAAATATGGCCGTGAATTTCGATGAGCTCACTTATGCTTAGATCGCTCATGTCGAAGAAGAAAAGAGCGGCGTAGAGTGGTACGTGGCTATCATTGACAACCTTGAATCCGAAAACCTTCTCGTCCTCATCATATACACTCAGTGCATTTTGCTGAATGAGATTTCTCTGCGGCTCCTTCTCCGCCATGCCCCAATCGTTACCGACCCATCCTTCCTCAAGCTCGTAAGCTTCCAGGCGCACGAGTCCACTGCGTCTGAGGCCATCGTAAGTGGGGTAACGGCCAAGATGGAAATAGAAATCGGCGGCGCTCCTGACGATAGTGAGGATCTTCTCGGTGAAAGAGTCCCTTGAAGAGGTAGTGGTCGGATCTAGATGGACTGGGTAGTACATATGTGTCATTCCCCGATCACGACACAGCTTGTCATTGATATCGAAAGTGACTGTGTTATCACCGTTTGTCACCAACGCGATATCTGGAAGAGGGGACGCGTCTTCAACCACGAGGCGAATGCGAAGGCCGTGTTTTATCTCGTCCCGGACCAGCGTAATAATATCAAGAAATAACGGCTCGTCTGCGATTGACATCCTGATCCCACTCATGGTGTCTGCCCGAGTCTGAAGAGCATATGCAGCGCAAGACGATGAAAGCGGTAGATCTGGTACGTTCGGAGCGACTTCGCATCTCGCGGAGAATGCAGAGATCGATCTAGCTGTGAGAATTCCAACGGGTAATGACTCGAGATTTTTGCTCTTGTAAACGTCGAATTGGCTATTGAGTGTGATTCCGAACGCCTCACCGCACTCCAGCATGTAAGACCGACTCTTCGCCTTCGTTACTTTGAGAAGCTTGTGACGGGAACTGTGAGCTTTGGAATCGAAGAGTATTCTTGACTTATGGAAACCCTCACACTGAGGGTTCTGGCTGTTAATTCAGACATAGTCGTGTAAACATGGACATTAGCCAGTGGTGTGCGACATGACATCATAGCTGCTTACCCAGTGATGTCGGGTATACAGTCGATGAGGCCTTCATACGTGGTTTTGTCCGTTCCTTCGGTATTCAATGTCTCAAGGAGTGCGCGCGTGAATAACCCGCCACTTCCGTCCTCTCTACTACGCTCATCCGCCCTGCAAGCTGCCAAGAGCACATGGGAGCGCGACCCTGACACCTCATACCCAGCCATTACCCTATCGCCCCGCGAGTTCTCCTCTCGGAGTAGGTCGTTGTCGGCAGTGGGCGCAATAACGTAGTCCTGTGGCAGGTCAATACCACGCACATTAACTTCAGGATCATAGCTTTCTTCTCGGGTACCGGATCCTGAGTGGCAGCAGTCGAAGATCACAGTCTATAAAATGGAGGTAAATATTGTTTGCCAAAGTAATCGAAATTCGGTAGAAAAAGAAACACACAATATTGTCGCCTTTTGCCTTGGAAAGATGATTCAGAAGTATGGCGAGCGTCATATCCGGAATACCCTGAGCGTCATCGACATCGCTGCGTCGGGGAAGGAAATCGTGTGGACAAATCATCTGAATTTGCGGGTGTGAGCCCCCGCCGGCTTGCCATCCATTCGGGGAATTTGTCTGCGCGCCATGTCCAGCGTAGAAGATGAGGATGGGATCTCCCAGGCGTATGTCGGAGCTGCTGGTGAGATCCTCGATGTATTTCCGAATTTCGCTCCGGGTTGCTTGCTCGTTCAGGAGGACGTGTATTTGGCTCGCAGGTACATGCATGGATTTTCGGAGAAATTCAGACACGGACAGAGCATCGTGAGCCGCTCCGTGTAGATTTGGAATTTCAGGGTTGTGTAAATATTCGTCAATGCCTATTACGAGAGCATGTAGAGTTGATGGACTGAAGAATAATACGGTATACGTTCCCGAAGCGTCAGATTATATACATGAATTGATAAGACCGATACTGACGTGCCAACGGCAGGCTGTGGTAGCCTGGGAAACAACAGAAAGGTCAGATTCGTGATATATACGATATGGCCCATTTGTCGCACATCACTGTGGCCAACTCATCCGCTCTGTTATAGGGAAAACCACGTGGGCTATGAGAACGGTCAGCAAGAGCACTGATACACGCTTATGAAAGAACGCACACGTAGCGAGACGGAACACAAAATCTGTTCCACGTTGTTTTATCAGGTTAAGTGGAAATATGTGAGACTTTACGGTAGCACACCTGCATAGATGAACCGCTAGATCTCGAGCCCAGGCTGTCGCACGAAGTATAAAGTGGATAAAAGCGTCTAAAACTCGGAAACGGGACATAATGCGACAGGCTAGAAGGGTTAGATTTAGAGGAGTAGCACAGAACTTGGACGCGTACACAGTATGCGGAACAGGTTTTAAGAGGCATACGCATCATGTAGTTGGACGTCACGTCTTCAGCGGGGTGGGTGCGTAGATAGGTGTCAGTTCAGGGAGACCAGTCCGGCCATGAGACGGGCATCGAGAAGGGGCGCACACGACCACTGCACGGACATGAAGCGATCGATCATCGTAGCATTCCATACCTCCTCGGTCGGACATTAAGCACGTCCGGCATAAGGGTCGCTCCGGAGACTCGCGGCATTTCGAAGTGGAAGTGGACATGGTGGCACATTCGATCACGAGCCACAACGCAACTGACCCTGCTCCAGAAAGTAATTCGATGCATGCATATGTTTTCCCCACGTCTTCAACAAACTCGATTGGTAGGTTGCTACAGACCAACCAATGCTAAAAACTGACGATTCAGCAGTGATGTTCAGCTCGACATTCAGTTGAGACACTGGAGAGGTTAGCTTGGAAATGTTTTGTGGTAATACAGCTTTTAATTTACGATCAACGCAGCATATCAAATGCGCAGAAGCGTGATAATGGGAGACTTGACCGCTCTATCTACGCAGAAAGCAGAAAAAACACTAGATCCTATGGGATTGAAGGCGACATTGACGTAGCGAGGAGAAACCATCGCACTGTATGCCGGGTCAAGCAGCCACGCTTAGTCGAAGAACTACTTCGTTCCGGATCGCTATCGATGTTCAACAAACTTCTGCATATCTTGCAGGAACTGGCCAGTCCTTGAGAAATTATATCGGAAAATAAGAACATGCGGCTGAGATAGAGATCCGGCCACGCCTTGTTAAAAAAGAAAAGAGAAATGAGAGCTCGCAAAGAAAAAAACCAGATTCGTCTCGTAAGTTAATATCGCACGTAATCCACACAAGGTCCGTTCCGTTGAGTCCCTTCCATGTTAAATCTGAGACTCGTGTAAGCCAGCCACCTTCATGTTCACAATAAGCCGCGAGGTAGCTTTCATCGTGTAAGTCATATGAGCAGTCATTTGAGAGCCAGGGAAGGCAAGGTTAACTCTACCACCAGATGTGTACTAGGTGAGTTAGATAAAGCTCAACTCTCTCGTGACGACTTGACTAGGCTTCTTGGTCAATATTCCACAGTGATCATACCCAGACAAGCAGTTTTGATGGCGTATCTTACGTAGCCAGTCATTCCTCTGCTGTCTCATGCTCTACATCCGATACCAGCCATCGATAGCATGGCGATTTTTGGAGTAAACATATCCAGACCCTCTGCCATGATGGCGGAGCCAACGCTCTATAAAAATCTAGTACATGCTGTCTCCTGCACCCTAGAGTTATAAATATGACGTCGCACTAAATGCATCACAAACCAGGCAGCATGCTACAAGCCAGCACATCAGTTATCACCTAAGCCAGCATCTGGCATAGTAAAATTGGCCCTCGTTGCCAATTTCGAACGTAAGTGATCAGGGGCGGAAGCAATGCGCATCTTATGACAGCAGCACGGTAGCAGGGCTGTGTTATGCGTGGCGTACTGGCGCCGCATTCTCTCAGCGTCCTGTATACAACACACATACTTCGATCGCCCATACGACTCCTTCTATATGAGTAGTCGACCGTATTCTCCGGCGAAATACACCTCTATGTTGTAGTGTGTCGTTCGGTTTGACCGAGAAGGAGACAGGCGAAATTGTCCAAAGACATAAAGAAGGCGGCCTTGGCCCACAACCAGAAGATGAAACGTATGGCATAAAAGACGTAGAGCCTCGATCCTGTTCTTCCAAGGCAAAGCAGACTATGAAAAGAAACGCTCCCGTACTTTAACTTGTGCAGGGGTATTTTTCTTTGACGCCGTGTAGGGTAACATTCTACTAACGCCCTGCGGAATGATAGAGCAAGTTAGAATACTGGAAATGCACGATATTTCGGCGCATGTTTCGCAAAGTATTTGAAACTCACTCTCGGAAATTGGTCCAAGTTGACGATGCACGATGGAGTATGAGTCCCAACGAAGTTTTCATCAGACGAGTCGCCAGGTGGCAGGAATGAGGTAGACATTTATCGGCAAGCATAACATAAGAACAGAATCAAGTGGCAGTCGATCCAATGAGACGATCACATTCAATACAAGCCAAGGATCCTGAAATTAAGGACGTCTAGACAAGAGCGTGTGGAGAGTGCTAGTGGGTCGAGAGCAAGACGACAACGATGGCGTTCACAAGAAGTACGTCCTGCAGCTTAAAGAGGTAACCCGTATTTCGGGTTAGGAGCAATATTAATGCCTCGACTGTGTGGCTGAAGTGTGGGGCCTAGCTCTTCTCTTTACGAACGTCGTCGAACAAGTCCCGAACGCGAGGCATTCAACTGATGTACCATGTAGAGCGTAAGGTTGTTTGCGCTGTGAGCTTGAGAGAGTCAGGGATTGGCACTCCGAGTACGCGCCATCTCTTCCTCTCTGAGACGAGTCCCCGCTTGCCCTCCTTACGCCAACCTCACTCTCATTGTCCCCGACCCACGGTCCCTAAGTTCGCTTCGCCTATAGTCCTTGAGCTTAAAATGCGAAATAGGCTACAGCCAGAAGGTTACTGACTTTCGATCTCTTCTCATCTCCACTCCTTACACCATCAGCTTGCTGGATGGGCCCGAGTGGTACTTTGAGCCCTGGAAGCTCTTGGTGTAACTTTATCGACATTTCTTTTTCTGTCACCCGACATCGTCATGCTCACCGGAGGGGGAAACGCGCTGTCAGCGCCCGGAACACGTATCTTCCCCGTTCATGTTTGTAGGTCGTAGACAAACTCCCAAATTTTCTGTAGAAAAGACCTCATCGATATTTCTGTACGTGCGTAGATCAATAAGCTATGCATGCTCATGGCACCTGTTTTGAACCATTGCGATGTTCTCAGCGCCTTGACCTTTAGGAGTGGTGGAAATGGATGTATAGGAAGGAAAGAGACCCATTAAGTAGTAATATCATTACCAGACTTTATCCACTCTTCTGATGCATCTGAACCAAGGTGGAATATAGGCGCATTATAGTGTATATATCATGCGCGTACTCGGTTTTAGCTTATGTCTTTTCAGTTATCACATATCTCCATCGTATCCCGCACACTAGGAAGGAGACATATGGCACGGAGCACGTATTCCATTTGTGAGGAGATTTAATCTCTAAATCGGCCACTGGTAGGTCATAACAGGCCTGACAGACCGCGTCCGATACACTGATGATGCCGGAAGGCATTGACAAGCGTGGTCGATGGCGTGGACAGAAGACAGCCGTGAACGTGCTCAGGAAACACACAGTATGTATGGTGCTGTTCACTTAGTCACCACATAAAATAAACAACCGCCAAATTGGTCGGTCCAGGACCGAAAATCCAAATTATTGAAAGAAAATTCCTGAGCCATACAAAAAAACCCCGGGGTTTCCATAAATCATTTAAAAAATGAATTAAATATTATTATTTAGCGGGGGCCCGCCAAATTCAAGTAGCGAGGATTTTATAACTCCTCCAGTTTTGAATATTTTCAAAATCTGTCTTGGGAATCTGAGAGCAACCGTATAACTGGGATCACGTGAGCATGGGATATCCCGCGGGATAATGGTGGCCATAAGGCACCGCGCCAAGGATGCCCGCCCATATGGCTTATCCCCCTCTCCCTCCCCCCTCTCCATCTCACTTGCTTGCACGTCTTTTGCTCCTTGCTTCCTCGTCTGTTGATTGTGCATCGTCTCTGGCGACTCGCTGTGTGCGCTCCATAAACACTCCGTCTCTGTGACCCGCCATCCCTTGTCCCGCCAACGTAGGGCCCGATACGATATCTCTGCCCGTAGATCTTGGCACATCTCATCAGCCATCCGCCGATCTCTGGTCGGAACCCATATGTCACCCCACGATCGTTGCTCCGATGCGATATCGCATACACCCTTTCCGAAGGCATATCGCTTGGGCGCTCCGATGTGATATCGCATACGCCGAGTTCTCTTCCGAAGGCATATCGCTTGGGCTGTGCTCGGGTCC